TTGGAGGAGAGTTTCTTTCCATTCGTCTTGCAAGTTCAGAACTGGGTAGGGCTGAAAGACATTTTCCATAAAGACCCATCATTTGTTATTGCATATACTCTTTAACTTCGTTTACGAGTTCATTTCAACTGCAGTGTGGTTTTTACTAGTTACAATTTTGTTTTGTGGTAAATCTCACAGCTGGAAGTAGCAGAACCAAGATTATTGCTGGTAGTATCAGCTTTTCCATTTTTCTGATTTTAGCCTTTGCCTCATATATGTACTGGAGATACAGAGCAAAACAAAATGGTGAGACACTGGATAACATAGTAGCGCTTTTTCTTTCGTGGGCTTTGTTTTTATCTTTAATTAGGTAACCAACTAAAAGCGAAAAGAGGCATTCGACACCTCTATCTCGTGATCAAGTTATATACTAACTCACAGACATTTGTGACTTGTTTGGCAAACTCGGTGTTTTTCAACAATTCACTAGTATCATGGAAAAATGGTTTGGAAGCTCAAGAAATCTCAGGTTTGACGTTCTTTGAGATGCATACCATACGAGCTGCTACCAATAACTTCAATGTCTCAAACAAACTCGGTCAAGGTGGATTTGGTCCCGTTTACAAGGTAAATGATAGTTGGTTTTCTTTGGTCTTCTCATGTTTGTTTTATTCTTTGTCCTGTGGATGACTGTCTGCAACTTTGTTTCTAGGGAAAATTGTCAGACAGGAAGGAAATAGCCGTTAAACGCCTTTCTAGCAGCTCTGGCCAGGGCACAGAAGAGTTCATGAACGAAATAAAACTCATCTCAAAACTACAACACAGAAACTTGGTTCGGCTTTTAGGATGCTGCATTGATGGAGAAGAAAAGCTACTAATTTATGAGTTTCTAGTGAATAAAAGCCTAGATAATTTTCTCTTCGGTCTGCTCCTTGTCATGCATTTGCCCCTACATATTTCATTTTCCTTATATCATATGAGAATGATCTTTCATGCTCAATAATATGCTTTATATTATTGACTAGATTTGACGCTAAAGCTTCAGATTGATTGGCCTAAGAGGTTCAACATCATTCAAGGTGTTGCGCGTGGGATTCTCTATCTCCACCGTGACTCATGTCTGAGGGTCATACACCGAGATCTGAAGGTCAGCAACATTCTCTTGGACGAAAACATGAACCCAAAAATATCAGATTTTGGATTGGCTCGGATGTTTCAAGGAACCCAACATCAAGCAACCACTTGTAAGGTTGTTGGAACTCTGTAAGTATCTACCCCAGTGACATGCTCAAGTATTAATTATTTGAAATTAGCACTTAGCAGACTGTTTGGGATATGAACAGAGGATACATGTCTCCAGAGTATGCATGGACGGGGATGTTCTCAGAGAAGTCTGACATCTACGCTTTCGGAGTTCTGCAGTTAGAAATAATAAGCGGGAAGAAGATTTCAAGCTTTAGCTGTGGAGAGGAAGGCAAAACCCTTCTTAAATATGTAAGACATTTTCTCTATCCTCCTAATGTTCCAAGAATTTATGATGTAAACAAATTCTTAGATGCTGTCAATTTTCAACTATATACTAGGCATGGGAATCTTGGCTCGAGACCGGTGGAGTGGATCTTTTGGATCAAGCTATTAGCAGCTCGTGTTCTTCAGTTGAAGTCGCTAGATGTGTTCAGATTGGTCTACTCTGCATCCAACAGCAAGCAATTGACAGACCAAACATTGCACAAGTAGTGTCCATGATCACAACCACAACAGATCTTCCGACTCCAAAGCAACCAGTCTTTGCATTGCAGATTCAAGATCAAGTGAGTGTTGTCATCTCAGAGTCTTCGAATCATATAACACAAACTGAGATATATGGGCGATAAAGTCTGCCATATCACCTAAGTGATATGGTCGTTCGGCAACAAGACATGGAAGAAATTGTATTCGCTAGATCTCACAGGAACTCTTTATAACAGATACAATTTATAACATAAATCACAATAGTTTTAAACTTGATTTTTGAAATTTTTTGTCCATATGTATATTCTCTCCCATAAAAAGCATCAAATCATCTCCATACATAACATCAAAAGAAAAATGACAAACAATATCAAAAACTCATCATTTATGCACATAAATCTCTACAAATAATAATACTCATTTGTATAGTGGTTAACAAGTGACTAATCCATATCCATCAAGCTTCCTTCAGCTGCAAGTAGGAAAAACCTCTTTGGTCTTCTCATGGAAATAAAATTGTCAAGCCTTTCTTCTTCCTCTTCCTCTTCTTCTTCTAATGATGATAAACACTCTACTTCACTTACATCACCACCATCACCAACACTTGTTACACTCTCCAATGAATCAACAACAACATCTCCATTGTTGTAACGTACCAGGCAAAACTTTTCTCCATAGAGAGTCGTCAAAATAACCTTTCCTCTCCCATCCTCACTAGCCTGAGACGAATCCCAAATTTAGAAATGAAGCCTCAAAGAAATGTTTCAGTGAAATGTTGTTGCAATTAATTTACATATCATAACATATGAAGGTCGTGTGTGAGTTACCTCTGTTCGCTAAAGAAAGTACGTGTACTACTCTTTCTTTTGTTTCAAATTCGAGTTTATATTTAACGTTTAGATTTGATTTTTTCTCCTTCAAGCTCGACATCAGATTCAACAATCTCATCCTCTTCCTCTACTTACTCTACTTTCGGTTTCTGTTCTTCAGTTTCTTCCATGTCATCATCACTCTCTTCTTCCACTACGAAACTCTTCTGTTAAACAAAAAAAAAAAAAAAAAAAAAAAAAAAAAAGCAAAAAGAAACTCACCTACAGAACACAAACATACTCAATTAAACATACTCAATAGAGATCAAACATAACAATGTGGTATATACCGCTTTAGTGTCTTTGTCTTCTTGATGATGAGCACCAATAGGTATCTTAGCACCAAGACTTAAATCATTAAAATTACAAAAATCATTCAAAAACCCAAAATTTACAGATAACAGATTAGCCTCACACAACTAAAAAGTATACACTTTGAACAAAACTCCAAGAAATTAAAACCAAAGACAGCAACTTTAATCTACAAGAGTGTAAAGGGTCTATCAAATTCCACAACAGAATTTAAGCGAGAGATGAGAGAGCCAATACACTTTCTACAAACATAAATTCAAAAAGACCAATACTTTACTGAATTTAAATTTTAAACCAACACAGATGAAAACTAAAGCATAAGAAAAAACGATTAAATCGAAGCAAACGAGGAAGGAGCAGATTGTAAAGCACCTCTCGAGATAGTCGCGGAAGAAGGAGACTGAAGGGGTAGAGAGAAGGGAAGGGTCAGACTTGCATTGATCGATGAATCTTTAGTTTGCCACGTCACCTAATATATGAAAAGTGGAAACGCTCGTTATCGTTTATATATAAAATCAATAATTAAATAATTAATACTACTTATTGGATTAACAAACGTCACATTAATCACACCAAAAAACAAAAACACTATTCGAAAATCCAAACTCCGAAACCCTAATATCAAACTCTAAGATGGAACCGCTAAACAATCAACCATAATATATTACTAGCTACCGTTGTCATTTTTATTTCTTTGAATCTTAAACTCAAAAATGTTAACATCATATGAGTTTTTATTTGACTTCATATTACACATGCTATCTTTGAAATGCAACCAGAATTAATGGAGTAATGTGTGGCATATGCTAAAGTAAATTAAGGAAAACTTGATTTTTTTCCTTTACTAAACTCTTGTATATATTATATAAGTAGGTAGAATGACTTGACAGAATGTCAATTGTTATTCACAATCTGTATGTGTTGGTCATTAAAATTTTATTCTAGTTAAATTGAGATATGAGCTGGAAGTCTAAATCCTAAATAATGAATACAAAATCGTATATTTTAGGGAGGTAGATATTTAAATCTGTAGAGTCTATTTGGTTTAGTTATAAGAAATGACGTTAAAACAATAAAACTTATCGTTGATCAGGGGTCAGCGTTCTTGTAACACTTCTTATAATATTCAACACCAAGTCACCAAGTTATGCTAGTTTGTTTTAGTTACATTAACTTCTTTTTTTTTTTTTTTGGCCAAAGTTACATTAACCAAATGAAGATAATACAATCAAATTTTCGAACATATGAAGATAATACTTCCCTACATTTACGAACATCAAATTATTTTGTCAATGAATCTTTCCCAGTCTCTTTTTCGACTATACACATCAAACTCTTCCAACTTTTACACCCAAAAAGTCATTTTAACAAGTCATATCTGTCAGCTACGAAATAGTTTAATGTTTTAGGATATATGTATAAATTTATATTATATTGCTTCAGTAATTTCTTTTTAACTCAAAATATAAATTCGTAAAATAAAGTAAGAGCGACGGGATTAAGAGATTGCCATCTTGGAATTTTGTCATTGTGTTCACCATCCGAAAATCGAATAATTTGGTTATATAGTAGACGACAAGAAGTAAAGATTCGTCACTCGTCTTTTAAGTCCATTGATTCTTATTAGACTCATCATAATAATACCTTGCAACTCCATATTTCTGAATTCTAATCTTAGATTCTATTCTTTGGTCATTCCATCACACTCTCACTGTCTCACATCTAGAATCATCATGGAAGTAACAATCCTTGGAGAAAAATCTAACGCTGTTTAGGATAAAAATTTAGTTTAGGAGGTTTATTATGGAATCTAATCGTTTTAATGTTTGGTCTAAAGAGTCCATTAGCTACATATTAATTGGTATACATAATTCTAAGTTATGCCAAAAGTTGATGAGAACTAACGAGTTAACCGGCATGGACTAGTTCTAAGATGGAATCGACTTAAACTAAGATACTTTTTGACGTATACGCTAATATGTTAATCATAGATTCATAGCACTTGATAGCGTTATTTAGAACACTACTATATTAACGTGCGATATAAAGTCGATGGTAACAGACAAACAGTCAAAAGAACACCATGAAGATATAAAAGAAGAATCATATGCATAATTTCACCATGTGACATTGAATTATATAAACACCAATATATCTAGTCTAGTACACTTTTTCCTTTACCAAATTAGAAATTACAAATCTTTTTTTTTTCTGTCTTAAAACTCTCATTAAAAAGAAAAGAAAAAACACAATGATAAATCAAACATTCTTAGTTCCTTGGTTACTGCTCTTGCCCATCTCAACCGCATTCCCGTACTCGCCATCCTCCACAAACCTTGACCAATACCAATGTGACCTCCACACTTGACCCATCTCCTCTATCGGAATCCCTTTAGTCTCCGGCAAGAATATGTATATAAATATCGACATCACCACCACAAAGAAGGCGAAAAAGAGGAACAACCCAAACTTCAGATGGCAAAGCATCATCAAGAATACTTGCGCGATAATGAAGGTGAAGATCATGTTCACCGACACCGTGATACTCTGCGCCGCTGACCTTATCTCCAAGGGGAAGATTTCACTCGGCACTAACCACCCTAGAGGTCCCCAAGACCAAGCAAAACCAGCCACGTAGATGCAAATAAACGTTACAACCACTATAGCATACCACTTTGGCAGCTCACCTGGGGTCCCGTCTACCCCGAACTTGGCCCCTATGCATGCTGCAACCACAGCCTACAATCACACAACAACATTTTTAATTAGTACAATGATCATGATCTACATCAATATATATACACATTCATCATCCCTAATTAAGAATGATCAAAAATATAATTATGTTCAGTAAAAGTAATATATGGATTCCAAGAAATAAATAAAGTATAAGTTGTTGTTCCTTACCTGACATATAAGCATTTGTGTACCACCTTCAATAAAGAGAAACCGACGTCCCCACTTGTCAACACCGTAGATAGAAACAAGCGTGGCGGCGACGTTGACGGAGCCAGTGACCACGGCGGACATGAGAGAAGCATCGGTCGTGAAACCAATGGTGTTGAAAAGAACCGGAGCGTAAAACATGATCACATTGATTCCGGTAAGCTGCTGAAAGAACGGAATCATAATGGCCATTGTGAGATGTGGTCGGTATTTACGGCGGAGGAGGTTTCTCCAGGGGTCCTCAATCGACTGCGACTCTTTACTAGCGGCGACTAAATCGTCAAACTCTTGGCTGACGTCTTCGACGCCGCGGATGCGCCTGAGCTTGGTTTTGGCCTCGTCGTGTAGGCCTCGGTCGATCATGGAGTTGGGAGTGTCGGGGAGTACGAGGGAGCCGAGGGTGATGATCAGTGCGGGTACCACGGCGCCTCCGAGGCTGAGCCGCCATCCCCAACCGCCTTTGATTTTGGCGAAGAAGTAGTTGAGAACTTCGGCGACGAGGATTCCGATGGTGATTGAGAGCTGGAAGCCGATATTTAGAGATCCTCTGTACTTGTATGGAGCCATCTCGGATAGGTAGAGTGGCACGGACTGTAAATAATGAGATGTAACAGGGTCAATTTATTACGTTATTGTGGTTAGATTATTCAAAATAGATACTGTCCGAATGTGACCTTTTCCCTAACTAAAGAAAGATCCCGTATCAATAAAGTGGTCAGAGTTTTTTTTTTGGTTTTAACTTTATCACAGTTATTTATATACTAATTAAATATATCAATATGACGTCAAAAACAAATACGTTTAATTAACTTATGGAGAAAGTTGAGAAAGAGACCATCACAGTGTTAAGGAACAGACCATGTGGAATTTTGGATACTAGCCGAAAAAATATCAATAACAAATTAAAAATAAGTGTTTTGTATCATATAATATAAAGTGGAAGTAATGATCGTCGTCGTTGTATAAAAATTAGAGCAAGAAATAATAATGTCAACTTGACCTAAGTATTTGATGATTGTGTTTAATAGAAGTGGTTGGCTTGGATGGTCCATAACTTTTCTTTTCAAAAACCAAGGTACATTTATATCAGACATATTATTATAACATAAGTTTTAAGTATATTTTTTAAATGTTGTTTATTTATATAGTCCTTTGAAATTAAAATTATGGTTACTAGTTACGGACCTGATTAGCGAAACCGATACCAAAACCGAGCAAGATACGACCGACGATGAGCATCCAAACGTGTTTAGCGAAACCATTGATAAGAGCTCCGGCGCAGAAGAGTATGCCCCCGAATAGCATCGAGAGCCGCCGTCCGAACCTTCTTGTCACGGTGGAAGCAACCAGAGACGAGATCAACGCCGCTAGGTAAAGCGACGAAGTGAAGAGCGTGAGCGTCACACTATCATATTGACAGTACTGATTTGTTGTCGCTTCCTCTTGCTGTTTCCGGTACACCGACGGGAAAAATCGTCGGAGAAAAGATGGCATAGACGTCACACCACCTGTGTTTACAAAAAAAAAAAAAAAGAAAGATCAGAGACATGGATGAGGGTGTTTATGACTATATGAAAACATATGTGGCGATTTTGTAAAAATTTTAAAACCAAGAATTCACTAGTAATTTTGAACCATGTGGGTGTTTATGACAGAAAATAAAATTAATGTGTGATTTATTTGTTAATGTTTCTCCTATGAAAAAAGACAACTGTATAACTTCTGATCTAGGGGTGTACATAGATACTTGTGGGGTGGAAATGTAAAAAGATAAAAGATAGTGAGAGAGTACCAGAGATTCCGATATCGTAACCAAAGATGAGACCACCCATGGCAGCGACGACGCAAGTGAAGAGAACATAGGGAGTGAGTTTACCGGGATAAGCCGTGTGGCCATCTCCGACAACGAAACCACCGGCGGGCATTTTCTTAAAGAAAGTTTAAAAAGAGAGACCCTTAAAGTCTTTAGTACTCTTTATTTTTTTTTTTTCTGAAGCTCTGTTCTGTTTTTGTTGGGATGTGTTTTTTGTAAAACCAAATTGAAAAAGGAATAGATGGAGAGATCAGAGATAACATGTTATGAGTTATATATAGACCAGTGGGGGGAAGAGAAATGGGAGAACTAATGTTGAGCTGTCTATTCGTATTAGTCTTAGCTGTGAATCCATAATAATAATAATGCTTTCTAATTTATCCACATCCTAAGATAATTAAAATAACGTGACGTTGTTTCATGATTTTGAGCAACTTGGTGACCGTTATGTGAACATGTGTTATTAGATGCATCATTTACATTTTTGACTTTAAGACCCCGTAGTTTTTTTTTTTCCGAACAATAATGTCATATTTTAGTCTTTTAGATGAAAGAAAAAAAGAGTGATATACTATGCATCACCGTCACCACATTAGGTTGACAATATTATCTTGTAGAAAAAAGTGTTAATTATACGAAGTTTTACATTAGTTTTACTTTTATAAAAAGCAAAAAAAAAATTCTGAATAAATGAAAAGAAAGAATAAAATATTAGGAGAGTGTGAATAAAATTGTAGCCGATGTACGCATGACATGAGTGTAAGAAAATCAAATACCATTGGTTTGACTTTAAAGACCTCCCCCACAAGATGGTTCAACGGCTCTATCCAATTCCCATTATACATACACACGCATAACTAGTAAATGTCTCCAGAACTATACAGTATATCCCCATCTTTGTATACGCTTTTCAAGATTTTGTTTTCAAGATAATGTAATTAACTACTCATTAGTGCTTCTTAAAATGACTAATTAGGTAGTATTAGACGACGTGTTTACAACAACAAAGATAGAATGCGAGTAAAAGATAACAAGTAACCATTAATTAGTTGTTCGTACGTTACATATAAACAGATTCTTCAAGACCAAATTATAGACTGTGCATCACAAGATATCAAAACTTAGTATAAATAATTTAACCAAAAGAAGAAGATTTGAGGTCGGTGGATCGGTGGCAAAATTAATTGAACACGTCATGAACTATATAATAATAAATCATCAAGGCTAGGATCGCATTTCATTAATTCCGACGGTCCAACTAAAAAATGTCATTCATCTATATCTATTTGGGATAACATTAAATTCGTTGTGGATTATGTTATTGGGATTGATTTGTTTCATGGGATGCAGGCAGCAATGGTTTGCTTTTCTTATAACGTGACTTCTAATTTCTTCTTTACAGTCATAAAGTTTTGTTTTCTCAATTTTCGACCACTCAAAGATTTTATTTATCTAGAAACAACACAAGGATGCAACTATTAGTTACGTGGAATGCTTATCCATAGTATTTCCTTTTTTTTAAAATTTTATTTTTGGTAAACGCGTAAAGTAGAGTTATAAGCCCGTGGTATTAATTAGGATAGGTTCAAGTTTTCTAGGATGGATTCATGTGTATGTGCAATACACACTCGTACTTTCTACGTAGCTATCATCAAAATGTACATATACATATAGACTTGATGTTAATTTGGTTTTTCATATTATATTTTCGGTTATCTTTTTAATCATATTGCTTAGATCTTTTTTTTCACTAGGATGGCTTGCCCATATGTTTTTTTTTTTTTACTTTTTCACAAATTGCTTGTCCATCATATATACCAATGCTTTTATAAAAATGTCCATCGGTTCATAAATAAGAGAACTTTCTTTTCAAGTTCAAAAAAAAAGGAAAAAAGAGGGGGAATATGTAAACAAAGAAAGGTAATAGGGGAATAAAGAAATTATTTTAAAATAAAGGGGGTTAAAGTTAATTTAAAAAGATGGACTCGGTTTTTTTGTTCTCCCAGATTCGCGGCACTACTGAGCTCTGAACTAAGAAGATTTGGTTATGATTGTTTTTTATAACTCAAAACGCACGGCCAAAATTCCCAAATAACATAATCGTCAAAGTTTCCTGAAAAATTCAGTGTAAATGAAATATAATTCCGTATAATATTTGCTAGCTTGAAAACTGATACAAATAGACAAATACGACTTCTTATTGAGGAGATTTTTTTTAAAAAACAAATAGTAAACGTCGTAGACGTAGTGGTGAAGCGTGACAAAGACAATTTCTTTCTTTTCATATAAAGATATTTTGTACGATACGAATAAAGTAAAGTATAGAGAAACTAAAAAAAAAAAGTATAGAGAAACTAAAATTTGTAAAAAAAAAAGGAGGGGGGGGGGGGGAGATGGTCCCGTGGGGTTTTTTCTCAAAGTAAAATACAAAAAAAAAAAAGAAATATAATCCATGCAGAACGATGAATTAAAATTTCGTTTGTGCGAATATTTTCAGTATTCAAATTTTTCCTCGTTTAACGTGAATATTCGAATTATTGGAGTTTTAACCATTTCAAAAAAAAAATCAAATATCCCGTCAACTATTTGTATCATACTATTAATTTATGTTAAATAAATACATTAGCGGTTATTATTTCAATGGCAAAGGTATTACCATTATTAGCATATTTAGTTTTTCAAAATAAATTTAGATTTTTATGAAAAAGACACAAAACATGAATGAAGAACTTGGGTTAAAAAGAAACCCTAAATTCTCTAAAAAAAATAAAAAGAAAGACAAAACAAGAATTTTTAAGAGAGAGAGGGCGATGGCGAGAGCGATAGCGGCGGCGGATCTAGGTTAAATAAAGGGTGACGATGGAGGTTGGTTTTCGGTGGATTTGGCCATTTATTCGGTTGATTTGTAGTATTTGTGGGGATCTTGTGGACAAAATAAGGGGAGATACGGAGTTTTCTTTTGTGAGATTACAAAGAGAATGGAGAGGTCTCGTTTATGGAAGGGAAATCGTGTGTCCTTTGGCTGCGGGGGAGAATATTGGATCTTTGATGGGGTTTTGGAAAGTAAGAAGATGCGAATCACGGAGGCTAGCATCTCAAGCTCGGCGGATTTGGATTAAGCATGGAAAGGGGATCCCGATTTGGTTTTCAATTTGGAAACTCCGAAATTCGAAGCGATTGCAAGTAATCGATATGTATCAATTCCAGATTGTTTGGGAAATATTGGAGATTCGATTTTTGGTTTCGGGGGGTGATTATATGGTCTATATAAGAAAGAAACAGGGAGTTATCTTTTCTTCATCCATCTCTCCTTTATTCTTCTACGTTTCTTTACATTGTTATTTTCTTCCTTCTCATTGCGGTGGTTCTTTGTTTTCGGTCTCAGTTTCGATGGCGCAAAGCAGTCTTGTGAAGGTTGGTATCCCAGCCAAGAAATCGGTGGAGGTGGTCACAAAGAGGAAGATCAAAATTCCGTTTTTTGACAATTCGGTTCTCATTCAAGGTTATTCCAAGACGGTAATTGGAAGGTGTATGAATCCTCGTAAGCAAGACTTGAAGACGCTTCTGTTCATGTTGCCTCGCATCTGGCAATTGGAAGGGAAGATCGCTGGTGCGGATCTTGGGTTGGGGAAGTTTCAGTTCGATTTCGATAATGAGGAGGACATTGAAGAGGTGCTCAAGATGGAACCATTCCATTTCGACCATTGGATGGTGGCTATGGTGCGGTGGAAGCCTTCGGTAGACCCACTCTACCCCTCGGCGATTACGTTTTGGATTCGGATTTTGGGAGTACCCTTGCAGTTTTGGGCGGATCCTACGTTTCGAAGTATCGGTGAGGATCTGGGGCGTGTACATGAGGTCGAAATTGATACGGGTCGTGTGCGGGTTACAGTTGATGGTTTTAAGCCGTTATGCTTCGAGTCGGTCCTGGAATTTGAGTCTGGGGAGGAGATCACGGTGAAGATCAGATATGAAAGATTATTTGGTTACTGTAGGCTGTGTTTCAGCATGTGTCATGATGAGGATTATTGTGACACAAGAGTCTCATTGACTTCTGGGAGAGGTCAATCCGACTCAGCAGATGACGGGGCAGCGAGGAGACAGCATAGTTATCGAGGGGCGGTGACTCATGAGAGACGTCGTGGTGCGGATTCAGAGGACAGACCGAGAGGCTCCTCACGGGGTTCGTCAAGAGGAAGAGACGGTTGAGATGCTCATAAGGGAGAGGACAAAAAACAATCCGCTGGGGCTGCCCATCATGGCTATCGTGGCAGATCCGGATACTATCAGGGTGAATCCTCCTATCGCCCTAGCAGGTACAATAAGCAAGAGAGAAAGGCTGTGTATGATGCAGAGACGCGGGAAGTGGTGATGATGGAGTCTCAGGAAGCGATTGTGAAGCCATCTCCGGCTAAGCAAGTTCGCAAAGGTCTCTTTCAGGAATTGGAGAATCCAAAGGTTGTGGAGGAGGTGGTTGCTGAAGATGTGGTGCAGCAGGGGGAGGTGATTATGGCGCCAGCTGTGAACGAAAGTGTGGATGCTGCAGAGAAAAGCTCAGTTGTGGGTGGTTCTGTGGGTGATGGGGTAGGTCTGGGATCAAATGATTTGACTCCTCCCTCTGAGGTAGGTGTGGTGGTGTATAATCTTGCTTTGGTAGGATTGGGAAGTGATGCAAAATCTGGTGGGGAACAGGATCATGATTCTATTATTGGTGTGGTTGAGACAGCAGAGGCGGAAGGCTGTGAGAGTGAGTTAATGGGGATGGTTGTGGCTGAAGGAGAAACTCTAGGTCAGCCTGGTGCTAGCGAGGTCACGGGCCAGGTGGAGGCAGATGCGATTATGGTTGAGAGTAGTGAGGATGTGGAAGTGGAAGTCCATGCTGAAGGGGTTCAGGACAAAGGACGAAAGGGAAAAGCTGTGGCAGTTGTGGGGGCAAGTTCTAAGAAGAGAATTGCAAATATGATTACCTCTCCACGTAAGAGAGCTGCGCCCAAGATGACAAAGCCGCCGGGTGAGGGTGCCTATCCGAAGACTCGGGACACGGATAAGGAGGGACATGGTGGGCCTAAACCACCTAAACCAGTTTTCTTTAAATGAAGGTTTTAAGCTGGAATTGCCAAGGGTTAGGGAATAAAGCAACAATCGGTTATCTTCGGGACCTATGGAGTAAACATAGGCCAGACTTTTTATTTCTTTCGGAAACTAAGCAATCTTTTCTTTTTTTAGAACAATTTCGATGTCATGTTGGTTATGATTATTTAATAACGGTGGATCCGATTGGTTGTAGTGGTGGCTTGGCTGTTTTTTATAATAATAATAATACTTTTTCCAATGTCTCGGTTATTTTTAAATCAAATCGTTTGATTGATATGGAAGCAGTTTATAAAGGAATGAAAATTTATCTGTCCTTTGTGTATGGTGATCCGGTTCCTAAAAATAGAGATTTGGTTTGGGAACGGTTAATGAGGATCGGTTTGACGAGAATGGCTCCTTGGTTTATTATTGGTGATTTCAATGAGATTTCCGGGAATCACGAGAAACGTGGAGGTAAGCTAAGGCATGCATCCTCCTTTCTTGCTTTCAACGGAATGATTAGGACTTGTGGTTTTATTGAATTTCCCCATATCGGTGACTGGTTATCCTGGAGAGGTTGGAGAGATAAAAAACCCATCAGATGTCGGTTAGATCGTGCACTAGGGAATGAAGATTGGCATGATATTTTCTCACATACGGTAACGGAATATTTAGCAATGATTGGGTCTGACCATAAACCACTCCTTTCCACTATGGTGAAGAAGGTAGGTTCCCGGAAAAAAGCGTTCATTTTTGATAAAAGATGGATCGGTAAGGAAGGGTTGAAGGAAGCAATTGAGGATGGATGGAAAAGGTCTGGATATCAGGAAAATTTAACTTTTATGGACAAAGTGGGTAATTGTAGGAATGCACTTTCACGATGGCGGAAATTACAAGTCCCTTTTGGTCGGGATTTAATCGAGGACTTAAAAAGTAAGCTTGCGGTCGCCCAGGGTGATGATGGGAGTGATCCAGAGTTAATTCATGACCTTTCAATGAGATTAAGGACGGCTTATCAAGAGGAGGAGGTTTATTGGCAACAAAAGAGTAGGAATCGCTGGATGAGGGTTGGAAATAGGAATTCTAAGTTCTTTCATGCTCAGACAAAGAATAGACGAGCTAGGAATAGAATTATTGGTTTATATAATAAAGATGATGTTTGGCATACAGAGGAGCGGGATTTATACCTTATAGCGTCGGACTATTTTTCGGATTTATTCAAGTCTTCTAATCCCCAGGAAATCGAGGACGCCCTAGGGAATTTATCTACGGTAATATCGGAAGACGTAAATACCCAGCTGACAAGACCAGTCACAGAAAAGGAGATTCGGGATGCATTATTTATGATGCATCCTGATAAAGTGCCAGGGCCGGATGGGATGACTGCTTTGTTTTTCCAACAGGCGTGGGAGGTAATTAAGAAAGACATGTTTGGGTTGGTGAATTCTTTTATGCAGGAGGGAATTTTTGATAGGCGTTTAAGTAAGACGAATATATGTTTAATACCTAAGGTGGAGAGGCCGACTCGTATGTCTGAGCTGCGTCCAATAAGTTTATGTAACGTTGGCTATAAGATCATTTCGAAAGTCTTATGTCAGCGGCTTAAAACGGTTGTTCCGAATATTATATCCGAGACGCAATCGGCATTTGTGGCAGGAAGATTGATCTCGGATAATATTCTGATTGCACAGGAAATGTTTCATGGTTTACGTACAAATGCGTCCTGCAAGACTACTTTTATGGCTATTAAAACGGATATGAGTAAGGCATATGATAGAGTGGAATGGGTTTTCATTGAGCGGTTATTAAGGAAACTTGGCTTTGCAGATAAGTGGATAACTTGGGTTATGTTTTGTGTGACTTCGGTGGAGTATAGTGTTCTTTTAAATGGCCAGCCTCACGGATCCATTAACCCGGAGAGAGGACTTCGACAGGGGGATCCTTTATCGCCATATTTATTTATTTTATGTACAGAGGTGTTAATCAGTAATATTCGGAAAGCTGAGCAGGAGAAATTAATTACGGGAATCAAAGTGGCAAATAAGTGCCCACCTATTTCCCACCTATTATTTGCGGATGATAGTTTATTTTTCTGTAAAACTACAAGGGAGCAATGTGAGACTATTTTGAGAATGTTGAAGAAATATGAGATGGCGTCCGGACAACAAATAAATTTTGCGAAGTCTTCCATCCAATTTGGTCATAAAGTGGAAGAGTCGATTCGACGGGAAATGCAGGGGATTATGGGGATTACTAATTTAGGAGGAATGGGGTCTTATTTAGGACTTCCGGAGAGTCTAGGAGGGGCCAAAACACGGGTGTTTTCTTTCGTCAGAGATAAACTAGACAATCATATAAATGGGTGGTCGACTAAATTGTTATCAAAGGGCGGTAAGGAAATAATGATTAAATCGGTCGCTTCTGCGTTACCAACTTATGTTATGTCATGCTTTAGGTTACCGAAATCGGTTACATCCAAACTCACAAGTGCGGTGGCAAAATATTGGTGGAGTACAAATGGTCATTCAGGGGGGATGCATTGGCGGGCCTGGGAGAGAATGTGCTCTAGTAAATCTTTAGGCGGGCTCGGGTTTAGGGATATCAATGATTTTAATACAGCACTCTTGGCGAAACAGTTATGGAGACTGATGGAGTATCCGGAGTCGCTATTTGCCAAGGTTTTTAAAAGTCGTTATTACAGGAATTCGGGTCCAATGGACCCCATAAGATCGTACTCTCCTTCTTATGGTTGGAGAAGTATTATCTCAGCTAGATCTCTGGTAAATCGAGGACTTATTAAACGGGTTGGAACGGGGGACACCATCGCAGTGTGGAGAGATCCTTGGATTCCAGCTCAATTCCCGAGACCAGCTATGTGTAATGGATCGTTTATGGATCCATCTCTACAATTACGTCATTTTATTGATTTTCATTCAGGATCATGGAGGATTGAGGCTCTTAAAGATGTTTTTGTGCCAAGCGATGTGGAGTTGATAAGTGCCCTACCTATAGGCCAAACGAAAACGGTAGATGCGGTCGGATGGCACTTCACAAAGTCTGGGAAGTATTCGGTTAAATCAGGGTATTATGTAGCCCGGATGCCTGACCCTAAATGCACAATCGCGCCAGTATATGGCCCTGATATCTTGAGGCTCCTAACAAGAATTTGGAAAGTTCGCTGTCCACCTAAGATACAACATTTTATGTGGCAGCTACTCACAGGCTGTATTTCAGTATCTGCAAATCTAAACAGGCGAGGGATACATTGTGATATTCTATGTAGTCGATGTGGTGCTCAGGAGGAGACGGTTAATCACGCAATTTTTGAATGTTCACCAGCTCGACAATCATGGGCGCTAGCCCAAGTACCAGTGGGCCCTACTCATTTTCCGACTACGTCTATTTATGCAAATATGGACTATCTTCAGGTTTTATCGAATTCGGATGCGCGTTTTGATTTCTACCCATGGTTATTGTGGTACATATGGAAAGCTAGAAATGGTAAAATGTTTGAGAATATAGATAAATGTCCGTTGGAGGTCACTAAACTAGCTAAAGTTGAAGCAATGGCTTGGAGTGAGGCTCAAGAGGAAGGACAAAGAGAGGTAGTGGAGGCTCAAGGTGCTGGCAGATGCATAACCGGAAGACCTACCATTTTTGCGCCTATCTCTTTTGGTTATAGATGTTTTATTGATGGTTCGTGGAAAGATACGGATAAGTTTACAGGTATAGGGTGGTTTTGTCAACAAGCTCATGATGGATCCAGGTTTTTGGGGGCCTCAAACCTCCGACGAAGCCTTTCTCCTCTTCACTCAGAAGTGGAGGCTTTGGTGTGGGCCATGAGATGTATGATTGGCCACGACTTCAGAGATGTTGTTTTCTTGACGGACTGTTCCGATTTGGTGAAGATGGTGTCTTCTCCTTCAGAGTGGCCGGCATTCTCTGTGTACCTGAACGATATCCAAGCTGATAGGGAAGAATTCTCAACTTTTTCTCTTTCTCTCATCCCAAGGAGTGCAAATGATGTTGCGGATAATCTGGCCCGGCGAGTACGAGTCTTACCGCATGCTGCTAAGTTTGTGAACAACTGTCCCCTTCATTGGCTTTCTTAAGTCAATCGTTATGTTTGTTGTCAAAAAAAAAAAAAAAAAAAAAAAACTTGGGTTAAAAAAAAAAAAAATCATTCACCTGGGATCATCAGATGGGTCCATATATGTCACATAATTAATTTCTGACAAAGATATTGGATCATTTTGAAAAAATTACTCAGTATTCAGAAAGAAACTTGGACAAAGAAAAATTAGATGCTCACTTACATTATATATTAAGAGAATTAGTCAGGAAGACACTGGAACAAAGAAGAAATTATTCAGAAATATAAAAAAATAGCATTATACTAAATCTTTAAACAACCAATAAGATGTTTTTGGAGAAAAGAAAACAACAAGTCAAGGTCAACTAAAGCTGTGGTCACTGACTGTGGCGCCCATTGTGTTTGGTTGTTTCCAAATGAGAGAGAGAAAGAGAGAGAGAGAGAGAGGTTTTACTCCAAACCAAAGACTTGTGTTGTGGTTTCCATCGTCTGCTCTGGCTTGACTTCCCTCACGCGCTCAATCTGGTTTGAAGTTTAAACATCAGGTGAACTTGGTTAGTTACTCAGAATACTCTAGTTATGGTTTGGTCTTATTCAACTCCTATCGCTTATGGTTTTTTAACTCTGGTATTCTATAACCCCAATATTTTATATTTCTGACTATTTTGATTGACTCAAAGAAAAATTTAATGTCTTGATAAAATAAATTCCTAACGAATTAATAATCATGTCTCTCTCTACTAGTGTGGAACGGTGGACATATATATAAAACTATTCAAGGATGCAAAACCACAGACTTGTTCAAAGATTGCTTTGGAGTGACTATATATGCATCTCCTAACGAGGATCTTAAATAAAAACAAATCACTAATAAGTAATACCCCACTCGTCATGTTGTGACATTTTATCTCCGTTATGAATTTTATATTCATATTGCCTACCCAATGAAATTTCTTTTCCATACGTACTTTTTGTCTTTCTCGTAAGAGTCCAAAATATATACATCATGCATCTTTTTGAAAAGTCCTACTTCTTTTGAGTTTGAATGTATCTCTCTAATAGATAGATATCTATCGAATGTTTAAATAAAACGCAGAGTCGACGCTTGATTTTTCTCCTTTTAAAATTATATATTACAACGAAGCTCTCTTTCCATACTCGCACCAAATCAAGGTCCAATCTCTGTCGACGAAGATAAGTCTATATACAAAGACCGAGAAGCATAACTCTGATGGATCAAGATTCAAGACTTATGATCTTGACTCTCAAGTGTTTAAATATGCGTACACGATTCATCGCAAGTGTTGACATAGATAGATTGTTATTGTTCTAAATATGTGTTGATCTTAAACTCTTTGATCTTGACTATGATTATTGATGAATACAAAAGATTTCAACAGCAAAAGATAGAACAAACGAAGTTTAAGTATTACATAAGCTTATTATATACTCAAAAGAAAAAAGAAAAGAATCTTCATGTCAGTCATGAAACATTCACAATATCGTAAATTAACCATGATTGGAATTTCATAGAATATTCAAAAGGACCTTGTCGACATCCATTGAAAGTTACTTGACTTTGTGATTGCTTTTGTCGATAAATGATAACAAGTATTATGGAAATTAAATAGAAAAGAGAGCTAAGCGTTGACGGACGAATCATGTTCATGCCGTGCCGAACGGCTGAAACTAATGGGCGCCATCGAAGCAATTGCTGGTGATCCATCTCAAAGTCCGTTGACTTTCTTTTACACCATTCTACCAATTGTTTATTTTAGAGAAACAAAAATCTAAAAATGACTTATAATATATAACCAAAAACAAACAAAAAAAAAGAATTAATTAGCTTGAACATTCGTTGCCTGATTGATTAGTTGTTGTCAGCAAACTATACTAAAAGTTTCACACACAAATCGATAATTGAATAATCAACCAACTAAACAACGTACTCTGACGACCTCTTAGCAAAGGATACTACAAGTCAACTTATTAAACGCGAGGGAGAAACAAGTAGAGAGATTGAAAAAAAACTTATAATTTCTTTTGTTTTAATAAATTTAACTCTGCTAATTTGGCCGTTTGAGATCCTGCATGAATGATTCATGTGTAGTGATCGATCATATGAAGTGCTAAACCTTTTTTTTGAGAATTTTTTAGAAATACATCTTTTGGTGTATCCCATTTTAAAAATATCTTTTTTATCTATTCATTTTCAAAAATATCCCTATTTAAATATTAAAAATAATAAAGTTTTATATAGTTTATAAGGTACTTCTATATAATAACTACTACTGGGAGATTCGGTATAAATATTTTAAAATGTTTTAATTAGTTTTAAATCGTTTTTATAAGTTTTATAAGGTTTTTATAAGGGTTTATACAGTTTTTATAAGGTTTTATAATTTATTTTTACGCTATTTATGAAAGGTATATAAAGTTTTATACACATATAAAGGTAATTTGTGTATATATTACAAGCTTACATCCATATTAGGATAAATTTCAATATTTTTATTGGTTTTTTTGATAAAGTTTAAAAAAGAGTATTTTTAAAAAGAGATATATGAAAAGAGGTAAAATAGGATTTAAGGTGTTTTTTATTTTGGTCCAAATTCCGCAAAGTTTCATATATCTAAATTGGAAAAAGGTAAATTACCCAAAGAAACAAAAAAGGGCTTAGGCCCAACCTGTACAAAGAGGCTAAACATCCTCCATGATATCAAGAAGCAAGATCTAGAAGTGTCAAGTGTGCTAAATAAATTATTCTTTCTAAGCTAAGATAGAAGATAAGTCATAAGTATGCACGTTAGAGAATACATTTAGTAGAGCTTATTAGTAGAAGACTATAGCTGTGGAAATAACCACACCTTTAAACGTGCAACGCTCGTAATTAAACACGTATCGTTAAGTCTTTAGAATTAGCAGATGATAAAAGTTAGTGCTTTATGAGACTTTCTAATTCTAAAAGCATGAACTAGATTATGATATCAAGTCATGGATGGGAACATATAAGAAAATGAAAAAAGAAAAGAAAAGAGAAGTGGGTTGAAGCTTGACGTAAAAACGAAAGAGGTTTGAATCTTTATCGTTCCTCTCAAGTTATAAAGCGGTCCTTGGCCAAATAAATGTAAGCCAATGCTTTTTTCAGCTGTCCACCCAACGCACATGCCCCCCAATTCTTTACTCCAACACCACCACCATCTTGGAGGTTAAAATCTTATAAGGTTTTTATAAGAAATCTAGTTTGAATATTACTTGTGAACTGAGTAACTGTAGACCTACCTTTTTTTGATCCCATCACTCTCACATACCTCTCATGTCTCTCCATACATCTTAGTTGTGGTATAAGAGAGGGAGAGAGAGACCATTCATATATATCTTAATGCTTTTTGTTCGGTTCCATACGTAACCCATATGTGCTTTTCCTTTTTATATACTTACTTCCAAACACTCCCCTTTTGATAATGCTAATCCCAAAACTTAGTTTCATTGTTCCCTAAACATATCCCTATTTTGAATCTAAAGTTGCGTGACTAATTAAAATTGTCCAAAACTTTACAGACAAAAAGGGTCGAGTTACAGAATGTTTGGGTTTTGATCAATATTAACTTTGTATAGAATTGAGTTTACTTCTCTTTTTAAATTTGATTGAAAAGAACAACAACTTCCAAAGTAGTGATACTTAATAGGATTCTTTCAGAAACATTGACAAATCCTATATGACCAACCACTGCAGTTTCAAAGAAGAATCTGTATTATCACTTATCATCATCTTTTGTAAGTAAAAGCTGTACTGTTTAAGTTAAATTTTGGAGATCACATGGAACTGCGATTTAGAGACAATAAACACTTTCTGTAAATATACACTCAAAACATTCACAAGTAAAAAAAAAAAAAAAAAAAGTTTTTCTTTTAGGAATGCCAAATACCACCAAGTATGTTGTGGAATCTGTTCCTAGATAGCTTCTTCACAAGTTTCTTAGCATCTGTATCTTCTCTTTCTGCTAGTTTCTCTATGAGTTTCATGTACCCAGAAGCCGAAATCTTTCTTCTCGCACTGTTGCAGCTCGTTAACGACATTAATATCAAAATCAAGAACTTCGTGTTACCCAAATCACTTCTCTCATTCCCCCTCTCTTCTTGATCTAGCAACTGAAGAATGTAGCTGATGTTACAGTCTTCCTGCAAGAACTTCTTCCTGTTCTTTGGTACTGAGAACAAGCAATAGAGTGCATCGCTTGCCATTTCCCGGACATATAAAGATTTTGCATCGAGGAACCTAACTAGCTCGGGTATAAAACCCGCATTGCCCATTATCCTCTTAACCTCCGCTGGCAAACTACATAGCTTGGATGTAACCTTTAACGCGGATTCTTGAACAGAAGTCTCGCCGTTTCTCAGCAAATACAGCAAATGATCTAAGAAACGGCTACCACTCAACAATGCATTCAAGTAACTTACTGACCCAAAACACAAGTTATGAATTGCCCTCAATGCCATTTCTTTAGATTTCGAAGATGACAATGAATTGGGGTCTGATACAAGCACAAGCTCTTGGATTCCTCCTTCTCTAACCAAGATCTCACGGCTTTCTTCATCAGTAGAACACATAGTTGACAAAAGATCAATAGAGTTTACCTGAACAATCTCATCTTTAGATCCTATAAGCTTGATGAAAGTAGAAACCATGTCTTCCTCAATCATATACCTCTTGATCTCTTCAACGCCAACTAGATTTCTCAACACTCCACACGAGCTAGCGATCAACTCGCCACCAAACTCACCGCAAGAACAAATCTTCAACAGAGCAGCCACTCCTCCATGAGCAGAGACAGACCAAGCATTCTCTGAATTCTCAGTTAAGTTCATCAAACACCTTGCAGACGCTTCTCTACCAACAACGTTACCGTTTTCAAGAACCCTAACCAGAGGACCAACCACACAAGATCTGATCAAAAGAGGTTTATAGGAACCAAACCCAGAGATAAAAAACAAAGCTTTCGAAGCTTCCTCTTGAATCCCCATCTCAGAATCCAAAAACTCAATCAAAACACAAACCATCTCGCTTATTTCCATAACGATCTTCATATATCTATCATCTTCAACCATAGATTCATTCAACCTAATCAAAGCTTGCTTCTTCATCTCCACATCCCCAATCTTCATCCTTGTCAACAAATCCCTAATGTAAAACCTCATATCATCTCTACAGGCTTTACCGCTAGGCTTCGAGACAACGATCGCGAACCCATGACTGAGAATCCCAGCAGAGTAAATCAAAGAAAGGTCCTTCACATGGCGTTCGAATTTCCCAGACATGAAATCCAAATCGCTCTGCATCAGGAGCTTCCCAGTGAACGATACATCCAAGCATCGCGACGCGAGACCGTGGCACTCTTCGAGAGAACCTAGAATGGCGTTAATCAGGGCGGAGAGAGATGGGTCGAAGTCGGAATTGAGATTCTCGAGGGAGGTGATCCCAGAGTAGAGGTCTTCGAGCTTGTTTCGTATCAATTGCCATTTCACGGCGAAGGATTTGATAGAGTGAGAGAGTGAGATTAAAGAAGATATCGATTCGATTGCTCTCTTGATGCTGACTCTTGTTGATTCCTCCACTGAATCTTCTCCCATTTTAGGTGGAGGGTTAAGGTTATTTCTCAGTGGTTTTGAATTGAAGTGAACCCATCAAAGAATCTCTCTTTTGGAAACTAATGGAAGAGGAAAGTTTTAATTGTTCATCTTCTGGTGTGAGTGAGGAGTAACGGGAGAAAAAAAAGAGAGAATTTATGGAGTTGCCTTCTTGAAACAGCGACAAGTCGACGAAGATGGAGGTAAGGGTACGATGGACACTTCATCTACTTCCTGCGTTTGGAACTAATTCGGATATGTTTGAAAATCATATTTGTTTAATAACTGTGATTAGCAATCTCCTCCATTATGTGATCTTTGGAAGATGAAGAATAATCTATAGAATACATTATACATATACTTTAGTTTAAAGAAGTTCAAATCCCAAGGTTTCTTAAGAAAGTAAAGAAGTTCAAAATTTAAGAAACCTTGAAAAATGTATATATAGATGAAAAAAAACTAATGATTTATATTTTTGAAAACGTACATAATTTTTTTTTTACAATGTTATGATTTTAAGGAATATTCCAAGTATATATAATATATTTGATTTGGAACAATAAATAAGTTTATTTTCGATTTTGTATATAGAGATTTAGGAGGGAAATCTTTATCATCATAACATTATGTTCTCGTAAGTTTATGCATGTGTAACCACAACTATTTTGTTTAAATCAATCAAACTCTATATTATTATGATAAAAATATTTTTTATAATAAATTAGCAAAGTCATCATAGTATAACCACTATTAATATGAAAATTTTAAAATGCAAATATTGTCCAAATCCTAGTAAATATTTAAAACATTAGTTCTTCAAAATCTGTGGACTCTCTGGAGGAATTGGGATCAAACTGGGAACATAGGTACAATGTTCAAGGAAATGTTTAGCATCAACGTCCATTTGAATCTTCGTTAATGCATTGCCCCTTACAATATACATGCAAAGCTTTTCATTTTCATCCTTACAACACATGACGAGATTCTTTTTGTTGTTAACATTATCAATAAAGAAACTTGGAGAAACGATCCTACTAATAGGTATCGAAACTGTCATGAACTTTACCCATGCTACATGCTCCACTACATCGTCATTCTTAATCTTGTTTTTTGTCACCCAGACCTCAATATTATTTTCTGTTCCAATCAAATTTTTTAACAGTGAAAGCCGATCTTTCCTAAAAGTTGAGAGTACTGGAAAAAAAGAGTTTGTCATATCCCACGGTAGAACGCAAAAAACTTTGTATATCTCTTTCGAAAAATCAAAACTTTGGATCAAGTACTCATCGGTCTCTTGATCACGATCAGTCCAATACAAATTTCCATTCAAAGACACATTAGTTCTTCTGCGGATCTGTATCCCCGGACAAACATTTGTAGACTTCCACTCATTAGTTTCTAACATGTAGATATCAATTGTTTTAGAATAACCAACGATAGTGTAACCCTTTTCAGGTCTACCACTATCGTATCCCATGCCACGAAACCAGAAATCTTCGTAATTAGACTCGATCCATCTAGTTTGTCTTAACCACGGGTTCCAAACCGCAGCTTTATTTTTATAATGTAACCAGTCACAAAATAATAAGCCATCACAAGGAAGAAAATTTGTACACTTGTTATTATGAGAAGAAGGAATATCTAAGGGTAACTCATGCATCCCTATTTTTGGATCATTGCTGAGATTGACGCTTATCGAATACATCTTGGATTCGGTCCATACGAGAAATTGAGGACGAACACGAACTGAGTTGTTGTTGATGAACGACTTACTTTCGAAAAGTGTGTTCCATTGTTTGCAAACGATTTTGAATCGAATTAGAGACAGAGGCGGAAGACAATAGAGTACTTCTTCTACCAATTCGCACGGAAGCTCTACATACATCATTTTGGTCTTTGCTGTAATCCATGAAGCTAACAACACATAATATGCAATATATAAGTTATAAAGAGAATGATTAAGAAAGAGACTTTTTATTAAATAATATAATTAATCTAAAATCATAATATGAACTTACTTAGATTACCTTTTCGAGGATAAGGCATAATATATATGTTATATCTTTATAAAATGGTAGTAGTTGTTAATGTAACATTGAAATAATCTAGTTAGTTTAAATGATTTTACATATAGATATACAGATATCCTATTAAATTAACTAAAGAAAAAAATTCTTAATTACAATAATCTAAGGTTATGTTTTAACTAAATTAAGATTCTAGCTTAAATTTAAAGATATATTTTACTCTATATTAGCTCCATGTCATATATAGATCTAATAATTTACGCTTGGGCTCAGCTAACATAGGCGCAAAAGGCAATATTTGCTTAGATGGGCCATATCCACCATCCCCAGGCCCAGCAGCGTCCAAATGCCTTAGTTTCCTCGCCCTTCTCTCACCTCCTGACTAGTCTATAAATAGCAAATAGATTATCATCATTGCATATCAAAAATTAGAACAAAGTTCAGAGCTTTCTTCACATTTCTTCATTTCTCTATAAGCATCAATCAAAGAGATCTTAATTTCGAGAATGAGTGGGTCTGGATCCTCGGCTTCAAGTGATGGTACCTTTTTCTTTATCAAATTTTTTTGCTTCTCCCCTTCTCACTCTATTAACCAGTAACAAATCTTTGTTTCATTAATTTATCTTGTTCGTTTTACTTAATAACAACAGGAAACTACGAACTGAAGATAACAGAAACATACGGTGGAGGTAAGGGACCAGTCCGTTGGAGTTTCACGGAGGATTCGTGCATTGCGAGGGTAGATGTTCCAGGTTGTCCTGATGTTCCTGTACCCAGCAACTTTCGATTCGAAGAAACCTACGTTGGATTTCAGATGAAGGAAGTAGCCATGGACCCGAACGTCCGCACAGTACGCGAATACGTCGGCTGCGTCAGGTTTGACTCAACGATTTACAATGTGATGGAAGCTAAAATTAAGATTGCCAATGGCGTGTTCAGGGTCACTGCTCCTAAGAAGATTAATTAATCAAGATTCAAGAAGATGAGGAAATGCTGCTGCTTAACTACGTCGTATTAAAAACTATAATGTTATAATAAAATATGTGTTGGACCATGTATGGTCGATACTCTATTTCATGGTTCTTTGTGTTAAACTCTGCTGCTTGTTTTATTATATAAAAATTAATATAAAAAAGTTACATTAACAGTAAAGAAAGTCCAAGAAATTAATATCCACCGTATATCAATTCATTGCTAATTTCTCTCAGCGTCGATCGTCTCTAAAAATGCTTTTAAGTTGTGGAACTTAGACCATAAAAAAAAAAAAACACTTACGTATGTACGTTACGTTTCAAAGTACATTCTATTTTTGGAAGGGCTGAGTATTGAGTAACTGGAAGCAATTTCTAAAGGTTTTACCAATTTTTACATAAAGAATCTTTTGACAAATACTTTAATAATGGGTTTTGACTATAAAAATACTTTAGTTTCTAAACGCTACCTAATACCATTTACAATGGATGTTGAGTCGTAGTACCTTCTATTTTTGGAAGGGCTGAGTATTGAATAAGTGGGAGCAATTTCTAAAGGTTTTACCATTTTTTTCAGAAAGAATCTTTTGACAAATACTTTAATAATGGGTTTTGACTATAGAAATACTTTAATTTTTAAACGCTACCTATTACCATTTACAATGGGATGAATAAACAGTGGAGTAGTGCAATGACATGTTGATTTTTTGTTAAAGCTGATATGGAACTAAATATGTTGAAAAACATGTTAAAGGGGTGAAGATGGAGCCCAATAAAGCCACATGTCATTTATTGATTAGATTTATAAAATAGTTCGGAATAAATTATAGAATTTCTTTTTTTAATCTATGAGAATTTAAATACTTTCACCCAAATTATTGAGATCAATTATTTCATAGTAAATTGTTATATTTTATTTATTTTATATATTACAATTCATAGTTTTCATACTCTATAAATATAAATTTGTTTCATTTGATTTGAACACATAAAAAATTGTATTTTCTTGTTTGTGAATTGAGTATATTGGACTAATTAATTAGATTAGTTATGTGTGTTTTATTATTTGTGTTGTGTGGTTCATGAACATTATTAATATCACACTAATACACTCCCACGCGTTGCTTCCAAACTTGTAGATAGACATGATTTTTTTTTTTTTTTTTGTAAAACATAGATTTTTTCTAAATTATTACTTCGTCGACTATGACTATATCCAAATTACTTATGATAACCCTCTTCGGGTTTATCACCATTGTATCGTATGCCACCAAACTTGAAATTTCATAAATCTAAGTATAAATAAAGCAAAGTAAGCGATTGAAATCGACGTTTAGGCAGTTGAGAAGGGAAATAGTCACTATATATGTATTTATACATATTGACGTAGAAAAATAAATAAATAAATACTATATACAAAACCTTTTTTTTTTGCTGTTGTTAAAAACCTTTTACGTTCCTTACAGATTCCTTAATTTTCACGGAAAAAATTAGTACCGATCTCATGATTCACAATAATATATTATTTTCTTGAAAAAGATGATGCACGATAATATTGCAGCAACCTAGTTTGTGAATTGATCTCTTACAAATGAATAAATCGTTAATGATTGAATAATACTATTGTTAGATCCTAAGATTTAATCCTCAACTTAATGCAAATTATTGGATATTATGATGAGACTAGGATCAATATTCAATAGAATGATAACGAACGGAAAGTACTAGATATATAAATGAAACGTTCGTGTTATATAAGATGTGCACACTAAACGTTCGAAAAAGGGAACATATCGCCAAGTTAATGTGAAAAGTTTTACGAAAACAAAGGTGCTTTTTATAAGTCATTTTTAATAATTTAAACTTGATTAAGACGTTTCATCAAATTTTATTCGATTTAGGGGGTGTTATTGGTTTGTGAGTTATATGGAATTTTAATGACTTTATATGTTAGGTAGAATCTGTTGTTATTCAATCAAGATTTTACAAAACTCTTTTAAAGTTTGGTGTTATTAGTTATTGATTTGTAAAGAGTCATTCAAAATCTTCATAAAAATGGGGTTATTGGATACAGAGTTTTACAAAGTCATTAAAAGTTATGTGTTATTCAATTAAAACAAAAGAATCTCTGATTGTTAATAAATTAAAATTTTATGTTATTGGTTTATGATTTTAAACACTTTTCTTTACAAAATAAAGTCATGAAAAGTATCTTAGAAATACAAAGATTGTTTGAGAGATTGTACAAGACTTTAAAAAAACTAATCAACAAGATTATATAAAACTCTCAAACAATCCTTTAAAATCATGTAATCTATAATTTTAGTAGAGTCATTTAAATTCTTTATAAGTTAGAATCCAATAACACCCCATTAATCGTCTTAGGTTATACATGGCAATGAGTAGCGAGTATCGACTGTTGTTGGACTTTACACAGATTCAAACTCGATACCATTTTTTATTTATTTATGATGTATGAAATTATTGTTGTGATTTAATTAGTTCCCATAAAACAATCGTCGTCGTATAACTCTAGACTTGTGTTATTGGTGGCAATTTAAAAAGTGCTTTATGAACTAAACAGCTTAAGGATTATTCCCTCTCCTTAACTAAGTTAATCAACGTTGAACTTTTCATTAATGATTGTGACTTATCTAGATTCTTTACCATTAAACAATGCTAACATATATTTCTGACCTACACACGAATCACAATAATTGAGTTTGTTCATTTGTTATTGCCTTCTTTTGTCTCCATCTCGATTATTTTTATGTTAACTCATCTCAATCTTAATCTCAATCTCAGTCTCAATGACTCAAACCAAATGTTGTTGTTGCTCAAAATGAGTCAAAGGATGGGCTACTTGTGTATGGGCCTTGTTTTTGACAACCATATGTATTGTCTCAATTTATCCAGCTAGAAAAGAGAAGTACATATGAGTTCTTTTCAAAACGATCTTCTATTTTTACAATTACAGATGACCTGATTCATAACCGTTTTTAACGAAAAGAAAGACAAAGATTTGAAATCAGCTGATCTCTTGTTTATTTTTCTCTTTGCAAAACCAAGAAAGTAATCAATTATATCTCTGTATTTACATAGAAGGGCCAAAAGCTTGCCATTTCAAAGGCCTTTATCATCCCACTTTCTATCTAACAAACAATTTACACAGAGACCCTATAACCCCTAGAAGAAAACTGAAGAATTGATATCAAAAGAGACCGGTTCTTCAACAAATGCTCTTGAAGAGACCGGATTGTGTTGATGGGCGTCTCCTCTCCAATCTTCTTTATACGATTCCAGCAACAATGAGATGGGCCGGGCAAAAGACTTTGATATATTCCCAAACCCAAGTTACCATATTCATTTGAAAAGAGCCACTGAGATTTTAGAAACATTCTTGGAGCAGATTAACCTCGAAAAGCCGTACTTTTTCAGCAATGGAGCTTTGATTTTATCTCTCGAGCCGATCACTGCATCAATCCCACTTCGAGAAAACAGAGTTTTTCTTGGTGTAGTATATTCAAAATGCCATTTCTTAGCTATCAATGTCTGTGAGAGAGGTAACAAATGTTTTTTATTGAATAAATATCATTAAGATTTCAATCAAATCTAAACTAAAATTATGAATGATAGCATTTACTTACAGCTTCTCGTATAGTCTTTGACACATTAAACAATTGCTTTAAGTCTTCATGCTCCACTCCACATATAATCTTCACCTGCAAAATAAACCAATGACTAACTAACTTCAAGTCCAAACAAGACGCACAAAAACGTGAACAGATTATATCTAAAATCGAGTTTTAAGGAGAAGAACGAACCAAAATATCTTGAGGCAGAGATTCGAGATTTGGACTAGTTTTAACCAATGTTTCTTCATGGTTTTGAGTTGAATCCCAAAGAATCTTGCAGCCTGAAATCAATAACCTCTTCCTCCCTAATCCTCTCTTATTGTACTTGACAAACTCTAACCCTAACCCTAATCCTCCCTCAGTAGTAGTACCAACTACATTTCCATTTGAGTTTGATGATAATGATTTCACGGCACCTAAACCTAGTTTCTTCTTCCCCAATGCCATACCTCCCAAATAACGAAAACCCCACGATTCCTGCATCATCAAAAAAAAATGTAACAAAAATAATATCTTAAAAATATATGAAACCAAGATTCATGAGTGAGCCCCAGAAATAGTGGTGGGGAGCAAAGAGAGAAAACAGTGGGGTGTTGGAAGACGAAACAAAAAAAAAAAACATACCAAGAAAATATAGGAGGAACAAGAACATGTACACCTTTGATCAAACAAAACTAACCGTTTCCAAAGATTTTTAGGAGAAAATATCCTAAATTTCTGTTTGATTTATAGTTGTTATCTTCTCAAAGATCTTATAAGATTCTTTTTTTTCAAACGAGAGAAAGCAAAGTGAACAACTTATATTTTCAGAAAAAAATGAACAATTTATATAGTTGAGATATTTATTTTCTTGATTATTTAAGCTAATTTAGTTTCTTTTTTCTTTAATTTGAAACCAAAAAACATACTTTCTCTTTTTTTTTATATAATTAATTTGTGTAGGTGGTTAAAAATACGACCGCTTAATACATACACAAATGACTAGCCGTTTAAAGTGACGACGTGGAGAAATATGCTAAGTGATTATATCGTACGTGTTGGATAATGCTTTTAGTGTTTAGATTTTTAAATCAAGATTAAGAAAATTTTGTTGCTTGCTTATATGGTTCTCTTCTTCCTCGGATTCCATGAATTTAGTAAAGAGCAAAACAGCTCTGACACTGTTTTATCTACTTCCCCCGAACCCACGTGTGCGTGTTTTATACTCTTTTTTTTCTTTTCATTATCTGTGTTGCGTAATTATAAATAGTACTCTATCATAACTATTAATTAACCGACCGAAGATGATATTGTTTTCGGAAAATGTTTAATTCATTTTTTTACTAGTGTTTTAAAAGAGGCTTTCTAGAAAAAGATGTTGAAAGTTTGGTGAACACAGCACGTGCGGCTGCCTCACAAATCTGAGAGAAATAATTACATCGAAATAGAATGGCCATTACTGCTTTTCATACACTTGTTCGTCATATTTAACACTTGAAACTTGATGAATGTAAATAACACACTGGACTAGTTGTAAGTTGTAACTAATCCGACAGAGGATATTTGATTATTTACTTCTTTTATAGTTTTGGTGGTAGAAGAGAAGAGATAGTCAAACAAATTTGTGACTTAGTTTCCTAATTGAGTTATTTCCGGCTAGAAAGAAGATTGTCTCTGTTTATCCGGAGCAATGTCATCAGTCTTTACAATATTGGTTTGGGACATAAAGCTAAGCTATACGAAAGCATATATTAAAGAAGTACGTACTTGTATGATGACTGACCAAAACCCCCGCCATTCCAACAAAGCATCTTTCACCTTTAAACATGAACAAAAAAGAGACAAAGCATCATTCAGTTGCCAAGACAACCAAAAAAAAAAAAAAAAAAAAAAAAAAAAAACTATAGTGATTGAGAATATTTCTTTCACTTCACCTTCTTCTTCTCTCTTTTTGTATCCTTTTAAGATGTTTCCATTGAAACAATAAATAAAGTAAGCTGAGGTAGTATAATTAATGGGTCATGTTCAATTAACTAAGAATGTCGCACGGGTAAGATGCTATTATTAGATCCCATTCTATGTTGCCTAAACTTTTTGATAAGTCCACCGTAAATTACTTTAGGGATAACACATCAGCTCTAGTTAACTAGATGATTTTACGTACATTAGTAAAATACAATTTCAACTTTCAAGTTACTAATGAATTAGCTGATCTTTTGTTTTTTTTTTCTTAAGGTCGTTTTTTCCAAAAGTGTTAGTATATGGCCGCGTTCCATGTTGCCGTGAGGCGTGAGCTACATAGGTCCTAACGATATATATGGTGTTGAGATATATATACACATTAATTTACCTCTTTTTACAATGCATATATATATGCTTCACTCTAACATTTTATCAGCATCAATGATTCACAACATTCTCACATTATAAACACTAATGATGGAGTGACGATAGACCCAAAAATAAGGATGTCAAAAGATTTACAATAGTAATAACGAACCGGTGTTTCAGAAATCTCTACAATCCATGGTTTCACCGTAATCTAACTATCCCATTCCATATTGAAAAAGAAAATAACAAAGAGGAAGAAAAAGACAAAAGCGAAGAGATGGTTTTGAGATTCAAGTTTAAATCTCTAGCATATTCACTTCTTCAACATGAGCATAATGTGAGGTAGAAGGGGAATGAGAAGGAGGGCAAAGATGACGATAAAGAGGATGATGGCGTAACAAGTCCATTTTCTCGAGCTCTTTTGGTACTCTCTTGCGTCTTGGAGCTGATCAGTTCCTCTTCTCACAAAGGAGCTCGCTTTTGCCACATGGCTCTCTATGTTGTTCAGTTGTTGCCCTTGCGCTTCCACGAGAGCCGCCATGTCCAAGAAAACTTGATGCAGTTCCAAAAGATTCTTTTCTATCTCCTTCACCGCATCATGTCTCTCTTGGATTTCAGATATTGTGTCTAGGATCTGACCTCTTCCTTGCTCTTGAATCGCTTTCTGGAGAAAATTCTCGCTCTCACCGCTTGCAATCAAGTTATCAACTGTTTGCTCGTCCGCTTTCTCTCCAGTTATCGTGAAATACCTGCACCAATTCCAACAAAGTCACATATCTTGCAAACCAAGAAAACAAACAAGATAAGAAACCTAGGGGAAAGACAAGACCTGCGCTCTACAGTTTCCTTATACTCAGCGTTCATACGAGCACGTAGACCTTGGAAACTATCCATCAAGTCCTTAAGCTTTTTCCCAAGACCACTAACCACAGACGATCGAGTTCTATCCGTAGACGAACCGGGGCCACAACCAGGGACATTACGGCTATTAGCGTTCGATTTCTCTAAGGCTTCGAGCTTTTTCTTAATGATTTTGACCCTTTTAAGGACCATAGCTACGTCTCCATCCATCTTAGCTCGTAACTCCTTCACCTTCTTGGCATTGTGCACCGTCTTGCACTCTTCGTTCTCGTCTTGAAGTTTCTTGTAAAGAGTCTCGACTCCTTTCATTTCATCCTTCACATTCTCGACGTCCTCGAAGAACTTATCGAGATTCATCGTTTCTTGACCTGCCTCAACATCCCCTAGTTGAGCCTGGTTTCTCTTGAATGAATTAGAGAATAAATCGTTCATTTTCGTTTTTTTTTTTCTCTAGCGTAAGAAATATATATACAAAATATATATTTTTTTTTTTGTTGGTTTTTTTTTTTCTTCTTTCAAAAGCAATTGTTATTGATGATGAACATCACCATCATCCTCTGTATGAGTACGAGGAAGATGCTAAGGAATTTTTTATTATTTTTGTTTATTCTGAGTGAAAAAGATTAAACTTTAGTTTTGTTGGAAGGTTTATTTTGTTTTGTTAGAATGAGAGACACAAACCACTTTTGGTAATTGTCTTAAATTAGTCAATGGCATAACTTCTTCTTAACCAAATTAGCTCACTTTGGTCAAAGTCGTTATCACCCTTCTATTGGGCCAAACCTAAAGCCCAATTAAAAGTCCAATTTTGCGTTCTTGCTTCTTCTTCTTCTTCTTCCTTCGACTTGTTTTGATTAAACCTCACAAACCCTAATTTTTGACCTGAATCGTTTCGTCTCCGACCGGAGAAAGCATCTGGCAAGGTAGGCATGGACGATGAAGAGACGGGTTCACTGGCTCCGCCGACAAGAGCTAGGCACATTGGGAAGAGAGCTCTCAGGAACAAAAGCCTCACCGTCTCTTTTGACGAGAAAGATCTCAAGTAATATAAAAATTCCAAATTTACTGTTTTTTAATCTTCCTAATCGGATTCAGATTCACATACATAATCTGGGTATCTTCAGTAGCTGTTTGTTCTTTAAATTAGTTAATCCTCTGCTATCTATTGGTTTTTTTTTGGTAGTGATTTTGTGACTGGTTTTCACAAGAGGAAGAAGAAGAGAAGAAAGGAAGCTCAGAAGCAGCAGGAGGAAGCTTTTAGGCGGAAACGAATCGAGGCTCGTAAGAAGGTGAGCATGAAACTGCTTCTTCACTCTGATGTGTGTCATTTTATCCAACAGTATATATGCGTTATAGTTTAGTCTTAGATTCCTGGTTTAGCTATGATTTGTGGAGAGCTTAAAGTCACTATCTTTTTCGTAAATGGTTGTGTTATGAACTTGTTCTGATTTGTTCTACTAGAAATTTGAGTTTTTCTTATGTTCTGATTGCAAATATTAATCCAAAGTTCAACCTCTTATAACGGAATGCTCGTACTATTCTTAGATAGTTATATGATGCATGAATCGTTGATGGTAGATGTCAGGAGATTGGTAATGTTCAATCCTTTGATTATTCGCCCGAGCTCTCTTCTCTTTTTTCGTATTGTTCTGAATCTTGTATCTGAGCTTTGCAGAGGAAATTGGAAGAGCTAATGGTTGCGGGTCATGACGAGGATAATGAAAATGGGGAAGCTGATGAGGAAGATGATGCAGACGATGTAGAAGATGAAGAATCAGAGCCTAATGCTTCAACTTCTGGTAATATAATTTTATTAGTTTTGAATACGAAGATATTTCACATTTTGTCTGTGACAGAGAGTTTTCTACACGATGATGGATAGTTTGTAGCCATAGCGTGAAAGCTGATCGAGTGAAATCAACAATTGCGACATATGCAGTATTGAGTGTTTTCATCTATTGAACGCTTTTGCCTTAGCATGATTTTGCTTTATCTGGCCTTGTTGTGATATTTGTTGTGTTTCTTTGTGGGTGAAAGGCACGAAGATGTATGATACAGGCGAGCTGAAAGTAACTGTGATAACAAGTGAGATATCTTGTGAAGAGGAAGAACCAATTCGCAAGGCCAAGACGCAATCAACAGAACCTGGCTCCACGGCCAAAGCCTCTGCAAAGCAGCCTGTGCCTGTGAGAAAAACCAAACCCATGAAACAGAGCAGGAAACGGTCAAGCACCAAAACTATGAAGAAAAGGGATAAGAAGAAACAAGCAAGAGGGATTAAGACTTCGCGGTAGCAACATAGATATCTGTTGTCGTGGTGCCTTTGGAGCTCCTGATGGTTTGGATTCTCAAGCGTTTGAATCGTTTTTTTTTTTTTCCGGTGGTTGAAATTGTGGGTAGCAATCGTATAATGTGTTTGAATCTTGTAGTAGTATACAATCACATTTTTCTTAATCAAATTTGTAATGTTTAAAGTCTTATTAGTAACAATCTTTGCCGTTCTTATTAACTGCTTCAACTCTCAATTTGGTTTTATTGAAGGTTAATCACTGTGTTGGAGGCTAGCCGCTTTTTATGGGATAGTTATACAATTTCAAGGATAGAGTAGTTCGAAATGATTAAATATATCATATTACATTTTACACATTTTCAGTAACAACACACATACGTCAATTTTATCATGCCGGTTAAGTAAATGAAACTGTGGGAACATAATTTGTATAGGCTACATAAACCTTAATGGTAAGTATAACAACAACAGATACATTTGCATATCTTTCTAATTTAAAACGACCCTTTGAGTCTTTTAATTTGTGTCGACTGAAAGTGAAAGATTTGTTGAGACTGAACGTTAAAAATACGTGGTTTGGTGGTCACAACTCACAACTTTGGAAACATTTGAATCAAAAAAAGCCATTAGGTCGACTAAGAAAATTTAGTAAATTAGTAACAATGTTACATTTGTTTTCTATTATTAGAAAGTATTATTGACTGCAGACACGTGGCCATAAAAAAAAAAAAAAAAAAAGACCACTTCTTTTGTCAACCGTCCATCTTCAAATTCTTAGATCCAACAGTGTAGGTTAAGCTTAGAGAGAGCCTAAAAGCTTCATCATATATATACAAAATCAATAGTGGAGAGATCCAAAGCGAAACCACGAATCGGAAAGTAAAAATGGTGTCGTCGATGATATCAATCAAGGCGGCACTAATCTCCACCGGAATAGCCGCCTTGTCTCTGTTTCTAAAGTACTCTGTTCCCATCGGAGTCGATTTCTCCGTGTCGCGATTCCCGATAATCTGGAGTTCATTTCTCTCGTGGCTGAAACCGCCGTACCTATTCGTCGTGGCCAACGTCATTATCGCCATCATCGTAGCTTTTTCCAAGTATCACCAGAGCATCGAAGACCAGGAGGAAAGTGAAGACGACGACAACGAGATTTTACAATGTGGCGAATACAAGTCACGGGTTGAGCCAATCGTCGTCACCCAAGCTCCTCTAGAGATGAAGGATGTGAATCTGGATACGAATTCTGATTTCGCGGCGGAGGTTGTGTACGAAGAGGAGATCTCATCAGGACTAATCAACGGTGAAGATGAGCTGAAATCGGAGTTGAATCATGTGCCCTCTACGATTGAAGAGTCAGAGAATCTCACTCCGGCTGAAGCTAGATCCGGTCACCGCAAACCGGTGAAAACGATTTCAAAAGGTACGGGACAAAGATGACGTCATTCACTCTAACGGTCCGATTTGTTTTTTGAATTTTCACACTATGTCAACAATGTAGGGGTAAAGTAGTAATTTAAGAAGCTAAAATAATTACTACTGTATTTACTTTTTGCAGGCGGTAATAATAAAAAGAAGGCGTTGAGAGTGGTGAAACCGAAGCGGCACGAGAAGATTGATGACACGTGGAAGATGGTGACGGAGGTGGGAAAGGCAACGACGTTGACCAGTGGTTTCCGGAGATCAGAGACGTTCGTCCTTGGCGCCGGCGGCGATGTGAAACCTGTATTGAGGAAAGCGGAGACGTTCAAGGACGTGACTAATAATCATCGGCAGTCGTCTACGACTATGACGGTGAAGATGAAGAAGAAGAAGAAGAAGAAGGAGATAAAGATGATGTCGCCGAGTAGAGATGAGCTGAATCGAAGAGTTGAAGCTTTTATTAAGAAGTGTAAGGAAGAGAGTTTAAGATCGGAGAAAGAGTTTGTGGCTTAAGAATAATAAGATTGCGAGATTAATTAGCTTTTCGTCTTAATTTATTATCGTTTTAAATTTACTTAGATGACGGATAAGACTAATCATCTCAAAATTACTTTTGTTTTGTATGAGAATTTTGGCTTTTATTTTCAAAAAAATTGGGCATTTGAAGTGGTCTTGTTTTAGTTTGTATTGTCTGGATCTTGTATATGAACAATGCTAAACAATGAAAACTTGATAAATTGAAATCAAGAAGTTGATGTCCTATAAGCAATATTGAATGTAACAGTGACAACAAGCGAGATACTTCGTGGATGGGCCTATATATATATTCACAAGAAACAAGATCCAACCCCGAAATCGGGTCCATGGACCATGGCTAAACCCTTCCACAGTACAGCTTGGATTTAGTATTTACCACATTTGTTAAAAACTTGTGTTTATTAGAGCTTCGATTGTTTTTGTTTCAAACACGACTTACGAATCTATATGCATTTATATTATGAGAACAAAAAAAAAAACATTTGTCAAGTATAAAAACATAATTGCTTGATGATATCGATTCAAACATCTTTGCTTTTTATAAAATCTATGTTTACAAGTGTTAGTTCAGACGGTACGTGGTTTTCCTTCCGTTTCTATCTAGTGTTTACATTTACAATTAATTAAAAATTTAATATTTGTTTAAATGATCTTAGAGGTAAGATTTACCAAAGAGAATATCTTATATAAGATCCTCTCTTCCGTAAATTTTACCTCTAAGATATTTCCAATAAGAATGGTCTAAATTTTATAAGTTAATTTGGAAAATTTAAACATCACACACTCACATAAACCGTCAAGGGCTTAGACCAACATTATTAGGGGTATCTTAGAGGGTTAAGATACCATGGTTTTTGCATAGAAAGTATCTTACATGCTACATTATTGGGGGTATATTAGAGGGTTAAGATACCATGGTTTTTGCATAGATACCATGTCTTGTTAGTTATAGAAAATTAGAGACTACGTGTATGCACATGTCTAATGACATGCTACGCCAATATTGCATGGCGTCAGGTTCTGTTTATAGAGAAATTGTTAAGAGATTAGTATATTACTATGCATGCCAAAAGAGAACGTTTGCACAAGCACCAAATATTTAGTACGTATATAAAATCATTCCGATATGTTTCCATCCCTTAGGGTTTTTTTTTTTTTTGTTCACCCTCCATCCCTTAGCTTACAATTCAAATGATCACTATCAAAGGAAAGAAATGTGTATAACGAGAAAATATGGAGCCCATAATCACGTGTGAGATGTGAGACGTGAGATATCTTGTTAAACTATGGACAGGAGAGTGAGCGATGTTTACTGCTTTGCTTAGCGACGACTCTTAAGGTCGATGATGACACCATCGTAACGTGCGATCGTGTGATTGGTCTTTAACTATGGACGGGTCGAATTTTAATTAACAAAAACTAGTTAACTATGAACGGACGGGTCCAACGAACGGATCTTCTTGGATACTCTTGTAGTGTCCTACAAAAGAGCTAGCGTCGACTCTTACTTACACCGTGAAATCTGACGGCCGAACGTAAGACAAACTGTGGCAACTCACTCTCACCACCACAGTGTTACATCACTGGGCAGTTGGATACGTTGTCGTGTTCTGTAATTCGACGAAGTTTCGTTTGCCATTTCTTTCTTTATGTCGGTAATGAACACGTTATTTTCTTATTATTTCTTGTGCTAGGTGAGATGTGAATCAAACCAAGTATGGGAAAATATATTATTGTGAGAAAAGTCAAAAGTAGTTTTTTTCGAGATTCTTATTACCGTCTAACCTCACAAAACATAAACAACAATCCCATTTAACAAGATCTTTGTATGTTATTACATAATATATATCACTGTATGTACATTTTTTTTAAAACGGGAATCAATTATTAAAATCTAAATTCATAATCCAAATAAATAATTCCAAAGAGAAATGACTAGAACTCCTTATTTAATAACTAGATTTTCATTAGACAATCGTGGTATTGATCCAAAAGTTTCACTTTTTAGATATTTCTATTTTTGTTATTCAATCCATATGATAATTGAATCACGCGATAAATTTAGACGTACACTTGAAATAAAGTGTAGAAAGTAATATCTATTTTCACATCTTGTTCTTTTCGTTTTATTAAAGAAAAACTCAAGAGCATCTATCGATATATCTAAAAGGAAAAGACGTAAAGAATAATAATATCTGCAGTTTGAAGGGGGCATTAGTCTTATAGTTTCATCATTGCTCTAAGTAAAAAGTAATAGTGGTCGACAAAGAAAAGAAACTAAATAGCGCGCAAAGGAGAGTGGATGGATAGACACCACTTGAGAGAAGAACGAGTTGGAAATTGACCTCTACCTTGGCATGTTCTTACTAGTTACTTCTTAGCCCTTAAGAAAATATTTTTGTCTGTGTTTTTTTTTCTTCTTAGTGTGTTGTTTCCTCCTTTGGGGATAATTTTATTAAGAGATCCTTCATATTTTAATCCAGTGACATTGATAAGATACTCACTAGATCGGTAAGACGATAATGTATCATAATCCATTATAATAGGATTTGTTACATGCGTTCTGGTGATATTATGAATTAGATTGTTTCGTTGTAGGAATGTTAACCCACTAATGATTAAGATATTTTACTATTCGATTTTAAAAAGAAGAATTTAATGGCATTTCTTGTATCATCTTAGCAACTAGATAGGGCTAGTAGAACATTATACTTTTTATATATCAATCGATGATATTTGAGCCGTTTTTTTTAACAAATGATATCTAAATATATTAATGCAAAAATATGGTTTGTTTTACCTTGATTGTCCTTATATAAAACAACAACAACAACAACAAAATTATTATAATTATTAATACGTTATACTTTAAAAAGTAATATTAATTATATTAATATTAGATATTTTACAACTTTTGTTTGGCAAAGATAGTTTACAACTACACTTACATCCAATACCACAATACTCTTATTACTTATGATAAAGAAAAGAACATATATATATAACTTACACTTGATAAGACATATTCCTTATTCTTTTTATTTGTCGACCGATACGGCTATCCGTATACGTATACGTATTTTGCTTGTCTTCGAATTGACATAAATACGCAAGATACCATAAAAACTAAAGAGAGTGAACGATACAAGGCTAAAAAAGACGTGGCCATAGCGTGGGATCGATAGAGAAACCCACCATTCGAAACAAAAATAAGGAATTATAACGAGTGGCCATACTAGGTTGACTAATAATATATAAGAGAACTATGATTATATTTGACGACGTAAAAATAAAAAATAAAACAAATTATGAGATAAAATCAAGAGATATAAAGTGTGGACACGTGTAGGTTTTGGTTTAATTTACGTGTCAATATTTAATACGACATAAACAATAACAAAAAAAAATGTATATACGAAGGGGATGCATGCAACAATCCTGTCCGTTCATCTCTCTATTATTCTTCAATCCAATAGTGTTAATATCAGAGATCGCATTGTCCCCTGCCTATATAAATGGAAAGAACGAAGAAGAAGAGTCAGAGCTAAGACTAAAGAGCGTCACCACACACTCACATCATAAAAAAATATCAAGAGAGAGTGATATATTTGAGATCTTATGGCGTCGTGGATGAAGGCGGTGCTAATCTCTACTGGTTTCTTGGCCACTGCTATGCATCTTAAGGTCATTGTTCCCGTGGCTGTTGATTTCTCACAGGCTCCCATCCTTTTTAGCTCTCTGCTCGCGTGGTTGAAACCGCCGTATCTTTACGTCATCACCAACGTCATCATCGTCGTTATCTTCGTTTCTTCCAAGTTTTTCCGGAGTACTGTCTCCAGCACCGAAAGAAAAGACTACGAGGTTTCTTACAGCGGCGACAATAAGTTTCAGACTCATCAGAATGATCATCAGCAGAGCGTCCACCACGCTCCCCTACGACGGCGGACGGAGTCTAAAGATGCTGATTTCGGTGGTTTCATTACCAAAGTTTCGGCGTTGATCGTACTTAAGGAGCCGGAGGTTGTGCATGAAGAGAAGGAGAGGCTGGTAGTAGAAGCGGCGGAGATGGTAGTAAAGGAGGAGAAGAGCAACTCTTTAGTGGTGGTAGCCAAATCGGGAAATCAAACTCCGGTGGAGAAGCCTTTGGTTACGGCTAGGATCGGCCAACGCAAACCGGTGGTTAAGACAACTCCAGCAGGTAATTTCATTTTAATATTTTAATTTATATAATTTTTTAAAAAAAATTGAGATATTTTTTAAAAAATATCTAAAAACACTATTTGCTAAAGGGGTACTTTCGTAATATTGTTTTCAGAGAGGAACTCTATGAGAGCGTTAAGAGTGGCGAAGCCTAAGCGTAACGAGACGTTGGAGAATACGTGGAAGATGATCATGGAAGGGAAGGCAGCTCTTCCTTTGACCAGTTACTACAAGAGATCCGACACGTCTGGACTTGGCGAAGAGACAACCGAACAATCTGACGTTTTGAAGAAATCGGAAGCGTTTACTGACATGACTAACTATTACCAGTCTCTGCCGGCGATATTACCTCCACCGCCGCCTCCGCCGGTGAAGATTAAGAAGGTGAAGGTGTCACGGAGTAGGGATGAGCTGAACCGGAGGGTAGAAGCGTTTATAAAAAAATGTAACGACGAGAGGTTCGCGTCGATGAGACTGGACAAAGAAGTGGCTCGTAGTGGTCTTTCGTATTAGATTATTTTTCTATTGCTGTCTTTTCAAATACGACAATAACAAGTGAACAAAAGTAGAAAGTCACGGATCAACAAAATCTCTTATTGGTTGGTATTTTGATTGGATAAGGGGGTGGTTCACCTTTGTGATATTTCGTCTTAGTTGACAATGTAATTATGTCATTGAATTGATCTTTCTCTCTTCGTTTTATATATATAGTTCAATCTATTCTTATAATGACGCTTTTTAGTAGGGACTTAAATAACTAATTTCGTAATTAGAATGCTTTTTCTTTCCTAATATGGTTAAACAAAAAGATACATTTATTAAATCACTATGGTGTTAGTAGCATAACATCAATAACATTCACATTAACGACATACAAAAGAAAGAAAAAAAGCAAAAATCTTCTTTTGTCTAAATTTGGAATAGTGTCTTGCTTCTCTCTCTGCAATTTAATCCCTCTTGTTCATTCGCATCCTAGCTTCAGTTTCTCCACTGTAAGGAGCAACGTGAAATGCGTACTGTTGAATCACTGAGAAGACGATCATCTCAAGACACACTAGCACGTTTTGCAGAGCTTCCTCAATCTGCTCCACCTCCAGCCACAAATGATGCGACTTTATTACTCCCATTTTCACTAATATCTCTAGGACTATTCCCTGTACAAACACACAGTCCCCATGTCAGGAGAAAAAACCGAACTAAGCATTCATTGTCGAGATTTCTCAAGATAAGAGATGAACAATGTGCTAATGACATTAAATGCTTTAAACTTTCAGAACGTTCAATTACTTGATCATATGCAGTAGTGATCCTAAAGGCTAAATCTACTGGGATGAGACTTGTCTTATGGACCAATCGCCAGGTTCATATAATGGCTTTGGGTCGCTATACCATATAAACACTTTGACTAAAGAGAAATTTCTCAACGCTCAGACCATATCTTATTACCAAAATTCTGGACCAACTAGTAACATTTTCAACCTTCAGCTCTCAACTAGATAATGTTAAGCCTATTGCTGAGCGGGAAAAGCTACAATTCCCTTTTATAACAGTCCTACAGTTTTAGCCTTAAACAAGATAATCTTAATAGTCTAATTCATGACAGAGAAATAAGACGGGAAACTGACCTTAAAACATCTTAGGATATTCTAGAGAGTAGAGACTATATATGATTCATTATCTTTATCAGCAGAATGAAGAGAAATTGAAATGCTTTCTCAACCAAAGCAGTTTGATGAACGAAGAAGCTAGTAGGCAAAGAACAAGTGATTTGGTAGGTAAAAGAAAAGTCACAAACTATGTATTTACCTGCCAGAAGCAGAAGAAGACTATCCCTTTGACGCACATGAACTTTGTAAGCGGCTTATGAGGCTCCAACTCTTTGGCAAAAACATGGTAGAATTTCACTAAAGAATACAATGCCAGGGAAACTGAAACGTTCAGAATGATGGTGAAAATCCAGCTCAACCACGCAGGATATATCCCGAGGATCTGTAGTGTTATCATCAAGATGGAACACACTGGGCGGATAATACAAAACTGCCATGTCCATTCCTTGAGCTGTTTCAGTGTACGGTAATCCAGATGCGTGGTACGGGGCACGAAAAGAGTCATTGGAAAGGAATGGTGGATTTCTCTCCCTTTGATTTCATCAGGGATAACCCGTGCACTCATTGATATGTTTACATAACTATACATCAAAGCCAAGAATTTAGCAATGACCTGAGACAAACAGAGCAATACAGCAAATCAATCAACAGCCAGAGAGAAAGAGAGCCATTGTAGGGTAATGAGACATGAGAGAATCTAGAAACCTACAAGTGCCTCATAGCATTCCTTGACAGAGTCTAGAAACATGAAGAAGGGTTTACTTCCCTTAGCATCTAACAATCCCACGAAAGAGTTGATAGCGTAAACAGGAGCCATAAGTATAATGATGATAATGGCTCTCTGTTCTTTTGGGTTCTTCCAGTAAAAGAGATGCTGGGACAAGAGCTGCATGGTGAAGTGCATCGAGAGCAAAACACAGAACAGGGCTCCAATCACCGTGATCTCCGCAGGAGATAGAGTAGATAGGTCCATTCTGCATCAGATGAAACAATATAAAATACACAATACACATCATGATATGATTCCCACAAAACTGAACAATGTTTTTGAACTCCAACCATATTTGTAGCAGGCAACACAATTATAAACTGTTTCTAGATTGAATAGTAACGAAATCATCCCTGAGATACGAATACTTGACAGAAACTTCGAGTGATTAACTAGTAAACTCACTGCTCACTACTTTGTAGCAAAGTTAGGTCACAGATCTTAATACAGTAAAATCCAGAATCAAATCATTCATGAACGAGCCAAAAAGTTTCCAAATCAAACGACGAGAAAACTGAATCGGACTAAAAAGGCCATTAGTTTGAATCAATTCAGGAACATCGAAATTGCAGAGATGAACATAGTCGAGAGAGGGCAAACCTGACTGAAACAAGTGGGAGATTATTGAAGAAGCCGATTAAGGTAGAGAGGAACTTCACCCAAACGTGATGGTACTACGATTCTTCAATGGTGAAGACGATCTGTTGATTAAGAACAAAAAAAAAAAGAGAGCAGAAGCTGTTCATCTTTGACCGGTTTAAACAACTCAGTCAAGTCTCTCTTTGCGACCAAAACAAAGTCACCGAAGAAGTCCTCCGTCGTCATTAACCGGCCGGTTTGGTTTGGTTTAAAATACTCTTATCTGAATTTCAATTCGGTCAATGAAACAAAGAAAACAAATTTAAAAAGACAAAACTATGTGATTATAATTTCAAAATTAGCAAGATTAGGCGTTAATTAATTTTTCTTCTTTGTTATGAAATATGTACTGTACATAGCTATTTTAACGTGTATAAATATATGTCACGCATGGATGATGCTGTTACAATTAAGGAATATGCTTTGACTAATAAATTAACGAGTGTGATATTAATATCTCTCGTGTTTCTATTGTAAAACATAACGAGGAACGTATGAGACTCGCAATGTCTTGCTTGCACACAAACTCAACATCATATATGTTGCTTCTAATTAACCTAACTTGTAAGTTCATTCTTTGTCGCTCTCTATTTATAATGTGTCTTGTGTTTTCTCTTTGCAAATTCTGTGAAGTTGTTATAAAAGAAGAGAGATCATTATTATCTAAGATTTTGAAGTTTGATTGAAGATATGGCATCGGCTTTTAGATCATCCACGAGGATGGTTCTTGTATTAGGTATATTGATTTTGTGTTCGGTTTCATCTGTCAGAAGCTGGAGCAAAGAAGGCCATATTCTTACATGTAGAATTGCTCAGGTACGTTAATGATCGTCTACTCTAGAGATGATCATGACTAAAGGTCTTATTCTTATGTGTATGCTTGTGTGGTTGTGAGCAGAATCTTTTGGAGGCCGGACCAGCACATGTAGTAGAGAATCTATTACCGGATTACGTGAAAGGAGATTTATCAGCATTGTGTGTGTGGCCTGACCAGATCCGACATTGGTACAAGTACCGTTGGACTAGTCATCTCCATTACATCGACACACCGGACCAAGCCTGCTCTTACGAATACTCCAGTAAATAAGTCCTAACCAAAACACTTTTTTTTTGTTAACTGTAATCTCGGTTCTATTACTCTTGAACCGGAGTTAGCCATGACTCAAAAAGTTATACAAAACACAAAACCGCATTACCTTCAAAACGTTATTAGATGGGAAAATAATTAAAAACTGAATATTAAAAAAACAGGGGATTGTCATGATCAACATGGGTTGAAAGATATGTGTGTGGATGGAGCAATCCAAAATTTCACGTCTCAGCTTCAGCATTACGGTGAAGGAACATCTGATCGTAGATGTACGTGATCATTTTTTTTATATTTTAATTATGATATCCTAATTTTGATGTATTTTTTCTGCTTAGTTTTGTTATTTTCTTTATAATTAATTGCGTTCTTCTGGTTCAATCATGCAGATAACATGACCGAAGCTCTTTTGTTCTTGTCTCATTTCATGGGAGATATTCATCAGGTTTATTATACTCATCATTAATTTCACACATACATATATATTGCTCTGGTTTTCATGTTATATATTTAGTTGATCATGATTATTAAGTAAGGATGCATGGTTGTTGTTTTTTTTTCCTTAACAAAGCCAATGCATGTGGGATTCACAAGTGATGAAGGGGGAAACACGATAGATCTACGTTGGTATAGACATAAATCAAATCTTCATCATGTAAGCTAGCTCCTTCTTTTGTCTCTCACGCATACACAACTTTGAATTTCATCACGAAACCAAGAAACATAAAGGATTTAACTAGTAAAACAAAATGTGTAGGTATGGGACAGAGAGATCATTCTCACGGCTCTAAAAGAATCATACGACAAGAACTTGGATCTTCTTCAAGAGGATCTTGAGAAGAACATCACCAATGTAATATATATATATGTTAATCTTTTTTTTTTCCTTTTCACTGTGACTTGTAATAATGGTTTATCATATATTAGGGATTATGGCACGACGACCTATCTTCGTGGACAGATTGCAACGATCTTATCGCTTGCCCACACAAGTAAGTATTAATAATTTGTTTGGAGTTGGATAGTGTTAAGTTTCACTTCCTTTCAATTCAAAATCAATTAATACTATAGTAATCTCAATAATTAATGGGTTGGCTAATGTCCCATAATTAATAAGTTGGTTTTGTTTGGTCGGAGAAATTCCAAATTCGAAAAACACTATAATGTATAAACTTCATGAACTAACTTAAATTGTATGTATGCAGGTATGCTTCGGAGAGTATAGCGTTGGCTTGTAAATGGGGCTACAAAGGCGTGAAGTCCGGTGAAACGTTATCAGGTACGTTACTTCGCTTCTACGCAAACAAAACTAGTTTAAAAGTGAACTAAACCAAATGAAGTTTAAGTAATCGGATTTAAAGTTTTTAAATAGCCATTGATGTTTATTTGTGGTGTGAAATATGACTGATATATAATTTTTAAAATGCGGTAAATATTATTGCAGAGGAATATTACAATACAAGGTTGCCAATAGTGATGAAGAGAATAGTTCAGGGAGGAGTTAGACTAGCCATGATACTAAACCGGGTTTTCAGTGACGATCATGCTGGTGTTGCTGCTGCCACTTGAATCTCTAACCGGACCATCAAAGCATTTGATTAGGGAGATTACTTATTTGGTCAATTCACAAAATTAAATAAGACTCATTTGTTTCTTTGTATATATCCTTTATCTACTTTTAATTTGACAGCTAATGCCTGCGGACTGGTTTATTTACAAGTGTCTGGGATTAGGTCAATTTAATATTCCTGTATTGTTTTATAGATTAGTGGTTCTAAGAAATTAGATTATATTTCATTTATAGATGAAATTGACAGAAATAAATGTGAAATTTTTAGCATGTAAAGGAGTAAATATCACAATATATATGTTTTAACAAGTGAAGCTACATAGGGATTTTATACAAAGAGACAAAATAAAAATGAACTCATCAACAAACTAAAAGACTAAACAAGCTCACCAATCTTACATAAGAACACTTTCACTCAAATAAAACCACAGAAAAAAATCTGAAAAATAAATGAAATTATTTCTGTGGCCTTGAGGGAAACGAGAAGCAGCAAATTAAAGTTTAGGATGCATGGAAGTTTCTCGTGGAACCACCAAAGATGGAAGCAAAAGAATTAGCAAAACCAAGCAAGATCCCAACTTTGACTTGCCCTCTCTTCGGCAACGGACGGCTACTGTGTTGTTGTTGTTGTCCTCTACAACCTTTCATGGTTCCTCTGCCTTCCATTGACTCGGAGTCAAAAGTCTTGTCAAAAGTATTAGAAGAAGAAGAAGAAGAAGAAGAATGTTTGATTTGCTACAAGTTATCACAATCACAAAGGGAGACTCGTAGCTCTTATATAAAAATCGGAAGTGCTCTCTAGAATAACCTTACTTTTGGCTAATATTACAAGTTTGACCCAATTATTATTCCATCGTCTGGATTTTTGAAGATAAGATCTTTACTTCATTAGTATACTAGTTTAATGTAAAAAGCATACTATATAGACTTTATTTATCCAGATACATTGGATCAATGGCTGCCTGCAACCTTACACTAATTGTCATAAACTAATTATGAAAGAAAAATAAGCAGCTTTATGTTAAAGTGGACACCAACTTGTGTTCCCACTAGGATTAAAGATTAAAAAAGTGGCACTAATTCTCATTCTTAAGGGTATGTTTGTCATACAATAAAGGGTTACAAAAAGAGTGTTCCGTGATTCCTTAATAATACTCCTACAAGTGTGTCATTTGGCACTAAATTCACGTGGCTAAAACCAAAAAAAGCTTACATATCTTTTAAGAATTTTTCGATGCATTATAACCGAACGGTAAATTAAGAAAAATGTTCTTAACAGTACTAGTTTCCAGACTAACAACAAAATTCACGTGGGAAATATCAAATAAGAGTAGGGGTAACACTTAAAAAGTTTATTGTAGAATAGGTTACAAGAAAGATTAGGTGTGTTCTTTCTGAAAAACGTTAATGCATATATGGATAGATAACACGGTTCACTTTTGAGTTAGATAACAAGTAAAAATAAACAATGAAGAGTTTGCAACTGTTTAACAAATCTCTACTCAAATTGAACACACATTTTTTATACATGAGCTTTACTTTTACTACTTTTAAGAACAGTTGATGAAAACAAAAATAGAAGAAGCTCAAGGAAAAAAAAAAAATCTATCAGCAAAGCTAAATAACAACCAAAGAAGAGTATATAAAACCAATGCTTCAGAAGAGACGATTTCAATCATTGATTTACATTTGCATCATATGGCAGCTCTCATAGCTCCTCTTGCAGCATCTCGTCTCATCTCATCCGCTTTCCCGCTTCCTCGGAAGTACATGTATACTTGCTGCACAAACCAAATGTTAAAAAGAGTTTTACCTCGGAAACTATATTGGTCTAAAGATTGTATCTTATCAGTTTAGAGATTTGGAAAGATACCTGAATGACCCAGATGCTGACCACTGATTCAAGGCAGAATAACCCAAACCCGATGAAGTAGAAGATCTGTTCACAAGGAATAACAAGACATCATTGACAAGTGATTGTATGATCAGGAGCCTCTACGTGTATCAGACTAGATTTATGCTTGCAGCCGAAATATCAAGGGATGAAAAGGGCTTACCCCGACCAGTGCCTGAGCGCTCAACACATCTATTGCAGGTAATATCCCCCTGTAAATATGAAGATTATCAGACACTTGAAAACATTAACTGTGTTAACCGTACATGTATGAAGCTTTGTGGAAACTTACGCAAGCGATTTTCCTTTAAAGACAATAGGAGGGGCAACTGCAGCAAAGACGCAGAAAAGGATGTGGAGCTGTGGCCAGAAAGCAGATAACTTTTAGGCAAGTCTGTTACAAACTATGCAGAAGATTTGCCATTAAAATCAGCAATAACCTAGAGGCTCACCATGTAGAACAAGAAAAACCATCCAAAGTTGAATGCACTATCACTTCTGCAGGAATTTAACACAAAGGATACATTGAGTAAGAGAATATGGAAAAATAAATATACTATAAACACTTTTATCAATTTATACACAGCATTACTGGCTAGGGATGGAAAATTAAGAACCTGAAGGCACGGTACAGAGGTCGATACCATAGCACATAGCCTCCTGGGACACCCGATATGAAGTAAATCACGGCGAGAAGCCAAATTGTTACTCCTGAAAAAATACAACAAAACTTAAAGCTGTAAAAAATTGCAGAGAAGAAGGCCCATAACTGGGGACTTGACCAGCAAACAAGGAATATAGACATGTGTAATAGAACACAAAGAGACCTTCGCCTTTGATCCAAGCTGTAGTAACAGCAATGATATTCCAGAAAAGTGCAAGAACCAACCCTGTTGGACATGGACACACACTAGTAAAATTTGACCAGCTTATAATTTTCTTATTTTAACCCATAAAGTGAAGTGAAACTAAGAGTTTTTGGGAAAAAGTCCTCACTCTTTTAAGTATAGACTATATATACGTACCCAAGTATGTTGCAAATGCAATATACTGTAGCCTTTGTAGACGAACAGGAATTTCATTTGCAATGTCATGGTGGATAAGCGGGAAGAAGGGAGGCCAGTTTTTCGCCTCAATAACGATTCCGGCTACAAAGAAAGGTAACATAAGAGCAAAATCATATGACTATAAATAATCGACAGAGAAACATATCAAAAGTTACATATAACACTAAATTCAAATCCTCCAAGTAAAAGTATTGGAACATGTGCATAAAACAGGTGCCTAAACCATATAAGATGTGTACCTCGTGCAGCAGCATCCTCTTTTCGCTTCAGATCCTACATAGAGGCAAAATAAATCATTAACTGAATACAAAAGATGCACAAAAACACCTTCAAACTGGCTTTTCTTAATCACAGAAAGTTTAAAAGATGCCACATCAACTAAATAAATATTCTTCAGGAACTGTAAAAGTGAGTTTCAAAGGGTGGTGCTTGAGTAAAAGTTTTACCTGCTCTCGTCGCCTAAGGTCAGCTTCTTTTGCTTGGAGCTCCTTCTCTTTCTTTTTCAAATCCTGAATACCCAACAAGGGAAAAATCATTCAAACTAATTCAAATACTCCACCAAAAATAAAATAAAAAAATGAACAATGACAACTCCATTGACAGTCCAAACCTGTGTACCAGAGCCCGGACTGTCAAGAGGAATGTCAACGGTGTGACCATAGCCAAAACCAGCAGGTTCCGGAGGCAAAGGTGATAGTCTGGAACTCGAAGCAGGAGGAACACTCCCAGGATTCTATGATACCCAAAACGGTGTTCAAAATCAAAGAGGAGCACATAGTCAGAACTCAGAAACCATTGAACATAGAGATACCAACAGAAAACAACAAAAGAGTTCCAAACAAGAATAATAGAATCCATAGTTTCAGCAATAAGAACAATTTCAAGAAATATTGGATTACATTGTCGCTATGACTATCAAACAGTAGCCAAAGCGAAAGCCAAGTGAAGCAAACACAGAGTATGAAAAACCCTAATTAAGAATCGAATTCGCCAAAAATGCGAAATTGGATTTGAGTAAGTGGGTATAAATCGGAGAGAAGAAGAGTAAAAAAGAGCTTACAGCAAAAGGATTGACTTCATCTTGTTCGTCGAAAGGGTTCCGATCATAGCGACCAGCCATGATTAGATACCGAAGCTTATCTCAATTCACAAGATCACAACTTGTATAAAATCGATCTCAGATCTCTTCAACTAATGAAAACTTCGAAATGGGGAAAAGAGACTACTAGTAGTTATATACACATCCCAATCCCATCTTTACGTCTACCTTTTTCAGTTTTCACCTCCCAATTTTTTAATTCCTTCTTTGTCAAATATTATCTAATTACTCTTCTTCTTTTTTTGGTCAATAATCAATATTATCTTAAATAATAAAATATTTGACCATTTTTAATTTATCCTAAAAAGTTAACTATAATCTATAGACATTTTTAGATTTTATTGATTTATATATATATATATATATATTATTTTTTTTTTGGCAAAGTTTAATTTTAAATATTTAGTATCTAATTTGTCAAAGTTTCCATATGTATTACAAATGTGAGGCCTCCCAAACAGAGAAACTCACAAGAAACAGTGAAGTAGAGAAACTGAGAGATATTCAAATTGAAGTAATCAAAAGGTTTGAAAAAGTGAGCTTTGAGTCTACATCACATCCTCATTTTTATAGTTTCTGGTCCAAGTCTCTCTGTTGGAAAATATATGGCTTTGCCAAAAGTAAATACTTTAATTTTATTTTTCTTTTTTCTTTGTTCTTCAATGATCTTTTCATTTGTATTGGTTCAATTAGAATAAGTTAGGAGAAGGGTCACTTTATTTGATTTAGAACTTGTTGAGTGATGAAGATTTTATAAATCTTAGTATGAAACCCAAAGAAAACTATACTACCTATGGAAAATTGTAATAATAAATTAATGATATGAACTAATTATAGATAAAGAAAACATTACTATATGTATAAAAGATATCCTTCTTTTGGGCTATTTGTGTGTTGTTGTTGATGATGTCTCTTGACTTCCCTTATGCTTTACTCTGTGATTACTACTACCACGCCTCAATCTTCTGTTATTACCGTTACTCTTCCTTTTCGTCATCGAGCTTGATGCCGCAGACGGATCGATCCAGTTCTTGTCTTCTTCAACCGCTTTGTTCCATCGTTCTTTAAAAGTTTGAAGCTCCCATGTCGATTGTCTCCTTATCTACTTGTTCCATCAAACCATACAAACACTACGATGCTAAGTTTTCCCCTGTCTAGTGAAGACATAACGAAAAAAGAATCTGATCGTCTGCTAACTCACCTCGGTTCTTGAATCAAAGGTTATGTGGCCTTGTCTCTTGAAATATCGACGAAGAAGATTATCATAAAGGTGAGTCATGAGTGAGTTCTTTTTTAAGTTTTAGATCGAAAGAAATGGAAACGGACGATAAGACTTACCTTGGTCCCAACATTACGACTTGTGGTCTGCGAGTATTACAAAGCAAGGGTTATTGTTTGGGTCATACGGATCAGAACAAGTGGTTTCTGTATCAGTTCCTAAAGATTATACCTTCTTTTCAGGATGAACACTTTCACCTAAAGTTTGAATGCCTTGATGAAAGATATACTCGCTATCCACAATCCCTACATTTTTCGTCCGGTCTCCCTACAACATTCAGACCGGATCATGGATTAAAAGACAACAGGATTGAAAAGGTCATATGATGCATATTCCAGAATTAGAACTGAGAGTTAGAGCTACAAAACAAGGACTAGTTTGTTCATTGCAAAAATATCATTGGTTACATAAAAATCCTGAATGAGACTGTGGTTTGTGAAGAAAACAAGATTACCTGTGCGCAATACCCGAGTTTCATATCCATTCCCCATCCATGAACCAAATCATTCTACAAAAACCAAAAGCAAGAATGTCCCACAAATGAAAATTTTACTAAAGGGTCAGTTAGTTTCTAGATAAACAACTGCAGGTGAAAACTTACCTGTATAAGATTCCAAGTGCAAAACCAAGCGGCTTTCGAAAACACCGGAGCCATTCCTTCAACGAATCTAAAAACAGAGAACCAGAGCAAACTGTATCAGTATCTATATAGCCAACAACTCCAAGTAATTATTCCATTGCCAGCCAAACCATTACCCTGTACAAGGAGGATCTGCACTCGAATTAGAACACCTTTTAGTGCCTCTCTTGATGTAAACTCTCCTGCGTTTTTTGACATCATGTTGATGATAAGTACCAAATGCATTGAAAACAAAAAGAACCACACCACTCTCCTAATGAATGTTTTTAAACCTATGAAACTTTTTTGTTCTAGAACGGAGTGTGATCTTATGGTGTATTTCAGTTGAGTTATGATCCAAAGCCGGCTGAGATATCTCCAGTCCCACTGATTTAACTATCTTCAGATATCTGCAGAATATAGTGTCACTTAGCTTTGTGACACTCATGATTCCTTGTAGTAAAAGGACTGAAGTAGGTTATGGAAACACAAATGTAACCTCTCTGGATTGAAGTTCTCTACACCAAGATCCTCGTCCCAAAGAAATATATAATCATAAATAGATACAACGTCCGGATGGAGAAATCGCTTGGCAAACCACCTAAAAATCAATAGAGGAGAATTCATAAACCAATGTTACAAAGTTGAATATCGATACAAATGAGGATGCGCTAACACTCTACCATCAACTAGTTATTGTCCGATATAAGTTGATAACACAAGTTGAAGCAGAACAAGTGAAGATACGGAATGAGGAAGGTACCTACCATTTAGTCTGGTTTTGTGCAACTATGTGTATGGCTTTTGAACTCCACTCTAGATCCCGCCATTTATCCATATTTCCATCGTAATGGAAAAGAACAATCGTGAAATTCGCCGGAAGAAACTGAGACACAAGAGCTTTAAGTTAAAACGAAATCTCTGTATGTTCTTCAATGCTTAGGATTAGGATCAACTCAAGCAGAAATTGCAATACCTTCTTTACAATAGCGTTAACATTACCCTTTTGCTTAATTCCTACGGATATTGCCAACAAGTTACGGTTAGTCATTTCCACACCCTGTGTTAATAATCACAACAAAAACATCAGAAACTCCACTAGCTACAGAGAGGTCTTCTATCATATATTCTGCGGTTTTTGGTGCCTCTAACCTTTGACCTCAGACTACTTCTTGACCAGAGAGGCTTTAGTTCAAGATCTGATCTAGGCTCTATGATTCCACGAGGCAAGCCTTTTAATTTATCGTTAACTGCTTCAGATTCCTGAACACCATCCAACGCGTGAACTTCACATCTTCAACCCGGTAAATACACAACAAATCAAGAATGGAGAAGACGAACAATGTTACCTTTGCCATGTCAAAAGGATAATCTGTTTCTTCTATCTGAACAGTAGAAGTAAGAAAAAGAGTTAGCTTATCAAAAAATCAATGGCAAACATCCAAAGACATGAATCCAAATGAGTTGGAGTTCCAAGAGTTACCTCTGTTTGTTCAAACTGAATATTTGTGGTTTTATACCAAAAGATCAAAAGAGCTGTACACATGAGAGCCAAGAAGGGCTTCATTTTCCACCCGGATTTACTCTGAAATGTTACCAAGATTCAAAGCTACAGTTAGTCGAAGCATCATGTAACAATCAGGAACATAATCTGAGGTTATATGATGTAAAAGAACAGCTTATACCACTTCTTGAGTATTGGTTCTTTTCTTAACAAGTGACTTCAATGATTTGATCGACTTCATAGACGGCAAACCATGTTCCATAATCTATCCTGGTACAGAATCAAACCAAATTCAACCTAAAGACTAATAATTTATGCAGGGAATTTGAAAATCATTTAAGAAATCAGAAAAATCACCAGACTCCACACTGACTTTGTGTTCTCCCAAGAACAGAGAACAAGAGAGAGACCTCACTGGTCACTAAATCTCGATTTTAAAAGACCATGCATGTGACTCTTATCTCAGTCTGAATAAAACACAAGAAAAGTAATCAATTTTAGAACAAACATTACAAAAGAGAACACTACTGACAACACTTAGCAAAACACAAACAAAAGCACACAATAATTAAAACTTTTACAAGACAGAAAAGAAAAAGAGAAAAAAAAAAAAACAGAAGCGGCAAGTTTGTAACAGCAACAAGAGATGGCTTCTCTGAGGTTTGTTGTACTACTACCTGACCTAAGAAGACGACGAACCACCTGGGGACCCCAGAAAACGAAACGGCTATGCAAAAAAAAATTTAAGAAGAGGAAATACAATAAACGATGAAGAAAAAAGAAATTTAGTAATTTCTTAATTGTATTAGATCTAAACAGAGTAATTTACTCGAGGATTTTAAAAAGCTTCTCATTGATTGCAAAAATTTATTGACAAGAAAAGTTATTAAAATTCAAAACTTCTCTCTATCTCTTTGTGTACGAGAGAGAATACAGAGAAACACAGTCTGGTTCTAATATATTAAATCGGGCAAAGGTGAATGATGGAACTAATAGTAATGGTGGTGGTGGTGAAATCAAAGATTTGTCAGAAAGATAGGATCTTTTAAGTTACAGGAGACACAAATTTAGAGACCCTAGAAAACAAATTTTGGAACAGAGGAGAAGAAATTTCAGAAAACCTGAAGCATGCAGAATCACTGTGTAATGAAAAGTCGACAGACAAGACAAGCTCGAGAAGAAAGAGAGAAGAAGAGTTTTATTTATAATTTTGTGTTTACTTTGCATGAAACTTAGGGGATTGATTTTTTTTCTTTATAGGCACGATGATTCGTTTCTATAATCTATCGATCTATTGATACGAAACGAAACTAAACCTAATTAACAGATTTTTTTTCTACTTTTATGAATCGGGTTAAAAACAACAACAACAACATAATCAAATAATAACAAGATGATTAAAAGGTATATAAATAAAAAGTAGAAATATATATGCAAAAAGAAAAAATCTTTTAGAAAGTTAGCAGGGCGACTCGTGTCCTAATGTCAAATACTTTACAAGGTTGACAACAAATAAATAAATAAGATAAGAAGATATATTTTTGGATTCTTCTCCACCTAATACTTGGAGACTTTTTCTATACTCTTTATTTTATTTCCATCATAATCAATTATTTATGATGTTTTAGCCAAAAAACTTGGTATATTTTTATTTTATTTTTGCAATATAAAGAAATTATTATTTTACTTTACAATTTTTTCATTGGTTAAATTGTGTTTTGTATAGATAATAAATCATATTTTACATTAAAAGAAAAGAAAAAGTGAATTGTTTTGTATTATCTATGTTTTAAAGATCAACAAAATGATATAGAGGGTATTTTATTATAAAAAATAAAAATAGTGGATTAAAAAGAAAAAAACAAACAAAGTCCATGTTTTGCGTTCTTCCATTAGTTTACCAATTACTTCTATTGAGACAAGAGTGTTTGTAGTTTTACTTCTTACGCAACTGCAAAACCCAATAAGTTTTACCAATTTTTTTTTTGTTCCTTTTCTTGATTTCTGCAACCATTGCGACTTGCTTATACGGTTGCTCTATAGTCGTCTATCCTATTAATTCTTGTTTACGTTTTGATTTTGTTTCTTTTTAAAATATGTTTTTGGTTTTTTTTGGCTTGATGCCTCATTCTGTTTAGATACTATTTAGATTCATTTATCTATCGAAATATTTTCTGTTCTAGTTGGATATTTTTTTTCGGTTTGATTATGACTATTGGATTTTATAAAGAAAATCTCTAAATTCTTAATAATGTTACGTTAAGATAAACACCACTCTAATATTAATTAGTTGACGTATCAACGCTTGGAATTATGATTTATATACTTACATATATTTGTTTGTTTGTACGTTTAACATATGATTTCAACATAGAAGGTAGCGTCAAATATCTAAACAAATATAAACAAAAATTGAAAATGAAAATCCCAAAACAGCAAAAGGGATAAAACGTTAAGACTTAATACTTGTCAAACGTGAGGAGTTAGTTTCTAACTTTTAGTTATAGTAAGGGAAAAATATAGAAGAACAAAGTTTGCAAGTCTTTCAAAGATATATATATACAGATGGTTGGTTAGCAGGTGACCTTTATTATAAAACTCATGTAAGACGTTAAAGATTTGAAGAAATCCCCAAAATAGTGAAAAGGTTAAGACTAATGTTTTCGAATAACCAAAAGTGTAAATGTTGTAAAGCGTTCGATTGATTAGAAGAATGTGCAACGGTATAAACTTGTTAATATACCAGCCTGTTAAGCAATTTAGTGAATTATAAACGCAAGGTGTCCCTCTTTTGTTACCAACTAGACAAAAGTATAATGGAAAATGACAGTATACAACACATAGGGAGTGGTTCGGTTAGAGCTACCACTTTGGCTGTCAATTGCGAGTTTTCATTTACTATATATATTCATGTTTTTGGTTTCATTAGACTTTTTCATATTTGGTTGTATCGGACCGAATAGACAATAGAGTTTCTCAAGTCTATCAAAAGTGATATTGTAGACACAAACCCATTAGGCATTGACACATCAGTTAGGAACTTAACTAAGAAATTACATCAATATGAGTTGCAGTTCCACGGTTTAACAACAAATCAAGAACTGAAGCTACTCAGGCCAAAAATGATTTACAACAACCATTAGCTTCCAAGTATTTCTTCTGGGACTACATAGTTCGATTTCGCAGAACTGCCTCTTTCTCTCTGATATATGAATCCACATACATACAAAAACCTCAGTGAGATTGCACACGAGAGACACAAGAAGCTTCTTTTGCAATGTACATTACAACAACTTGCCTAGCAGTTATATGACGATTACTGATGGTTTTGCCTGTGGTTATGGCTCTTGAAGAACTAGGTTTAGTTCTTGAGCCTTTCTTGTTATTAGACCGCCTCTTCTGTATTCAGACCCGAAGAAAAGAAAGCCAAAACAAAGGGAAATAAACAAAGAATCCGTCAAAATCTATCATCAACGGTTATATTCATAGGAAAGTTGATGAAAGCAGGATGCTTAGGATGTTTACCTTGCGAGAACTGGAAGAATCCTTTGAATCTTGTGCAATCCGGCAGAACATATTTGGCAGACTTCTAGCCTGCAATGTTGTGGTTTATTTCCTTTTCTTCGTAAATGAGAAATAATAAAGCAAACTACTTCTATTTCCAGAGAGTGGCGTGAACTCGAGTACCTTTCATCTGCATGAAGATCAACACCGACAACTCGTGGAGCTGAAACAGTTGAGCGTATAACTGTACCGAAGACTGCTACAAGCTTCAATAGCATATCCAAGGAGACATTTACCGGCCTGCACAATCATGTAGCTATGTCAAGACAACAATAAAACACATCACACATGATTGTCTTTAAGAATCTGTTTCTTTCCTTAATCATAAACTAGAGATGACTAATGAGTTTATCATTTGAACTGAAATGTTTATCAGAATTTTTTCATGGAATCATTACAGCTCAAACGCAGAAAACTATGGTCTAAAGTGGAATTATGATATAATTTGTTCACCTTTCTGTCCTGCTACCCAATAAGCTTGTGAGGACTGGGACCAATTGAGAAAACATATCCAAAGTGAGAATTTCTATTTTGTCGGTTAGAATACTGATCACATCTGCTTGAACCTGTCCCAGTATCTAGGAGTTAGCTTATCTAAACATCCAAACATCAAAGAAAAGAGTAATCTACTGCGAATCTGAAATACCCACAGACTGATCTGTCAGATTTTTCAATGCCCCTATCGCGCCTTTAACATCGCTACGCTCCCAAAAATGTCTTACAATCTGCATGTTGAGAAGTCCATTACTTGCAAATTAATACTATAACAAATAATGGTCAGGAGAAGAACAGAAAAGAAACAAGAATGCTTACTTGTAACTTTGCCAACCTTGATTGAAGAGTGCTTAAGAATTCATCATGACTTTGCATTAGAGTATCAATGATTTCACTATCATTCTCCCTCCCAGATATTTCAGGCTCTTCCTTCTGCACAAACCAAAACGTCAATTACGTCTGTAATGTATACAGTACTCTTTGAAGGAAAAAAATACTGCCACCCTAGTTGCTAAGGCTAAGCATTACAAAGTACCTGCGGTAAGTTGTCGCAAGCTTGTTGAATTTGTGCTACATGTGTCTCATCCAGCGCCATATCGGCCATCTGATCAATCACAGTGGGCGTAGCCAGCATTTGAGTTGGACTAACTCGGTGCCTGGATGCTATATGAGATGTCATGTTATCAGGTTGATTCAGTTTTGAGGGCATTACACGGGCTGGAGAAGTCCTAGATGAGCGTGTTAATGTTACAGGACACTCATGAGATGTCATGTCCATTCCCTGACTGAGTGACACACGTTTTACTCGTGCTGAAGAAGTCCTGCCTGGTCGTCTTGATGTTACAGAAGCCTCATTAGATGCGATTTGTGCCGCCTGATTGAATGTCACAGGCAATCTCCGGGCTGGAGAAGTTCTAGATTGTTGTGTTAATGTTACAGAACGCTCATCATAGGTTACAGTAGTAGCTTGGTTGATTATCACAGGCATCACTGGAACAGAAGAAGTCCTAGCTGGTTGTGTTAAAGGAGGCTCATCAGATGTCATGTTACTATCTTGATTGAGCACGATAGGCATCACTCTGGCTGGAGTACTCCTAGCTCGCCGTGTTGATATTATAGGAGTTTCTCCTGTCTGTCTTGATATCTTCCGTGGATCTTCCTGCCCCGAATTAGTGTTCTGAGTTATTGTTGAACTGGCTGCTTCCATATGAGTAAGTTTTTCTCCTCTCTCAAACCTCTCAACCAATGAGCGTGTCCTCCCTGAGACAACTTTTACTGCAAACATAGCAATTTCAATTTTTAAGGAAACTATAATCAACAAACTTAAATGTTACCAAAGATAGACATAGTTTTGAACTCCTAACCTCCTCCAACAATATTCATTGGATTCAGTTCTCTGCTGCCTCCAGGGTATACAGTGTCTACATTAACGAAATTATAAACCAGCCAATTACTAATTAATTGTGGTCTCAAAACCAAGTGAACCATAAAAGACTACAGATGATGAACAATGTGAGGTAAGATTTAGGAGTATATAAAAAAAAAAAATTGTAGCAACCAAATATAAGCCAAAGAATCGTCTGCTGTTTTATTTATCCTTCTCTAAAATTATTTCACATTGTAGCTAAAGAATATATGTCTTTTGGCATAATAGACTGTTTTTTTATAACACGCCTATTTAGCAGAGTGCAAGACACAAAGCCAGTCACACAAGTTGCATAAGTTTTTCTATTGACTGTCTTAGCAAAAAATGCCAAAAATTAGTCAGAACTTACCTTTCTGTTCGTCACCAGTTTTTTCTGGCAAGAAAACTCTTTCTGTTTTGCTGGAAATGTTCTGGTTATTGATGTCCTCTCTAAATAAGTTTCTACCTGTTGGCAAGTCTACGCCTCTTGAGTAATCCAACCCATCTTTGTTGTTGCCAAAAGTCTCAGAATCAATAGACATTGCTCGTCTTGACTCATTGCACTGATTATTTGATGATCTCTGTACACGAGGTGGTTTATGCAGCATACCTGAGGCAAGATTGCAGGGATATTGTAATAAATTAAATATCTGAAAGCTAAAGTTTAATGTAAGTAAAGTGTCAGAACAGGGGAACCTACGATTCGCTTCATCAGTTCGTGGTTCAGATGATAAAACTTTTTCAAACTTGTCTGTCATACCCTTGATGGTAGCCTCTTCCGCATCAAATGGTTTACTACCACTCTGTTCTGAAAGGAACACATTTTGAGTGTGCGGCTCTGCTTCAACATCCAATCCACTGTTCTTCCGAGTTTCAAACTGAACAACCGCCGACTGCTTTGAATCTTCAAACTTTTCTCGAGTCTTTTTTACATGAGCTGGTTTTAGCAACATACCCGATTTTGTTCTTGAGAAACTGATAGATTCCCTTCCTGAATGAGAAGGTTCTTCTCCATTATCACTATCCCGCGATACGACAGTATGCATACTAGAATACTTATCCCCTGCTTGTCCAAAATTTGTTGCATTCTGCTTCTTGCTCGCCATATTAGAGATTTTTCCTAGTTCCAAAGGCAATGCCGGTTTCAGAGATCCTGGATTTTGCGCAACATTTATATTTCCGCCTGTGGCTTTAAATGAAGAGAGTTAAATTAGACCAGGGATAAGCACAGATAAGTGAATGCCTCAGAAAAAAAAATATGTTAATCTGGCAGACATCAAAGCCAAAAACTGACATCCCCCAAGTATTGTCTAAGACTATTTTGTTTCATGCAGTAAGGAATACTGCGATTTGCTTTTTTTTTTACTCATTTATGTCAATACTAACTAAATTTAGGTATAAACATAAAGGTTCACGGCAATATATTGTGACAACATGATTTAAGTCTACATACCTTTTTCTGTTGCTGATCACATAAGTTCATACTACAGTAGCAATGGTCTACATTGGCAAAAACTTCTGACTAAGTCAAATAATTTTTTCAATCATTCATCCAAGTGCCAAGATAGCAACTAAATAACCCTCTTATATCAGATGTGATTTATACTGGCAGATAAAGGCGTAGCATTGATCTGGCATACCACACTTGAAAGGACATAAACAGAAAAACAAAATTAACTTTCACTCACAGTCAACGTATATGTTTTTGATCTCTCGTGTCTCATAATCTGGTGATGAACTGCACCTTGGGCCACTTCCCATTCTCTCAGAGGACTGATCATCCAAGACACTGAATCTTTTCACCATGCATCCATTATTATCCTCACATCCAGCTCCATATGGTTCAAGTTGCTGCTTACACCGAAAGGAAAAGGAAATGCACACATACTTTTTAAGACATCCAAATTTCTTATTTCACGCTAGGTATGGACAATCACATAGGTTACACACCGATATTTCTGAGACCCAAATCCCAACAGAATTTCGGTAATATGAACAACCAATGAACTTTCCTCCATTGATGCAGAAGTCACCAAGTGTTGACCATCCCATATCGACACCATCCTGGCAAATCACTGGTTCCCATGAATAAACCTGCATTATGAGCATGAACTTATGATATTAATGTTTGACTCTGGAGTGGACATCATCTAATTTGTATAGTTGATCACTAAGACAATCAAAACCTTCAAGCCATCATCCAATCCACAGAAAAGAGTTTGTCCATCTGGATGAAACGTGATTGCACGAACTCCAGTAGCCTGTGAAACAAAGGACATCACATGCCAGAAAGAAAGTTAAAAATAGTGCACGTAAAACTAAGTCTTATGGGAGGACTGTAAAGTGAACACAATGCTAAAAAAAGACAGGACAGAATAATAACAAAACACAAGGGTGGGTACCTCTGGTCTAGTAGATCCAATCAGTTCAAACGTTTCCAAATCCCAGAATTTCACAGTCCCGTCAGCAGAACCTGAATATGAAAGGGAAGTATATGAAGTCAGGAGACCTCAAAACAAATCTTGTGGATGTAAAACGGAAAATTATCAATTAATTGAAAGCTTCCACCAATTAACCCCTAAAACAGTAAAACGCATGAAAAGAAAAGCCAAAAAAAACTCACACCTGTGGCTAGGAGAAACTCAAGCGGATGGAAGTCTAGTGAACGGATAGGTCCTTCATGAAATTTAAACTCATGCAAGAGCTTTCCAGCAGTCAAATCCCATACCTATTGAGTACAATAAAGAGTACATTGCTATAAGAATAATCATAAGTGAACAAAACAATGCACAAGCTCCACTTGTTGCTCTTACCTTTACAACGTTGTCAAGTCCTCCAGACACTACCCAACGACCATCAGGACTAAATTTGATAGTGGTAATGCCACGAGTATGACCCTTGTACGTTTGGATGCATCCCTTCTTTCTGGTATCCCAAACCCTTAGATTTGTGTCACTGGATCCCGAAGCAAGAAAGTCACCAAATGGATGAAACTCAACAGCACAACAATTGGATCTGTGTCCAGTAAAAGCTCGAACCACTACACTTAAAGAGCAAGAATGAATATATTAGGCCTCATTATTTGGAAACTAACCATCAATCACAGGACTTACAACTCCCAATGCCTCTAATATAATATAGGGGTAATAAACGAGAAGAGAATTCAATCAGCTTACTCTTTGCTTCTTGTAGATCCCACAGCTTTATCAAACCTGAAGAAGCTCCAGCTAGCACCAAAACTTCTGCCGAGTTAAAAGCTAATGAGTCAACCGGGCTTGTATGCCCACAAAGACTCTGCCAACAACACGGGAAAGAAAATATCATCATTGTTCTACCAAGAGAAACAAGAGCACAAGTTATTCCATGTTTAAGACCAAGAGACACCACAATTTTGACAAAATACTGAGCATTTTCAAAAACATCTGCTAAATCTAGCTGAGATAGCTATAGTAATGGCTTTAAAAGGTTAAAAAGTTAAAAGCTTTTAAAAGGAAGATTACAAAGGAAGACCAACGAGGAGGAAGATATTAGAAAAGAGAGAAATGTGAAAAGATACCATAAGCGAAGTGGTTTTGCCGATGGACCAAAGGTTGACCTTATAATCATCTCCACCGGTTAGAAGGAGCCGTGATGTCTTCTTTCCGATACTTAGACAATTCACATTTCCGGAATGTGCCACAAACTCCTCTAATATCCAAAATCAAAGTCAAGAACAAACCAATGTAGCTATATCACAGACAAATCATATCAAGACAAACAGAGAAAATCCAAAAGTAACGTCTCTCTTTGTCTTCTATCATCTGATCTCGGTTTGGTTTTGAGATGACAGAGCTAGAAATCATAACCCAGGAGCAGAAATATCATTGAAAAGATTCAAACTTTGTCATATAACAATTTACCAAAAAGGGAACACAAAACCCCACCACCAAATGCAGATAAACCCTAATGCTACAGTGATATAATTACCGCAAATTCCCTTATTAAAGTTAAGAGGTGAAAATAATCAAAAATGTAAGCTAAAGTTTGTTTCTTTTTTGTATTCAGGTTCTAATAACTTTTAGTATAAGGATACGCAGCTTATAACCACGATTCGCCATGTTTCTAGTCGATTTCAGTAGATTCATACGACGATTGCATAGGAAGAGGAAGAAGAAGCTTAGACTAAAATCTCCAGCCTTGGTTTCGTAGCTGGGAACCAAAGTAAAAATAAATTCAAATGTGACTAGACGACAACAATACAGAGTTCAAAATTTCTCGGAGATTCAAAAAAAGAAGAAAAAAATAGAAACTTGAGACAAGAGAGATTACTTCCTGCTAAGATTGAAACTAAAGCAGAGCTTTGGAAGCAAAAGAATGAGATTATTTTTGAAAGAGTGGCACGAGCAGACGAAAAAACAGAGACGAGAGTTTAGATTTTTTTTAAAAAGGTAAAGGGAAGAACTTTTCTTTCGACCTTTATCAGAATCTGTCATTTTCAATTTCAGTTTTTAAAAAACATTTTCCGGTTGTTGTGGTTTTATTTTATTTTATTTATTTGCGTCATTGATTATATTGGTTGAAAATTTCAAGAGTATCGGAATGACGAAAATATCCTTCATTTGTCATACTAATCGTATTTAACTATTTAGAAAGCTGCTTAATTATCAACATTATTACCTTATTACAAAAAAAAACTAAAAAATAAAGCACTAACAGAAATCAAATGACTCATGTAAAATATATAGTTTTTATCCATGATCGAGTCTAACAGGAAAAGACAAATGTGAATAAATATTTTCGGTAAGTCATTACTGGCTAATCGCAATATATGATTAGATTAACCCTAATTTTTTTCTTAAGATGTCAGTCAATCACAGTTTGATTGAAACGAACAAAATTAATAATACTCGTCAACTACAACGATCGATCTCATAATTAAGATTGAATGTATCAGTCATACCAGCTCTATAACATTGAACAATATATCTACAACTAGATCACTACCATACCGGTCTATGCGTATGATTTGCATACACGTTATTGATTTTGTATACACATCTGAAAAAATCAATTATCTACGTTTGGTTGTGGATATATAATTGATCGCTTTATAAACTAATGTAGCTCGATCACCTTGTTATCGAAGTTTATCATGTTTTTATACAGTTTATACATGTGTTTGTGTTTAAACGTTCAATATAATGTTCAAACTTTTCTTGTCGACTGTGTTATTATAATCAAAGTAATGTTTTTAAATGTTAATATGAAAACAGTTAAGCAAACACTGACTAATATTGGGTTGACAAAGAAAAAACAAAAACACAAAATCGAGGAAATGAATCGTGGTTAGTAAATTTATATTGGTGTGGGGATCAAAGTTGAGCTTCTGGTTGGTATGATCTGTAGCATTTGCTTTATATATTGTATTAAATTGAATTGGTTCGTTAAAAATGGTTAGTGTGTGGTTGTATTAATTTGTTTCTTTTTCGGACATAACCACAACATGATCTAGAAGTGCTTCCCATGTTTAAAGCTTTCTTGTACAAAATGGGTCAATCTCAATCAACAACTTTATTTGGTGGCATGTAAAAAAAAAAGAAAAAAAAAGAAAAACAGATCAGTTATTTCTATAAGAAATGGTTGGTACTTAATTCTACGGATTGATTGACATAAAAACTGAAATTAACTCAAACCAAACTTTCGATTTCTCAGATGTTGTCTGTAAATTATTCCATGGATGGCAAACTTTATGGATTTTGAAAAGTACAACTTATTATTGAGCACTAATATCAAAAGTTCTAAAGTACAACTTTTTATTCAGCAGTAATTAAAACAGATTTTTTTTTTTTTAAATCAATTTTACATTCTATTTTTAAAAAAGATAAAAACAAAGCTCGATAAAACTTTACGTATAAACCACGTAGAAAATTTTAATCTTAAATACTTGCAATAACATGTTTTATTTGATAAATGAAAATAGTATTAATTTAATTTTTCTTACTGTTTTATTTGATATTCCATATTTTAATCAGACACTGTATATTTGATTTCAATTCATACATTTCAAGAATAGTATTGAAAACGAGAAAGAAACATTGTCATACATATTTCATTTCATATCAGTTTAAAGATCAACCTGACAACCTGTCTTCATTATTTATTTATTTTTCTAAAGATCTATCTTTTAATTAAATGTGTAGATCCCTCATTAATTATCGAATCAATTTTCCATAAGTAAGATTTTAAAGTTTAGTATATTCCATATATGAAACAGCAATATGAGCAAGAAAGACAGTAACTATCTATTATACAGAGTGGTGGTGATCGTATTTGCATATATATATGTATATATATCTTTTACTTTTGTTAACATGTAAAATATGGTATTAACAAGTTTCTGTTTACGAGATATATCAACCACTTAATTAGGGATTCGTCAAGGACACTCACTGATCACGACTCTTCTATCATATTTTACTCTGAAGATTCTTTCACATATTCTTACGTGCGTTTCTGACCTCTTCGGTGCCTTTGGCTTGTTAGTTGTTGTTTTTTTTTTTTTTTTTTTTTTTTTTTTTTTTTTGGCTTGTTAGTTGTTCCCTTCAATCTTCATATTAAAGTTACACTTTGCGAAACCACTCATCTTTTAGGATTTCGGTATAGTCATTCAATCATATAACTTTCGTGTATTGGTGTAATGAAACTTAACGTTGTAGCCAATGCGTAGTTACTAATTCTTTTTCGCTGGATCTACAGATTGGGAACGTTTCCGGTGTGATTTTGATCAATGGCTGGAACTGAGAGTTCAGAGAAGCCAATTTTTAAGCTGACACTTCTGGTCGACACGGAAAAGAACAAGGTTGTCTTGGCTGAAGTCGGTAAAGATTTTGTTGATGTGCTATTTGGTTTTCTGGCACTTCCGATGGGTACTATTGTGAGACTGCTTGAGAAATATAAGGAGAATCCTGCTCCGATAGGCTGTTTCAGTCATCTATACAAAAGTGTTGTTGATATGGACAAAGATGATTTCATGACGGAAGCTTGTAAGGATTTGCTTTTGTATCCGAGGCACGTGAAAGAGAAGCTATGCAGACAGCTTAAGATTAACATAGATGATGATGATCATAGGAGTAATTTGAGGACGGATGATGAGTGCAAAGTACCTGAAGGTGGTTGTGATGAATTCTTTGTCACCCCGAAGAAGGCTTTCATCATTACCGATAATATGGACGAAGTGAAACATGCATCTATGATTCACGCGGGGGGTACACTTCTAAGACTCGGTTATAATGATCTATCTATGTTGAAGACCATGTCTGTAGATGTTAATCACGAAGAGGTAAACTACATTTGTGGAATCACTATTACATATGCCATCGTTACTACTTTTGTCCTTAATTATTTGCTCTCCACTATAAATGAAAATTTGATTCCAGGTTATATCTCTTCTCCATTGCTTGTTCTCTTCGGAAACCCCTTTCACTGATGTCTTCTTGAAGAAGCATATCTCTTGTGGTGTGCCGACAAGTTTGCATGACATGCCAACTCTACGCGTGAAAGATGAAGGTGAAGCTGGACCAGATGGAGTTGTGTCACTCACTGCATTCATTAGGAAGCAGGACATGAAGATTCTTTATGCTGAAAGCGGAAAAGACTTTGTGGATCTTGTTTTCAGCTTCTTGGCTATCCCTTTGGAGTCTGTATGGGAAGTAACTGGAGGCAATTTCGAGCTAGGATGCGTTGGTAACTTTTGTAAAAGCATGAAGACTTTGAGCTCTAGCGGAGGAAATGCATCTAGTTACACATGTATCCTTCCTAGGGAATATAGGTTGTACAAGTCGTTGCTTGGTGCATGTTACCGAAACGATGATGATAGTTTTAAACTGATACCTCATAGTAGCAGTGGGATTGAGAAGAGAGGGGCAACGTACATTGACTCAGATGGTCAAACTATTTGCATACCGAAGAGCTCCGTGGAATTCTATGATTTTAAGGTATGTTATATATTACTTAATACTCCTATTCTAAATAGTACTGATATATGTTGTTTTGAACTCAAATTAATTATATTGAATCTTACACTAAAGCAGTATTACAGAGTAATTATACCAGATGAATTTGTTGATGAACCCCCGGGACCTGTTAGTTTTCTTGTTGAATGTCCCACGGTACCGGTTAGTAGTGGGTTTGTTAAGAGTGGGGAACCATATGTGATCTTTGATGATCTTACCATCCCAGATGCAAACTCATGGTCAACTCTTTCCTTACTGAAGAAGTTGGACACGAACTTGGATGATATAGAGAAACAAGTAATTAACATCACTGAAGCAGAGGTATGATTTTTTACTTTTCTTTTCTTCCGATTGTTCACCAAAACTCATCAACTTTCAATAACTTTCTCTTTTTGTTTCTCAGTTAATTTTGTTGAGTTTGACTGTAATGCAGGCTATTAGTTTACTAAAAGCTTCGTTGGTGACATCCACTGCTTTGACCACCGCTCTCGGGAACTTACTTTTTTAGAAGCCTAAAGTGGAAAGAGTTTAAGGCATCAATGGCTTTGTCGGGCAGGTTGATCTTGAAGGCAGGCTTTTTGTTTCTTGAAACCATTGATTTTTCTCTCTTCTTCTTGACGAGTTATATTCGATATTACAACACTTTTGGAAGATTATGGCTTTTCAAAACTGAAAGTTTCATCGTATTTTGATCTGTGAGGGTAGTAATATCAAGCGGTGCATAGTCATGGGGAAAGATCAAAACAGTTATAAAACGAATCTACTACCCTATATTTACTTATCTGAGATTACCGAGTGCTTTAACTTTAAGGAGCCATATTTGGGAACGTCAAAAGGTTTTGATGTCTTGATTCATCAATTCATACTCCTTTATTCATTCTCAGTAGCAAAAGTCAAAAATGTTTCTCGAAGACTGTAACCTTTGGGAACTCAAATCCTCCGTTGATACAAGTCCGTAACGTATGTGCAGTAAATAACTTTTAACGAATTGAATGTAATTTACTTGGTTTCCAGGTAATCTCAAGCGATAAAGAGTCATGCAGAAGGTTCAAAGGGGTTATATATACTTCTGGTTCTCTTCTGTCTCAGTATATTTCAGACCTGAAACGTTTTTTCCCAAAAGATTCTAAACTTGAGACACTAAATATTCTTTTTTTGTCATCTCGCTTTTTACTTGGTGGATCTTCCATGGCTGGAGCTGAAAGTTCAGAGAAACCAGTGTTTAGTCTGAGACTTCTGGTCGACAAGAAGAAAAACAAGGTTGTCTTGGCCGAGGCTGGTAAGGAATTTGTCGATGTACTCTTCAGTTTTCTTACACTTCCTATGGGTACAGTTGTGAGATTGATTGAGAAATATCAGAAGAATCAAGTATCTGATAGGCTGTTTCAACAATCTCTACAAAAGTGTTGTTGATATGGGCACCGCTAATTTCATGACGGAAGCTTGCAAAGATCTGCTTTTGTACCCGAGAAGCCTGATGGATAATCAACGCAGAGGGCTTAATCTTAACATAGATGATATTGAGATTCTCAAGGACTACACGTGCCCGAATCATTACCTGTATTATTCTAACTTTCGTTCCTCAAGATGTGGTTTTTGTGGAGCACTGATGACGAAGGAGTTTAAACCAGATGAGGAAATATTTGTGAGCCACAAGCCCTTATTCACCATTACTGACAATTTGAAAGTGGGATTTACTTCTATAAGTCATACCCTGAAGACTCTCAAAGTGTCGGGCTATTCTGGCGCTGATCAGCTGCATGGAATGCATGTAGAAGTTGATCACGAAAAGGTACCATTTTATAATTGACTTTTTTTCATTACATGCCATTACATGAACCTTGATTTCCCTCTTATTTATGCAAATTCCAGGTACTAGCTCTACTGAAGTGCTTATTCTCTTCAGATACTCCCTTGACTGATGTGTTCTTAAAGAAAGATAGATCATGTGTCATTTCAAAGGTGCTTAACATGTCAAGTCTAGCCGTGCAAGAAAAATCTGGCGGTTTAATTCAATCAAACAATGTAATGTCGGTCAGTGTTTTCACCAGAAAACTGGACAAGAAGGTTCTCTATATCGAAAGTGAAAAAGACTTTGTTGATCTTCTTTTAACTTTCCTGGTTCTCCCTCTGAATTCTGCTTGGAAATTAGCTGGAAGCAATCTCGTCCTAGGATGCATCGATAACTTGTGCGAAAGCTTTAAGAGCTTGAGCTCTATTGAAGTGAGAAATGCATTGAACAACAAGTGTATGCTTCCTTGGTATTATAGTTGCCAGCAACCTCTGCTTGATGTTTGTTATGCAGACCGTGATACGAATTCTGTTTTAAAAGATTATATATTGGTTAAACCGAGGGATCCAAAGTGTGGTGACATTGCTGAAGTTGGAGGGTATAGTGGGTTTGTGAAGAGAGGCACAATGTTTATGGTCTCTGATGATCTTACTATCACACCTATGGATTTATTATCAGCCATTTGCTCACTGAAGAAGTGGAACTTGGACTTTGATGATATGGAGGAGCGAGTTATTACAATTAGCACAGCAGAGGTATGTTGTATGTATCAGTCTGTATGTATGTATAAATGTTCTTTCAATGTATCCGTGCGTTTGTTAACTCCGTTGTTTATGACCCTATTACAGGCTATCCGACTGTTGAGAGCCTCATTGGTGACATCCAATGCCTTGAACACAGTTTTTGAGAGCTTACTCCTGAAGAAACCGAAAGAAGAGATCTAAAGCATCATTCCATACTTCTGTTTGATCTGATTAATTTCAGTTTTAAGATTTTTTAATTTGGAGTAGCAGTTGAATGTACCTGAATTTTCAGTTTAAATATGTATAATGCTTAGCCAGTGATGGGTTGGGATAATCTAATGTAACATGCATGATGACCCACCACATATTTGATTTCCATACACCCAACAAACACAAGTGTGATTATATTACAAAAGAAATAGGCTCTGAGATTAAGGATGATGTTGAAGCCCTAAGAACAAGAATCTGATAACAAAATATTGGTCGTAGGCTTAGAATGTATATCTTAGATCATATGTTGAAGATCTTGGACAATTTCTGATATCGGCGGCCTGAATCCTGGTTCCATCTATAGACAAAAAGATCATCAGGCAAAGATGTCAAGTGTGTTTGGTTAATTTATCTGGTGGCAAAAACTGTCGGCATGACATTGCTTTCTCATTTAGTTTGGTGATAAATGAGGTGAACTTTACCTGCAATGAACGTGATATGATGTCTGCAAAACGTGACAAGGATTTCATTGGATATGCTCCGTGTAGCGACGGATCAACCATTCTAGTTAACGCATCGATATCATGAAGTCGAGGAATTGCCCACTGAGCTAGTGTCTGATGTCCCCTAGGCCTTGTCCTGCATAAACCAGGGTATTATTGTCTTCAGTTAGTATAAGTGAAACAAGTTCTCTTCTGTATTTAGAATCTTGTATGGGTTCCATCAGTTGTCTCTCTAGAATGTAAAACCTGTCAAATGGTCTGCGTCCTGTAAGCAGTTCTAACATCACAACCCCGAGGCTATATACATCGCTCTGACAAGTGTAGCTTCCATACTCGACCTCAGGAGCAGCATAACCCGCCATCTACAATTTTATAAGCAAACATTATTTTTGCTCTTACACTACTCCCTCGTCACTCTCATGTCAGAATTCAAAACCTTCAAAAAAACATTTTGAAAAAATACCTGACTCGTTGGCCGTGGTGGTAACATATAAGCCAAACCACTGTCTGCAACACGTACTGAGAGCTTTCCATCAAGGAGAACCTTGGAAGACTTGAAATTCTGGTGTACAACCGGCGGTTGACATACCTCGTGAAGAAACCTGAAACCAAACTCTAAGATCCTAGATGTTCCAAATATAGATTGGCATAACATCTTGAGGTTCTTTTACTTACTGCAATGCCTTTGAAGCTCCTAAGGCAACATTTATACGCACATTCCAAGTGAGCTTCTTGTGCAACTTGCGATCCAAATGTAGTGCATCTTGAATTGATCCGTTAGGACAGTACTCATACACAAGTAGCCTTTGACCAAACTCGTTACAGTAACCAAGAAGCTCCAATATAGGACCACGTTTAAGCTTCAACACATTGGAGACTAAATTGAGAAATTCACCATCACTCTGCGTTCTATTGATGGTATTGCTCAGCTTCTTCACCGCAAGAAACTACAGATCACAAGATGTCAAGAAGTAAATAAGAATGCACAGCAACATTGTAAGACCAAATGATAAATAAGAGGAAAGTGTAACACCTTTCCGTGACGAAGCTCAGCTCTGTAAACATTACCAATCGACCCTTCCCCGATTATGTTCTCTTCTGAAAAATTATTTGTGTACTGCTGAAGTGAAGCAATGGTGAAAACGGTAGCAGAAGATGAAGTATTCAAGCCCGGGGGAAAATGAGCCGCTCTCTTTGAAGCAGCATCGCTGGACTGGAACTGCCTAGGTGGTTGTTGTAGCGGTTTTTGTGGTGTATTAACATCCTTATTATAGTATGAAGTAGGAGGTATTGCTCTCCGGCTCTCTTCAGGCCGTGGTGGCATTGGATACCCATATTTCCTGTCTCCAGTTCCATATCCATCATAAGGCTTAACCATGGGCTCCCGAGAAACTGTAAAACAAAAGAAAACACTCGTAGCATTTTTGTGGATAGCTAATGAGCCAAATCACAAGTTCCTTTTGTTCTTGGAAAGAAAAGAATCAGTCTACCTTTTCCCATAATGGGGGTTGGTTGAGATGGAGGTTTATTGAAGTATGGTCGTTGTAAATCTTTACGAGGTTCACGGTAATATCGGTTAGATAGTTTACTTCTGCAACATCTCCATAGTGTAACACACAAACCCGATACAAGAACAATTATGGCGACAGAAGAAACCACTAGAATGATTCTTTGCGTGGACCAGAACTTTCCTGATCCCGAACCTGAAGGAGGTGATATTTGCAAGGTAGGTTGCCCCGAGCCGGAGTTCCAGGTATCTCCTCCTCCTCCATTATCAGAAGGCGGTGACCAAACCAAAGGTGGTGATGGTGGTGGTTGTTGTGGTTGCAGTGGAGCAAATGGGGCAAAAGGAGCAGGGGGAACACCAGAAACAGGAGGGACACGAGCAACAGGGGGAGCATGGTGAGTAGCGGGAGGAGGAACAACCACAGGCGGAGGAGGTGGAGTTATAATCGAAGTATTGAACGGAGTTCCATCTTTTCTGCGGTTAAATGAAGATGAAACTTGAATGGCTAAAGAAAAGGGGGAAAAACAGTCTTTCTTATTAATACTTACTTGAAATTTGGAATTTTCAATAGATTTGCCGGTATAGGTCCTGAGAATAAGTTGTTTTCTACATTCCTGAAACAAAGATATGAGAAAACCTTACTGAGTTACCGATGATGGCTTTACGGTTGGAGAGTCAAGAACAAAGAGTATGCAAGGGCAAATAAAAGATTACAAATCAGTCAAGAAAAGATCCTCTATAACATCAAGTTTTCCAGTGAGCTTGTTGTCCTGCAAATGCCTGCAGTCCAACCACATTAGATATAAATGCAATAATAACAAAACTTTTCCAACGGTTTCATATTCCAAAATATGTGCACTTACAAAATCTTAAGAGATGCTAAGTCTCCCATGGAGGAAGGTAGATGCCCGGTCAGTATGTTAGACGATAAGTCCCTGCATTTAGAAACTAAACGCGTAAGTGAAAGACCACAAAGGGTGGAAAGAAAATGAGATATAGAGAGGAGCAAACATACAGTTTTGTCAGTTTTGATAACTGCTGAAAGTAATCTGGTATATCTCCTGATAGAAGATTGTTTCCAAGTAACCTGGAGGAAAAAGAAAGAGTCTGCTTTAACCAAAGGAGAGATCGCAGAATGTGAGAAGCAGTATCTATCTTATTCAACAAAGACTTACAGCTCAGACAAATCGGATAGAAATGACAATGTAAAGGGAATATTTCCAGTGAAGCGGTTGCCCGAGAGAGATCTGAAACAAGAAAATGAAACCAAAAATGGAGTGTCTTTTAAACTGTTCAAACATAAGTATTGCCATAAACAAAGTCAAGTCTCAAACGCACAGGTTTCGGATGGAAGAAGGCAAAGCCTGCGGAATTGTCCCTGAGATATGATTGCTACTGAAGTCCCTGTCCATTAAAACAAGGAATAGAGAAAGAGTATTATAAAGCAAATAAGCAAACCTTAAACACCTACTACAGATCAAACTATAGCCAATGGTAAAATCTTGTATATTCTTTATATAGCAAGAAGCCTCTGAAGAAACATGGAGATGAAACAGAACAAGACAAGAAGCTTTGCTTACATCACTTGGATAGATGAAAAATCAGCCAAAGTATCACTTAAGCCTCCACCAACCTTCATGCCGGGTATCCTTCTGCAGCCAACAACAATAGTCACCTGGTCAGAACCTGAATTGTTGACTCTAGAAGCAAACCATAACAAAGGATTGCAAGAACAGAAGAGGAAGTATACATTTCTGTGATGTTTGAGGAGTCACAAACAACACCTTCCCACTTTTCTCCACAAGGGTCTCCTCCAAATGCAAGCCACCGATGTAGAGATGGTGCGCCCAAAGTGATGTACAAGTTATTAATCGCCGAAACTGCAGAGGTTAAACAACAATCAAACCCATCACAATATAATAAATTAATATTTACACAATTTTTCTAGAGATAAAGGAATATTAAGGAATGTTTCTATAACCAATTAATGAAGAACAGCAAGAACTAATTTCCTGGTCTTGAACTAAAACCCTAACAAGAGCTTATGTATCAAAAAAACAAAACTTTAGGGTTTTTGAGATTAGCCTCAGAATGGTAGATTCTGCCTAGACAACTCTATTGTTTACCCTAAAACTGATATAAGTCATTTTCACTTGACAGAAGTCAAAATCTAGAGTGTTCACAAAACCAAAACAAGGAGACAAAGCAAAACCCAAAGTGAAGACTTTGCAGAGAGAGATTATTACCATCTCGTAGATTAGTGACTCCAGCTGAGAACGGCATTGTCAAGGCCAAAACAGAGAGAACAAAGAACACTTGCCATCTTGTAAAGCTCATAGCTTTAGCCTCTACTGAAGCTGGGAACACCCTTGTACTTGGATTAAACTGTTTTGTTTCCAAGGAAACTTTTGGAAAAACAAAGAATGTGATGAAAACCCTCAGGAAGAAGAAGGGTGAAAACAGGGATATTCCTGATTAAAAGCTAAAGTGAATCATTATTTCGTCGGATTTTAAGGAGAGAGAGAGAGAGCAAGAGAAAGAAAGAGGAAAGAGATGAAGGAGTGAGAGAGAGAGTAGTGTGGTGTAGTGTAGTGTGTTTTGTCTCGAAGAACGAGCGGCTTACAAAAGCCAACGGCTTTGTTTTTCTCAGTTTAAGCCTTCCAAGGTTTCGTCTCAAAGTGTGAAACAGAGAAAACTTGCCAAGACTTGTCTCTCTCCCTCTTTTATGTTTCTTTTTTTTTTTTTTTATTGTCGCTATGCTGCATTTCATCTAACTATAGTTTCCTCTCATGTATTTTATTTTGGTATTTTCTAATGCCATCAGGTATAAGAGAAGTGAACATGTCATTTTGATGCAGATAAAATTCTATATTCGATTACTTCACCTATTAAATCCAAATAATGTAACCTCAGATTTTATCACTTAATTTCAGTGAGATGGGCCAAGAAAACAGTTGAATTGAAGAAAAGCTCTGCGACTTCTTTAATGGAAGAAGGAGAGAGTGAGACCCTACAAGGTCAAAATACCATCATTTTCATCACACGCTCATTTTTTTGCTCTCTTTTTTTCTTACAGTTTTGAGTGCTTCTTCTTATGCTACAGTTAAACTACTTAGAAAGTTACAATGTTTAAGGTTAAAGCTGAAGTTTAGTATAGATATGTTTAGTTAATAGTGTTTTACCAATGACTTAAACTGAAATATATGAAAAATTAAGAAGGTAGTAAAATTTATGATTACACTTTTTTGTTTTTTTTTATATTAACAATTAAGAATAATAGTTTTGTGTTTACAGTTACAACTAACAATCACTATTTATCAATTTCTCTGTAATGCATATTTTAGATTTGTAAAATAAATTGTTGGTTTGATGTGGATGGAGGATTTGTGAACAATTCAATAGTAATAATATAATGGCATGCCATCATGATCCAGTTTACATGATGAGTGTAATTTTGATATTCACATGAAGACCCAAATTTAAATAACAACAACACTAAATTGTATGGATCAAGAAAGAATCGTTAACTTCCTAATACTCAATTTTTTTTTATTGTCTACAAAACTTGGTCGACTGTAATTTACGCGTAACACAACACCTACTAGACTAATGTTAACGATGCTAGGGCCTAGCAAACAAAACACAACCATTCTAATGGGCTAGGAAAAAACATATGGGCCTAAGTTGGTTAATGATATAATGGTTAAAGGTTCATCTCGTAGCCTTTTTACGCAATGAGATTGATTTGCAACGGCTACTATAAGACTGAGGATAACCTCTTTTATATATATAACCGAACTCGAACGGAAGACCATATCAAACAACAAAATTTTAGATTCACTTTCATTCTTGTACTTTCAAAGATCAGTTAACCCAAATCGATTATTTGGATTATTGAAGGTTATAAACCACTAATCAAAAGAATCAATTCAAACATTATGTTAGTATGAATAATGATTGTAGTTTTGTAGGCTTTGTAGCTCACTTATATACTTACTAAACTTTTAGTTACGAGATTGAGAAAAGTATTAGAGAGTGAATTCAAAACTATTGGTCTCTTTCTTTAAAAAAAGTGCTTAGACAAAATATAGATACTGTAAATGTAAAGTTAGGCTTTATATAATTTTTTAGCATGGGTCTCTCATTACCCAAAAAAGGCGAAACATATAGTATTAAAAAAATGCAACGATACTTTTTTTATGGTCACCTGTTAGACCAGAGGATCCAAGGAACAATATTTATTTGAAAGAAAAATAAACTATGGTTTATCTATTAGCTACGTACACACTTGCATATATTTTTGGTTTCAAATTTTTGTTTTTGGTTATACATCGTCCCCAGCATTTTCTGCCCTACCATTTTATTTATCCGTTATAAATCTTTCCAGTCTTCGAAGAAAAGCTAAAGTTGCATGAAATTGTGAAAACACCAAAAATAATTTGGATGATCCGAGTGCTTCTACCGTATCTGTATCGAATAATTTAGGACACGTGAATACATTAAACTTAATACTTCCATCCACTTCTTGATTAGTTATTATATTTGATCAGAGTTGGTGTGGTTTTATTGTATTTTCACTATTTCTCAATATGCACAAGTGTGTGATGCAGTAACTTTCTAGAGAATTAACGGTAAAGAAACTTTTACTTTTATTTTATTTTTTTATCGCCGGAAATTATTCAACAAATTCATCCAATGAACTAGTTAACGTGGGTGCACAAAAAAAAAAAAAAAAAAAAAAAAAAAAAAACTAGTTAACGTGAAGTGGGGTGCAAAAAGACAAGCAAAAAAGCGTTAATAAAAGCAAAATCTTTCTTTACAATGCTCTCTCCAAAAGATGAGCCTACAAAAGTTTTTTTTAAAAAATACATCTTAAAAAACAAAACAAAAATGCTGTGGAAACAAAAAACAAAAAACATTTGAATGATTTACTAGACAAACCACGAAAATTGAATTTTTGTACTTTATAAAAGAAAGGAAATTTACTTTCTTACCTGGTAAAAGGAAGGATCCTAATTTTGTTTTACACACTATTGGAAGATAAACTAAGATGAAGAGTTTGTATTCTGTAATTTGATATTTAAGTACAGTAATGTTGTGATAGCTATTTTTATACACGAAATACTAATACAGAACATAGCTATTAAACGGTTCATGCAAAAACTAACAATTATTCTTAGACCCAATATAAATGAGAGAACAAAACTACTACTACTACTAATTATAGGTTTAGCCTGTTAGAGTCCTTTGTTTCCTTTTTTGTCGACATTATATTACACAAACATATAAGGTACATTGTTCCATGATATTGCAAAATTAGAGTGTATAAATGATGAAAACTCGATACATGATTTGAAATTCGTCGGTTGAGACGATCATGGTTTAATTGAATTTAGTGTATGGTAACTTTTCTTCAGGAGTCAAAGTTACGTGACTACTTTGCTTGCGTCTGATAATTTGACTGTCAGAAACAAAACATACATAATTGATGTCATACATAGCTAGAAGCAAAATCTTTTGCCGCCCTACTCACACTTCATATCCTAATTTATATTAATTTCTCCTTTTTTTATAATCAAATAAAAACAGAAAAACATTTTACAAGACACAACCAAACAGATCCTACTTGCACTGGCGAAGCATGTGGAGAAAAAAAACTGAGTAGATAAGATAATTTTCGAAAATTGTAAATTCCGATTCAAGTAAAAAATATTATAGATTCTCCCGGGAAAATACTATAGAAAGATGAAACACTCTAACGAAACAAGAGGGTTCTCGAACGTGTCGTCTGGGGCAGAACTGTAACTCCCAACTGAACCGGGCCACTTGTGATGATGATGATGACTACTCTCTTCCTCCGACCCGTTCTTATTCAAACCGGGTCTTACCCGACCCGGAGACTGGCTTGTTTTCCTCGTTGCTCCCCCACTGTCCGTACTTTGTTGACTCCGTGTTGGACCCATCGCGACGGACCTGCTCATCGCCGGCGACCTGGACCTTCTCTCGGATCTTTCAGTCGGATCTCTCTTACCCGTACCACCAGAAGGAACCAGCCTCACCGGGCCAGCTTCTTCTTCTTCTTCGGTGTTTCTCCTAAGGGGAGACATATCAGTTCTCCGGGTCGGATAACTAACCCTGACCCGGTTCCGAGATTTCGCCGGAGATCTCTGTCTAACTACTCCCTGAGGTTTCATCTGCTTCACTTCTTCCTCCTCGTACTTATTCACGATCGAAAGCAAACTCTCGCTCAAACTACTACTACACACCTCTGATCCTTTCTCCGGTTCAACCGAACCGTGCTCGGTCATAATAACCGGTTCTTGAGCTGCGTCGTCGACGATTCCGGGTTTCTTCTCCTCGTCTTCTTGAATCTTTGTCGACGTCTTCTTCTCCACCGTCGAATTGTCGTCAGAGAAACTGAACAATGTGGTTTCGGACAAGACTTCTTTGACTACCGTCTCTTCATCGACAACGGATGGAGGTGGTGCTGTGTTCTTGCCGGAGACGGTCTCATCTTTCTGGTCGGCGGTGGCTGAGCTGAGGCAGCAACCCATAACAGAGAACGTTGCCGTTTAAGTGGAAGATGATAATGATGAGCCTAGTAACTCTTTCTTGGTGCTATGTGTTATGTGATGGCAGCAGAGCAGATGAAGCTAGAGAGTGATCTTTGGGTATTTATTGGCATTTATATTTTGGATTAATTTAGAGACTATTTTGACAAACTAACTTTCACCCAAAAAAATTATAATATTTATTTTATTCAGAACAGTGAGACCAATAATGTTTTACGCACAAATGAATAGTTATAACCTGAAAACTGCAGATTTATTATAAATTAATCTTTAGCACATAAAAGTAAAGGATTAAAAAAATAATGAGGTTTTGTGACATAATTAATTTGTTGTACCAACGCGTCAAGTCGTTTGATTACACAACTGCTTGAAGAAAATTAAGAGAAGGACCAGTAAGTATAATTAACACATATAATACGGCCATGCAAAATACAATAAACTAAAGAATAAAGATTATATTATGACTTAATTAAAACGGTACAAAAGTAAATTAATGATGCTATCCACAAGAGTTTACGTAGGCTCCGAATGGTAACCATACCGCACTACAAAACCGCACCGCAACAGTGCTATAACAGTGTCAAAATATCTACATATACATATATATCTATATATTTTCGCTACTATTTGAACCGCACCGCACTTCTCCCGCAATGAAAACCGCAGTTACCATTCGGACCCGTAGATGTACATGTGACATTTGACAAAAAAGTACAATTTTGATTGTGATTCCGAATCGATAGAAAGTTACAAACCGTGAAATCGCGACTCTGATTCAGTCCACGAGTTACGATATGGAAACTTAGAACTATTTTTATTATTCATGAAACAAGTTCATTTCTTTTGACGCAAATAATATACGGTACACTCTCAAATTCAGATAAGCCAAAGAATTCGTATAAGTCAACTGTTCCGGAAAAATAATTGTACAACATATGACAGAAGTACCAATTTACATGACTAGACGAGAAATATGTTTAAACCATTTACCTAACAGTGGAAGTTCACAGTGACTGGTGACTACACAACGAAAGAGTTCTGTCTCCATTTCAAAATCCAACACAATTTCAGATTCTTCACTCACTAACATGAAGATTTCACCTAGCTCGAGATCACATATCAATCCAAATTAAACTACCTCTGGAGAAGAAAAATTAGCATCACCTAATAAAGAACTCAAGTTCGTCCACACATTACAATTAGTGTTTTAAACGTACTCTAAAGCTGCTCCACATACATGAACACTCTCTTTAGCTTTTCTTCTCAGCAACTACTACTAAGTCATGTAAAAAGCAAAAAAAAACAAAATAATTCAAGTCAAATCTTGAATAATATGCTTTAGGCTTTTAAGCTAAAGGGCATAAACCAGTTTTTGATCCTAATGCTATGTACACAAAATGCGGATAGAATAATCTCTCCGAACCCAATCAATATAGCCAAATCATCGGGAGAGAAAAAAAAAATTACAATACGAGGAAACTGAAACATCCGACGCCAAACTCAACTCAACTCAATGTGGTTGGTCGCTCGAATGTTATAAATATGCCAATGGTGAATGGTGAATGGTGATGGAGATGAATAAACAGCCTTCAACATTCTTGAATGGAGTTTGAGTTGGAGGAATCTCTTGATGAGCTAGGTTGATGCTGAGACTGTGAGATTTGTTGAGGAGGACAAGACACAGGCACTGGATGAGCGATGAATGTAGGGATATCATCTCCTGGCATCAATACAGATACCCCGTTTGAGTAGACAGTCATCTGCAAAGAAAAAGAATAAAAAATCACATTAACAACAGAGTGAAGAAGCAAAGATTCTCAAAAAAAAAAAGAATCTTGTTTGATTAGCCATGCAACAAACACATAAGCAAATGAGAATTTTGAGTGGGAGAAGACAATGACAGATCTAAACATGTGTCATTGTTCCCCAACAGCAACTCAGGTTAGGATGAAGAAAAGGGCAAACACACTTGGTCTTAAGTTTACCATTTATGGGTCCTCCCATGTTTTTTGAATGCTTCTATCTACTCTTTGATCACATGGTTTGTTTCATATCCATCTAAAATTAAGCTTCTTACGCCAGTCAGTCTATCAATCAAAATAATGACCTTTTCTCACAAGAAACTAAGGTATACGAAGAGCTTCCCATAAATAATCAAGATCCGGTTCATTAGAGATAAAGAGCTATTTTTCAAGTTCGAAACCCATTTCTCAAAGCACGCACATTCAAGTTTATATCTTTAGTGGGATTCCATAGACATTTGTAAACAAAGTTAAGCTAATGTGTAGTGCTAAAACATATGAGAGGCAAAGAACTCTCCAAGAAAACACATATATCTAAAAACACATTCAAGTTCAGATCTAGATTAAAATATCATTAGTCTCCACTAATCACTATGTCCTATTAGTCAAACTCTACAAGCTCCATGAAACTATGTAACAAAACTACTCAAGAAGAAGAAAAACAAGAATAGACTCTAGAATAGGAGAATTGTTAGGTTTCAAGAAAACTTGTGGGGTCATTTGTGTTCCTAGGAAATGTCAGTCACACATGGTTTCAGTCTTTGACGTTTAGACCTCGTCTTCCATCTACAACACGCATAGTTAGAATTATACGCGTCGACATCAATACTTACAAACGAATCAATCTTCTTCAACAAACAAAACTTTATTACACTTCTTTTTTCTTGTCTCCTTTGTCATTCATTACAAAGATGGAGAAGCAACAAAAAAAAAACAGAGAAATTCTGAATGACGAAAGAGATCAATGAATGCATCACCATTTTATACGTACATGTATATATATACACTCAACAGTGTGTGCATGTGTGAGTGAGGAAGCTTACGAGACATCTTTAAATGTTGATGATGTAAAAGCATGTGCAATGTTTGGTCTCTATCAATACTCAAATAGTACACAGAATCAAAAAAAGCCCTATGATGTTTTTCTTCTTCTGCTTTTGGAAATGGACGTGTTCACATCAAATATGAGTAATTACCCCAAAAATTAATCCAAAGACTGAAACTTTTTGTTACCATATTTGCTTCATTAACACACAAAATTAGTAGATTTAACGAAAATTTTCAAAAATCTGACATTTTTGCGGTTCATGTAAAGTGTCAACATCAGATTTACAAGATTAATCGCATAAAATAGAATTAAAGAACAATGAAATGTCAAAATGAGTCAGCATTTTTAATTAACACTAAGTAAGTAGACAATAATGCGAAAATTGAGGAATTTATGTTTACGAGCTTTATATTCTCAGAATTATTCAGACAAGAATAAAGTGAAAAGACTTGCCTTGGGAGATTGGTAACCGAGCTTGGTCGCAGCACCATTGTGAAACCCGACCCGAGGATCCATACCCGAAAGGACCCGACTTGAAGAGGAATCTGAGTGAGTAGCTGTAGTAGTGGTGGTACGAATCAGTCTCTCGAAGATAGCCATAACGAGGAACATAGAGATGAGAATGGCTGTAGCCACGAAACCAAAGGAGACAGCGTTAACAGAGTCGTCGAACTGAGATTTCCACGGCTCTTCTCGCCGGAGATTCATCGGAGCTCCAATAGGTGGCCATAGTTCGGTCTTTAGGTGCGAAAGGTCTCTCATTTATTGTGTTTAAGCAAAAGAAGCTTCAGTGTTCTTCGTTGTAGCGGTGAAAGCAGAGAGAGAGAGAGATGAAGAAGAAGGAGAAAAGAGAGGAAGCAAGTGGGGCTAAAACGTGAGAAAGTGAAAGTTTTGGGGATTTTAAGAGAAAAATTAAAAGAAAAAGAGAAAAAAAATTGGAACTTTTCGGGGACACACATGTTGTCCTTTATTGCACAGCTTTTCTCGAAAAAAAAAAACTTACAAAGAGAATAGTAAATTTTGTTTAAGTAAAGTAATTAAGCAGAATCTTTTTATTTTGAGCCATGACGAACACTTTTGTTACCTATTAAAGACAGGCGTGACTCGATGATTATTTTTTAATTTAACTTTATTGCTTAATCACTTAATCCTAAAGTACTTCAAGAAATTACTTTGGGTCTCACCAGAAAAAAAAAAAAAAAAGGTTACTCTGGGTTATTTTATTTCACCAATCAAAAGGCTAAATTAACTAATTCACCAGTAAAAAAACACATTTCAGTAGAAAATAACTATTCAGCTTAGGTTTGCTGGAAAACAAAAAAAACAGTAAAAACATAGTAATAAACTTTTCCTCACCACATGTAATTGGTATACAGATTAGTTTTTATGTATTTTTTCTTTGTTAGTTTGTTTAAAGTATTTTTTTTAAGTGTTGGTGTTGGATCTTGTACACAAAGTAAGTATAGGAAGAGCCCCATTGATATTAAAGAAATTGTTGAAAGAAGTCTCTTCGAGAGCTGAATAAACAATTGAGAAGTAACCAACCAAAGTCCAGTTCAAACCTCAAAACTTTAACAAGGTCATCTTGTCGAATGTCGACGACCCATTACATTACAACTCGAGCCATCTCATCGTGAAGTCATTGAATCTCAAATCTCGACTATAGTGTTTAGGACCTTGAGGTTAAAGTTAGTAAAAACATTACAATAAGTCAATAACTCTTTTCAATTTTTGGTATTATTAAACTAAAAAAATAACTTTAGTATTGATATTCCTATTCTTAGGAACAGAACAAAGTGAAATAAAATCTCAACAACAAACGAGATTTTAGTATATCCGATTTATTAGTCAAAATTTTGATCTTTCTTAGATACACTCAATTCAAATTTTTAAAATGAGTCAATCCCTAACACAAGATTAATTTTTAAAATGAGTCAAATTTTAGTATTATTAACACAAGATTGTGGATTTTTGGGATTTAGTTATTACTTTTTTGAATTACCAAGCAAAAAAAAAATGGTAAATTTAAAAGGAAAAAAAGAATATTGATTCGTTAAGATAGTAGGAGACAAAGACCAAACAGTTGAACAATAAGATAAAAAAATAAAAAAAAATAAGAAAGAAGAAACAGAGTATCCGAAAATGATGTTTTAGGCACTCTGCCCAAAGTTTCTTCTTCTTCCTCTTCCTCTGTTATATCTCTTTCTCGTGACCCCCAATGTAAATTCCTCGCACGAATTCAACTCCCTTATACATCAAAAAGCTGCTAAGTCTTTTCCTTCAAATCCACCTCTCTTCTTCTTCTTCTTCTGCTCCTAAAAAGATCATAACTTTCACCCATTTTCAAAAGACCCTTTTTTAATAGCTTAAGTCAAGAATTTGGACTTGCTGAGTAAAAAAAAAGAAAATGAGATTAGAGGATACATTCGAGGCGGTGAATCAATACCGGAAGAAGATGTTCCAGAAGGTGAAGGCCGCGGTGAAGAAGACGAAGAAGAAGAAGCAGACTATGTTTCAGTATGATCCTTGGAGTTACGCCTTGAACTTCGACGAAGGAGTAGAAGACCCTCAGAGATTCTCCGGCGACTGTAAACTCCACAGAATCACTTTGATCTATGTTGTTCATGTCAAATTTTGACCATGTCAAATCTATTTCTCTCTCTCTCTCTCTCTCTTTCTCTTATTCGCTTACAGTTTTTGAAGCAGTCCACACTTGTTTCACTTTCTCTCCATCAAACATGGTTATTTCTTCTTCTTTCTTCTGTCTGTTAGAATATATTTTCTCTTCCAGACTTGAATCGTTTGTTTCGATGTACTGCAAATTTGTCTAAAGCTACTATTTCGACAGATCATTGGGTCTTCTCAAATCGAATCAAAGCTTATTTGGTTTTGGTAACCCATTCAAATCGTAAACACACTTTTTGGTGCTTACCTTTGTTGTATATTCCAATGTAGAAACCGTAATTACTTTTTGACCACTTTGAAAAACAACGAGATATGGTTAATTACTACCATTAACACATCGTATTTGGGTACTAATCCTTGTGAAAGTTCCAACGTTCGAAAAGAGTTTTCAGAAGTAATTTAACTCTATCTATATTTGACCATTTTGATAAGCATCTACATATGGGAATCTTTTTTGAGTTTGAGAATTCTAAAGCTAATTTTAAATCTTGTTATGACGGAAAAAAAATACTTTTAATTTATGTTAATCCATGAATCACCTTCTTGAAGAACAGTATAAACTAGTAGAAACACCATTGACTCACACCTACCATTCTTCTAAAACATGCTATATTCCTTTTGGACAAATTAATGTTTTGCAACTATCTTCTTAGGTGAGAGAGAAAAGATAAGCAAAGCAGAGATTAGAAAGTACATTGAAGAACAGTGCAATAAGGAGACAAAGAAGCAACTTTTTTGGTTAGCAGCTGGTCAACACACCCAACAAACTTCAAAACCAATTCAATAGACCCTTCACTGGTAGCTTTCTAGGAACCGTACTATGTTGGAGAATAAAAGCCTAGCCATTAGCCTACATCTCTTGTTTACTGTTACCACCAAGTGGTCCAATATTTTTTCCATTACAAAGCAAATGCCTACATCATAACAAGGGCAAGGGCCTAAACTTCTTGTCAATCAAAATATACAATATGAAGCAATGGTCTCCTCATGTTCTTGTAACAGAACAGGTTATATATCTCACTATATATGTTCCCTTTGGCAGAGCCTTTAATCGCTGAAAAGAGGTGATAAGACTCATTCTGATGGGTTTGTGACCTGGCCATTGGGCAAAACAGTCATGCGTGGATACTCTAATTTTTCATCCAGTTGATTCTGAGTCCAATTCAGCATCTTCACCAAGTGTTGAAGTTTGCCATCTGTTGATTCACAAACATCAGAACATCATCGAGTTAGGACATTGGCAGTTTCAAGAGGAGATTTGAAATGGCACATGTGAGATACTAAAGAATGTAGAAATGGCTGTCTCGCTGTTATTATGCAAGTTTTTGGCATCATAAACAATTGACTATATTGTTTGCAAATGAACAGTGCTGAGAGAGATTTAACTCATTACTGTAATTGCTGTCTTAAGCCATAACTAGTAAGAAGTTGAGCACTTACATTTTTCACCAGTCTGGCTTGTAATAATCGCTGCATCTACTTCGGCAGCTGTCTTCATCCACTGTGAGCTGGTAAGAAGCTCTCTCAGCGGGCAGGTAGTGGGATCTTCAAAGCCGAGCAGCGTAAGAGTTTTTTCCAATTCTCCCAGAAACACCCGCTGCATAAGATGTAAAAGGTTATATCTTTAATTACAAGTGATGTGTCAGTATACTCTAATAGGATTTAAAGATCAGTGGCATTTGTAGACTCAGCGAGTAAGATATAGATCCTTTACACATAGATAACATCATCTTTAACGAAAGAAACCTAAGTAAACTATTAAGCGTATGATCATGACATAACATATATGGATGAAAGTCCAATAATATGAATCAGAGACAGACACACAAATGTGGTTTAAAAGACCTACGTTCTGTTCTCCAATTGGTGTAAGCTCTTTCTGAGAAAACGCTAAGGCCTCATCTATATTCCCCGAGCGGATTATTTCTATCAATCTTTGCTGATTTAGATGAAAATTCGTCTTCAGTATCTGCAAATAAGCACAAGCTCTCATGTGGTGAAAGACTGTGACTGATTAGGAATAGAAACGCAACATATCACACATGTCCAAGCCAAATTATAAGTTTCCATGGAAATGTGATAGGCTCGTCCAATTATTTTCTTAAGGATCGATCACAGATCGCAGATCACAGATAACAAAGGAGATAAAAAGCAAAGCATTGTACCTCAGGGTTTAAATCCTTCAACTTCTCAACAGCATTGTCAATATCTTCGCTTTGGATAGCCTTGACAACAGCCAGCCGGCCAGTGATGCTCGCAGAATCTGCTTCTGCTGTTTCTTGATAAGGAAACATAACCATGACCAGGTAACACACCAGCACTACAAAGAATCTGAAAATGTTCTTCCACAAGTAGTATTAACCGGAATTAGAAAGAGGATACGCTTAGTTCCAGACTCCTTTTGGAATTTCTCCACAGCTTCTGCATACCCTTCAACCACAAAAAGATTCATCACGAGTCTATTCACGTCTTCTTTCCGAAGTTTCACAGTTCTCAGATGCCCCTCCCAGTCTCCACTCGTGATCGTTAACTTCGGAGGTTCCTGAACCAAGAAACAGGATTCAGTTCTTCCAAATTTCACATTCATCAAACTCGGATACAAAAAAAACAATCGGTGAAGATGAAGACGTTACCTCATCTCCTTCAATATCTACCATCTGAATATGAAAACAAGCCAAAACAGAGTAACATTAGTAAGCCTCACTCTTGAAACATCCGACACAAAGAAAGAACAAATCGATGTAGACGAATAGATTAATTACCTCACCATCTTCGATCTCTGCCATCTGTATACCTGTTTTTGAGACGAAGAACGATTGGATTTTCCCGGGAAAATGTTCTCCTAAAGTTGACCAGGAAAATTCGCTTCGCGAAAAACAAAGAAAGTTAAGTACCGAGGACTTATTAGTCAAAGATCGAACAGGATGCATCATAATACAACAGTGTGCGTAATGTTTAAGGAAGATTCGACGTAAGTTCTAAGAAAGATTAGTACGGAGAAGAGTTTTCTCGAGAAAATCTGTGAAATTTTCCGAGAAAAAGGTACCTGGAGACTGGAGAGTGATGGATCTCTGCGAAAGCGGTTCGAGAAGTTTTGTGGTTCCTTTCTTTTGTGATTTTGCCTGCGTAATTTCAGTCTTCTCCTCCTTATTTATAAGGGAAACGTACTTATACCGGGTTCTGGTCGAACCGTTAATAAACCGAGATGGTTGAAATGGTCACAAAATTGGTTTAGGTGTATTTTTCCCCTATAGCCAAAACTCACTTTTATTTCCTAATAATTTCTAGTAAGTGCCATTATTGGAAGGAAACAGATAAGGTTAAAATTTCTGATTTGTCAAAGCAAAAATGTATTTATTAATAAGTACATAAGGAAAAATAAACCAACCATTCTGTTTTTGACAAATAAGGTCATTTATCTAAATAATTTCTGGTCAAACCTGTAAACATTAAATTATGGCGTGTAGAAAATAAGGACAAAATGAAAAAGAGTATAGAAAACGTTAAGAAATGATTAATGCTTATCTCATAAGCAATTTACTTTTGTATTTTGAACTCAGCAATTTACTTTAATTGGTCGTAATAAAAACATTAATTAAAAGGTAAATTAATAACGGCTCATGATTAATAATAATAAACAATGACCACTTGAAACAAAAAAAAAGGAAAAAAAGAAGCTAACTTCTTCGACCGTTTCTTATTTAAATCTGCGTCTCTTTCTCTTACCTTTTCTCTATTTCGGAGAGAAGAAGAAAGAAAAAGAAAAACCTCACCGGCACTATAAAAGTCGCGTAGATCATCCCCCCAACTACTCTAGAAACTTCCTCTGCCTAAAAAATACTCTTATCGTTTTATAAACCTACTCGCTAGTTTTTCTTCTTCTTCTCCCTCGAAATCACAAGTCTCTGTGTTCGCGTTCCGGCGATTTCCTGTTTGACTAAGCTTTCAGGGAGAATACTCTTCTCTGAGTCTCGGTTTTTTGTGTAGATTTTGGGTTTTTGCTTCGATTTTTACATTCTTAGGGTTTGGGTTCGTGATGACTGAGAAGGATTCAGTGTTTCAGCCTCGCGATTGGTCGCTACTAGGGGATGATTGCTCCGGAGGCTTTGGATTTGGAGCCGAAGACGAGGATCTTATGGTTGATATAGAATCGATTTATCAGATTCTCGATGAGGAGCCTGCTTCTATGGAGGTATGGTTCCGCTTAGTCTAAAAGTGATTTGGTTCAAATGCTTGCTTAATTTCTGGACTATTGTGACGGCCACTAAAACAATTGAGTGTTTACTTACAGGTTAGTCAGGAAATGGTGACTCCGGTTGGTTCATCTATTGTAGAGTCTGGCGAGCTTAGGAACACACTGATGCAAAGTGGTTAGTAGACGTAGAGAGGACTCTTTTTGTTTATCGTCATGTTCCTTTTGATTTCTCTGTTTGAATCGTGCAATTAATTTCAGTGTTTTGATTTGTCTGACCATGGACTTCATTAGCATCACCTTGGTAACTTTTTTTTGGTTACTCATATGTTTCTTGATTAGGATCTCAGGCCACTGATTGGATTCCTTCCCGGGATTTCTATGGTCCTGAAGCCTCACAGAGTGTAATAGCAGTCCCAAGTTCATTAGCTGACCCTAGGAATGAAGAATTGGGACCAACTGCTACTTGTTTCTCTGAATATGGTGGCAATGTGGTCTCTAATCCTGTAAATGGTGAATACGGCACTGTATCCAACCTGGATGACATGACAATTGATTCCAAATGTATGAACCTTCTCTGTGAAGTTTTCAGGTTTTATTCTCTTGAAATTTCCATGTTCCTTATCAGTTGGAGCTAATGTCGAGAAGTTTTATCACTGATTTTATATCATATTGCAGGTACACCTTGCAGCCCCACTATGGTGACTCCCTACTTCGGTGACATGTCGCGAAATAACTCAGGATTTGGAGCTACACAAAATTCCTCCCTGATGTCTCATTTCTCTCATAATTCCAGTCATGTTATTGATTCTGCTGATAATTGTGCCTTTTCTGGACCATATGTCCACCATACAATGGATGCATCCCTGTCAGAAATCTCCCCTAGTTATGCATTCCAGTTCTTTCCCAAAAAAGAAGAATGTGTAATTAACATGGAGAGCGGATTTAGGGAGTGTCAGTCAGATGATACAAATCCCAGGGTTTTTGAGAGTCACGTGGTACTAGATAATGGAACTTCAGAGAGAAACTCTGGGATTTATGTAAGCAGTGAAAGAGAACTCAGCATCAAATGTGAAATCATTCCTTCAGTTTCCTCAGCCTATGTCAAACCATACAATAGTTTTGATGGTCATCGAGTTGATACGGAGCTTGAGCAGCCTTATAATTGTTCAAGCAGTTTTCAGGAGAATAGAGCAGTCCATTTGTATGTTAAACCAGAGCTTGAGTTGGAGAACACAGCTTACAGTTCAGTTCCTGGGAACTATAGTATATGCAGTGATGTTCAAAGAGTTGAAGGAACGACTTTGCAATGGTCTGGTGTCTCTAATTGCCCAATCTCCTATCAAACAGATGTCGGGAAAGAATATTCATATATGGCACCCCTGACTTCTTTCCCTGGCCAAGTTATTGACGACAGAAGCTTCAATAATTTTTTTGATTCAGATGGCTGTTTGCAAAACGTAGCAGATCCTGACCCAGTAAAGTCATGCACTGATTACTTGGATATTCTGGTAGGAGACGAGGACCAAGAATATATTAGGAAGGCAGGCTTTAATCTTTCTAGTTTCAGCTCTGGAACCGTTGAAAGTCCTTCAGAATGTGTACCCGATCAAGACGATGATTCTGATATTTATAAATTAGAATCTTCTGGTGAATTTGTTCATCTCAACCAATATCTAGATGTGCAGAGACCGGTGTTTTCTTCAGAACATTCTACAGTCAGTCAAACTTCTAATAATAGTGGAGTCTTGAAGTTTGAGTCAGACAAGGAAAACATGACCTTTCATGCTGAATTGAAGGTTAGTGGTGTTTAGGCGTGTAAGCCTTTTTCTCAATTTCCCTTAGCATGTCTGTTCTTGTGTTCTGTGCATGAGGTATTTATTCAATTCTTCTGACGTTGCATGTGTGATATAATGCCAAACTGCATTTAATGAGTTATATCTCATATTATCCCTTTCTCTTGAGTTTGATTCAGTTTCATTAGGTTTAACGACATTGTTTAAAATAACAGGATCTCTCTCAGTCTAGTTCTGAAGCAAGTCCTCCTGACGGTGTCTTGGCAGTCTCGCTTCTTAGACATCAGGTTTGTATTATATTAGAAAAGTGGTAACATTCCCTGTAGATGTTTAAAAGACAAGCTGTAGAACTCAGTTTTTTGCGTGTCTAGTTTCTAAGCATCCTTCTATTTGCTTAACTAAGATGATTTAGTGTTGAATTGTAGAAATTTAGTCAATTGATATGGTTTTTCCAAGTTAATGGTGGTCTTTTTTTATTATAATACTTAGTGTTGATTGAAATTAACCATACCTTGCAAATCAACAGCGTATTGCATTGGCATGGATGTCCGAAAAGGAGACTAGCGGGAACCCTTGTTCTGGGGGAATTCTTGCTGATGATCAGGTTAAATTTCTAATGCTGTAATATATAACATGTTATTAGTTACTACGATACACTCAAGAGGACAAACATATATGTTACTAAATTTTCTTGTGTAATTATCTTCTTCTGCAGGGACTTGGAAAAACAATTTCTACAATAGCGCTTATACTGACAGCACGGTCTACGCCTTCTTTACCATGTGAAGAAGATTCAAAGAATAGAGGAAGCCAATTTGATCACTCTCAAGTGGATTTCAATGGAAACAAAGTCCGCGAAAATAGTTTATGCGAGATGAATGGACGGCCAGCTGCCGGAACTCTTATTGTCTGTCCCACTAGCCTGATGAGACAGTGGGATGATGAATTACGCAAGAAGGTTACTCTTGACGCAAATCTCTCTGTTCTGGTATACCATGGTTGTAGCAGAACAAAGGATCCTTACGAGCTAGCTAAATATGATGTTGTCATTACCACATATTCCCTTGTGAGCAAGGAAGTCCCAAAACAGCCTTTTGATAAAGCTGATGAGGAGAAGGGTGGCATACATAATGGTGGATTCAAATCTTCTGGTTTTAACTCAAACAAAAAAGATCCACCAAATTCTCAAGAGAAGGGCACAAAGAAGAGAAAACGTAGGGACTGTAAACCTGCTGCTTTTCTGTCTGGCCCTCTCGCGCAGGTTTCATGGTTTAGAGTTGTTTTAGATGAAGCTCAGAGCATTAAGAATCACGAAACCCAAGTTGCAAAGGCTTGTTCAGAGCTTCATGCTAAGCGTAGGTGGTGTTTGTCTGGCACTCCTATCCAAAATTCAATTGATGACCTCTACAGCTACTTCAGATTCCTTAAGTATGATCCTTACTCTAGCTACCAGACGTTTTGTGACACGATAAAGAACCCCATCAGTAGGCACCCGGTGAAAGGATACCAAACGTTGCAGGCTATCCTGAAAAAAACAATGCTTAGACGAACCAAAGGTCAGTCTTCCTATTATGAAGCTAAATAACCATAGATGTTTCATCAATTTTTTCTATGGGTTTTAACTAGTAAAATCATTAGATACACTTCTTGATGGAAAACCCGTAATCTCTTTACCTCCGAAGTCCATTGAGTTGAGGAGAGTGGACTTCACCAAGGAAGAACGTGATTTCTACTCAAAGTTAGAGTGCGACTCTCGTGACCAATTCAAGGTATGACAATGGACGCATATAGAACACGAATACACAATTGCATTTTACAACTACAGATGGGTGCTTCTTAGTAATGATATTGGAGGCTGATTCTTTGTTTATACGTAATTGGTAAGGAATATGCAGAAGCTGGAACGGTGAAGCAAAATTATGTAAATATATTGTTGATGCTGTTGCGTCTTCGTCAAGCTTGTGGTCACCCTCTTCTCGTATCCACTTCATCATGGACATCTTCAGCTGAAGTGGCCAAGAAGCTTCCATACGAGAACCAATACTATCTTCTTCATCGGTTAAAAGCTTCAGCAACTTGTGGCATCTGCAATGTAAGATTCTCTACTTCAAACTCTACTTTGGAATCTTGAGTTGTTATGTCTCGCATTTAGATGCCAAGCTATTTTATGTTCATCATGAGTTTCTTATTCTGTGTCCCTTCTTCACATATAGGGTGCACCCAAAGATGCTATTGTTTCAATCTGTGGTCACGTTTTCTGTACACAGTGCATTTGTGAATTCCTTACTGGCGATAATAATCAATGCCCACAATCATTCTGCAAAGCTGGACTTGAGATTTCATCATTATTTTCCAGAGAAACACTGGAAAAAGCTATGCTTGGCTTGCATAAACTTGATGCTCCATATAATCGTACCATTTCAGATCCTGTTGGGAATGATGAGCCTTGTATTGAAAAATTGCCATGTGGTTCATCCAAAATCAAGGCTGCTCTAGATATCTTGCAATCACTGAGCAGACCAAATAGTCCGACAACTGTAATAAATGATTTGAATCAGAGTTCTGAAAATGGAGAGAAGAATCAGCAGCTTGAAAAGTCATCCAGTTTACCTGCAACTCCAGAAAAGAGTAGCGTGGATGGTCTGGTTAAGGTAGTTGGAGAAAAAGCCATTGTATTTAGCCAATGGACAAAGATGCTGGACTTGCTTGAAGCTTGTCTTAAGAGTTCGGGTATTCAGTATAGAAGGTTTGATGGAAAAATGACAGTAGCAGCTCGAGATGCAGCAGTGCAAGATTTTAATACTCTCCCTGAGGTATGCAGCTCAAGATCATCTTTTTGCTCTGCAGCCATTATGTTACACATGATAATAGATAATTAGATATACTGATGAGTGGCTTTCTTACTTCAGGTTTCTGTTATGATAATGTCTCTCAAAGCTGCAAGTCTTGGGCTAAACATGGTGGCAGCTTGTCATGTTCTGATGCTGGACTTATGGTGGAATCCGACCACTGAAGATCAAGCAATTGACAGAGCACACCGTATTGGACAGACACGACCAGTAAAAGTGGTGCGGTTCACAGTAAAAGATACAGTTGAAGATCGCATATTAGCCCTTCAGGTCTGTCATAATTTCTGCAACGTTTTTATGTTTTTAAACTATAGTTTCTACTAGTTAGTAATCTTCACAAACATTAAAACTGCCACAGCAAAAGAAGAGAATGATGGTAGCTTCTGCATTTGGAGAAGATGAAAAGGGTAGTCGCCAATCACATCAATTATCTGTGGAAGACTTGAACTATCTGTTCATGGCAGATACTTGAGAAGCTTTTCTGACAAACTCAGGTACATATAATATAGGTTTTTCTGTCTTTGTGCAGCTTTTTAGCAGAAAAAAATCTTTTGAATTAGCTAAAGGTTCGTGCAAACAAGGAACTAGGGAGAAAGAAAAAGTTAGCTTTGCTTTTATATAGAATGAAATTGAGCATTATAAGAAAAATCTGTAAAAACAATGAGATTGATTTGTACATCAATTTCTAGTTCCTTAACCAAATACAGTTTCGTGATAAAAATATGACTATACAAACATTACAGCAAGAATGACAATAAATTCCATCAAACGTGGGTTTTGTCTCCACCACATCTATCATTCAACCAACTAACAATGTCCTTACGAACAATCTCAATGTTGTCGTCGGGTTCACCGAACAACATGGAATGCATCATACCTTGGTAGATCTTTAATGTCTTGTCTTTGCTCTTAGCAACTTCGTACAACTCTCTGCTCACTTCAGGATCAGTGACAGCATCTGCACTTCCATGCACAACAATGAAGGGAATGCTCACATCTTTTAGCTTCTTCCCTAAGTAATCCGTAACCCTAAGAAGCTCCATCACTGTACCTAACCTCGGTTTCTCACCGTACCTCATCGGATTCCTCTTGGCAATCGGCTTCTTCTCTTCGACTTTGATCGATTTCTCCAACAGATCTTCCGTCGGAACAATGGCCCAAGTAGGCAAGAATCTTGAGATCATAATCAGAAACTGATCAATCGGCCATTTAGGTCTCACCTTGTCGGAGATTCTACACATGGGAGCAACAAGAACCGCTCCATCGAACCCTGACGGATCAGCGAAATGGATCAAAAGACAAATGGCGCCGCCCATAGATTCTCCGAAGAGAAACCGAGGTAAGCCACGAAATTGAGGGTTCTGCTTAATCGAATTGAAGAAAGAGATGATGTCATCGACGACGAGATCTACGGAAGGAACATAGGCGCGGACGCCGTCAGATCGGCCATGACCTTCGATGTCGAGAGCGAAGCAAGCGAAACCCATCTGAGCGAGAAAGATGGGAGTGGACTGGAAAGTCCAGCTGACGTCATTGCCGTAGCCATGGACCATGAAGATGAGAGCACGTGGAGGAGAAGAGGAAGAGGGAAGCCATGAACGAGTGAAGAGGTTGAGGCCACGAGGGGACGTGAAGAAAGATTTGGAGCCGATGATGCCTTTGAGATTGAAGTAGTCTTCTTCTGAAGTCTCTCCCCAGAAGTTGATCTCTGTATCAAGCTGGTGATCAGACATCGAGGAGAGAGGCTAGAGAGAGATGGATTGTGGTGTTCTTTTTCTTTTTTTCCTTGGGAGTTTTTGTGTTCTTGTTGTGGTTTCGAGTAAAAAAGGCGTTTACTGTGCTTTTCGTTTTGGGGTTTCGCTGATTTTTGCGTCTGCGTCTGCGTTTAGAAAAGTCAAAGTTTTAGATTTGCTTTGGTACTGTATATATTTTGGTTTAAGATGCGTTGATCAGTTGTTGTCCAAAACATAGAAGAAGTCTGGAACAAAAACAAACATAGTCTCTCACTGATACAAATAAAAGAAAAAAGTAATTTGGGCTTGGAAGAAGAAAACAAGTTGGGTCTTCAACAAAACAATAAAAGCCCAACGTTAAGTTTCAGACAATGTTGCGACAAGGGAAAAAGACCGACCGAAGACATCAATCTCGAGCTCCGTACAAACGCGTGTACAACACACACAGAGCCAACTTCAAGCGCGTTAATGAAACAGAAACTAAACATGTCATTATAGTAGCCCTAGGCACGAAGCGAATATTCGGAAAATTTGTGATATTTGTTATTTGCTTCGCTTCGATCGAATAGTTGATTTTGCTATTTGTTTCGATTCGTAAATTTTCGAGTATTCGGAACTTCGAATATTCGAATATTTTTCGTAATATTTGCGAATTACATATAATACAGAAATATAAAGTGCAAAATATGAAATATTAGAGGTTTTAATTTGACATATTTTCAAAATAAGAAATAAATGTAACCACCGTCCATAGAATTCTCACATTTTATTTTTAATAATGATTTTTCTATTAAAGTTTTATTTGCTTAAAAACAACATTTAGCACAAAAAAAAAAAACCCAACGAGCCAAAATATAATAATTTGAATAATAGGCCTATCAGATATATACCCAAATCTATAAATACACCTATTATATATATTATATGTATTATATAATAATTTATATTTATACATATATATAAATATACGAAGCGAAGCGGATATTCGACACTAAAAAAATCAATATTTGTTATTTGCTTCGGTTTTTACGAGTACTAGATTTTCATATTTGTTTCGGTTTAATATCTTATAGATATTTGAATTTTTCGAATCGAATCGAAACGAATATCGAAGCGAAGCGAATCTAACGAATATTTTGCCCAGGGCTAATATGAAGGAGAGAGAGGAACGACGTTTTTTTTTTTGTTATACTGTATACAGTTTTGCCCAATAGTATAGTTTTCATTCGATTGATTTATCTCTTTATTTATTTCATTTGTAAAAAAAATCATACGAAAAACAACACTACAAGTCTACAACTACTATCCCAAAATACAAACGTTCATATCTTTTTACCGTTACAACAAAAATAAACTTGCCGATTATTCTCACTATTGCTGTAGTAACTAAAACAATGATAGGGAGTTATATAAATTCGAATATGTTTATGTAATATATCATAGATTGATAAATAATTAGTTCGGGCTAATAGACATACTTTTTAAAGCTTCACTTTTTAATAATTTTTTTTTTTTATGTCAACTATCTACACAAATATTATATTTGCGTACGCAAAAAGTGTTTACTCACTTAAAAAAAAAAAAGAATGATTCCATAACCAATAGAATATCGTGTTTGTGTTGTGGTATATAGCTAGAGTGGATATAGTCAAAAAAGCTTTCAAATGAAACTTATGTTTATGCGCACTTTCAACCTTTGGATGGATAAGAATCACTGGTAAAAAGTGAGAGAGATTTCTATAGCAATGCTTTGACCATCCTTAGTGAAGTTGGAATTCATCTAATCCATGTCCCGTCCAATGGTGTTCTTATAAATGACAACTCATATCTGATCATTATCGTGCAAACTTATCTCTATATACGTGTTATATATACATGTAAATATCTCCGTTTGTTGACTAAAAATAAAAAAAAACTTTGTTTGTCTGCCTGCATGCATCATGCATGATTGCATGGAGAGCATGCATGATTGCATGGAGAGCATGCATTACGACTTGCATAGAAAAATATAAAAACTTTAAACTTCATACAAGAAGAAGAAAAAAAAACAGTTTGTCGCTAAACTGTTTTTAGAGCACTCGACATAGATCTAAACATAACATGAAAAATGTGAAGAGTAAGAAGAGAATACGAATCAAAATATTTGGGCGAATAATGTAATGTAAGCAATCCGTGTTAGTATGTCATAGAAATGGCTAAGGAATGTAGCATAGGACCTACGAATTTATAGATTGGTCTAATCGATCGATGGGAATGAATTAAGGGAACTCTCTCTCTCGATCATGAGAATAGCTAGTAGCTAGGGCATAGCAGAACTGTTGTTTAGATTCCATATGCTCTTTATAATTAATCCTTCAAGTACTCATTGTAAAAGGTGGAACCTATACCTTCTATCTTTAATAGTGACGATCTAACATTTCATCTTCTCTCTCTCTCTCTCTCTCTCTCTCTCTCTCTCTCTCTTTTAGTGAGCATTAGCATTAATATATAATCTCATTTCTCTGCTTACATATGTTCCGTTGTCAATGGATCGGATTATCTTAGTTTTTTCTTTCGATAAAAGGAGTCTATGGACAAACTTGTGTCTATCTAGTTCATCTAATGTCTATACCAGTAAAAACTTGATAGAAACCGAGGTGAATTTATTCTGGTAACATGAATCAAGAAAATAATACATATCTAGAGATTTTAAAAAAAAAATCAATGAGCAAAAAGTCTAGTACTTTAAAATATCAACAAAAAATTATCTCAATTTCAAAGATATGTATATCTTGTTTTTGTTAGGTTATATTTTTTGCAAAGCACAACTCTTAAAGTTTAAAGTCTTTATAACAATTTCTCCACGAAGTCACCCTATAAGAATCAATCAATCTTACTTAGGCGATGCCGCGGTGATCATTAACAAAACCAATACTATCTTTAATTTAGGTTAATTAAGAACGAGTTGTATAATTCATCATCTTAATAGGAGACATAGTTACGGAATCTCTGATTGGATGGTAAAATATTTACTCTCTAATCGTTTTCTTGATTTTTCCTTATCACTCACAGTCCATCAATAGTATCTCAACGCGTGTCCTATCGTGTCTAGTCTTTATCCTAGATGATTAAAGAATACATTGACTGATTCACAAAAGTTTCTAGAAACATATATATATCCCTAAAACCTTTTGGCCAATTCGGTTATTACAATTGCGCATTTGATTAAATGATATCCATAGTTAAGTGGGTATCCATAGTTCTGAGAATCATATAAGTGGACATCCATTGGCCAATATAGATTTATGGAGTCTGGTCTAACAGTTAAGAGGTCCCCATACGAACACAAACTTTAGTTTATTTGTTTGTAATCTTCTATCTGCGTTAAGAGATATAAAATAAGTTAATGACCTAAAAACAAATTTGGAATAGCAATACAACTATTAGAAGGTGATTAGATGAATCATTAGCTTCTATTATAGTAGTACAATACAACCTATCAGGTAGTGGCCATTCACCGATTCAAGGGATCCATGTAGGAATGACTAATTAATTAGTAGGTATTTCTAATTGAAGATTACTAATCCATTTCTTTATTTATTTCTATTATTAATTGAGACATTCCGCAACAAAGTAATATTTGGAGTAATCAGACAATACATATTCGTTTCTGTCAAAGGGTTTAGTTTTTAATACAGAAAATGAAGTCTCAAAATTACAATAGGCAACCAGAAGAAAGTTATCGATGAATAAAATCTTGATTACAAAAGTAATTTAGTGGTCAATATATGAGCATGCAAGATTAAAATGTAAAAAAAAAAATGTGTATATATATATCCATTATGAAACGTAATTTGGAATCCATGTCATAAAACTATGTAGTATATGTATATCCATTAGGAAACGTAACTGGACATGATTTCCGTCTCATTTCTCATCAAAGAAAGTTGGATTCCATGTCATAACCATTAATTATTATTCTTCAAAACACTTTTAGTTTTTCTCTAATCTTCTAACTAAACACATTCATGTATTTTAAAACTAAGACGTACATCTGTCGAACTATATGCAATAGTAAAAAGTGATATGCATACTATTACTTACGATTACCAAGTTAAGTGGGATATATATATAACGGTCAAGTGTATAAATCAATTGAAATTCTTTTTTAGTTCTGACCAACATGATCAAATATATTACGTATATAATTATCTTTACGTATTCCATGTGTATAGTGGCATAGTGGCTGTGTGCTAAAAATTTCTGAAGAGACAAGACTCCATAGTCTTCAAATTCCTCTCGTAAAACTATTTTAGTGGTGACAAAAACAAAAGGCCACTATTTGATTTATTTTCTAGATGATTTTTAGATTAGATCTTCATCCATTACTTTATTAATTAGCTTTATATAAAAGAGATTAGTACAGTACATGGAATTGAATTCAAAAATGCAAACGCATAAGGTTCGCCACAAAACTACATCATTCGACTTTGCTAATGATGAGGTTCCCATGAATTTATTTAACTCCTTTTTTACACACACATATATATATATATATATACTTAGGAAATTAAAAAATATCTAAAAAAATGAAAATGTAAGGGAACCATCAATATAGAATATATACTCCCATTACCCTTTCTGATCTCAACACTCAACACAACAGTCAGTCAGTCCTTGCTCAAAGATGTTGCAACGTGACATGTCTCTCTTTTTTTTTTTTTAATGAAGTAAATCATCTCTCTCTTTAAAAATAAAAAATAAAAAAATAGGAATATTCGATCGTATCATATATAACATACGAGTCTATGACGTTAGCGATGGTTGTGAGAATTATTCGTCAGTTTCATGATAATGATATCTTTGTTCGTAAAATCATTATCTTTGTAATCATATATATATATATATATATATATATATATATATATATATATATATATGTATATATAGTTCCTTTTCTTAACTCATTATCTATGCTCGCAAAATTGATGCAACATACATACTATTACTTAGTAAATTTTTTTCGTTGATTTGAATTTAGTTAGCTTAAAACACTTTTAATATAATGTCCTAAAACCAGCTTAATTTTTTTTATTTCCAAATCCATACTATAGTTTATTGTAACTTGTAAAATTCCAAACATGTTTTTAGTGCAGCAAATATTACTCAATTGGAAAAAAAAAACGTATCACGACTGACTAACAAAATGAATTTTTCTTGTAGAGTGATTTTTTTTAAAAAAATTTCAAAATGGAATTGTGAAACTAATTTTCATGATATTAATTTCTAATTTTGTTACCTTTAAATATTGTAAAATAATAAAATTAATATTGGTATATATTGTACACTGTTGGTTGTTAAGTTATACATAAATGTGGATCTATTATTACAAACCCACACAGCTACTAAGTACATACATATTTGACTTTGGTATTAGTGGGCTAAACACATTATTGAAGACACCATGTGCATAACAAGTATTCCCGACTGAGCTTTTTACACAAATCAGTCGAAAGTTTGTAATTCATAATTCAAATATATTTTTTTAGACATACAATTAGCAGCTGTTAATACTGATTTGAATCCACAATACTTAAAATATTTATCGTTCGTTTTGTACTTGTGCTATACAGATCAGTGCTATACCAAACCTTTGTTTTGGTAATACACGAAAACAATATATTTTAAACCGATTGAGCTGACAATATCTGATCAGATAAACTATGAGTGAGTTTCGAACAAAATGAAGTAATCGAACGGTTGTCAACACTTTGTCACATTCGGATTCATTACTTATGCAAAAAAAGAAATATACTTCACCACTCCTAAACTGGTTCGGTATTATCTTGCAAAATTTTAAATATACTCGACATTGACTTCTGAATGTACTAAAGCTTGATTCATTAATTTATGCACACAGTTTAAGCATTATATTCCAGTTTCCCTATTTATATATTTCCTCACTATTTAAGCAGAGTTTATGCTATTGTGGGTTATATATCTTAATTATATATGTGCCAAAATTTCGTTAGGTTAATAGAATAAATTAATATATATTACTTTTGGTGATGACGGGGTTCAAACCCATCGAAAAAGAAAGTGCTTCATCCACTCTATATATAAGTCAAGTATACGAATTCTCTCGAATTTGTCCCTATACAATCTTAGTTTTTAAGATGGAATTATATTATTCGATATCAACTGAACAAATATTAAAGCCACCAATTGCCACATATGAGTATTCCTCCATATCCACTTATATATTACTTTTCATTTTTAATTAATTTTTAACAAAAGTCTCTCATGATTTTGGCTTATAAATAGACACCCAAGTCGTAGGTTTTTCATATCATCTCACTACAATTCTTGATATTCTTCACAACTTATACTTCAAATGGATTATCACACCAATAACATATCTAATCTATTAACTTCTTTGTTCCTTTTAGTGTTATCCCCGGTGGTTTTATGCACTAGACAACACCGGTTTGATAGCCCTAAAAGGAGCTTGTTGGCCAGCGAGCAAGATTTAGTTACAGATTTGCCTGGACAGCCTGATGTGAGTTTCAGACATTATGCCGGTTATGTCCCTGTCGATAAATCTAACGGGAGAGCTATGTTTTATTGGTTCTTTGAGGCCATGGATCTCCCCAAAGAGAAACCCCTAGTCCTCTGGCTTAATGGAGGTAACCCTATCTTTATATATATTCATGCATGCATACATATATATCAGCAACTGTTTTATATTGTCCTCCCTCATTTCATTCTGATCATATTGATAACATGAGATTCTACACATTTCTTTAATATCAGTTACATAATTTGCAAGATCACGATTTATGTTTTTATGCGTTTTGCTAATTTCTCCATACCAACATCAAATATAAAAGAAGCTAGCTAGTTTTGTCTCTCTGTCGACAGCGAACAGGCATGTTTATCTTTCAACTAACTAAAGCTCTTACAATAATACCTAGATCTGTAGTGTTAGTTTGATATATTTTTGATGTTGTCTCCATGGGAGAACACATTCTAGAATTTAATCATATACTGTATAAAATAAATGTATATATATACAGGTCCAGGTTGTTCTTCTGTGGGATATGGGGCAACACAAGAAATTGGTCCTTTTCTCGTGGACACCAACGGACACGGACTTAACTTTAATCCATACGCATGGAATAAAGGTAATCTTTTTTCTTGTTTTATTATATAGTTTTCCTTAGCATCACAATATTTATATATATATATATATATATGTAAATCGGACATCAAAATGATGTAAAAAGGTTGATTTGCTGATGCAGAGGCCAACATGCTGTTTTTAGAATCTCCCGTCGGTGTTGGCTTTTCGTATTCAAACACAAGTAGCGATTATCAAAAACTTGGAGATGACTTTACAGGTAGGTCCTTTATTATTATTTTCTTATCTTTTTCACAAGTCCATCATTAATTATTATACATATATCTCTGTAGTCTTTGTCCTTAGTTAGACGAGCTAAGTTAAGAATATAAAATCATAGTACGTATGTACGTTACAAACATAAACTATATTATGCTTCATTATCTTTTTCTATATATCAGCAAGAGACGCATACACCTTTCTTTGCAACTGGTTCGAGAAATTCCCTGAACACAAAGGCAACACCTTCTATATCGCCGGTGAAAGCTATGCAGGTAATAACTCATAGATCATTTGGATTCTTTTATATTAATCTGTCTATATAATGATATATTATTGCACACCTTCTCTTTTTCTTGTTTCATAGCGATTTGTTCTTCACTTTTTTGAATGTATATATGTTTGCAGGAAAATACGTACCCGAGCTAGCAGAGGTTGTGTACGATAACAATAACAATAAGAATGGTTCATCGCTTCACATCAATCTTAAGGGTATTTTGGTACGTTTAAGTCTTAAGTGTGACCATTGTTGCATGTCTTGTGATTAAGTATAAAAAATTCGGCTTACAAGACCTAATGCACTTTTTTGTTTTTTTTGGGATATAGTTAGGGAATCCGGAGACATCAGATGCAGAAGATTGGAGAGGTTGGGTGGATTACGCATGGAGCCATGCAGTGATATCGGACGAGACGCATAGGATCATAACCAGGACATGCAATTTCAGCAGCGACAACACTTGGAGCAACGATGAGTGCAATGAGGCCGTAGCGGAAGTTCTCAAGCAGTACCATGAGATAGACATCTATAGCATCTATACCTCAGTTTGCATAGGAGATTCTTCAAGATCTTCTTACTTTGATTCATCCCAATTCAAAACAAATTCTCGCATTAGCTCTAAGAGGGTACGTGTATAACATAAAGCCCATATATTTATAATATATAATTATTGGAAAAAATGATCGTTGAAACTTATATTTTTTTTCTTTTCTTTTTGGTTGGGATTGCCTTAGATGCCACCGAGGCTCATGGGTGGATATGATCCGTGCTTAGATGATTACGCGAGAGTATTTTACAACAGAGCAGATGTTCAGAAGTCTCTTCATGCAAGTGATGGAGTTAATCTTAAGAACTGGAGCATTTGCAAGTACTCTTCCCAATATTCTTTATGTGTTATACGTACATATAGTTTCTTTTTCTATAATATATGAAGAACTTGTCTAAATATTTTTTGGTTTTCTGAGATATCAGCATGGAGATCTTTAATAATTGGACTGGTTCAAAGCCATCAGTTTTGCCGATTTACGAGAAACTCATCGCCGGAGGATTAAGAACATGGGTTTATAGGTAAACTTCAAGTAATTTAAAAATCCACAAAACCATTGAAACTATATAAAAAAAAAGAGAGATTATACACTATACGGTTGCTTCCTACCCAAATAACCATTATACACTCTAGCTTCTTCTGCTTTGGTTGATTAATTAGTAACAATATAAAATAAGTTTTGGTTATCCTACAACTTTTCTAAGCCGTTGGTTTTTGGTTTACTTTTGTAATGGCTCAGTGGTGACACTGACGGAAGAGTACCAGTACTTGCCACTCGGTATAGCTTAAGCGCACTTGAATTACCCATCAAGACAGCTTGGAGGCCATGGTACCATGAGAAACAGGTATATATCATTGGATCTACCTAACTGGTTATGTAAATTAATTATTAACTTGACTACTGTATGATTAGACCGGTTAATTAAGTTTCTTGATGATGCTACAATAGGTAAGTGGATGGCTTCAAGAATACGAAGGTTTAACGTTTGCTACGTTTAGAGGAGCTGGACATGCGGTGCCTTGCTTCAAACCAAGCAGCTCTCTCGCCTTTTTCTCGGCGTTTCTCAGCGGAGTCCCTCCTCCGCCGTCGCGGTAGATAAGCAAGTCAACGACTAATAAGATGGTTTAGTAATCTAATTAATGAGTATTTTTGAAAGATTTTGGGTTTTGTTTCGTTAACTTATCAGACACGGGATAGGGAGAAAAACATGTAAGAGAGAAGTTGTATGTGACTTGTTACATTCTATGAGATGATGATCATAATGATCAAAAGAAACCTTTCAACACTTTTAAGATTATGTTCAAATGAAAAATAAATAGTTTTTGGTGCAATATCATAGATCCAAGCACTTTTGTTTTTGGGATTTTTTTTAAGGCAAATTTAAAGAATGTGTCATTTGCTAAAATTTTATGGAATTGCCATTTTTTTACTTTTAAAAAATATCCATTTTAAAATTTTCTACTAACGTATTTTATAATAAATATTCAATCTTAAAGATAATTAGAACCGTTTAAAACCAAACAAAGTAAAACGCATGTTTAATTGCATTTTTCTATTCTTAAAAATGACAACTTTATAAGATTTTACCAAAAACAAAACCAAAAAATTGGTTGGAAAAAGAGGGAAATTCATAACTGATTCTTTGTTTTTTGGTACCAAAATGTAGTAACGAGAACATCGCATATATAAAAGTAGCTTATTTCGAAAAAGAACATAAACTATTTTGACAAAGATCTGTTTCTTGGACTACCCTTTGTTAATAAGGAAGGCAGCATATATATATGAATATGCAAAACTTTATTTACAAGAACATGCGGTTTCGGAAAACAAAGAGTGTAGTTTGGCATCTCAAAGAGACTATATAAATCATTATCTCATTGGTAACGCAGATTTTTATTACTTAAATCACTAAGGTCATTGCCACCGTTGGTCGAATCCTAAAGCCATAAATTTGATACATTATGTATCTCTTCTTTGGGTATGGAGAATAGAACATGCATGCACCTATGAGATATATTCCATCTCTTATAAAATGTCTTCATCCTTATATATTTACTTTGTATCAAAACATTATTATCATCCTTATCCCATGTCTTATCTTAGAGATATTTTTTAACCATTTGGAGCCACCAAATTACTATTTTACATTTGTTAAGTTGTCATCATTTCCCAATATTGATTAATTAGCAACTTGTTAGATATTGACAAAAAAAAAAAAAAAAAGTTATTAGAAGCTTTGTTACATTGTGAAAGAAAGAAAGAAAGAAAGAAAGCGTTACACTTTGTTATCTTGTTATTAACACTTTGATTTCAAGTCAAACAAAACAATTAATACATTTAAACCATATATAGTAGAAAATAAGAAAATATACAGAAAGTATTTAGCTTAATTCCAAAAAAAATTAGGCTCCATGGTTATCCAAGTTTTATGCTCTTACTCTTATAACTCACTGCCGTAGTAAAACAAAGTCAAAAAATAAAATATAATTATCAACTTTGAATTTCAACAAATTATAGAAAATTGGGATTTTAATTGCCTTTTGCAGATTTCCTTTTTTTCTTTACTTAATATCAAAACTATACTCAATTCCTCTATTTTTAGGGATTCTTCAGAAGCAAAAAAGGTAAATTTCCATTTTCTGCTAGTGATGACTAATTTCTGGAAAGAAAATCTATCCGTAGATATAACGTGGCACGATTTGATAAGTGATAAGATAACAATTATCTTATATATGTATCTGGCTGGGAGGAGCGTTAGCGTTTTAAATGTAAAACACTCTCAAAAGTGTATTAAGCATCACCACGTTTTATCTCAACACTCAAAATTAACTCTCTATGTAATTTATTACAAAGTCTTTATCTCAACCAAACAATCTCTTCTCTCGTTTTCTCCGCTCATGAGTGTGAAAACCTGTAAAGCTGAGGTTAGTAACGCAATCCCCTTTTTTCTTTAATCCGTTTCACTAATTGTTTCCTCTCTCTCTCTTTATTTATATGCTTTGTATATGTTATGAGCTTTGTTACAGCCTGTTAAAGGGCAGACATCACTATTTAGGAGTTGCAGCAGCAAGACCAAACATGACGTTACACCTCCTTGTTTGGTCTCTTCGTCATCACCATCGACCAAGTCGTCTAGCTCTCCGTTCGTGAGCCAGAAAACTTCAAGACTTGTTGCTTCCTCGGCTGAAGATATCAAGAATCATGCTCTTAGAGAAGCAACAAAGGTCTCGAGTTCGAGCTGCGGATCAAGGAAATGGACAGGAAATTTCATTCTCACTGTCGAGCTCCGGAAGAAGATAATCAGTTTTAGAAGCATCATTGATCTCCCTCCTCTTACCTCTTGCCTCTCTATCACCAATGTATGTTTGCCCCCTTCCCTACGTTTTTTTTTCCTATTTCAGACAATCGAATCTTTGACCTAAACTCATGAGAATCTCTCTTATATTTTTTTGAGGTGGAAATTGTGAAATTTTCCATTTAACAAAGTGAAAAATATATTACAACTAATCACATTGTGAAATAAATAATGCGAAGAAGTTGTAACTAGCTACTATATACCTCGTCGTATCAATTACAAAATAAAAATAAAAAGGTTATCCCAAGTTCATAAGCAGTGGTCCAATAGGTAAAATCAATTCCTTGGTGAAAAAACCACCGCTTGATTTTGTATAATATTATGAATGATTGATTTTGTTGTGTTGTTGTTTGTTTTCTGGATATTATTGGTAGATGGTGACGCGTACGATGAATGATATCCATAAGCTTTGTCCTGAGATCGTTCAGAAGTCGCAAATCCACGATATGAGACGTGCAGAAGTCGATAAGGTTTTTTTTATCTCATAGATAACTAAACTGTCTTATATGAGACTTGAGTGAAGTTAATTAAGCTCTGATCAAATTTCGATTTTTTTTTTTTTTGTGCTTTGCAAACAGTTGCTTGAAAACTTTTACAACGCATTGAAGTCAATTGGAAATTCATGGATCGATGACCATGAATGGATCATCAAATCCAAGTATAGGAACACTAGTAACAGGAAGAATCTGTCGGATCAACTTGGTAATAACTAACATTCCAAACTCTTATGATTAATATTTTACTCTTTGCATAAGTGGTTGTTGTAACACAATCTCTATAACTTGTTGGTTACAGTGGAAAAGGTGTTAGGTGCATTAGATGGACTCATTAAGGGGATGAACGAGAGGCTAGAGATCAGCGATGATGAAATGAAGAAAAAGGCTAGTCCACGGAGTAAACCATCGAGTGGTCGACCAGAATCATTGGCAAAGCAACCGATCACAACAAGAACGGTATTGAGACCATCTAGTAAAGTTAAAGACTTTGCAATCTCTGTCTCAAATCTTCCCAGAAATGTGAGAATGCAAGGGCTTGTAAAGCTGACCCCTATCGATGTAAAGCGACTCGCCATCCAAAATATTTGCCAGAAAGAAGCTCAGAGCAAGAATGCTGATGCTGATGTGACTGTTAAAGGGAAGAAGAGTGAAACAGAGAAGGCAGAGAAGATGGAGAAAGAAAACGAAACTGTTCTTGATGAAAAAGATAGTGTGAAGAATCAGACTGATGATGATGAAAATTGTTTAAATGTTACAATAAAATATAAAACTGTTCCGAAATCTTTGGCTCCGCCTCCTTCTCCACCTACAGGTAATGCAGCAATCCTGGTGCAACCACCACTTCCAATGGCTTCTGAAAAAGGACTGGATGCTGCTCAGCTTCCTCCAGCTCCCGGGATCGCAGCACCACTACTGCCACCACCGGAACTTCCAATTGCTACGGGGAAAGGAGTGACTGCTCCGTCTCTTTCACCTCTACTGTCATCACGGCCACTTCCAATGGCTGCAGGTAAAGGATTGGCTGCTCCGTCTCTTCCCCCTCCAGGAGCTGCTCCACCACCACCACTTCCAATGGCTGCAGGAAAAGGACCTGCTGCTCCACCACCACCACTTCCAATGGCTGCCGGAAAAGAACCTGCTGCTCCACCACCACCACTTCCAATGGCTGCAGGAAAAGGACCTGCTGCTCCACCACCACCATTTCCAATGGCTGCCGGAAAACGACCTGCTGCTCCACCACCACCACTTCCAATGGCTGCCGGAAAAGGACCTGCTGCTCCACCACCACCTCCACCAGGCGCAAGAGGAAGTTTGGGTGCCAAGAAAGCAACTAGTAAACTGAAGAGATCAACCCATTTAGGGTCCCTCTTTAGATTCCTCAAGGCAAAATTAGAAGGGAAGAATCCAGAAGTAAAATCTCGTGGCGCTGCAGGAGAAAATAAAGGCGGGATTGGAAGCGCTCCAGCCAGTGGAAAGCAAGGAATGGCTGATGCTCTTGCCGAGATAACAAAAAGGTAATTCTCATCTTACTTCACTTATAAACAACAAAACTGGTCAAAAACTCATACTTGCTTTATGTTCTATGGCTACACAGGTCTCCTTATTTTAAGAAGATAGAAGAGGATGTTCGAATGTATATGAATTCAATCAATGAGCTTAAGACAGAGATTGTCAAGTTCCGGAATAAGGACATTACTGAGCTTCAGAAATTTCACCAACGTGTTGAATCGGTTCTTGAGAAACTAGAAGATGAATCACAGGTCAGTGACAACAACATAAGTGATCCATGCCACAAAAAAAATCTTCATCATATTCTGGTTTTGTGATCACAAGAATATTTGAACTTGGTTAGGTTCTAGCAAGATGTGAAGGATTTCCACATAGTAAACTCGAAGCGATAAGAATGGCTGCTGCATTGTACTCGAAGCTGCAGGGTATAATCAAAGAACTAAAGAACTGGAAGATGGAGTCTCCTGCGGACCAACTTTTCGACAAGACTGAACGTTACTTTGCAAAGGCAAGTCATAGGAATACTGCTTTTGCTAGTTTCTTCTCCTTCCTTTTTTTGGTTCTTTCCTCTTCCAGGTAGCTGAACTGATCTGAAGAGAATGATTTTTTGAATTAAAACACAGATCAGAAAAGAGATTGAAACTCTAGACCAGATCAAAGCAGAAGAGGAAAAGAAGTTCAAGACCAATAACATCCATTTTGACTTCAATATTCTTGTTCAGATTAAGGAATTGATGGTTGATATCTCCTCTGGCTGCATGGAACTGGCATTGAAGGTAGGACTAACCATAAGATCAAAACCTTCATACTTGCAATACACATTTCGAACATCTGATCACTGTTTTGAAACCAATTTAACTAAAAGCCTCTTGGTTCGATCTCACAGGAGAAGAGAGAAGCTAAGATTGCAGCGCAAACGACTGCCGAAACACGCGAGGAGAAGGGGAATACAAAGAACAAGACTGCAAAATGGGCTAAAACACTGTGGAGGGCATTTCAGTTTGCCTTCAGAGTCTACACATTTGCTGGTGGGCACGACGATCGTGCTGATAAGCTTACAAGAGAGTTGGGTGAGGAGATTGAACTGATTCTTGGAAACTAAATGACTCGTGACTTCACCACTCATCCTCTTACAATGTCTCGCCTGAAAATGTCACATAATTTTACATAAGTGTTGAGCTCTTTTAGAAGGCATTCAAAGAGAATAAGTGTTTTGGATAACATGTTGTAACATAATTACCAGAAAGCTGTTGTAATCTGATCATTCTTGTCACTGTGGCTGCTGCTTTTGATGAGCCAATAAAGGTTACCAAAACATCCGAACTCGAATCCAGGCAAATTATATAATTGAGGACAACGGATCTCAGTATCAGACTGATGTAGGAAAGCTATGAACTTACGTGTGGCAATACGACTAGCCCTGGCCAGATGAGAAAAGTGATCAAAAGCAACAGAAAAAAGGAGTTTTATCTCAATAAAGACAGAGAGCTAAATCGAACTAAATAAAATATTCATAAAATAGATTAATCTTTTTAACTTCTTTTTTTTACAGCTTCTTCAAGAAAGATAGATACAAACCTCAAAACTCAAGATATGCTGCGAAATATCAAAACGTAAGTTGTAGAGCAAACTTGTATATATGATTAGTCACGAAAACTACAAAAGAATGGAGTATAAGAGTAAAACTGTAAAAGACAACTAAAACCAACCCTAAGCCGGGACAGACAGTAAAACTCTAAAAGAAGAACTAACGTACTAATAGGAGCCTTATATCATACATCAACATGATCAACAGAGTTAGTGATCACCCCAAAGCATTCCAAGTTTTTTTTTCTTGCAGAAGCTGTACACAGAGAAGAAAATGGAGAATGAAGAATTGATTTTCCCTTTGAGAATCCCTTTTCACGGTAATTTGCAGGATTTAATCACTTCCATCACTGCTTTATGCGTCTCTGGAGGGATCATGTTCAGAGTCATGTGAAATGCCTGAACAAACAAAGTACACAATCACTTCAACGGATTCTCCTAGCCTGAAATTGAGTAGCCATAAGGTGTTAAAGAGGCACATACCACAAATCTTTCCAAGACCGGTACAAGAATCGCAAGATCGCGTTTCGGGAGATAGTCCTTGATGGAGTTGCGTATACTTCTACTGCTAGTGAGTCCAAGAGCATGTTTAGCTTCTAGCAGAAGATTAAATGGATGTGACATATATACTAAGATTGAAAACAAAAAGTACCTTTCGGTTGAAAGAAAAGCGAGTAGTAGAGCAGCGTAAGCTTCCACAATCATCTTTTCTGCTTCCTTTTCGCCTTCTAAAACAGCTTCTTCATCATCCTGAATACCAAACAAAAAAAAACACAGCAGGTTTAATACTAAAAGCCATTTCTGTGGATCTCGAAGTTTGAGTAAACAACAGTGATGCTGCTACTCACTAAGGTGAATGTAGTTGTCTCTTCTTTGGCCTCTGCTGATCCTTGATTGGTAAGAAAGATTGAACATAGTAAAGGAATCATTTTCTGCTCACTCTCTTGCAACCCTTCTGGTTTTGTAAGAACACTCGCTGAAGCAAGCCGTGATCTACAAAAATATCAGTTACTTGATTAGAAAACAGATACCATTTCTGCTGTGACTAAGGGGGGTTCAAGACAAACGAATGCGACTACTTAAATTGTATTGACTCAACCACATGATGGTGTTAAAAGAATGTGAACAACACAACAAAATCTAAAAGGGTATTGGTAGAAGCTGAGATATTGTTTGCACCAACCTGTTCACTCCGTCTTTCTCAACCAAATTTACCAGTAAACCCAAGATGGCAACAAGAAAATCTAACTCCTGATCTGTAAGATGTGAGTCTTTCTTCTGATGGGATGATCCCGTCTTTTCCATTTCATTGAAAAGTGGAGATATGGTGAAAGACGGAAAATGTCTGGCTATTAGTTCAGCCATGCTTTCCAGCCCTCTGCACCCACCAACTTGCCGACAACCAACAGCATTATCATTTGTTAAGTTCATCAAAACCTGCAGATAGATAATCATGAACTAAGTTTTTGCTACTCCGGCTAAGAGGTTTTCGCTACAGACCAGTAAACAGGTGTTAAAAGACTGTAAGAAAATTACCTTTATGGCTGTTAGAAGGCAATCAGATAAAAGACATAGACATTCTTCATCAATGTCATTTGTACAAGATGATGGTTGCAGCGATGTACTGCAGTCTCTGTCACTTGATTCTTCTTGGGAATCCAACCTATGGTTTGATGATTCATCTTGGCTTGAGAACAGCTGATACAAACTATCTTCTTTACTTTGTTTGTAGCATCCTTTCTTCTTTTGCACTCTAGACTTCTTTTGCTTTACGGACACCACTGCCCACTTGGAAGGTTGAGAATCGTCCAAATCAAACGCAAAAGGATCTTCACTTTCTTCGGGGAATGCAAAACCTCCGGGTTTTTTACAGCTTGGTTCTCCAGCTTGACTAGTCCTTAGAGTACTTCTGGCAATGCCACTACCCAATGATGCTAATCTCCCTGCAAATAAACCAGATATGGTGGAATCGACTCTTGTTTTTGACATAGTAGGCTCATTCCCAGACACACTTGATTGAGACCCCGACATTGATGTTGGTGAGGAATCTAAATGGATTATGGAATGACTTCTTTGGGATACACTCTCATTCCTCGTGGAGACAGAGCCAACAGTCGAGCATGTATCTGAACTGATTGTCACAACCTCATTGGTAACTGCAAAAGATAGAAGCGGCTTAGCATCGAAATATAAAGAGACCAAAGAGAGAATAGAGAGAGTGAGAGGAGACAGACTCATTTGTAGCTATAAGAATAAATTACCTTTCCGATCCACTCCCAAGATAGAATCACAATTACCACCATTTGAATAGTGAGGATTCACACTGTTCCTATTAGGACTTGGAAAACCTCCACGTAGGTGAAGACCTGGACATCAGTCCAACCAGCAATCAGGATAAGAGATGATATAACGAGAGGAAGTCATAATGTGTGACAATTCAAAACAAGCATGGTATCAATAGCATACCTGAAAGCATCTTAATGACACTTAAAGTGAGCTCTGTGAAAGATATTCGGGATTCATGAGAACCGAAACATTTCTTAAATTCAAGCAAATGATTCTGAAATAGACAATTAGGATTACAGTTATATTATATCAGGCATTGAGTTATATATACTGCAACTTGATAACAGTTGATTAACGTCTGAATCTACAGAATATTGACATGAATGTAGAAACCAATACACTAAAAGATACCTGGTTGTCTGTGCTGAGGAACGTAGCATTTTCCATGATTTTCAGACATTTCAGAAGCAACATTAAACTCTGTTTATGCAGATTATCTTTCTTTTCCTGGACGGAAAGTGCGTCATATTCCACCCAGCGCTGCATATAGAATCTGTATTAGATTCTCTCAATAAATATAACATAATGCAATTGCAAACTGCTAGCAATGAATACAATTACGACAAAGGAGAGTATACATGAAACCTGCCAGCAATACAAGTGTACTATTATTGCAAATTTGTCAAAAAGCTTATTCTGAGTTTAAACAAAGTCATTCACCACTGCAAATACGGTCAACAAGTAATCTCTCTATCAATACACGAAGAAAGCACCTTTACTTAAATAACTTTTCAGCAGTAAATTGGATTTGAACAAAGAATAGACCCTGAAAATACCTAAACAATCACAAAATTAACAACCTAAGATGCTTTATACAAGTTATAGTAGACTGCAATTTCTATCTTATTATAAAAGATACTAATGCAGATGAAAAAAAAAAAAAAAAGTAGATACAGACTCACACCTCCAAAATAGCGTGACAATCCATAACAACCTCAAGGACTGCATCAAGTCCTCCTAGTTCTCGCAGTTTCTCCTTGAAATTCCCTCCGGTCTTTTTCACAGAACCAGAAGTATCTGGATGAGGGGAAATGAAATAAATTACTGACAATAAACAAAATAGTATAAAATTATCACCATCTACGCTAGATGAATTTAGAGAAGCAAAATAAATCACAGGAGAGGACAGGAACTTTTACGCAAAATAAATCTAACTATATCTAATATGATCCTGAATTAGGTAGCTAGTCATTACTTCCAACAAAAGAGACAAAAAGTTGAAATACCATCAAAAGAAATTTTGGATAAACACGCCCTCTCCATGGCCAACAAAGCTACCCATTTCGTACTTAGCTCAGGCCTTGTTGTTTCAGTTTTACAGCCATCATTCATTCTCATTTCTTTGCAATTAACAAGAAGTTCTTGAACTCTTGAAAGTATATCACTGGAGCTTGGATCATTTATTTTTGCTGGATCCCGTACTGCATCAACATCTTTAAGTAATGACAAGAGCTTAAATCCTATATTGCGTGGCTTCCCTTCGGTGCTAGTGACAACTACAGGTTTCAACAACTTTATCAGAAACTTGATACACTTGGGTGACTCCATAAAGTTCTCGTCTTGACCCTGAATTCATGAATATGAACTGGTAAAGTTAAAAGCAGAGAATGGGAAATGGTGAAGAAGAAGAAAAAAAATGTCAATGAATAGAAGATTATACAATAAAATATATTTGTGGCAGCATCTGCACTTACATCAGCAGTTAGCACAAAGAAAAGGGTGGCTGCGGCAAGATTGCTTGGTATGTCATCAAGGCTAAGAACCAAAATCGCATCAATTATGGATTGGGAAATCCTGAAACAATAAGCTTCCACAAAATTAGGTAATATCTTCCTGAGAGTTCATTATAATCAGCATCCATTTAGGACTTCTCATCGACTCAACCAACGAATCAATTAATGGGACAAAGACAAAATCTCTAGTTCTTGGGAGAGAGTTATACATATTCCTAAAACCTTACTTCATGTGCATCATAATACAATCCCTATTCAGAAATTTACACTCCAATCGACTACAAACCCGAAATGCTCAAGGTTCTCAAAACTTACATGCCCTAATCCTCTTCAGACAATCATAAAGACCAAATCCATCACAAATCTGATTCACAAGAAGCGCAACTTCAAAACCCAGACTACAGAAAAGAGAAAACTGACATTTTCGGCATCGAAGAATTTGTATAAAAATCGTGCCCTAAATCCAGCAGACCAAAAATAGAATGAAAACCCAGAACTCAAACAAATCTTTACACAAAACCCACATGCCATTTAGGAAAATTAGGAAAATTTCTCAAACATTTCTCAAAATCAAGCCCCAGAAAAGAATGGGGAGATCGAAAAAGCTAAGAAAAGAGGGGTAAGCATACCCCTGAGCTCTCAAGGAGCGACGCTGGTGTTGAGATGCGCAAATCGAGAGCAAAGATGACAAGCTAGCTCTTCTGATCCTCAGTTGTTGTCCTTTCCTCAACCCATCAAGCGCAAAGTTAACCTCATCCTCATGCTCCATCAGCTCACCAAACTCCTGAGCCTCAAGCAAAGTAGAAGTGAAAGCAAAAGCCTCACCGTTCCTCACTCTTTTCGCCCTCCGTACACCTCCGTTATGTGGATAATTATCCTGGAAATTTGACCTCGAGGAAGAATGCCAAAGAGAGGAAGACTCTTGACTGGCGAAAGGAACAAGAGAGTAATCAATAGGTTCGATGTCTGGCGAAGAAGAGGAAGAGAGATACTCAGTCTGCGAAACGGTGTCGTTCAGAGAGTCGGATAGGGTCCTCGGAATCCCGGGCTTACGGCGGCCGTAGGTTCGCTCCATCATCGCCGAGATGAGTCGTTGAATTTACAAATTTGGGGAAGATTTTTAGGTGAGGAATCGAAACAAGGGGTATTCCGGGAATAAAAGACAAAATATAAAAGTGCGCTCGTAAGATCTGTGTGTTGCTGAAGAAGAGAGCTGCTAACGTGATTGGCCGTTAGTTTTGTGAACCTTTTTAATAAAATGTTTTAAATTTTTAATTAACTATTGTTATCACACTGTTACAATATTAACTACCGTGAAGCACTGAAGAAAAAAACAAAAACAAAAACATTTTCTATTCAGAGAATTCTTCTAAAATTATATAGATTCATTCAAAGTGATAAAGATGGCATGTTAAGTGTTTCTTCTACCTATAAATATATCGCAACCTCTACATACGCTTTCATCAAAGATTCACAAAGAATTTTAATCAAAAACCAATTGTCATTTTCCACTGTACAAGAGAGAAAGGGAAGACTCCCGAAAACAAATGATGACAAAATTGATTAAGTTGCAATGCGAGCAATATAACAACCAACGTGAACCACTGCGGATTCTGGTGCTACGACTGCACCAAATGCCGAGTGCTTTGATAACTTCTGAACTAGTAACGACATTAATCTTTCACCAGCCACAGTCCTCCCCACATCTCTCGTCCTTCGCCTCTTATTTGATTTATACAATACACTTTTTTCTTCTTAACGGAATTTCATATCTTTTCTTCTTATAATATTCTACAAGATGTTGAAAATTTGGTTTACATGATTTTGAATCTAAAGATGTGATCCTTGCATTCCCAAAGTATTTACAAAACAAAATCTACACCACACATCCACACAATGAGCCTAGTTTTTCATCGGAGCATATCTCCGGAATGTATTTGTAGCCCGCTAAGCGCAGGCGATATAGTGAAACCGTTTCCGTCCAAGCGGTATGATGGATGCGCTAGCGGGACTGGTCGATCCGGTATTGGGGGAACCTCGATGTCTCCTTCTAGCATTTTCAGTGCATCTAATATTGTTGGCCTTAACGCAACCAATACATGAGCACACAAAATCCCAACTTGCAAGAATCTCTCCATTATCCCTTTCGGATTAGAGATCCCTGAGCCCTCGTCTCTCAACAAAGACTGTTCAAGAGCTTCCTCTGTTTTACCGGCTTTTACCAACGACCAAGCCCAATCCGTAATCAGAAATGTGTTTGGCGATCCGGAAGTAGACAGGTCGAGAGCTTTCCTTCCGCACATTATCTCCAATATAACAACCCCGAAGCTATATACATCGCTTTTTTCGGTTAGTTGACCATAAAGCGCGTACTCGGGAGCCAAATAACCGTGTGTTCCCGCCACTCTGGTAGTGAGATGAGACTCCCCTTCTCTACTCTGTTTAGCTAAACCGAAATCCGCTACCCTCGCTCGCATATCGACATCTAACAAAATGTTTGTACCTTTGATATCGCGATGGTAAATCGCGGGTTTCACACCGTAATGCAAATAAGCCAACCCTTTGGCTACATCCAAAATGATGCTCTTTCTCTGAGGCCAGCTCAATGGCATCTTTTGAGTCTCTCCCCGAGGAAACAAATGATCATCGAGATTTCCATTAGACATGTAGTCATAAACAAGGTATCTCTGACTCTGACTATCATCATCCACCATACTACAACCTCTAAGCGGAACAAGATTCCTGTGCTTCAAATTGCTAATGATCTCAACCTCATTACGAAACTCTACATCCCCTTGAAATTCAGATTCTATCACCTTCTTAACCGCGATAACCGATCCATCCTGTAAAACCCCTTTGTAAACAAAACCAAACCCGCCTCGACCGATGAAATTCTTCTGCGAAAAATTGTTAGTCGCCTTCTCTAGTTCCTCGATTTTGAACCAGATTGAGCCAGTGTTTGGTCTCCATTTCGGTTTAGACTCTTGGTCCTCCCAACCAGCTTCTCCCGCTTTACCAAACCGGAAATACAAACAAACAAAACCGGCAATAACCAGAGCTCCGAAAATAGATCCGGTGAGGCCTAAAACAAGAGCCACCGTGTGTCTCTTCTTCTTAGAGCTCAAGGGAGATCTCAAGCTCAACGAGAAGAGACAAGACAAAGAATCATCACCCTCAGGTCCTTTCTTATTAACGATACCAGCAGCGTAAAGAACAGCGAAATGGTAACAGTTGAGACCGTGAGAGCTATTACCATCGAGATCAATCAGCTGCTTCTGAACCCTAAACCCAGCCGCCACACAAGCGTCGCATCGAGTGAGATCGGTGAGACCACTGCTGCAGGCGGAGTCAAGCGCCGTCGTGGGACCGAGACGAGAGACCCAATCTCGCGTAGTTTGGATTCCGGCACAGGTCTCGTTGGTGATGACGAATTGTTTCGGATCGAAGCAGACGGAGGTGAGATTCGGAGAGAGAGAGAGGGCATCGAGCTTCGTTTGGAGGTTGTTGATACAAGAGACAGAAGTAGCGAGATTCGGGAGACGGAAGTTGGATGTTTGTTTGAGACGATGAGCTAGAGGGATTCCAATTAGAGTTAAGACGGATTGACAGCAACTAGCCTTGCTGTTAACTGATTTGTCGTAGCTTCGACAATCAGTTGTGTTCCATGGGATTGTCAGGACATGGGAAAAATCTAAAGGACAAGTTGATGACGGTGATGGAGATTGAGCAACAACGCAGGTTGAGAAGAGTACTAGTATAGAAAGAAGAAGAAGAAAGAGGAGGCTCACCATGACTTGTTGTTGGATTTTTGGGTGAAATCGGAGATATGGGTTGTGGAGAATCCGATGTTATTTTGGTGGTGGAAACTGGAAAGTGAGTGATTTGATTTTGGCGGCCATGAAAGTTGAGGAGATGGGAACAAAAAGAGATGGATCGTTTTCGGGGTTGGGTGAAGTCGAAGAGGCTGCTGCTTTGATCTGTTGACTTTTTGGGAAACAACATAGGAAGCTCTCATCAGTGTTTGTTTGTCCCCACCTGCAACTGCCACCACTATGGACAATACGATAAAACTTATTTTTTTCTTTAGAGACCACGTTTCAATTTACTCTTTTGTTAAATGTGGGAAAATGCGAAAAGCAACCCCATAAGGTTAGGCCATAATGATAATATTATAAAAACAATAGAAATTTGCATTAGACTTCTAAAAGCAGATTTGTATCTATCATTTATCCTTTACTACACAAAATGACAAACTGAATCAGAAAGACAGAAAGTCTAAAACGGTGGTCAAAGAACAAAAATTAGAAAAGAAAAAGGTCAACTAGAGAGAGAGAGATATCATATAAAAGAGTCGACACACCTATGACGTGGTGAGCTATTATTTATCTATAGCATGTAATCGGAAATGGGGAACCACTATGATGGAGAAAATAACTTAATAATATATGCAACATACGGAACACTACATCCGAAACAGCTGATCATGTTGGATACACTACATCGAAATAGCTATTTTTGTGTCAATATGATCAAGGCACTTTTGATTAGTAAACAAATAGTACAACTTTACTTTTGAGTTTGTCAATAAATATCTTCTAAATTAATTTATATAATGGTTAATATGCCTTCGAAAAGAAACTTACATGTATGGGGTGAGTTAAATTTGATCATACCGTTCTAGTAAAAAGATTAAATTTTAATAACAAACAAACATATAAAAAAGAAAAATCTAAAATAATTTTAAGAAAAAAAGGAACAGAAATTTCCTAATAAAAGCTCCTCCCAAACAACTCGGCTCTTCGTCTGTCTGGTAGGTAATCATATCTCTCATTTCTCATTTCTTACACGACAACAAAGTTTCCTAATCTCTCTCTGTTTTCTCTTTCCGCCAAATTCCACGATCATCATCATCATCATCTACTTCGTCTGGATGCAATGGGGACTCCTCGTTCGCCGGCCACAGATTTCTTCGGCATATCCAAGACAGCATGCAAAGCCTACAAGTCCCTCGTCACAAAACTGCACCCTCTCTCTTCTCACCGCAAATCCGAATCCCACTCCGACGCCGATTCCGTACGTTTTTCTCCATGCCATTCTCATTTCAATATTAGATTTGTGACGAACAAGATTCTTCTCCTATATCATAGATATATACAAATTGTTCGTTACCTTGATCAATCGTCAAAATATCTGATTTCTTATTCCTTGTTAAGGAGGGAAACAAAAAAACCTCTCTGTTTGAGAGCTACGTAGATTTTGAAACTCTGTTTCGTTATCAATCAATCCAAATCGTAAGAACGTAAAGAATGAACCGTTTTGTTAAAAAATTTACAGGCAATCCACCGGAGATATCTAGAGGAGAAATTTGCGGAGGAGGATGATCTGATTGCTGCTCGGAGAGGTCTCCGGTTACAGAGCATGGACGATAGCACCGTCTTCAAACGGCGATCTTCTCTGCTATCAAACTCCAGTAGCCGTCGTAGTCACACCCCGCAAGCTAGACCAACCTACCTCTCCTCCTCCGCTTCTTCGAACCGACGCTCTGCTTTCTCCAGGAGCACAAGCCGTAGAGACGAAGGCAGCAGCCACGGCGGAGGGAGAAGCCACGGTTTGAAATCACGTCCCATATCGAACAACGCGAGTCCGATGGCGTCTCCTAGAGGGAAAGATCAAACATTAGGTGATTTATTTGGTTCCGTTCAGGGACTAACGTCTCCTCCAAGCTCTAGTCCAATCAACGGCGTGAAACAATCTTCTCCGTCTTCGATATCGAAGAGCGCAAGCAAGAGAGATAAAGACGAGAGAGGTTCTCAGAGCTCGGCGACGTCTACGTCTGTGCCGTATTCGAAGAGCAAGAGCACGAGACAACAAGAGAGGGATGCGGCTGGGTCAATAGGGAAGAGTATAAGCCGGAGGAGCACAACGCCGATAGTGTTTTCACAGTCTACACCACCGAAAAAACCTCCGGCAGTGGAAAAAAAGCTTGAGTGTACGTTGGAAGAACTCTGCCATGGCGGTGTCAAGAACATCAAGATCAAAAGAGACATCATTACCGATGAAGGGTTTGTTTCTTTGCTCCAAATCTCTCTCTTTTTTTTTTTTTTTGGTTCAGTCTAGTCTGGTTGTATTTGTATGCACATTCGCTTCTTGATAACCAACAAATCATTCACTATGTTCTGTAATGAACAGGTTGATAAAGCAACAAGAAGAAATGTTAAGAGTGAACATCAAACCGGGATGGAAGAAAGGGACAAAGATCACATTCGAAGGAGTAGGGAACGAAAAACCAGGCTATCTCCCGGAAGATATCACATTCGTGGTTGAAGAAAAGAGACATCCTTTGTTCAAAAGACGTGGAGACGACTTAGAGATTGCGGTTGAGATTCCTCTTCTAAAGGCTTTAACTGGATGTAAACTCTCGGTGCCGCTATTGACGGGCGAGTCGATGTCCATATCCGTAGGAGAAGTTATCTTCCATGGATTCGAGAAGGCGATAAAAGGTCAAGGTATGCCAAATGCTAAAGAAGAAACTAGGCGAGGGGATTTGAAAATAACGTTTCTTGTGAATTTCCCGGAAAAGTTGAGTGAAGAACAACGGGCTATGGCCTATGATGTTTTGAAAGATTGTTCTTGGGCATAAGGCTTATATCATTCCTTTCACTTGTGATCTTCTTTTGTATATAAGTTTCCTACGGGTTGAAGGTTTGATTCGTTGACATTTAGGCTTACAATATTTTCTTAGATTGAGCTGTTACATGTGATTCTTGCTGTGAGTGATACAATTGTCTTCTTATGCACCTTTGTGAAGGCACATGCATGATTTATTGTTCATTTGTTTTGCCATTTCAATATTTCATCGTGGCTTACATATATAGAACTAGGTTTTGCCGCATTAAATGTATAAATTGTCAGTTCACTCAAGATCAACAAGTATATATTTGCAACAACTTTGGCATCCCAGAGAGAAAAATTTAGATTAGTTCTTTATCATTTTTTCTTTAAGGCATGGAAAACGTCTAGTGAACATTGATTTATAAACTCGATTGTATTTTATTTTGGATTCGATTGAAAAGACTACTTAAATAATATATAACTAATGTGTAAAGAAATTATAAAAAGACCGCATAGCGCAGTGGATTAGCGCGTCTGACTTCGGATCAGAAGGTCGTGGGTTCGACTCCCACTGTGGTCGAGTTTTTTTTCCAGATAGTTTAGTTTTTGGAGTTTTCTGGGAATTTTAAGCTTCACTTCACGACATGCTCTCCATTATTTATCTCATTGCTTTCAGAAACTGTAATTTAGGGGAACAAGGATACTTATCCCTTTTCCCTGATGAGAGCTTTTTGTGAGATAAAAACATTAGCTACTACTTAAGATTCACGAAGAGTAAAACTGAAACAACAAATTATAGACTCTGTTTGTATATTTGGGTCTCAATGTCTTTAGTATTCACTAAAGTGCAATAACGATTGCTTCAACTCATATATATATCGAAGGCAACATACATTAGGTACTTATCATCGGGTGACAAAGAGAAGAAAGACATTCTCTGTGGAGAAAGATGTATGAACTGGTTTCTCTAATCTGCCTGAAACTCCATAGAATCTTGATTGCACAGCCAAAAGAAACGGTCACAGAAGTTTCAGCATTTTCAGTCTTCCTTCGTGCTCAGCATCCAGCTTTGGGGGAGTGTAACTTCCGTGAAGATCCTCCACAATGTACTCCTTTGTGAGCTCTCGCTTGGTGAGAATATGGTAATGTCTCTGCCATATCCTTTGGATAGCCATAGTAGCAGCAAGAAACCCATACGCTAAACCAAGAATTGCGAAGATGACGACAAAGACAACAACAAGAGCGAAACAAGCTTCCATTGAAGCAGGGAAACAATCCAAGACACCCCATCCGTAACAGCAGTTCTGGCATCCAGCCATCCTCGGGTCATTACCGTTGATGGCAGAGCAATGTAGAATGATTCCAAGAAATCCAGTCAGCACAAAGAAGGATACAACCCCTAGGATTCATGATTAAAAGCGTGTTAGGATTCTATATCCATAATATTCCAAATGTATTAGATTAAAGATTCAGTAAATACCAATGCAGTAATAAAACGGGATGGGATGTTTCGACAATATACGATCCCAATCATCGTTGAAAGAGTTTCGAAATTCTCCATCTTTGTCCATCATATATGCAAGTCCAGCCATAACAGCGATAACCTAGAATGTCAACAATCAATATTCTTCTCATCAAAAAGATGTTTCTTTTTGAATTTACAGCAATGGCAAGTGAAGAAAACAAAACACAAGTCACCGTCCGTGAGCACAATGAACCATTTGACAGTCTCAAGTTCTAATTGTCAAACCATGTGAAATTGAGTAGTGACCAGGTCAAGATTCAGATAGTGACAACAATTATCTTCAGGATCTCTCTTAATAAATGCTTTATCATCCTTATGAAAAGTGCAATTATAAGAACAATGAAGAGAAGCAGAGATAGAGAGAGAGAGGTACTCACAGTCTGCACAGCTAAGAATACCAAAAGCACATCTCTTGCGACAAAGAGTCTGAATTTAGCTTTACGACGCCAGGAGTTGTTATCCTCAAAGGGTTCGACTCTGAGATGAAACTGTGCTTTGCAGGTGGTACAGTGAGAGAAAGCAAAACCTTCCTTAACCGATCGCCAATGATCGAGACATGACCGATGCACGAACTGTTGAGTTCCTTTGCACATACAAGGTGATATCAATTCATCGCCTAGCAATTCGCTATCGTCCTCCAAGCAAATACGACAGCAAGGAGCTGAAGAAGCATCGTTCTCCAAATCTTCGGTTTTTATCTCATCGCTATTTCCTGCCACCACAGACGCAGGAGGAGACGCCGAAGAAGAAGAAGAAGAAGAAGAAGAAGAAGAAGTGGTCTGATCCCCCAACAAGGGAGCGGAATCACTAAGCTTCTGTGAATCCGGTGGCTGCAATTGTACTTCACCTTGCATCATTGATCAAACCTTATCTAACCCTAATTTCAGACACAGGGGGTGGAAATCAATCGTCGTTCGAGATCACAGAGGAAGGATTCGAATCGAATCAAACATTTTAGAGACTCTGAATTTTTGATCGGTCCGAGGGGAAAAAAAAACGTGCGAGGATGTGAGAAGAAGATTACAGAAGTCAGAAGTGGAAGAGAGACAAAAACTGGGGAACAAGGTCAATGCAAGAGAGAAAAAAAGCTTCTTAATTTTTGGGAAAATGAAAAAATTAAATGGGGTGAGAGAGGCTCGAACTCTCGACCTCAGGATCACTCAGTAGCTATGAGACCTACGCGCTAGCCAACTGCGCCACCACCCCATTGATGACATGTTTTACACGTAGCTCATAATTATCTACTTCTTCAAAACAGTGATCCCTATCCAGTTAAAGGTATACGTAAGTCTAACATTAACCGCGATTTATTAGTAAATCGGTTGAGATGTTGCTTCTGGATTGTGATTTGTGACAGTAGTAGATTGCTGCTATAAATTTGGTTTGTAAGAAAATTGTATGAAATGACCTAAATTGGTTTGATATCTGATACTAATTAATTTTGTTTTCATTTAATTCGGACAATGATTGAATCTCCCCTGATTTCAATACTGATTATTAAACCGATTCAGATATCAAACCGGACTATTATTATCGATTTATTATTGAACCGGACGGTCAAGTTCGGCTATTAAAACTGCATTATTAACTTTAGCTTCTTTAACGACATTTAGGGGGGGAGAGCACATGAGATGCATTAATGAAAGCAATGAATAAAGAAAGAGAAGACCGTTGGAGAAGACGAGGAAGCAACCATGTGCTATGGTTTCTACTTGGTACAGCATTCCATGAGCTTTCTCTTCTTCTTTGACTACTTTATTTAATTATTTCAATAAAATGGAATTGGAGAAAAAAAAGCTACACTTTATTATTCCCTCGTAAATCACAGATGCAGATCGATTCTCCATTTCTTTGGGGAGAAAAGTTTGTTCTTGCGGCTTTCCCGGAAGATCTGTTCTCCGGAGATGGAGCATATGATGAAAAAAGGGAGGTCTCTTGCAGAGACGCCGACTTACTCTGTTGCTTCCGTTGTTACTGTTTTGGTCTTTGTTTGCTTTCTCGTTGAACGCTCCATTTACAGATTTGGCAAGGTGAGGTTTTTTTATGCTTTATGCATACTATGTGTTTGCTGAAATGCTCAGCTCGAAAACATGAGTGTGACTAAAAGAGTTTTTTGCACTTGGTAGGGGTACTAAAGTCTCTTTCTTTCCTTGAGTCATGAACAGAACATGTTTTCGTCTGAGAATGGGTACTAGAAAGTGTGAATTTTTATGGACGACTTTAGTCATGGACATATGTGTTTATGTTCTTGTATTTCAGTGGTTAAAGAAGACTAGAAGAAAAGCACTTTTCACGTCGCTTGAGAAGATGAAAGAGGGTATGTCAAATAAACCCGTGGTAAAGCTGCGGTGCTTATAAATTGTGCTCGAGATAGTAAAGAAGCCTTTTATTTTGTTTTCGATTGATTTTTGACTTGTGAAATTTTCTTGGTAGAGTTGATGTTGCTTGGACTTATATCACTGTTGTTGTCACAAAGCGCAAGATGGATTTCAGAAATCTGTGTAAACTCTTCCCTTTTCAATAGTAAATTCTACATTTGCTCTGAAGAGGACTATGGAATCCATAAGAAAGTTCTTCTAGAACACACCCCCTCTACAAACAACACTTCCATACATCATGGAATACATGAAGCCTCTCATCAATGTGGTCATGTAAATGTCTAATTATCTATGGTCGTAAACCCTCTTTTCTATTTAACGTTTAGTAATTGCTGAACTGTTTCTTGGATCCAATGTCAGGGTCGTGAACCATTTGTTTCGTATGAGGGCCTCGAGCAACTCCTAAGATTCTTATTTGTTCTGGGTATCACTCATGTTCTGTACAGTGGCATTGCCATCGGTTTAGCCATGAGCAAGGTACACATTCTAGCTTCTGAATCTGCATATAAGTGTTACAGTTTTTATTCTTTGGTATTTTTATGTTTGCTCGGGAAGGAAGACGTATGCAGTACTTGTTATCACCTTCATCCTCATATTTAGAAGATGTAGAGAGCGCTTATGATAATATAGTTTGTGCTCTCAAGTATATGTCCAATAGATTTTAACTTTAATCTGAAAAGACAGAGGAAAAACCTTCGATACTCTCATTTATGCACAAAGAGTGTTGTTACGGTTATGCAGACGAACAGATCAATTCAATCTGAAACCGTGTTGTCTTTTTATCACATACTACAGATTTACAGTTGGAGGAAATGGGAAGCCCAAGCGATCATAATGGCTGAATCAGATATCCATGGTAAATGACATGACTTTTCTGTTTCTGCTACAAATAAAGCTTGTATGTTTCTTTTATTGGTCTCATCTTGAAGGCACATGAGAAAATCAGTCATATTAGGATTTGGAACAGCATGAAACTAAGACTATGTTCAGTATTTAGGTTGTTCATTCATGAACTCACTTGAGCCGTAGAGATGCTTTTATGCAACTTTTGCAAAATTTTCTTCATCTTGACTAGTAGATCAAATCCAGTGGACTATTATAAATACAGATATAGGGAAAAAAATTACGTTCTAGCATAGTATACTTATACAAGATTGAAATGAACTGGGTGGAATAGAGATGTACAAGATGTTTGTCTGTAATATCCATTTTAACACAAAAGATGTTGATTCATTGTTAAAGATTTGCCTTAGCATCTAGGATCCTTTAGTTTTCAGTCATATATAACCTTGTCTTCTTGACTTTGTTCAACAGCAAAGAAGACCAAGGTGATGAAGCGTCAGTCTACATTTGTTTTCCACCACGCCTCTCATCCTTGGAGTAACAATCGTTTTCTCATTTGGATGGTAACTCACTAACTCTCCATGCTTTTACCTTAAGCTGTATACTTTTCAAAATTTTTATATCTCTAGTTTAGAAAATTATTACATGTTTCTTCAGAATCTTCTTTTTACAGCATTTCTTCAGCTGTAAAATATATGTTTGTATTGCAGCTTTGTTTCTTGCGGCAGTTTAGAGGCTCTATACGAAAGTCAGACTACTTTGCACTTCGGTTAGGATTCCTCACTGTGAGTAACTCAGTATCTTTTTTATCTCGTCTCTCAGTCTTTCCCTTCAAATGTAAAATATAACTTTCTCTGTAATACTTTTCTGGAGTGAAAGTTTATATATTTTGTCCTCAAGACTTCCCATCTAATCTGGTAGCTGGCATGATTAATGTGCTGAAGCCGTTCTTCATTACTTTGTAATTTCAGAAACATAACTTGCCATTTACATACAACTTCCATATGTATATGGTACGGACGATGGAAGATGAGTTTCATGGCATTGTAGGAATTAGGTATGCGTTTCTTAGAAATGAAGTTTATTAGAGATTCTTTATTTCAACTGCTTTGAGAAGATCTCGTAAGGGGGTTATAGAATGGAACTGATGTATGTTTCTTGATGAATCAACAGCTGGCCACTTTGGGTCTACGCTATAGTATGCATCTGCATAAATGTTCATGGTAATTCATAGGTTACATAAAGACAAAGTGCATTCCATTTCTATCTCCACATTTAAGCCTTGTCTTTACTAATATAATGATTTCACTGCAGGCCTGAATATGTACTTTTGGTTATCATTCATCCCTGCTATTGTAAGTGAAACAAAAGCAAGAATAAGTAAAAAGCTTGAAATTCATCAGGCACTAACACTCAGAGCATGTGTTTGTATTTGTTTTGTTGTTTAAGCTTGTCATGTTGGTTGGAACCAAACTTGAGCACGTTGTCTCGAAGCTTGCTCTCGAGGTTAAGGAGCAGCAGACAGGCACAACTAATGGGGCTCAAGTCAAGCCACGTGACGGACTCTTCTGGTTTGGGAAACCAGAAATTCTGCTACGGTTGATACAGTTTATCATTTTTCAGGTAAGGACTTTTTCTTTCCTAGTTCTACAAGCCATGATTTTTGTTTATTCACTGATATGATCTTTACATATTTCCTGGTAATGCAGAATGCGTTTGAGATGGCAACGTTCATCTGGTTCTTGGTAAGGTCACACCTTCTTAAATACCTGCATCAATCCTTATATCAGCTATGTGAAGTTTTCAGAATGAAAAATCCTTTGTTTCATGTATCAGTGGGGAATCAAGGAAAGATCTTGCTTCATGAAGAACCATGTGATGATATCAAGCCGGCTAATTTCTGGGTGCGTTTCAGATACGCAACAATTTACAGCAACCAACTGTGTCTAAAGGGTTTTTATTTTCTGGTAAATGCAGGGTTCTCGTTCAGTTCTGGTGTAGTTATGGCACTGTGCCTCTCAACGTAATCGTCACTCAGGTTCGTCAAAACTTATCTTATATACCTACAAGTTCCACAATCTTAAGCCTATCAATGTCTATGAGTAAACAGCGTTCATCAAAATTCTATGGATTCACCTGAATCTGAACAGATGGGATCTCGTCACAAGAAAGCTGTGATAGCAGAGAGCGTAAGAGACTCACTTCACAGCTGGTGCAAAAGAGTGAAAGAGAGGTCAAAGCACACGAGATCAGTGTGTTCTCTTGACACAGCAACAATAGACGAGAGAGACGAGATGACAGTAGGAACATTGTCAAGGAGCTCGTCGATGACTTCACTAAATCAGATTACCATAAACTCCATAGACCAAGCAGAGTCTATATTCGGAGCAGCAGCTTCATCCAGCAGTCCTCAAGATGGATACACGTCGAGGGTCGAAGAATATTTGTCTGAAACATTCAATAACATCGGTTCGATACCACCTTTAAACGATGAGATTGAGATTGAGATTGAAGGTGAAGAAAATAATGGAGGGAGAGGAAGTGGGAGTGATGAGAATGGTGATGATGGAGAAACACTACTTGAGTTGTTTAGGAGGACATGATATTGTTTCTGCTTTGAGAAGCTTGGTTAAGTTGTAATTACATGACGACAACCCTACAAGCATACGTTAACAAAGTACTGTATATCTTAATTTCATTGGTCCTTCACTAAGGTGTCATTCTGATTTTAAACGGTTTAGGTCGGACTGAATACTTGGGTATAAGAAATTTATCAGAGTGCAAACAAAAATGATGGTGTGAAAATGTGATGAGCTCAAAGGAGCTAGGAAACGTGACAAATTAATCATATGTATGTGCAATTACATGCTGATAAACAATTAAACATATATAGAAATGAGAAAGATGTGGGGTTTAAGAGACAATGTAGATAATCTATATGTAGAAGATGGTACCGCATTGACGGGAATGAAGAGTATTGATAGATTATTGTGTTGGGGATTGTATAGTGGCGAATTCTCAGATCTGCTTTGTTATTATTATGATAACATTGACAGACTCGGACACTTGGATCGACATAGCATTAAAGAGAAAGACTTTAATATACTAAGAGCACCGACATTGGTAGGATGCATGGAGGAGGTGGGCGTATGAACTCATGTTATTATTATAGGCCATTCTAAATTTAATAAATAATACCCTTTTATTATTATAAAAATATTAATACGAAAGTCTTATTTCTATAAAATCATCACATTGGTCTTGCAGCCATGGATTGGAGACACGGATAAGTTAAAAAAAGAAAAACAGAGAACATTGAAAAACGGACCGAAAGAGGAAACGATGGATGTTTTAGTACTGTTGCTAGGTTTCATTGTGGGAGCAATATTTCTGCTTATTTGGGGCATAATACGTGAGTTTTCCTTAATCTTTACTTTTTTTTTTGTTTTGTCTATATGATAATAATAAAAAATGATCTCTATATATATATACAGGCTGCTTTCGTGCAAAAACCTTAAGACCTGCGTCTAGTGAAAGACCTGAGCACGGAGGATTTTCATCGTGGAATGGTGATGGTTCTTCGTATGGGATATCGTCCTTTGATGATGAGAAGGAGGAATGTGCTGCGCCTAGGCGACGCGGACCACGCCGTGGATCTAGAAATAAAATATACACAGGGATAGAGTTCATTTTGGGACCAGACAAGGACGGCGATTCTGATTCCGATTCCGACTCCTAGTAGTAGGGGGGGATAACTCGGTACTTTGATTATGAATTTTGCTTTGCAGCTTTTTCCTTCTTTTGTGCGATTACCTACCGCTGGATTTGATTATTTTCCAGTCTCCATAAAACCAAGTGCGACCCACGAAAGAAAGCAAATTAAAGAATGCAAATGATGTCATTGAAGACAAAAATGGAGATTAGTTGGAATAAGTTTGACTCCAAATTAAAGGTGTAACGTGGTGAGTGGTGACCATAAATTCATTTATCAAATAAAATGAAAAATTACTGCCACATCTTTAAAACATGAATAATTGACGACAAGGAAGAGCTATAGAAAGAGTGAGAAAGCTTTATATAATAAGGATAAAATTATAATATTTGTTTGGTTTTAAAATGTGTGTATGAATTTACCAAAATTTAAATAAACAAAAACTTTTTATAGCAAAATTAAAATAAACAAAATATTTTTATTCTAATTACAAAAGTACATGTGTTAAAGGTAAAAAAAAAAATGATAGATGGTGAATTTTTTACGGTTTTAGGCAAAATGAGAATAAGAAAGTTTGGGCTTAAAAGGCGTGGCCCATACTAACAAAATAGCGCGATGGTCCGTGTTATATAGAAGATGGATAAGCCTCTCGAGTTGTTGTTGTACGTAAACAGTACGGACACGACTCATGATGAAAAAATATAAAGTAAATAAATCATTTTCCTATAAAGGGGGTTGCAATTTTAGCGTGTTTCTTCTTCAGTGACAGTGAGTGAGTGAGTGAGAGAGAAGAAGAAGAAGAAAAAGAAGCGAGTGAGCAAAACTTGTCAAGAAAAATGTGGGCTACACTTGTGTTTTTGTTGATAGGAAGCTTGATCCACACAGCTGACGGTTCGATTCACGAGTACAACAACCAAAGCTTCACCAAAATCGCCGACGCTCGTTATTTTGTCGCTGGTTACCAAGGTATCTACGGCTCTGAGTTTCTGGATGTTCCTGCTTCTTCTGATACACCTCAGCTCAAGGGAAACTCCTTCATCAGGTTCTTATTCTCGTGCTTCTCTTCTCATTATGATTTATGTCTCCCGTTTTGAGTTTACTGTTTAGGGTTTTATGAGTCAAAATCGATTTAATCTTTCATTGGGGTTTCTCTCTACTTGGATGAATAGTAACAGGACATGACATTACATAGATTCTTGCAAATAAATGATATAGGAGCTTGTAGATTTGGGTTACTGCTTCTTAGATACTGAATCTTTTGAGTTTGGTATAGCGTTTCCAAGGAAAATTTCAAATACTTTTTTAATGTAGATTTGTATTACTGCTTCTGAGGGATTTACTCGTGCATTTGTAGAGGGAGACTTTTGACTATCTTATGTTCCTTGGTTTTATTTTTGTAGGTTCGATGATATCACTTTTGTAAGAAGCAAGGAATCTGCTAGCAAGCAGAATTCCACTCACGCAACTGCAGGATTGGTTGAAGCGATACTGTTTGAGGTGAAGCAGAAAGATAGAGTTGGTGGTTCCTTTTTCAAAACTGAGGACATGTGCTGTACGCCAAAACTTGCAGATGCTGGTTCCTGCAATCTTGGGGAAGTTATAATCAGCGCAGATCCTAATGATCCTGAATGGCCTAAGCGGATTCCCACTTTTTTCAAAAGAGGTGAGGAAGAAGTTAAGATGTCTCCCGAAGCTGTGATCATTAAGAAAACTGGATGGTACACTGTTTACTTCATGACATGTGATCCGGAACTGGATGCCACCACAGTTAGAGGAAGAACTGTTTGGAAGAACAGAGATGGCTATTTACAGGGAGAGAAGGCTCCTTTGATGAAGTTATACGCCTCTATGCTATTGGCTTATGTGGTTCTTGGCCTAGTTTGGTTTCCACAAGTTGCTCAGTATTGGAAGGATGGAATCCAGTTGCATAGTCATATTAGCTTGGTAATTGCATTTTCCATTGGTGAATTGGCATTCTTGTACTTTGACTTCTCCTATCTCGACTCAGCTGGTACAAGTCCTATGGAGGTTACTGTATCGGCAATAACCCTTTCTTCTGCGAGGAAGGCACTGTCTCGACTTCTGCTGTTGGTCATATCTTCAGGGTATGGGATAGTGAAGCCTAACCTTGGTGGCATAACATTGAGGATGCTTCTTATTGGCGTCCTATGCTTTGTTATAAGTGAATCTCTTGGGTTGGCTATAGAATTTGGTAACATTTCTGAAAATGGAATGACCGTCTTAATGCTCTATTGGGCGATACTGGAAACTTGCTTTCTACAGTGGATTTTCAGGTCTTTATGGAAAACTCTTAAGAAGCTTAAGGTAAGAAACATCCAATATTTTTCTTTTTATTTGATGATTCATATAATGGATTTCTTTTAAGTATCTTACCTGCTAACTGTTGAAAGTTGCAAAACAAGCCAGCTACGAGGATCTGAGTTATTCTTAAATTTTTCATTTCTGCTAATCCAAAAGTTTCTTTTGTAGCTGAACAAGAAGAACATTGCTAAGCTGCAACTCTACAAGAAGTTTGCAACTGTGCTTGTGATCATGGTGGTCCTAAACTTCTTTTGGATTTATGTGGAGGTAAGCTCACTAGTTTAATGATCACTTGAAAACGATACAAGTCATAGAATTGTGTAACTGAAATCGTTTTCTGAATCAGGTATTTGTCTATAACTCTCCGAGCGACTTTTGGCAATTGAAGTGGAGTATTCCCACTTTCTGGTACCAGCTTTCTTACCTTATGTTGGTATTCATTTGCTATTTTTGGCCTCCTACAGAAAAGCCGACGAGGTAAGTATCAATCTCTCTCTACCCTTTTGATCAATTGGGTGCTTTTGTGGTCTGTTTAAAATTTCATATTAGGATCATGTAAACAGTTTTAGTGTTTGAACTTTAAAGTAATGAATAGAATACCATAATTTTCCTCCGCTGCTATTACCCACATTTGTTTGATGTATATATACTGGTTTGAAATTGCAGGTACCTATACCTAGCTGACATGGATGAGGAGACTAAAGAAGGAGACGAATGTCTCTCACTGGCAGAAGCTGGGATGAACAGGAAAGATGAAACAAAGGCTGAAGATGGCGATGTTGAGAGGAATGAAAGGAAGAGCCTTCTGGAAGTATTCATCATATTGTTGGGGAATCTACCAGGCGAGAGGTGAAACACGCATCCTACAAAGTTACCATGGTTTTGAGCTTAAGCTGCCTCATAACATCCCTTTTTCGGCTTAAGCTACCATACTTTTTAACCTACGGCTTTTGGAGTTTTTTAAAGTTTTTCTTTCAACTCCCTAGTAGAATTTGCAGCAGACTTGACTTAATCGGGTTCCCTGTTTCATGAACTTGTTTGGTAAGTGGAACAAAATGGTAAAAAAAATTGAATATTAGGACAAAATGAAACACTTTTAAGTTGCAATTATTCTGTCTTCTTCCATTATAATCTTGTTTTTCTAACATCGCCATTGAAATAAGCAATTGCAAAACATCTATCGTTCAATTTGTACTTCCTCAACTATCAAATTAAGTACTACTAAACGCAAAAAGACTCCCTCAGTACGTACGCAATAAAATATAGGCACTTTGCATCATCAATCCATATGTTAATTTTATAAACAACAATGTTACAATCACAACAATTTACATTGAAAAAAACAATCGTACCATAGTAAAGTCTAGTAGTGGAGAAGAGCTAGCAATATTTTACTTTTCTTTTCCCCCAAAAATCATTCCTTTTATGTTTTGTTTTTTTAAGAAAAATAAAACAGAATAACGTAAAAATGTCGACATATAGGCTAAGAATAGACAAGATTGGGAAGCTCTGTTTGCATCGCGTCAGAGTGTGATGAGTGTTCAACTGCCACCGAGCGAACCATTTCGTAATTGCAACGTCCTGACAATGTCGACACTCTTTCGCTCTTTCTCCACCAAGTTGCCTCCTTTTCGATTTCTCTTACTCCTCTTTTATAGCCTCTCGCTTTCTTCTGCTTCTTGATCCCGAGAATTACCAGAAGACGAGAAGACACTCTTGTTCCCATGATCATCGTCGATGTTAGTCAATTCCCTTGGGATTCGATTCCTCTCTCCAATTCTTTATTCTTTGTCTGAGGATTCTTATTTTTTGTTTGGATTATATCTTCTCCTCTTTGCTCTTCTTATAGGTTCTTTGGAAACTGCTTCCTCTCTATTCTTTTGGATCAGATACAGATTCTCTCTCAGGTATTTCATCGAACACTTACCCTACAATTCAGTGTCATTCTTTTCTTCCTCTCAATTCCCCCATTGATTTGTTACCCTTGATTTGCTAGATTCTGATACTTTGTAAATTGTTCTGAAATTGCGTTCTCTGTTGCTATGTATGGACCAAAACAAAAGAGTCCATTTTGCAGATAATTCCCGAGACAATGGCTTCTTCTCCCACTAAAATCCTCTGTGATGCTGGCGAATCTGACCTTTGTCGAGATGACTCAGCTGCATTTCTGCTTAAGTTTGTAGCCATTGCTTCCATTCTACTAGCTGGAGCTGCAGGTGTAGCCATACCTCTTGTTGGCAGGAACCGTCGGTTCCTTCAGACCGAGGGAAATCTATTTGTAGCTGCTAAAGCCTTTGCAGCTGGTGTCATACTCGCCACTGGCTTTGTCCATATGCTTGCAGGCGGCACAGAAGCTCTGAGTAATCCGTGTTTACCGGATTATCCGTGGTCCAAGTTTCCCTTTCCTGGTTTCTTTGCAATGGTTGCTGCTTTAGTTACTCTGCTTGTGGATTTCATGGGGACACAGTACTATGAGAGGAAGCAAGAGAGGAACCAGGCTGTTAGTGAACCCGCCGTTGTTGAGCCTGGTCGTGAAGAGACATCTGTTGTTCCCGTTGTGGAAAGAGTAAACGATAATAAAGTGTTTGGTGAAGAAGACGGTGGCGGGATTCACATTGTTGGCATTCGTGCGCATGCTGCTCATCATAGACATAGTCACTCTAACGGCCATGGTACATGCGATGGACATGCTCAGGGACATTTACAGGGACATGAACATGGACATGTGCATGGGTTTTCAGATGTCGAAAATGGAGCTAGGCATGTTGTTGTTTCTCAGGTTGAGATCTCCTATTACTTTCACAAACTGTGATTCATATATCAAAGTATGTGTGTGTTTGTGTTTATGTTAAGATTAGGCTTAGAGAAGCACTTTAGAACCTCAAAAGCTAGCTTGTATAACTAGTTTCCACTTCCTTTGCATTGTGGGATCTATACATGATCTTATCGATGTATCTCACCCTTGTTATTGATTTTGCAGATATTGGAGCTTGGGATTGTGTCGCATTCAATCATCATCGGTTTATCACTTGGGGTATCACAGTCTCCATGCACGATCAGGCCTCTCATTGCAGCTCTATCATTTCACCAGTTCTTTGAAGGATTTGCACTCGGAGGCTGCATCTCTCAGGCACAGTTCAGGAACAAATCAGCGACCATAATGGCTTGCTTCTTCGCCTTAACCACACCGATAGGTATCGGGATTGGAACCGCAGTAGCCTCGTCTTTCAACTCGCATAGCCCAGGAGCTTTGGCCACTGAGGGGATACTAGACTCGCTCTCGGCTGGGATACTGGTGTACATGGCTCTGGTGGACCTCATTGCAGCTGATTTTCTAAGCAAAAGGATGAGCTGTAATATGAGGCTTCAAGTTGTGTCTTATATAATGTTGTTCCTTGGAGCTGGACTTATGTCCGCACTCGCCATTTGGGCTTGACTCTTAGATTACATATTTTCTACTGTAGATTTGAAAATAATATACACGCCTTGTGCAACTTTTTTTTCTTTTTCCACATTGGATCTTATTAGAAACAAGAAAACTGAAAGAAGAAAGATATTGGAATTTGTTATTTTATTAAGTGATCTTAATAGGATGAGCCAAATTAGGGTAACATTAGCGAAGTAGCAAGAGAGATGACTTATACATGAAGCTTTTTTCCCACTCGATCAAAAAATTAAGCAATGTCTTCTTCTTTGTGGGTTTCGACGACGACATCAGAAGTCGGCCAAGCCAGACAAGTCAAGACATAACCGTCGCTCATCTGGTCATCATCTAAGAAGCTCTGTTCCGACTGGTCAATGGAGCCAGATACCACTTTGCCGGCGCAACTCGAGCAGGCACCGGCACGGCATGAGTAGGGCAAGTCCATTCCGGCTTCCTCTGCAGCGTCGAGGAGGTAGGTGTCACTTGGGCAATCCACTACTTTTTCTCCCTCCGGTGTGATGAACGTGACCTTGTAGGCGGTGACACGACCGCCACGTGCGGTGGAGGACTTAAGGCCGAAGAGGGATTGAGTGTTGGCCGCCGGGAGAGATCTGAGGCTGATTGGTGTATTCCGACGGCGGAGGAAAGAGGTGCTTACGATCGCGCTGGATAGAGCACTGGAAGCCATCGTTGAAAGATGATGAAATATTATTCTACAGAGTATGTGAGTGTGTGTGTGGCTTTGTGAAAAATGGCGTCGTAGGTGCGAGGCAGTGGGGATTATAAGGAGCTGTATCTGCCACGTGGCGTACGATGTGTGGATTCTTGTGTTATCCTTTTGGTGATTGTCTCCTGCCTCTGTTGTTTTACATTTGTGCACTATTTCGTTGGTGAGAGTAAATATGTGGTTTAGACTTGGGACAACAAGTTGTCACCTTCACAATATGTGGGTCTAGGAAGCTTCTAGGCTTTTTTGGGTTCACAATTGCTACTAATAAAGAAATTTGCTGAATTTTATTTAATGCCTCAAATTGTGATATGTCCTCCTTGTTAAGCACTTGCTAAACGTTCTTAAACTTTTGCAATAATCGTATTTTTTAAACAGAACCTCTTGATAAAGTTCATCTTTAACACCATGCACGAGAAATTATCCTATGTGCACATAATCTTCTACTCTAGGATGTGCACATACAAAAAGATTAAAAAGAAAAGAAAAAGATTCTATCCAATTGCTCCTAAAGGACATCATCATTCAATGATCTAAGTGAAATGAAGTAAATACGAACAAAAAAAAAAGATAGGGAAAAAGATTACAGGTAGTAGTAGTATAGTACACCAACTCAATTCTAATCTAAAGAGAACAATTCACTTACCAAAAAGGGAAGAAAACAAAAAAAGAGAAGAAAAAAGAAGATTGAAGAGACAAAGAGCCCCCATTGAAGAATATATATGTTCCTTCAATATAATATATAACCTCATCATAAGAAGCTTCCTTCTAACTGGATTTGTTTTCTCCATTTTTTTCTCGTTTACCTCTTCTTCTAGTCGCACTTGATGTTTCTGTAGATCCTCCTTACAAATAGATTTGATCCCAAGTAGCCAACAGCTCCTGACAAAATTTACACAACAAGGTTTAGTCATAGCAATAACACCACTTTGCTAGTTTGAAGAGAATAGAGAGAGAGAGAGTGAGTCCACCGCAAAGGATTCCAAGGCCGAGACAAAACATCATGGTGTATCCAAAGTAGAAACTCGTCTGGAAGAATCCAGACATCTTGGTCTTTACGTAGTAGTAATAGATGGAGTAAAGGTAGACATAGACAGCCGTCGACGCAGCAGAGAAGAAGGAAGTCCATTGCCAGTGATAGTTTTCTGCATTCAGCAGGAAATATGTTCCCACAATTGTCACACACACCGTCACAATGACGAGAATCACAAAAACCAGCAGCATGAATCCATATACATAGTAGACCTGTCGAACCAGAACAAACAAACCAAAAAACTCTCAGAAAATAATCTAATTTAGCTTAGGTCTTACTGTAGCAGACTGTGGCAGCTGTGAGCCAATTAGAGAGCAATTAGTGAGAACTAGTTTTACTGATGGGGATAGATTTTAAGGGGTTTTGTTTGAGAGTCTCTCATTTATAAATTTTAAGGGGTTTTGTTTGAGAGTCTCTCATTTATCAAATCTCTCTAGTTTGAATTCGCATGAGCTAGCAGTTTCATAAATTTGTTCTTATCAACGCAACTACTTTTACCTTGTAATTCCAGAAGGATGTGAAGACAAAGTACATCTCAATGAAGATGCTTCCAAAGGGTAGCAAACCTCCCATCAGGGAGACAACCGATGGAGTCAAGTACCACTTTTTCTCAGGGATTGGACGTGGAATTGTCTTCACACGGCAGGGATTGTTTGGAGCACCACTCCAGTTTCTTCCAACGACTGTCCCAAGGAGGGCTAATGGAAAGGAAATGAAACCCCAGATTACAAACACAACCACCATTGTCCCAAAAGGAATAGCCGCAAGAGATCCATAGAATATGGCAATTGTGTTAAGAAGAAAGCCAATTCCAAAACACAAAAAGGGGAAGAGAGAAGCCGTAAGGACCATGCACTTGATCCAATGTTTACCTGAATAAACCAGCATTTAAATGACTTGAATATTTAGAAACAAAAGTAACACTGGGGAGATACACCAAGTAGAGTAATTCATACCCCCACTTCTTGAGTACATTCCACCGCTCACATAACCAGAGACAAAGGATGTCAGAGCATAGCAAACTATGAAAGTTGTGACAATTGCTCCTCTCCTGAAATAATTGGATACGAGGTGAGCAAAATCCAAGTTAACAAGCAAATCAAAGATAGTACAACATATATATAGGGGAAACAACAACTCAAAAGATTGGTAATACATACCCAACGTAGAGTGTTCCCACGATAGCCATTAATATGACAAGAAGAACCAGCAACGCCAACTGTGCACCTGTGCCAACAACAGCTGAGAGAAGAACTAGACTACTTGCTGGCCTGAAGACATCTCCGTGCACCAGTTTCCAACCAGATTCTTCACTTACATCCCGTTCCTGTGCTCATCAATACTAATGTCAGATGAGGTTATACAGCCTTTCACTTAGAAATAAAGAAGTGTTGGACAGACTGTCTATTGAAAAATAAAAATTGAGGAGACATCACCAAGCTCTCAAGATCATCATCTTCTCGAGCATATTTCGCATAATCATTTCTGAGAGTCCTCATCAATATCATTGAGACCAAACCAGTGAGAAAAATAACCATCATGAACGAGTTAAAGATGGAGAACCAGTGGATCTGCAAGAAAGAAAAAACTTTTAGAAGGCTTATAAAACTACGACAGAAATCTTGAAGAGATGGAATTTAGAAATTTGCTAAATTTTTGTGAGAACAATTACGGCTTGCACTTTTGAACAAGCAAGAAATGGTGCATTCAATACGATAACTATAAACCTGTGAACCAATCTAAATCAAAGACAATACAGAAGGGTTAAAGACTAATTATACAGAGCCCGCTAAAAGTTACCTGGTGTTCAAAGAAAGGATAATCCAGATATACGTCAAAACGGCGAGCAAATGTGACATTCGTCGGAATCCATTGCACAGAATACGTCAAGTCCACTGTTCTTCCTGCTTCCAGTGGCCTTGGGTTGTCTTGAGTGAGATTGACATGAATGATCTATTGAAAGTAAATAAATAAGACCACAGCATATAGTTCACATGATATTCATACTATTGCTTAATTGCGTAGCAATATCTAACCTGGTCTTTGTTGTATTTGACAATAATATTCTTATGAGTGTAGAGAACATGCTTGCCGTTTTCACTGTTTTTGTCAGGATGCAGCTCACCCACAAAACCTACAGCAACAACATGACAGTATTAAAACTATCTAAAACTAAAAAAAGAAAATGATTAATTTTGGACGTTTCAAGTAAATATACACAGGTCGTACCCCACAAAGGTAGATCATCTGAAGATTGAACCACCCGATGAAAGTCCCCGCAAATCAGATGACACGGAAAGAAATGAGAAATAAGGTTAGCAATCCAAAGAAGATACCTTTCCAGCTGATATTGGTAATGCAGTGAAGATTAATACAGCGAATTTTAGAATTGCATGACGGAAAAAGAACCTAACGCAAACTCAGCAAATATAAAATGTTTCTTAACTTTATATATTAGGAAGCTGCTACATCTAATATCTGGAGATAATAAACCTTCTACTTTTCATGCTATATCAGCGGCAATGTGTACAAAAAATTGTGAACATACCCATAAAAAATTCGAACCAGTAGCTAGATTCAATGGCATCTTTAAAATGCTTGACCTTAGCTTCATCGAGTTCAAGCGGACAGATGACATTTCTGTCAACATTCTCTGTAGAAAAAACAGGAAAGGTATTGTAATTAGAGCACAAGTACGATAGCTAGTATGAAACAGAAGATAATATATGAATTAAAAAACATACTCAAGAATTTTATCGCAATTTCACTGTCAATCAGCTCATTTCCACCAAGAACTTCACCAAGACCACCCCATTTGTGAACATTGTTTACAGATGGACGGCAAAACGGAAGACTGTAATAGTTGTATGTTTCTTGTGGATTATTATACGGGCCAACTTTGTTCACCCACAGGGTGACCTGTTCATCGGCTTGATACTGAAAAAGGTGAAAGCAAAAACATTGAGTTGAGAGGAATGAAAAGAAATGTACAAGCTAATGGGATTAGCTAGCAAGAGAGTGTACAAACCAAACAATCCATTAAAGAGAACAGAACTAAATATCAAACTTCACAGTAGACAGATAGATATCGATAAAAGGTTGAGTGGAATATCATATCAAGAATCAAGAGTAAAAGTCTTCATTCAAAAGACCAAGGTATTATAAATATAACAACCAATATGAATCATCTTTCAAGCATAAGAATAGTTGGAATCAAAATTAGATGTACATAAAGTTAACTTTGACACTTCTTGTAAGAGTAAGAAGGCAGAAAGAGCAAAAGCATCGAAGCACTGGATCTCATGATATCCAATATCACAAAAGGGAAGAACGACTTTGAGCTAAAACTGACCATCAGCAAAAGAAAATTCTACACATTTTAGATCTTAGAAGTCAGAACTATAAGATCTATACATTAGTAGATACTATATTCCAAGTAAACGTTACATCCAAAAAGAAACAAAAGGTGCATATCTAACTTGTAATGCTCTCAAAATATACTTTCGAGATCACGAGGGAAAATGATAAATTAAAATGCCACTCAATTTTAAAAACTCAGAATTGAACCACTAGTTTGAACATCAAACAGACTACCACGTTTAGAAGATGGGTTTTTGAGTATCAAAAAAACCGAGAATCTCAATCCCATAGCAAAATTTATTAATAAAGCCTAAAATCACAATGAAGGAATTTGAAAAAAATAATCAAATACTTTGCAACGAATAAGAAATTGGATGGAAGCTCGAGGATCATACCCATCTGAAAACGAACAGATCCACTAAAATAAAATAACTAATCGCAAAAACATGCAAATCGCAAGATCTAAGGACACATTACTCGATTCGAGCTGCATTAAGTGGGAGATCTGAGTCATACCTTGTGATCTGAATCGGATGCGAAGGTAGGTGCGAGAAGGGAAATGAGAAGAAGTAATACGGCGGAGACGAAGGCGGAGGAAGACGGCATCGTGGAAACCGGCGGACGATCAGATCTGAAGGAATAGGGAGGGAGCGAGAGACCGATAGGGAGAGAGAGCGAGATCCTCAGCTCAGTGTTTCACTTTGTAGAGATTTTGGGTAATAGAAAAATAAATTATAAGGCTTTACACAACTTGCGTTTTTTGTCGACTAATTGGGCCTATGAACGCAAAAACGTAAAAGCCCATACATGTGAACAATGTAACAAGAAAGTCCCAAACTAATGAAGATATTATCGTTCTGATATATTTTTAATTCTGTAATTACATATAGAAGCAAAAACAAAATATTCATGAAAAAGCGTGTTGGTGAAATAAACAAAATCGAAAATTTTAATTTCCGTACAACGGCAGTCGAATGAGAAAGGGAAACACATGTATGGATAGCATGCAAACTCGTGGGTCCCGCTTTCGTTTTTTTATATAAAAAATATCGTTTCATATTATTATATTATTAAATATTAAAATATAAAAAAAGCATATCATGAGAGAGGTTAGCTTATTAGCCATGGATTTAAGAAAACAAATAAAAATAAATTCCGTGTCTTAAAATTTCATCCCAAAAACAAAAGAAAAAAAAGAAAAACAAAAATTCCAACAAAACGAAAAAGTCGATTCTTCGCTTTGCCTTGAAATCTCTCCAATCCCAAATCTCAAAACAAAATTCACCATCCTCCTCCATCGTCTCATTCTCTTTCCTTGCTTAGCGAATCGCGAGATCTCGGAATCGCATCCTTTGATTTTGGGATACTGTCTTGTTTTCGTGTCTTGTTCTTTCTATGATTTTCACGTCAAAAAAAATTCTTAGCTGCTAGGGCTTGAACTGGAGCTTAATCTTTTCTAACGAGAATTTTGGGAGCTTTTTTTTTTTTTTTTTGCGTGTTTGGATTTAGGGTTGTCTGATTATTTTGGCTAGAGCGAGAATGGACAAGTACGAGCTGGTGAAAGACATAGGTGCTGGGAATTTTGGCGTGGCCAGGCTCATGAAGGTTAAAAACTCCAAGGAACTTGTTGCCATGAAGTACATCGAGCGTGGTCCAAAGGTTCTTCTTTTCTCATGTTACTTTCTCATCATCGTGCTGAATGATCCAATTCCCAGATACACATAATTAGAATGGCTTGGTTTTTTAGGTGGATTTTTTTACAATTGTTGATTCCGATTTTTGAAATCTTTAGTTCACAACAAAAATACAAATGTAGCAATAGAGTTGTGTTATGTTTGCTCTTCATAATTCTTGTAGAGTGAGTATTGGCTTTGTTGTCTTTTATAACAGATTGATGAGAACGTGGCAAGAGAGATCATTAATCACCGTTCACTTCGTCATCCCAATATAATTCGCTTTAAGGAGGTTAGTAAATTTCCCACTTCTTGACATCTTTGGTGTTCTTAATAATGTTCAGTTGAAGTTGATATTCTTACAACTTTCATCTGCCATATGTGGGCTTTATGGATTTCACAGGTGGTGTTGACTCCAACTCATCTTGCCATTGCTATGGAGTATGCTGCTGGTGGTGAGCTATTCGAGCGTATATGTAGTGCTGGAAGATTTAGTGAGGATGAGGTGAGACTGACTTTTGAAATTTGTGGCGTGTTCTGCTTATGTACAAGTACTATTTAGGATAAGTTTTCGAGTTCTGTGTCGTTTTTGGATATATTGGGAGTAAGGGAAGATAGAAAACATGTCATTCTTCTCTTATTTGTTGTCTGCCATGAAACCATTGCCGCATACTTTCTAATCTTATCGTTTTATCTCTTTTCCAGGCTAGATATTTTTTCCAGCAACTTATATCAGGTGTTAGCTATTGCCATGCTATGGTAAGGCAGATTAACTGATCTCTTTAATGTTTGAAATCGTTTTATTTATCAATCTTATAGTCACCTTGTGCCCATTTTGTCGCAGCAAATATGTCATAGAGATCTGAAGCTCGAGAATACGCTCCTCGATGGAAGCCCTGCTCCACGTCTGAAAATTTGTGATTTTGGTTATTCCAAGGTTTGTCTGGCACTGTAAAGACTATTTAATTTCTGACCTTGTCTGTAAGTTCCTCTTTTGTTCTTCACCTTTGTTTTAAAATCATTGTCAAGCGTTTTGTTATTCTTCTTTTGTAGTCCTCTTTGCTACACTCTAGGCCCAAATCAACAGTTGGAACTCCAGCGTATATTGCACCTGAGGTCCTTTCTCGGAGAGAATATGATGGCAAGGTAATATAACAAGCAGAAATCAATGGGTTTCTATGAAACTGTCGCACTCTTTACTTTTTTTGCTTGTGTATGGAAAGTTATCCTCTTGGAAGTCACTAAAATTTATATTTCCTCTCTCAGATGGCTGATGTATGGTCTTGTGGTGTGACTCTTTATGTCATGTTGGTTGGAGCATACCCATTTGAAGATCAGGAAGATCCCAAAAACTTCAGGAAAACGATACAAGTAGGTTTCTTTATTAAGCCATGCTTCTGCATATCTCGCGTGTAGTAGACTACATCCTATTCATCAATTTTCGATCTTGTTGTACAGAAAATTATGGCTGTTCAATACAAGATCCCAGACTACGTCCATATCTCACAAGATTGCAAGCACCTACTTTCCCGTATTTTTGTTGCCAATTCTCTTAAGGTATATATTTGTCGCCAATTCAGCCAAGGTAAAAGTTTTCAAAAATATGGTCTTGTTTGACAATTGAGATACTTGTTTTTGTAGAGGATAACTATCGCAGAAATCAAGAAACATCCATGGTTCCTGAAGAACTTGCCAAGGGAACTCACAGAGACAGCTCAAGCTGCATATTTCAGGAAAGAGAACCCAACCTTTTCCCTCCAAACAGTTGAAGAGATCATGAAAATAGTGGCTGACGCCAAAACGCCACCTCCTGTATCTCGGTCCATTGGAGGTTTTGGCTGGGGAGGTACAGACGGAAAGGAGGAAGATCCGGAAGACGTGGAGGATGAAGAGGAAGACGAGGAGGTTGAAGAAGAGGAAGACGATGAAGATGAATACGACAAGACTGTAAAGGAAGTACATGCAAGTGGAGAAGTTAGAATCATTTGATATTTTGGCTTTTGGTTTTGGTTTGTGTAAGATAAAAAGTATTCTTTGGTGTTTTTGAAACTTGAAATTCTCTGTTCTCGTGTTTGCCTTTACAATGCTTTGGGTTTTGGTTTTTATTATGGTTTTGGAGATTTGTAAAAAAAAATGCAGTATAAGAAGACCAAACAGAGGTTGATGATGAGTCTTTGCTACACATGGTACTATGAATATTTTGACCTCTGAATAATATTTTGTAATTAGATTTTGTTTCTTTTTCCTAAGAGATTATTTTCCTCTATTTTGTCCTTTCAAAAATGCAAAAATGTGAAACAAAGCTAATTTTTGGAATGTTGAAAAAATGTAAACACTGAAATGTTCAAAATTCAAAATAATTGTTTTTGTTATGCGTCGGAAAATGTGAATATTAGAGGGAAACGATCCCGCCATTAGGAAAACGCATAATCTTCTACGGCCTTGAGCTCAAGTCGGTGGTGGCCACCATTTTATCCTCTAATTCGACTCCCATATTGTTTCGCCGTCGGAGTGCTAAAGCGACGGTGTTGGAGCAAACGACTCCACTGAATCTCAAATGTATTCCCCGGACTTTACTTTCGCATTCATTTCTAGGGTTTTCGTTTCGTTCTATCTCGCCCCGATGCGTTTCTTCGTCCTGTGAATCTTCCTGTTTAGTTTTCGATTAGAATTTTCGTTGTCCCTGGGTAAAGATTGATCCTTTAGAGTCATGACTGATCGATTCACTTTTTTTTGAAAGTATATTATAATAAAGTAGCAGATTCGTTGTGTCACTGGATTTTGTGTTTCACATAGCATTGTCAACCAAAATTTGGCAGATTTCTGTAAAACGCATTAGATTTGATAATTGTGTATGTTTAGTCAGTGATGATTGTGAAAAAAAATTCAGTTCTTATTGGCTTTATCATCAGCACCCACTAATCTGGACGCAATTTCTTTTATATGTGTGTTTACAAAGTGACCAAAATTGCGGTGTCTAGGAAAGGGCAATTTACTTGAACCTCTTCAGCATGTTAAACCTCTGATTAATTCGAGTCAAATGAGGCAAGATTGATCTTTTCCTTGTCCACTCTGGTTTATTTCAATCTTTTTCTGGTAGTTTTTCTTTTTGTTTGACCTCCGTTACTCACTGTTAAACTGCAGTAGGAGTTATCTTCCTGAAGTTCAGAAACCTATAGGTCCTCAAACGAATTGGTCCGAACATGCAAAGGCGCTCGAGAGTCCATCGTCCGTGACTAAGTTTTTGAGCTCCAATGTTCTTTACGCTCTAGAAAGTCAAAAGCCTAGAGATATGGCTGCAAGGTATTATGGCTATATCCTCTATCTTCTCTCTTTGTTCCTTAACTGTCATATACTTTGGCCCACTACTATCTGCTGTTTGGATTCACAGAATTAGAAATTTCGAAGATTAACTATCAAATAAACTCAGTGTTTGAAGGATAGCTATCCACGTCATTTTGTTTTATGGCTTCCAACATCATTTGATTCTGTGTGCCAATGCATGTTTTGTTTTCTTATCAATAGCTTTGTACAAATTAGAGGCTTCTGCTTTTGTATGGGTCGACTTTCATACAACCAAACTGCCCCATCTATTATTATCTGATATGTGCATAATATGTCTCTTTGATGTTTGTCGTTTTGGTTAGGTCAATCTCGTTTCCCAGTGTGAATGTGCATGCCCACCCGCAAGTTACAAAGGTAATATTCTTTTAGCAAGAGTTAAGTTTTTAACTGATTTATACCCGTCGTCATAAGTAGGATTTGATTGCATGTTTTTCTTTTCTCTTTCCATTTCCTCAAATAAAATTTTATCATAGTTCCTATAATCCCTAGTTCTGGTTGACATGTTCCCTTTTTAGATAGACCTCTTTTCATGTATTGTACATAAATAGTTATTGGTATCCTATGTTGGCAGGCTTGGCGTGCTCTTTCAAGTCTCTCAATTAATAATGCCTACCTAAGACCTGGCTTTACTCCCCCTGTTGATACTAGTGGTACCAATGGCTCGTATTCTGCAAGAGAGAGATCCACGGTGAAAGTTATATCTAGCACTGATGGTTCTTTTGATCGACAAAACCAAAGTGCAATGAATGTTTCAGGAACTGGAAGATCCTTTCACAGTTTTCCTTCCTCTGTCCCTGGTGAGGATAAAATAATTGCTGAAAATTTTCCCCGGGTAAACCATGAGGTCAGAGAATCAGAACCCAGACGCACACATTTAAATGGTGTGGAGAATTCATTCAGGAATTCTGCATTCCCATCTGAGCAGTTGGAATCTGGAAAAGCATGTCTTGATGATATTGATGATGATGAACTACTTGAGGTAATGTTGTTGGTGGAAGTAGCACATCATTTTTCCTTATGTACTCCCATGTAAACAAGCTAGTTTCTCATTCTTGAATTCGTATCTTTAAATGGTAGCATATTTCCATGACATCAAAAATCAAAACCACTTATACATTGTTCTATAAACTATCATAGATATGTAGAATAGTGCTTTGTGGTGAAAATATGTCAACTCAAGCATGTTAAAACTTTGTGATGCAGAATATTGATGTCGACCAAATTGTGATGGAACACTACCATTCTACCAGTACACCGCAGCCATCAGCATCTAATTTTTCATTGAGAACTCCACCTGTGGATAGAAGTGCTTCCAGATTTGAAGAAGACGGTTGTATGCCTTCTGAATTATGTTCCAACTGTAGTCATGGCATAAAGGTATGTCTACTGTTTTTCTCTCTTTTTTTTTTTTTTTTTTTTTTTTTTTCAATGGTTTTGAAAAACGTTGGTTTTGTCATTTTGTTTGATGTTGCTATCTACTCAGTTAGGGCTTTGTCCAGAAGCTTCAACCCATGTGGACCAAATGAAGGACGTGTTGCTTGCTATATCAAATGAACTCCTTGACGATGCTACTGACCTGAGTCCTGATCGTGTTCAACAGCTTCGTCAAGAGAGGTTTATAGCCCAATAAATGTTGTTCCCATTTTCCGTGGCTGTTAAATTTGCATTTTCTATAAGAGTACCAATTTTAGCTTCCTTTCGGAGGCTGTAGTACATTTTTAGTAAAATATAACAGGAACAGTACATCGAGAATAGATTAGGCTTATAGAAATAAGAGACAACGCATCTGTCTATTGAGCTTGAGTATTTGATTGTATCAAACATGTGAGTATGTCTTGACTTGTTCAGTTTCTAATGTGTCTCAACATTTGTTGTTGCTAGGTTACAGCTGAAGAACCAAATTCAGCAGCTCGAGAACCATATCCGAGATAAAGATAGTCGAAAATCTCAGTTTTTGTCATCTACAGCCACTCATACGTTCCAGTATGAAACACCTAAATCAACAACTTATAAAATGGATTATCCACAAACTGATTTTCGATCACTTCCAAGTGACCAAGGAAGATATGTCTGTGATAGTTGGAACATGCCAAGAGATTCTTCATTTTCTGTAGATAAGTATGGTCTTTCATCTGCTCCTGTAGAGAGGGAGCAATATATTCCAAAGATTATTGATGTGACCTACACCGAAGGTTCAAGCGACAAAAGGTGGAGCAGTCATGATTTTCCCTGGACAAGAAAATTGGAGGTGATTAGCTGACTTCTCTCTTCTTTTTCTTTTTGGTTCAGTTACGATTTGTACTCATGTGTTTCCTTGCAATGTTCAGATTAATAACAAAAAAGTGTTTGGAAATCACTCGTTTCGACCGAACCAGAGAGAAATCATCAATGCAACAATGAGTGGCTCTGATGTTTTTGTTTTGATGCCAACTGGAGGAGGGAAGAGTTTGACATATCAGGTCAGCATTATATTTTAATTTTACGTTGATTCTTCAATCTACCTGTTCGTTTTTAATTGAGATAGTTGTATAAATCTTACAGAAAGAGATGAAATTTTAAAGCTGTGTTCTCCAAACTGTTCTATAACATCTTATTTGGCAGCTCCCCGCTCTGATCTGTCCAGGAATAACATTAGTCATTTCTCCACTTGTGTCACTCATTCAAGACCAGATAATGAACCTATTGCAGGTGAACACTTTAGCAACCACCAGAGATTCTATTTGTATCTTCTGTTTCATTGATGAATTATAATCGTAGAGGATTCTTTCCTTTTTACACTTTGATGTCTGAATAATGGTCACAGGCCAATATACCCGCTGCTTCTCTAAGTGCTGGCATGGAATGGGCTGAACAACTGAAGATCTTTCAAGAGCTGAACTCAGAACATTCTAAGTATAAATTACTATATGTCACACCTGAAAAAGTGGCAAAGTGAGTTGTTATTTTTATGTATACAACTCCTCTGTTCTGTTTTTTTATTTGTTTTGTATTCTTTTTCTAATCGCTTCGGGTAGGATATATTATGACCTATGAATCATGCAGTACTACCAAAGGTATCTTATGATTCTAGATTAGTTAGCATAGATGTGGACAATTAGTGCAAGGCTCAACATACTGAAATATATTATTGATACGCAGCTAATATGTATCTCTTTTTTGGCTGCAGAAGCGATTCTCTTTTGAGGCATCTGGAAAACTTAAATTCTCGTGGTTTGCTTTCTCGTTTTGTAATTGATGAAGCTCATTGTGTTAGCCAATGGGGGCATGACTTTCGGCCAGACTACCAGGTTAGGCCATCAAAAGCTTCATATAAGGCTCTCTTACTTTTCTGACAAACATAACTTTCCTTTTTTACCCACCAAAAGTATTGTGGAATACGCAGAGTCTTGGTATTCTGAAGCAGAAGTTTCCAGGCATTCCCGTGTTAGCTTTAACAGCTACAGCAACAGCCAGTGTGAAAGAAGATGTTGTACAAGCCCTTGGCCTTGTTAACTGTATTGTGTTCCGACAAAGTTTTAATCGCCCAAATTTATGGTAAGGTAAAACTACCTAAACCCATATATGTATTCCAGAATGCTGCTAACCAAGAGGTTTGCAGGTATTCCGTTGTTCCCAAGACAAAAAAGTGTATGGAAGATATTGACAAATTTATCAAGGAAAACCATTTCGATGAGTGTGGAATTATATATTGTCTTTCAAGAATGGATTGCGAAAAAGTCGCTGAAAAGTTGCAGGTTGAGCATTTGTATATTGAAGCTTAATCAAGTTGTGTGCATATCACAAATATTGTGTTTAAGCGTAGAATTGGATACTACTTTTCAGGAGTTTGGTCATAAAACAGCATTCTACCATGGCAGTATGGAGCCTGAGCAACGTGCCTTTGTACAGACACAATGGAGCAAGGATGAAATCAATATAATATGTGCTACTGTGGCATTTGGAATGGGTACTGGGTTTTGCTTATGTTGTTTTAAATCATTGAATGTTGCTGCCATTAACATTGGATATTTCAGGAATTAACAAGCCTGATGTTCGCTTTGTTATCCATCACTCACTCCCAAAGTCTATAGAAGGCTATCATCAGGTATTACAATCAATCATGGAAATCCCATTTAACTGATTCCACATAAATTTAGATACTGGTATTTCTTCTGTAAACTCACATACGCTATATTTTTTCATATCCAAGGAATGCGGTCGTGCTGGCAGGGATGGGCAGCGGTCATCTTGTGTTTTGTATTATGGTTATGGCGACTATGTAAGTGCATATAAACTATCACCTTGTATGTTCTAGTTCGCTTTGTTAGTCTGGAACGATGAATTTCTTTCATCTTTCATCTTTCTGCTCTTGGTCATGTTTGTGCTGACAATATTATTTAGATACGAGTTAAACATATGATAAGCCAAGGAGGAGTTGACCAAAGCCCCATGGCCAATGGGTATAATCGTGTAGCAAGTTCAGGGAGGATACTTGAAACAAATACCGAAAACCTTCTCCGCATGGTACTTAATGTGAAGATTCCTATTAGTTATCTTTTTGCTTTTAAGGGTATACTAGCTAATTACTCAAAATTTTATTGCTTCAGGTTAGTTACTGCGAAAATGAGGTGGACTGCCGACGCTTCCTACAACTAGTGCATTTCGGGGAAAAATTCGATTCCACAAACTGCAAAAATACGTGTGATAACTGTTGCAGTACTCAGAGTTTGATTGACAAAGATGTCACCTTGATCACAAAGCAACTGGTATATAAATCATTAAAAGCTCACCATGTAAATCTCTTGTTAGATGTGTTATTATTGGTCACGTGTATATCACATGTATTGCACAGGTTGAACTGGTGAAGCAAACCGGAGAAAGGTTTTCTTCAGCCCATATTCTGGAAGTCTACAGAGGTTCCTTAAACCAAATGGTATGGACAAATAATACTATCCACACTTCCTTCAAGCTTTAGGAGAGATTTCTAGACATATATTATGTGTCTCTTCCAGATTATGCTAAATATTATAACCTGTTTCGCCTCATAAACCATGGTCTCTTTTTCTATACTTGGTAAAGACTAATTGTAAATGAAAGCCTTGGCTTCTAAAGCCCAGCAATTCAATCAGTGTGGCTCGGTCTCTTGAAATCGTAACTGTCTTCTTTGCATCTAGGTCAAGAAAAACAGACATGAGACTTTGCAGCTGCATGGAGCTGGAAAACATTTATCAAAAATTGAAGTCTCTCGTATCTTGCATTATCTCGTAACTGAGGACATTCTTGTGGAAGATGTTAGGAAAAGTGATATGTATGGATCTGTGTCATCGTTGCTCAAGGTATTTAATTGTGAATAAATTCCACTTCCTTTCTCCCTCTCATTAAGGATTAAGGATGATAGTAAGCTGAGGGAAACCCTGATTGTCTCTGTGCAAGCATTTAACATCCAGTTTTTAAACGGTTACACACCTAACACCAATTCACCTATTTGTGTCTAGGTGAATAACACAAAGGCTTCCTTACTATTTTCTGGAAGGCAGACTATAATGATGAGGTATGACTTTACTTATATCTTTCATTAAGGTTCGCAGGAACTAGGTTTAAGCAAATCATTGCAGTTAACTGTGTTTTATGTTGACGGCTTGTTAAAAGTACTTTAGCTTAGACTTCCATAATCTGTTGCAGATTCCCTTCTTCTGTAAAAGTAGTAAAGCCAAGTAAACCCGGGGTAACCCCTGCGAAAGGTCCCCTAACATCAGAGAAGCAAAGTACTCTTCCACTTTCAACAGAAGATGCTCCTCCTAAAGATTTGGTATAGCTCTTTGTAGTTCAGTCTCTTTTTTCTCTCAATGACATTAATCTACTGCTCTGAATCGCTGAGGTTGGTTCGTTTATCTTTTTCTCTAGAATCTCTCCGCCAATATGTACACAGCCTTGAGGAAGCTTCGTACAGCTCTTGTCAAAGAAGCCCCTGATGGTGTCATGGCATATCATATATTCATGTAAGTCGCAAAACCGTTCTGCCTCTCATTTCCTAAGTTCTGTACTTGACCATGGTCAATTTGTTTATACCTCACAAAATCTCTCTGTTTGTGATGGCAGTAACTCTACACTTCAGCAGATAAGCAGACGGATTCCGAGAACCAAAGAGGAACTCCTTGAAATCAATGGCCTTGGGAAGTAAGTTGTGTTTTTCTCTTAAAACCTCTACTCTTAACCAAACCATATGAAGAAAAACCTGAATTGTTTTGATGAGGTGTGTATCTTTAAACTCTCTTTCAGGGCCAAAGTAAGCAAGTACGGTGATCAGTTGTTGGAAACAATTGAATCAACGGTAAACGAGTACTATGGAACCAATAAGAAAGACTCCATAATCAGCAACGACAGTCCCAATTCAGGGAAGAGGCGAAGAGACGAGAACACTAGTCCAAATGTAGCCGAAGATGATGATTTCGAAGTGAGCCCAAGTCAGTCCTGCAAGAAAACAGTGAGAAACAAAAGCAATGAGGTTCTTCATGGTACATGTGTAGATGGAGATCGGGTAGGCATGGTTATGGAGAAGCTTGATTTTGATTTCGAAGATGAAGATGGGTCAGAGATACGACCGGAGGGAAGAGTATTACCTTGGTGAAGTTGTGATCACTGAAATTCTAGTTGTAAAGAAATTTTGCTGTAATATTTTGTTATCTTGGTGAAGTCATCGTTGTACATTAATGTTCAGTAGATTGCATAAACTATTTATCAGATGCCGACTTGTTTGATGTTCTTTGGTTTTCTTAATCACATATATATTGGGATTTGATAAAATGAAGAATTACAGGTGGCAATGGATCCTTAATCTTAAGAGATGTTATCGTGGAGACTCCTCAGCCAATTGATTGACAGCTAGACAAGGTTGACTTGGCTTAACTCTCAATTTATCAAAAGCCGACTTCTTTAGCTGAGTTTTAAGTTTTAACGAAGTGCATCCCTCTTCTTGTCCTAACCGCACAAGCCAGTTAGCAGAGCTGATTCAGAGTAGGAAAATTCTGCGTTTTAAATATTATTTTGTCTGCTTGTTTTGCTTTTATCCGTCGCTTGTAACTTTGCTATGGTTAGTCGAAACTGCTTTGAAATAAGTCTTTTGAATTATTTTTAGATCTTGCTTCACGATTTTGAATCAGTTCCATTGGTTATACGACATATAAACGATACCTGTCTATTCTTGTAAAGGTTTATGGCTGAAGGAGTTGTGTTGTTTGGAGTTCAGAAGCTTTGGGAGCTTCTACATCGAGAATCTGCGAGACTAAATGGAAGTGATGAGGAAGTTGATGAACTAAAGCGTCAGCTGGGAAGGTTACAGGCGTTAATGAAAGATGCAGATGCCAGGAAACATGATAGTGAAAGGGTGAGGAACTTTTTGGAAGATGTTAAGGACATTGTTTATGATGCTGAGGATGTAATTGAATCCTTTCTTCTGAAGAAATTTAGAGGAAAAGAAAAAAGGATCACAAGGCATGCGAGAAGGCTTGCTTGCTTCTTAGTGGATCGCTGGGAATTTGCTTTAGATATTGAAGGCATAACTAAGAGGATCTCTGAGGTGATTGAGGGAATGCAGAGATTTGGGATACAACAGATCATCGATGGCGGCAGTTTGTTGTCGCTGCAAGAAAGACATAGGGAGCAAAAGGAGATCCGGCAAACATTTGCTAACAGTTCTGAAAGTGATCTTGTGGGGATGGAACAAAGTGTTGAAGCATTGGCTGGTCATTTAGTAGAGAATGATAACATTCAAGTGGTTTCTATATCTGGCATGGGAGGTCTTGGTAAAACCACTCTCGCAAGACAAGTCTTACATCATGACATGGTACAACGTCATTTTGATGGATTTGCATGGGTCTGTGTTTCACAACAGTTTACGCAGAAGTATGTTTGGCAGAGGATCTGGAAAGAACTTCAACCACATAATGGGGAAATTTCACATATGGACGAGCATATACTCCAGGGTAAACTATTTAAATTGTTGGAAACCGGTAGATATTTGGTTGTTCTTGATGATGTATGGAAAGAAGAAGACTGGGACCGAATCAAAGCAGTGTTTCCGCGGAAAAGAGGTGAGCTCTTGTGGTCCGTACATAAGGCACTTACTGTTCAAATTCATTTTAGTCCCTATCATGTAACTGGAAATGTTTTCCAGGTTGGAAGATACTACTTACTTCTCGCAATGAAGGTGTTGGGGTACATGCAGATCCAGCATGTTTTGGCTTTAGACCAAAATTCCTTTCTCCCGAAGAAAGTTGGAAGCTATGTGAGAAGATAGTGTTTCATAGGAGAGACGAAACTGGCACAACACTTTCAGGTATAAAATTAAGATCAAGAATCTTGTGAGTTTTTATCTTGCGGTTCACATCTTGTAGGTTATTATCTTGTGATGTTATGCAGAAGTAAGGGTTGATGAAGAAATGGAATCCATGGGGAAGGAAATGGTCACATATTGTGGGGGACTACCATTAGCCGTTAAAGTCTTGGGAGGCTTATTAGCAAAGAAACATACTTTCTCAGAGTGGAAAAGAGTATATGAAAATATTGGAACTCAGATCGTAGGAGGGTCTAGCTTAGATGACAACAATCTCAATTCTATTAATCGAGTATTGTCTCTGAGCTATGAAGATTTGCCAATGTGTTTAAAGCATTGCTTCCTTTACCTAGCCCATTTCCCCGAAGATCACGAGATATATGTGGATAAGTTATTCAATTACTGGGCTTCAGAAGGAATCATAACATCATTTTACAATGGATCAACCATCAGAGATTGTGGAGAAGACTACCTTGAAGAGTTAGTGCGGAGAAATATGGTTACTATTGACAAAAACTATTTGTTTTCGAGAAGCATATATTGTCAAATGCATGACATGATGAGAGAAGTATGTGTATCAAAAGCCAAAGAAGAGAACTTCCTAGAAATTGTCAAAGTCCCTACAGGGTCCTCTACCATCAGTTCTCAATCTCCTAGTAGATCTCGCAGACTCTCTGTACGTGGTGGCAATGCCCTTCAAAAGCTGGGACAGACTAATAATAAAAAAGTCAGATCATTTTTGTTTTTTGGAGTCGAGGATGGCATTTGTATACAGTCAGCAACTCCAGGCTTCCGAAGTTTACCATTGCTCAGGGTGTTGGATCTTTCTAGTGTAAAGTTTGACAGAGGGAAGTTACCATCCAGCATTGGAGATCTCATCCACTTGAGATTCTTGAGCTTACACCGAGCTGGCGTATCTCATCTACCTTCATCTCTGCGGAATCTTAAGCTTCTGCTCTATTTGAACTTACGTGTTGCTGATGTAGAATCAGTTCATGTGCCAAACATTTTGAAAGAGATGCAAGAACTGAGGTATCTCCAGTTACCTATATCAATGCCTGATAAAACAAAGTTGGAATTGGGTGGTCTAGTGAACTTGGAGTCTTTGATGAATTTTTCAACAAAGTACAGTAGTGTGAGGGACCTCCTCCATATGACTAAGCTTAGGGAACTTAAGGTATTTATCAGTGATGGGTGTACTTCTGAAACTCTGTCGTCATCTCTCCGTCAATTGAGATACCTGGAGGCACTTCGTTTATATGATAGGCAAGAAACTCGTGTGGCTTATCATAGGGGAGAAATCGTTCTGGATTGTATTCATCTAAAGGAACTAGAGTTGGCGATGCATATGCCAAGGTTTCCTGATCAATACCAATCCCATCCACACCTTTCGCACATATATCTATGGTGTTGCAGCTTAGAGGAGGATCCAATGCCTATTCTAGAAAAATTGCTACATTTGAAGTCGGTTATATTAGCATTTGGCGCTTTCGTTGGGAGGAGAATGGTGTGCTCAAAAGGCGGCTTTTCTCAATTATGTGCTCTAGAACTAATTGGACAAGAGGAGTTGGAAGAGTGGATAGTAGAAGAAGGGTCGATGCCATGCATTCGTACTTTGACTATAGATAAATGTAGAAAGTTGAAGGAGCTTTCGGATGGGATCAGATACATAACGTCCTTGAAGGAACTGAAAATTGTAGGTATGAAGGAGTGGATGGAGAAACTGGTACCGTGTGGGGAAGATTACTACAAAGTCCAAAATGTTCTGAATGTTCGATTTATCAATTGTAACGTATAAGGAGAATAACCGGTAGCAAGTTCACTCTGTTTACTTGCTAGTTATGCATCCTATTTTATCTAGACCTCAGTAAGAATTATAACAATGTCTTAAGATATTATAAAAAAAGCATCACAAACAATCCAACACTTAAGCTAATTTAGTTCACAAATACACCTACCTCAAGCATCACTTCATTGTTTGATTCAAGTCTGAATATAAAACAACGAACACAAAAAAGTTGTAGAGTGAGTAGTCGGTACCAGCAACGTATTGAGAGAAATATTACCATTTGCTCGTAAGTTTTTAAGCAAGAAATCTTGTCATCTTATATAAGTTTTGATTCAAATTGGGACATTTACAAATCTGACTATCATCTATTTCATGTAATCTGATACATATATTTTTTACATTCTACAGAAAGGGAAAAAAAAAAAGATACAGAAAAAGTACACTTCTTTTACTTCTTACCTCTAAATTTCGGCTCGGATCTAGATTTAGTTATCGTCCTTGAGGCTACATGATGCTTTGACAAGATCTCTGCAATTAGTAGCCGACCAAACAAATGGGAATTCTTAAGAACGAGGTTTCTTGTGGAGGAGTCAACAATGTATCCTTGACCAGGCATCCACTGTAGAAGTTGAAGAAGCAATTCCTTTTTATGGGGCAGCGATATGTATCGAGATATCGCAATCTCAAACTGAACCTAAAAGCAAAACAACACACAGCGCAGGCAAGAGAAGAAGCAATGAGATCCAGTATAATAGAAAAAGAACGAAACCTTTGTTTCCTTATTTCTACAATAATTCAACTGTAATGTGAATTGTTGCCAAACAAAACGTCGAAAAAAAACTTTAAATTGTTCCCGGTTGGATAATTACCTGATCAATTTTGTGGCCAGAACCATGTAAGACCTTCAGAACATCGTTCACCAAATTGACATTACCCGAGATCATAAAAGCTCTGCCAAATTTCTTTAAAGTAGGCTGTGAGATCATCTTTGCATTGTCCTAAAACAGAACTATGACCAAATTAGAACATTAACGCAATGGATCGAATGATAAAAAGTTTCTCAAGAGAGGGATTTCAAACCTTCACTACAACATATGCATCTTTAAGGAGATTTCCTTGGATTAGAATGTGAAGAATTTTCTCATGCAGCTCTTTGCAGATAGTTCTTTTGCTGTATCGCAGCATATTGTAGACCGAGAATGCTTCCGAGTGAGCTCTAATCTTGCCAAGATGGTAAATCAAGGACGAACAAAGTTCCTGCAAATTTTAACCAAGTTGTGAAAGAGAGGTAAATTTTTCTTTTCTCGCCTTACATACTAAAATATCAAAGATAATAAACTATGAAGCAAGATTTCTATATTAGAGCAATAAAAACAAGCAATGTCTTGATGCTAGTTACCTCCTCAAGACGGTGGCCTTTACTGTGCATATCAAGTATGGTTTGGTACGCAAGCAGGTGCAACTTTTCCTTGATGAAATATTTGATCAAGATATGGAAAGTATTATAGTCAGGACTAATTGCTTGCTCATCCATTTTCTTCATCATTCGCATAACACTTTCCATGTCTCCTGCTCTGCAATAGGCACAGAGCATTGTGTTTAACATTACCAAGTCGCAGTTTGAATAAGTGGTTTCAGAGTCCCTTGATAGTTCTTTTGCCTCCTCAAAACGCTTACTTCGACATAACGCAGATATCATGATGCTGTTGGCATAGCCATCTGAAATAGGAAACTGACATCACTGTCTTAGAATAATAGGAAACTGAAATTGGTTCTGTCCTGTGTCTAATATCTGTAGAGATGCGGATAGGAGAACCACATACTCCTTACTGGTTTCTTTATTAGGTTCTGAGAAATCTGAGTATATATCTAACCATAAGACACCCATAATTGTAGCAAAATGCTGACTCATAAGAGATAGATCTTCAGGGATAGAATGACTTTTTCAAACCAAGTTATTGACAAATCCTGAATTAAATTATGAATAGTGTTCATCCCAATAATTCATTGCAATATATTCCCGATCCTATTTTGAACAGGAGTGAAACCAGCAACCATTGACGAGTCAAGAATGAAATATGAAAGCTAACTTGCTAACTAATCAACAGTTTAAATAAAAACATACCAGATTTAACACCTTTCCCTTTCATATCATCAAAGATTGACTTGGCTTCTTCTAACTTTCCCGCCTTTGAAAGACCATCCATCAACATACAATATGGCATCTAGAGAAGAAACCAAAATTTTGACCATAAGATAATTGCCGAGCATTTAGGAACAATATATGCGATCTACTTAATGGTTATACCATGATAGCAAACCGTACCAATAACCTACGTTTTGTATAATTGTTCATTGATAGCCAGACCATGATAGATTATCAGTGCTGTTCACTCAGCTCTTTTCTAAAATATATACAGCCAGATTGACTAATTACCTCGTTCTCAGCGTACCCTGCAGATTCAAGTTCAAAGAGTAATTCTCTTGATCTATCAAACAACCCTCCTTTGATATAAACCTTTAGTAAAGTTGTCATCATCACCTGCATATATTTCCAGATAGAGTTATAAAAGCGAGAAGAAATCAATATTACTGAGAGAACTATTCTCTTAATGAATTATGTGAATAGGCCTTCAGTTGAATGAGATGAGAAACACTGACAAAGACAAACCTTGTTTGGCACTAATCCTATTGATTTCATCTCGGTCATTAGCTCATCAGCTTTCTTGTAATCTCCTTTCCAAGAATAAGAGTTGAGCAAGGAGCTGTAATGATATATGTTGGGCGAATGACCTTCAGCTCTCATCTGCCGGATAAAGTTTTCAGCTTCTTCATATCGACCATTTGAAGCACAAATTGCCAAGACAGTCCCATACATCACACTGTCCATTTGTATTCCATTATGTGGCAGCTCTCCAACGAGTTCCATAGCCTTAGGGTATCCATTTTTTACCTTGATACAACCTGCAAGCAGCTAGGAAATCAAAGAGAAAATATATCATAGAAGCAGAACAAAACAAGATGTTGCATATGCATTAATGGTTTTTCACCAACACTTAATAATCCCAAAATGCAGAAACATCTCAGTATGTCTCAATCAGCTAAAAGATATAAATATCAGGTGAACGGGTGAATCGTTTTAAGCTTCAAGGGAAGAAAAATGTGAACTACTTTGTCATTTACTGTTGTAGTGAAAACTTCAGCTCGCATACCGTATTGTATGTAACCACATCTGGTTTCAGACCATCGCGCTTCATCTGATCAAACAATTTGATGCAGCTGTCAAGCTTTCCATTCTTGACCAGACAACTAAGAATGGAGTTACATATAAAGACATTGATTTTGGTTGACTCGTCTGGAATGCTATGGTATATTTCCAGAGCCTTGGAGACATTTTTCGCCCCCACAAATTTTATGCAACTGCTGTAAGTTGAAACACTAATCTTTCCATGCTGTTGCATCCAGTCAAAGAGCTACAAATTTACAAACATAAAACACATAAATAATGCACATCTTGGAACTCTTGCTTCTGCAGGGGAACAAAATAGTTCAAATAAACAAACCTGTATAAGATCCTGCAATCTTCCGGAGATTCCAAAATCACGCAAAATCACATTCAAGTCTTGTACCTTCAAAACTCTTGCTAATCTGCAGAGATAGCAATATCATGACAAACAACATTAGCCATGAATAGAGTACAATACACTATTACAGGTAACAAACGAAATTATGAAAATGCTGACAAACTGAAAACAGACAATCACAGAATTTGAAGCAGAGTAGAAGATAAGGAACCTATTCAGGGAGGAGAGAACATCAGAGGAGCGTTGAACTTGAGAAATGGCGGATTTTCTCGTCAGGTAGGCATTGGAATGACGTTTCGCACGAGGAGCTTCTGCTACGGTCGCCGGTGATTCAACGGCGGTAGATGCTGTTGCCGCCGCCGCCGCCGAAGTGAGGACTCGTAAGGATACGACGGGAAGGGAGAGCGAGGAAGAGGAACGAGAGTGAGTGTTGAAGAGATGAAGACACCGTGGTTCGAATCCCAGAACCGGCGTTTCCATTTTTTTTTTTTTTCCGAGCTCACCGAGCGAGCCTACCAGAGCTTTCTTTGAACATGCTCCAGTTCCTTGAACTTTGAAAGTACCAAGGTACCCCCGATTCTTTTATATCTAGCTCGAGTGGCTAATATGAGAGTGAAGGGTAGTATAGTAAATTACAGAAATGTCTGACAACTTTATCCGTCGTCTTTAGAGAATTTTAACTTCTTCGGAGTATTCTTTTTCTTAATATGGGCTTTTTGACAGAGATTAATGGGCTTATACAAACCAATACCATTAACTTGAAAGGATTTTCCAACGGGCCAAACTGCAACAAACAAATCTAGTGAATTGTGCTACATTAGAGAATTGTCCAACTGTTCATATCAGAATTGAGCTATATCCCAAATGGTAACGAAAGTTACGAGAGAGGTAACAAAATACAGTAGTTTTTTCTTTTCTTTTTTACATTTGGAAAAGTCCGTACACACAAATCATCATGCACTGTTCTCTGTGTGTCATTCGTGATGGATGGATGCATCATGCATGCATGCATCGTTCAAGAAAATGTAAGGAAAAAAAGAAGATCATAATATAGAAGCCTTTCATTATTTTCGAGATACATATATAAAAACGATTTTAAGCTATCAGAAAGTCTCACTGACAATGTTTGTTAACAACAAATAATCATAAACAGTGTGTAGCTAGGCGTAGGGTAATCTTTTCATTAAAACCAAAATGGAAAATTATTTGCTGCTAATCATTTATATATATATATACGTAGTCTCTGATCCAGATTAATAAGTGTAGAAGAGAGAAAGAAAAATAAAAAAAGGAAATGAGACAGAGATTCTTTGCAACGAAATGTAAGGCAGGAGACCGACAAGGAACAGGCGAACAGCACAGCCCCACTTCCTTTCTCTTCATACGTTTCGTGACACCCACTTCACCATTTTTATCCAATTTGCTTTTACTCTATTTTTATTTACTTCTTTAACCCTACAAAGTTGCTATGTAACTTAAGTTAATTAACTAAACAACTCTTAGATATAGATATATGAGTTGCAAAATTACACACATTCAAATTATATGCGATCGAGTACCTAATTTACCACCTTTATTATAAAAACTCTCACCCTCATTGGAATATAAACTGTTTTTTTTTTCCTCTCTTTTTTTTGTTTTCAATTGACATCACCGCCAATGCAGGAGTAGTTGTAGTACGATAATCAATCTTTTGATATCATATAATATAGTCATTGGAATATCTAGTATATATGGTTGTGTTTTATCTTTTATGTATTATATATTGTAGCTAGCATACGTACGCATACAAGCAAGATATGAATTCGATTGTCGCAAATAGTTTAACTATTTTCATACGGATTTAACGCATACAAGGGGAAAAAAAAACAAATATATGTTTTGAAAGTCATTATATTTAAATCAATAAACATACAAAAGAAAAAAAGCAGAAGCAACGAGAATAAACAAGCAATATTTGTTTGTATAAAGGGTCCTATCATCGTTTTGGCTTATTTTGTTGTGTTGTCACGGTTCACACACGAAGTCGCAATCACTCTCATGAGTTTACTGCTATTTACATATATTCAATAATTATAGAGTTAACAACGTCGTCCATCCATATCTCTCATTCTCTCTTATAGTATGAATATGCCTTAGAGTATTTACCAACGTCAACATCGTCCGCATGTAAGTAAATTTGGTTATTTTACAAAAATCTTCAGCAGAACAATATTTAGTGGTCGGGCTTTATCTATTTATTTATTTATTCGGTGATATCTGAATCTGATCCTGGACGGTGCAATGTCTTTTTCTTATATTTAGAAAATCATTTTTAGTCCTTACAATGATATTCAATTGGTTTTCCAAAACTACATACTTGTTTACGTTTTTCTAAAATGCTGTTTCATCAAACTTCAAACCGTACCAAATAGTTTAGAGGAGGTTTGGTTGGTCTACTTTATTTGATCTTTAGTGATGATAATAACAATAATAAATTTCATCGTAAGAATTCGCACGTATTGTAAATATGATATCGATATTGTTGACCTACTAATATCGATGAAATACGACTGTGCAACTGTTTTCTAACATTTGAAAATAATTTGTTGAACTTTTTGACGGAAACATTAAAATGTTTGAACTGATAAACTTTCTTTAGACAAAAAAATATTATTCAATATATAACTACACAAAAGCACAAAAAGCCTTTATTCGACCGAGAGCCATGTGGATTAAACAACTCAACATGTGAGCAACGAAAGTATAAATCTCAGTTTTGCTTAAGATACAATATATATATATACATATATATATATATATGTCAACTGTAAGGCTAATATATATTATGGAATTTGGACGATACATCTCTTTATAATTATTAGAAGCCTAGAACTCTGTCTGATTAATTTTGTGAATATATTTCTTTGATAACATGAGCTACATGTCTTTACTAAAAGGAAACATGAACTAGACGTGTATTATATATACATATGGATTATTGCTAATCAAATCAAATTACCGTGTTTTATTTTAGTTAATCAATAAAGGAACGTTGCAAATAAAATAAGTATGGGATTGTGGATCTGTCACACCTGGATGATTTGACAGTCTGACAAATTTTATACGATAATCATAATGTATAGATGATCCAGACTCATTCTTTATTTGGTTTAAAACTACTAATGCTAATGATTATAAATGTTGGGTTGACTCATGTACGTAACCACCAGAAAACATAAATTTTGGCTGATAAGTTAAAGAATTTACTTAATTTTAATGTTGGTATATTATATTAGATTAGAAACTAATACTTATATTTTATTGTATGTCAAAGTATACAGTAAAATAGATTATACAACGGAAGTAGATGTGGTTAGTTGCGTACAATCTAAGTTTGGGAATATGATTCCGGAAATTTTTTATAATTTAGCCATTGCTTCAAATGTCATTTCTTTTAAATTAGTTTCCTCCAAATTGCTGTATTCATCACATAAATATACCACCACTGGTGCTGCTGGCCTTAATTTTTTATAAATCCGATGTAGTAAGTATATATGATATTGCTGCATCTTCTCCTGTTGTTAAGACTTAAGACCAAACAAAAAAATAAAAAGAATAATAATAATAATATGTCCATATTTATTATCAACCAATCAATTATGTAATAAAATAATAGTGAAGGAAAACAAAAAGAACCAAGCCGCATATATTTCTCTCGCAAAGAAAAAGAAAGGTGTGTTTGAATGGAACATTGGGTGCATGGGGGAAGGAAACAACAATCAAATATATACTCTGTGTATGTATTTTCAATTCAAAGAATAAATTCCTTCTCTCTAAGCTAAGCAGCAAAAGCTTTGCGAGTATTCTTTCTTCCCTCTGCTCTCTTCTGAGCTGAACAACATCTGGGTAAGTCGTAAGTTTCCTGCGAATTTGATTCAGGTTTTGTTTTCTTTTTCTCCCAAAAATCTCTGAAATTTCTTACTTGCTAGAGTCATGTTTCTTTGATTCCTTACTAACTAATTAAGTTTTTGTGTGATTATTTTTTAGTTCAGACTAGTTGTTTTGCTCTGTGACTTCTTCATAGTTGAGTATATGTGATGAGCAGTCATTATTATTTGCGAATAACTGAATTAGATAGTAGACAATTTGCTGATTAATTTCTATTGCTTGACCCTAATTTTAGCTGATTTTTAAGTTTAGGCTGTTTTTTCCTTCAGTCAAATTGGTGCTTTCAGAGGGATTTGAGTGATGAAATCTTCAGGACACAAATTAAAAAATCTGTCATTTCTGCTTCATTGTCTGGACAAATTTTTTGAATCTGGATATGTGTCTAGTGCTAAGTAGAAAAGGCATATAGATTGGTGAATGGTGATGACCTGACTTGAAACATGGATTGTTTCCTAGGAGGAGTTCTGTTTGCCATCTTTGATCTTAATTTCTCTTATTTAGCTTATGCAGAGGAGCTTGTCATTTGCACTACAAGACGGGTTTAACATCATATCTAAGGCATAGAAACAATGTTCTAGGGTCATCAGAAGCTAGCCCAGATGGATATGAGGTGTGGTTTTTTTGTTAATGAATCTTTTTGTTATGTAGTCTTTTACCTCTTTATTTTTTTAGCTTGTTTAAGTATTATGTATCCCTTAGGTCTGGAGATAGAGAATTCCCAAATGGTGATTTCTATTCTGGTGAAGTTAAAGGATTACTTCCTCATGGGAAGGGAAAGTATGTTTGGTCAGATGGAACTACCTATGAGGGAGATTGGGATCAAGGAAAAATCTCTGGTAAAGGGAAGCTTATTTGGTCATCTGGAGCTAAATATGAGGGAGATTTCTCTGGTGGATATCTTCATGGTTATGGCACCATGACCTCACCTGATGAATCTGTCTACTGTGGAACCTGGAGAATGAATGTAAGGCATGGGCTCGGGAGGAAAGAGTATTGTAACTCAGATCTATATGACGGTTCATGGAAAGAAGGTTTACAAGATGGCCGTGGTAGTTATTCTTGGACCAATGGAAATAGGTACATAGGGAGTTGGAAAAAGGGTAAGATGTGTGAGAGAGGAGTTATGAGATGGGCAAATGGTGATCTTTACGACGGTTTCTGGTTAAATGGCTTTAGACATGGCTCTGGAGTTTATAAGTTTTCTGATGGGTGTTTATATTATGGGACCTGGTCCCGAGGTCTAAAAGACGGCAAGGGAGTCTTTTATCCTGCTGGAAGTAAGCAACCATCTCTAAAAAAGTGGTGTCGCTCTCTTGAATATGATGACACCGGAAAGTTTGTTCTTTCTCGTAGTGCATCGGTAAATGTTGAGGAGCTAAGGAGTTCAAAGACTGTGACACGAAGTCTTTCTGTGGAAACTTCAGCTGGTGAAATGACGAATTCAGGTAGAATATCAGATAGGTTAACGGATGATATTTGGAAGTCCTGTGATCCTCCAAGAGACTTTACATGTCATGGGCCATTATCTAAGTCTGCACGGTTTTCTCGCTCAGGCGAAAGCGAGGGACAAGATAAAAACCGAATTGTTTACGAAAGGGAGTACATGCAAGGAGTTTTGATTAGAGAAACTATTATGAGTTCTGTTGACAGGTCACACAAAATTAAACCTCCACATCGGCCTAAAGAAGTCAGGGCCAGGTCTTTACTGACCTTTCTAAGGGGCGAACACAATTATTATCTAATGCTAAATCTCCAACTTGGCATCAGGTAAACTAAATCAACACCCTAAGCCTATGACCAACATATGTTAAATATTCTTCTTTGTCAAATATAGCAAGCTAGAGAGGTTGACGTAAAACCACTTCTTTTAAATATGTTTCTCAATTTTCATGATTCTTGAGACTGCTCCGTTATAGCCTATGGCACATTATGTGTATTAGTTCTGCAATATTGCTTGATATTAGACTCACATTTGCATACATGCAAAGAGAAGACCTGTTTGCATATGATTTCATTATATATTTACTGCATACTTTACTAAGATTGGGTAATAAATCTTCCTCTTACACAATAATCTTTTGAGGTTAACAGGTATACTGTTGGGAAAATTACACCAGTTCCTAGGCGAGAAGTGCGTGCTTCTGACTTTGGTAAGAACGCCAGAACAAAAATGTTCTTCCCTAGAGACGGCTCCAACTTTACACCTCCACACAAATCTATCGACTTCTCTTGGAAAGACTATTGTCCTATGGTTTTCAGGTAGAACAATTTTCCTTAAGGCAATACCAAAGAAGTTTATGTAGAATCAGAGTGAATAATCTATCAATGTGTATACTATATTTTTTGGAGATTGGGCTCAAGTTACGAAACAAGTAATTATCTGTTTTTAAAATTAAAGACTGCACCTTTTTCGATGGAATGTTTCAGGAATTTGAGGGAGATGTTCAAGTTAGATGCTGCAGAGTACATGATGTCTATTTGTGGTGATGATGGCCTGACAGAAATTTCTTCCCCCGGGAAAAGTGGCAGTATCTTCTACCTTTCTCATGACGACAGATTTGTGATCAAGACATTAAAAAAATCTGAGTTGCAGGTTTGAACTTACTGAAAAAAAGAGTTGATAATAGTGGTTTACAGATAATAGTGGTTTAAGTTGATAATGTAAGCCCTTCTTAGTATGTCACAGAAACAATGTCTTAGTATTTTGCTAAACTCTTTAGTTCATGGTGGTAACTTCTAATGGCCAATATCACCGAAACTAAAGGACTAAATTCATCCATCTTTGTTCTTTCTAGGTTCTACTCAAAATGTTGCCAAAGTACTATGAACATGTAGGGGACCATGAAAACACACTTATAACTAAATTCTTTGGAGTTCACAGAATAACACTCAAGTGGGGGAAAAAGGTAAGAATTTCTCTGTGGTATTTATAGCTTAAATTTCATTGTGTTTCCATTTTTGTAGCATGAGCTTTGTGGTGTTTTGATAGGTACGCTTTGTGGTCATGGGGAATATGTTTTGCACAGAACTAAAGATTCATCGTCGGTATGATCTTAAAGGTTCATCTCAAGGGAGATTTACTGAAAAGATTAAAATCCAAGAAAAGACTACACTAAAAGATCTTGATCTAGCTTATGAATTTCATATGGACAAGCTGTTACGGGAAGCCCTCTTCAAGTGAGTGCAATAACTTATTCTTTATATCATTTCCGCTGTGCAAGATGTGCTATATTCAGCTGCATGATAAACTGTCGAAAAATCCTTACCAAGGGAAACCACTAGCTTTATGAGATACTGCTATTTTCTACATAAATCGGACAGCTTCTTTGGAACATCAAATCCTAAACAATGACTAAACAGCTGTGTTTTCCTTTTGATAGTTTCTGATTGTTTGTGGAACCATTCTTTTTTCCACATGCCAGGCAAATTTACTTAGACTGCTCGTTCTTGGAATCTCTGAACATCATTGACTACAGTCTTTTACTGGGATTACACTTTAGAGCTCCTGGCCAACTTAATGATATCCTTGAGCCTCCAAATGCAATGTCAGATCAAGAGAGTGTTTCTTCTGTAGATGGTAGGTGCCAGTGTTTCAAGAGGATACCTTTTGCACATCATATAAAAGTTTTTCGATGGCTTAGGTAATTCAGCCATGAGCTTGAATTATATCAGTATCCTTACGACAAGCTTTTAAGCCACCTAATGTCTTTATATTAGAGGATGATTACCGAATTTAGAAATAAAGAAATGGGGGGATGTATAACTTATTGTTTCAAGTTTTCTTTCTTTCTTTCCAGTTGGTTTGACTCAGGAAATCTACATTCCTCCAAAAGGATTACTTTTGGTTACTCATGAACCCAATTCTGTGAATACTGCCCCGGGTCCTCACATCAGAGGGAGCACACTCAGAGCATTTTCTGTTGGCGAGCAGGAAGTTGATCTTATTCTTCCCGGAACTGCAAGGTTACTCATTTTCCTCTTTTGCTTTCTTCACTTGACCCGTGCTTATAGCTGAAAAACGCCACTGGCTGCGAGTACAGTTAGGAGTGAACATGCCGGCCCAAGCTCATCACAAACTTTTATATATTGTTTTAGGCTGCGAGTACAGTTAGGAGTGAACATGCCGGCCCAAGCTCATCACAAACTTATTGAGGACAAGGAAGAGTCAGCCACAATTGAGCTCTTTGAAGTATACGATGTGGTTGTATACATGGGAATCATAGATATTTTGCAGGAGTATAACACGAAGAAGAAAGTAGAGCATACCTGCAAGTCTTTGCAGTATGATCCGATGACAATATCTGTGACCGAACCTGCAATATACTCAAAACGCTTTGTCAATTTTCTACACAAGGTATTCCCAGAAGAAAGATAGGATCAACAATTTTCTTCTAAATGCTTATTTACACATACTTGATGTACATTGACCTTCCAGAAAGCTCATAGTGAAAGTATTTGTAACTTTTATATGATTAACTTTGCTGTGTACCATGAAACACAGCCCAGAATGAATGTTATTGGGACATGGTGTTTATACCTGTCTGCTAACTAGTTTAGCCAGCTAAATTAAAGCTTAAGTTATCGTTTAGTGAGAGATTCAATTTGACCTCTTGAACAAGGAGATGAAAATAGCAAAAACAGATAAGGAATTTGATTAGAAGCAGTAGACAGCGCAGCAGTCTTGTTGATAAGGACATGAAAAGTTAAAAAAGGAAAGAAAGTAAAAGTTCCAATCCAAATGAATGAAAACTGAAACTAGCTAATCTATCTGGACTAAACTTGGAACATAAGAAGAGCACACAAGTGGGACGCAATATCTGGGGAAAGTATGTCCAACTTTGTCAGGTTTCGCGAGATCAAGAGCGTCTCCAAAGTTGACAGGTTTGTAGTATCCATCTTGACCAAGGATGAAAGCTGTTTGGTAGCGATATGTCTTGTCTAGCTCAAAAACCACGGCAACTTTGTTCTCCTCGTCAATGAAGAAACTGGTAGCCATACAGTCAAACTGAAAACCAGTGAGTGGTCTCAAATCCACATTCAAAAAATTGCGCCACGACACTGCATTGGGGTCGATGTTAGTGGAAACCCAAATCTCTAAGAATGGGTCAAAACACTGGTACAACACGGAGAGCTGCTCTTCTTTGACACAAGATAAAGCGAGAGTCTCATCCGTATAAGAGTGAAAAGGCAGACGAAGACGCGGCCCAAACCTCTCTGCCGTAAAATCGAAACAGAGTATAAAGTCTTGGAGCCCTGAAGTATCTATCTCTTGGTTTCCCTCTTCTTCGTCCAGGATTAGTTGCTCTCTAGCGAAAAAGTAAGTGTTTCCCTTGAGAGACACGCCACGTTGATAAAACGCTATATCCCAGTCGGAAGTGACATCAAGAACCTTCCATGAATCAAGGCTGAAATCGTAGATTTCGTACCGGAAAAAGTGTCCTTCGATATGGAGGTAATCATCCACAAACCTCAAGATTTTGTGGTTACGGCGGTTCTTGTCATAACCAAGAGCACACCTGTCTAACCTGTGGAGATGGTGTCGGGGTTCGAATTGGATCCACCTCGTTTGCCCCAGATAGGGATTCCAGACCAAGAGCCTCGTCTCGTCTTTGATGACGCATAACACTAGACCGTCGCATTGAAAGAGTTTAGATACCACGATTTGGTCAAGTAAACTTATCTGCTTTATAGATGGTAAGGACTGGTCGCCCTCGTTGCGGACACCTTGGAGATCGAATCTCAGCGAACAAACCCTATAATCCATCATCATGAATCCCAGAAACTGCTTCTCTTTACCCAAACATACACAACTTTTGGATAAAGCATTCCACTGTTTGCAGACAGATCGCACTGTCTTCACAGATGTTATCGGAACCCTGCTAAGTATTGCCGCTACCATATCCTCGTCAAGATCAGACATCGTCGTCGTCATTGTTACAAAACAATCAAATGCTCTAATAACAAACTAGAAAACAATTAAGACTTCTTAAATACTACAGTAATAAAAAAACTAGTAAATCTAAACTTTTCAACTAGAAAATATTATACGTGATTATCCTGATATAATAATTGTTAAATAATCGTCAGTATTTTCTGCATTTTTTTTAAATGATTTATTATTGTAGAAGTAATTATATTTACTTGGAAACAAAAATATACACAAGTTCTAGTTATCGTGATATATTTTTTAAAGTCAGTAATTATCGATGTCACAAAAATGAAAGAAGAAAAAGTCAGTAATTATCAAAATGGGTATTTGCGTAAATTAACACGACAACCAAAACCTAAAATCAGACCAGACAAAGATAAAAGAAGAAAGACAGGCAGACAAGTCGATTCGAAGAATGAAAAAATCGAGAAAGGTCAAATTTTTCTCTCTTTTTTTTTTTTTTTAGATCTGAAGCGGGGTAGATGAATGTTCCGCCTTATGCCACGATCGGAGCAAGGATCGGCTCAACATCGCTTCTGTTACACAAGACTCATGGAATCGCTAAGCTGATGGCGAATCCGATCGCTGACGAAGAATCGATTTCAATCTGATCGGCTCGAAGGTGGCCTTTCTCTGATCACTTCATCTCATAGGTTTTATATTAGTATTGTCATTCAATTGTCTGATCGTATGTGCTTGATGGAATTTGATCCTAAACGCTTTGAAAATTGTTTCAATTCGTGATTTGAAAAGAAAAAAAAAATTGAACTTTTGTAACATTACTAGGCTTATCCTTATACAAATACGCCTCTGGATCTCATCAATGGCGACCTTTATCAATCTCGAGGATTCCCCAATGTTTCAGAAACAGGTTTGGTCTACTTTTCAGCTTATGGGTATTTTAAAATCAGGAATTTTGGTATAAATTGTGTGACTTTATCACCAAAATTGTTGTCTTGCGTCAGGTTTGTTCATTGGAGGGGACATCTGATGAGCTTAAGGATCGCTGTCAGAAGCTACACAAAGGTGTTAAAGAAGTTTATGTACGTTAAATCTATTGTTTTCCTATTCTCATGTAAGTCTTAGATTATGTAAATTAGGCTTTATGACTTGCTTTATTTTGCAATTTAAAACCGTAATAGTACTTTTGTCAATGTATCTACGTGGGCCAGAAATTTTATCAGCGGCTGACAGGAATTGTATTACTTTTCTTTTGTAAGGGAAGTCTGGGAGAGGCATCCAAAGGAGAAAATGGCTTTTACAGATTGTCTGGAAGAATTTGGGGCTCGACATGATGATCTTATCAGTCTTTCAATTGGAGGTCGTTGTTTGCATCCATCTCTGTGGTCTTGCTAATCTGTTAATTATGAGTCTATGTACTATCATTTGCCACTTTATTCCTTTCATTAGTGATAAGAGACTAGGGTGATGCAGGTATTCTCCAGTTGCTATGGAGTACATTCAATATAGTGCCAAATTTTTAGTAGTGAAGTTGAGCCTTGCTGTGTTTCTTAGCTAAGTGTACCTTATTAGATATTTAAATTAGTCATGGAATAAGCAGTGGTAGTGGGAAACAAATAGGAAATTAATCACCTAGGTATATTGGAAGCTTTCAGAATCCATAGGAGGCACTTCTGGCATTTGGTTACCTTAGAGTGATTTCGTAAAAATTGGGTTTTTTAGCTTTCATAGACTATCAGATTTCTTGTTATTGATTGTTAACAAGTTTGTAGATGATTTTGTTTATTAAGACTGGTCTACTGAAGCTTCTCTTATTTGGCTTATAATCTATCTCTTCTTAGCTTAAGTCATCATCTTAGTTTATGTTTTTTCTCTTCATTGCTTACATTTCATAATTTCTAAGATTATATCACAAACAGAGGTACTTTAAATGTCTTTTTTTCTAACATATATATTTTTTTCTTCTTCTGAGTGATACCAGGCCCAGTTATATCCAAATTCATAAATACTCTTCTGAGAGCTTGCTTCTTACAAGAATTTTCTTTGCTCCCAGGTATTCTCATTGTATCCGGTGAACAATAGTAAATGCCAGTAAATACTAACAAAGGCCTCTCATCATTGAGAGTGTATTCCTGTTTGGTAATTTAAACTTAGATTTGGTTAGTGTGGTGGTCTTTGTTGATTCAGGGTTTAGCATCTTGATATATATATATATATTTTTTTCTGTATATATCTGTTTTGAGTTACTTATCAACTTTGTGAAAAAGGGATGAATGTAAGGTAGGACAGTTTGAGTTTAAAATGCCAAATATGCAGTCGATTTAGTGTAAATCCCTTAACAGTGTCTCTTTCTATATAACAGTTATGGTATTTTATGGGGAAAATTTTCTAGGTGGAGTATGTGTTGCTTGAGAGGTTGATGAACTTTATTAGTGCACTGAGTGTCTCGAATTTTATAGTTTGATCGATAATGTCTCTTATTTCTTGTTCCAAATTATATATCGAGAAGTAACTATGCTGTTTCTACCATTGCAGGATCCTCGGAATCGATTAGATAAAGCTGCTCATTTGTACGATCAGGTACTTTCTCCCTTAATTTCTTGTGCGTGCAGTTGGATGCACGTTTTCTGATCCTTATTAAAAATATGTTTGAAAGCTGGTGTTGCACACCACAAGAATGCACAGATGATTATATTCTTCATCTGAACTGGTGTGATGAGTTTTCTTCCTGCTTGTAGTCACGAGAAAAGTTTCCTTTCTCTCTTGCTTTCCTTAACCTCTTTATTGTGTGTTTTTACTCTCTGTTTAAATTTCCTGATATCCCTTACACAATTATTACTAGCATCTTGTGCGCCAATGCGATTGTGCAACACTGCAACATATAGAGACTCGTTTGTGATCATTTGACACTTACAAAGCTGGATTTCTTATTGTCTTACAGAGTTCCTTTCTGTACCGATGCAGGTAATCAAACAGGGATATTTATTAAAGCGTTCATCAAGTTTGAGAACTGATTGGAAAAGAAAGTTTTTTGTCCTTGATAATCATGGTTCTATGTACTATTATAGAAGTAATGGTAATAAATCAATGGTACGTATGCACTCTTTTTTCCTGCCTCATTTCCATGAGAGTCATCCATAAGTCCTTTCAAATTTGGTTATTCGTTTTACATGCCAATTGTTACAATTTCTGAAATCTCGTTGATTGTTCATGAATCCTTTCTTTCCCTGAATTGAATTATTGATTTGTTATGAAATAGTGGGACAATAAATGAGTAGTAACAAGTCAACAAGTGATAAGATTGCTGTATCAGCTTTAATTGTTAACTCTATCAGGTCATCAACTGTGGAAAATTTTCCTATTTTGACACGAACTATTAATATTAAGCGTTTAATGAATTGTTGCGTGTATAATACCTGGCACTTCCTCATGCTATTGTTTATATCTATAGAAGTATAGATTGTAGAACTAACCATCTGTTTAACAGTTGAAGCAAGTCCTACATCTGTTTTTTTATAACAGATGACTTTTTTGCTATTCGTATTCTCAGGGATCTCAGCATCACTATAGTGGTTCATCTGACCATAATACTGGGGTGTTTGGTCGCGATTTCGTGCAAGAGATAATCGATCAGGTTCGCTCACTGAGGGCAGCTTAGGCTATAATACTATTGATCTTGGCATTTCTTTTATAAAACTAGATGCAGAAGACATGGATCTTCGGCTCTGTTTCAGAATTATTTCTCCTCAAAAAACTTACACACTCCAGGTACCCATTTTACTCATTATAGTATTTGGTTGGTGGATTCCTCCAAATTCATTCTATGGAAAACAAAGCTGTGCTCTTTACATTTTTTTTTGATGTTTATTGTTCCTCCAAATTCACTAAATAGAAACACTAGGAAAACAGCAGATATTTGATGTTGTGTTTTCTATTAAAGCAGGAAAAACTAAAAGCCAACAGTATGCACCAAAAGACAATTCATGGTCCTCATGAGAACAGTATGCAATGCAGGAGAAGGTGTGTGTTACTTATCTTTCTTCATCATATCCCTTTTAATGTTGCGGGACCCTCATGTATTGTACCAAAGTGAAGCCATTATAGGCTTGTATATTCCTCCTCCTGATGACTCTTTTGGTGAAAACTGTGCCATTTTGGGGAGCCATTCTGCTCTCAGTATAATTGAAAAGAATTTGTCCGTTCCTCTGGCCAAAGAAAAGCATTTTGAATAAGATAGTTTGTAAGTAACTATAGAGTGTATGAGTTTAGTCTGTAATTTTTACCAGCGTTCTAGATCTCACAGTGCTGTTGTTGAGATTATTGGTTGGAAGCCAATTTTCGTTGTTGTCATAAAATCGTCCAGATTCTATCTTGAAGAGCCCTGTTGTGTTTGCAGGAATGTTTTGGGAGAGAGTGAAGTCACCGAAGACTTCGAAAAGGTCGAAGACGTCTAGAGCAGTCACCCATGTAATTCTTGATCCATTTAAGATACGGTTTACGCGAGTTCCACCTGAATAAACAATTAAACAATTAAATAATTGCTTTTCATCTCAAAACCTAGATACGATTGAATTAATTGCTCCCTAAATTAGGGATTTGTATCAACCCCTAAATCCGATTGAGTTGATTGCTCCCTAAATTAGTGATACATATCAAAACCTAATTCCGATTTAACCTAAATTAATTGCTTGCTTTAGGATTAGGGTTTCATAAACCTTTGTTAATTGCTCTCTGAAGTAGGGTTTATCCCAAAACCTCTACAGATTTTTGCGTTTTACTGAGATCCAAATCGTACCTGGATTGAAAAACACCATCTCTTGAAGATTAGCCATGTCGCCTTGAAAAGTGTGGATCGCCGAGATTCGCGGACGATCGTTCTTGATCGGGAGGGGAAAAAGGAAACAAGCTGATCTGAAAAAATTTTGGAAAGCGTGTGAAACACTCTAATGATATTTCCTTTTATACCACTTGCGTTTTTTTGCAAATAATGCGTTTTAAAAGACATAAAAATAAAAGATACAGAGAGAAGGGTATAATCGAAAATATGTATTATTTGAAGCAATAATTATTAAATAATCTTCAGGATTCTGTGGTTTTTATTTATTTTAATTGTTCTATTATGGAAGTAAGAACAGATGGTTATTATGGAGTGATAAATTTTCCGAATCATTGTGATATTGTTATACATTCAACGGCTAATTTTAAAGTAGGATGACAAGTGTGTTAACTGTTCATCATTCTGAGAACGGATGGTTAACATATTCATTCATCACCTTCCTATCTTTTCCCATCCAACCATGAACTTAACGTAAAATTACAAACGAGAAACTAGAGTTATATTTAAATCATCTAAGAATGTTTCAAGCTCCAACGAGAAGCAGTAGCACTAAAAACGATAATCATAAAGCAACTTTGAGATGATGAAAGATGCATATCCATCACAATCGTTTTTATCTTCACTTGGAGCTTAATGTAAAAGATAATTTAGGGCGTGATTTGTTTTTACCCAGCAGCTTAATCTGTTTGAGGCGTTCTTCTTCCTCTTCAGCTTTCTTCCTTTGCATCGCTTCTTCTCTCTGTCTTTGCAGCTCCTCCAGCTCCCGATACCGTTCCTCCTCTTTCCTTTGCCTCTCCATTGCTTCTTTCCTCTGAGCTTCTTCCACTCTCTTAAGGTTCTCCTCTTCTATTCTCTCCCTCTCTTCTTTCTCTTGTTGCTCTCTTTCCTGCGACAAACACCGCATAACCCCCTGAAAAAAGGCTCTCTTTTCAACAAATGCTCCATGATGGACAGACTTGTAATATCAAATTTTTAATAAGGAATTTGAATTCATTCTAATACACCACGAGCAAAGTCATTTCAAACCATGCCACTGCATAATAAGGAATCTGACAAGAGCATAATCAATTTAATAAAATGAGGAAATGCCCAACAGTCTCCACCTAGAAAACTAAAGCAGCTCATAGAAATGGCAATTTCTTTTTCCCTTTAAGTTACTCTACTCCAGAAGTGAAGTCACATGAATAGATTATCCGTGAAACTTAGCAAGAAAAAAAACATCTTATGAAAGAATGACCATCAACATCTGCAAGCTTTTTGACAAAAAGATTCTTTGTATTGAGAAGGGTATTAGGCTTTATTCTTATTTTATGAAGAACGTTACCTCTTTTTCTTTAGCCTCGATAAGAGAAGCCTCCTTCTCCTTATCAAGTTGAACCGCCACTTCTTCAATAAGTCTCTTCCGCCCTTCCTCCAGCAGCTTTAGAATTTCCATTTTAATTTTTTCAGAATGTAAACTTTCTTCGACCTTTCTTTGAATAGCTTCTTCAACCCGTTTCACAGTTTCTTCCTCTATCAGCTTCAGTTCCGCTTCACGCTGTCGCCTGGAAGAAAATATAGTGAAAAGTTAGAGGACACCCACAGCAGATCCAGAATCTTGAATATCACCTGAACTTTCTCATGTCCTGATGTCTTCAATCTTGAACAGCAAAACCAACAATTTATTCCAAACCAGAGACAAATAGGTGAAACTTTTTTTTGTTTCCACTCCTCCCAACGCCAACGGTAAATTCGTGAAGTATTATTTTGTATCGCCATAACACAAGCAAACCTTCACCGAGGCTATTCATGTGCTTTTGACATATTTACAACTCTAACTCAATCATGATCCATAAAATGACTCACGGTAACTCATCAAATCGAGATAGTATGAATATTTGTGCCAGAGGATCAAATCTGAACAAGTCGAAAGATAGCTTATCTTCCATAAGTGAAGCCTGTGAGAGAATACCGTGAAACCTGTTGCACTTTGAAGACTAACAATCAAGGACTTCCACACTAGACAGTCTACACTAGAATTACATTACCTTATTTCACAATAACATCCATCATAGTTAAAATTTTGTATTGATTTACCTTTTTCGCTCTTCCTCTTCTCTTTTAAGTTTTTCTCCATTCCTATGTTTAGCTGAGTCAAGGGATGCGGAAGGAGATAGAGTGGAACTCCTACTCTTTTGTCTTTCGTAACGTTTTGGAGTTGGAGAACGTCTCTTAGGAGTAACAGATCGACTTCGGTGGCGTTTAGGAGAAATAGAACGACTTTTTCGTCTGTACAATACCCCAAATAAAGCAGTAAGCAAAATATGCAACTAACGAACTACCACGCACGTGAAGACTAGCCATCAGGTTGCCTACAATTTCACATAAAGGAAGCAAAAGTATGTGCAGTTACCTCATACACTGTAAAGAATTATCAGCTCCAACTTTTATCACACGAAGAAGCTAATGAGACAAGGGATCAATGAAATAACACCAAACAGCTATCCATCAGCAGCTCATTTCCTCTCCCGTGGAACGGGGAAGAAATTAAGCTTTTTATAGTGGTAAGAGCATGTATCATTTTCTTAACTTGTCAGCCATGTTCTCAACAAATTACTATATGATCTTACCTAAAAAAATGTAATGGTTTTGTCTCATTATTGCTAACAAACTTCACTTCAAAAGAACATAATAGTTGCGCCTGAACTGATTCTAACAAATAATCACGCCATCTATCTAGACATAATACAAAAATATATACTAGATCAGAAATCAGTACTCTCAATATCTCAACTTCACTTATGTCTTTACTGATTCAGGCTGCATTGTCTAAAACCACAACTTTACACACTGCTCACAACAGCCAAATGAATAAGATATTTCCAAAAAGAAACATCACTCAAAAAAAGCTTACGATAGAGCCAGCAGCATCCAGACATTGCACTCCCTTATAGAGAAGGGTAGAAATCTAAGTGGGAACTATAGTAAAAGCAATTGAGATTCTTACAGTTCTTTTTGTGTAACAAACCAATGATAAGTATGGAAAAGCGCAGACACATTACGGGTATCACCTGCTATACGAATAAGAAGAGTACGGAGAACGGCTTCTGTCTCGTCTAGTCCTCCTGCTACGCCTATGCCTTACAGGAGACCTGGAATGCTTTCTGCGACGTGTCGGTGATGGAGAAGGTGACCTCGATCTTGACAAGTCCCGAGGCATCTATAAACACGCCGTAGAGCAATATCTTCCTTTAAGTTCAGGTAAAATCTCTGAACTTGCAAGAAAAAATCAGGATTTGTTCTGCAAAATCCAGACGCGATAGCTCAAGTTAACAATTCAAAGAAATCATATCGAATAAGATCGAGCTTCGCAAATCACAACCGAAAATCTAATTACACATAAAAATCAAAGACCTAGCAGCAATTTCGGATTCTGGAGAATCTCCCAAATAATAATTCAAGGATCTCATCATCGAGCACGTAAATTACTAATCTAATATCTAGTAAATTCCCTTAACGTTCGTTTCGTGGAGTAGGCTGGGTAACAAAACCCTAAGAGGAATAAAACTCTGCAGAAAACAAAACATTGAAACCAAAAGAGGAAGCTCATGGGAAAATAGCTGAATCGTCCGACATACCCCGAGAATAGCGTTGTTGGATCGCCGGAAGAGTCAACACAGAGATAGAGGAAGCTTAGGCAGGACTCAGGAGCAGGATTCGTCGGATTCGGATTACAACATTGAGCTTACTTTTTTAGAAGATGAAGAAGAAAGCGACGATAGCTTTTTGTTTTTTTAAATAATAAAGGGAATTGGTTGATAAGTCGTATAATTCGTTAAGAAACATGGAAATAACAAACAAAAGCCTTTTGGGCTTTAATACGACCCTTTTTAAGTTTTTGTATCAGTTTTTAAATTTGGGCCTTTTGAGTGCATCTTTCTTGGATGTGTGGGAAGCACCTAGTAATATTTTGAAGCTATTTTTCATCTCATCCTCTAAACTCACAAGTCACAAGTTACTATTGCTATTATGTTGCATACTGAAGATGATGTAGCACTGCCTCCACCTTGATACACCAAATATGGTTTGCGTACTTTCTTAATTGCTACGATTGACGCCTGCCTAGACACAAGGAGAAAGAAAAAGTTTACGAGGTTAAAAGAAAAAAAAACACATAACGCCTGAAAGCTTCTTTTGTTAATCTTCTATTTAACGTTTTAACTTCTTTTTTTCTGAGCATAACAATGCTTTAACATTGCCGCAAATTTCATGCTGCATGTCATCCTCTTCTTTTTGTTTACTTGAAAAAATCACGTTTCACTAAACCCACGATTCTCATGCATATATAGTTCATCCCACACCATATGCTCATCATACAACATGATCATGCCTGCCTAGGTTTAGCAGGATTAAAGATACCTAAATACTCATGAGTATGGAAGACACTTTTCCTTGTTTTCAGATAACATCATATCTTAAAATATATGTATATGGGTTTTCTTATATTTTATTAATCAACATAGTTAACAGTGGAACTTTCAATCCCTATTATATGCCTATTTTGTGACCGAAACGGTTATCTTATTTTTAAATTATGCCGCACCACTTTGCCACAAACAAAATATATTCTTAGGCAATAGCTACTATATATATGTACACACTAGCTACACACAAAATAAAAGAGGACTGAATCAAACGACGTAGCTAGAGCAAGCTAAATACGAAGAGTAGATATAATATATATGCACAAAACTAATACATGAAGAAGCAAAAGATCGCAACCTTCGTCAAAGAACTCAACTTACAGATGAAAAAAGAATCTACGAGTCTCCGATACGTACACATCCTCGGGACCGTGGTCTTCTTCTCCTCCGTCTCCTCTCTCGTCATCCTCCTCGCTCTCTACCTTAACCAACGCCTCCAAACCTCACTCTTCCTAGTGGAAGAATATCACACACTCTCCTCAAATCCACTAACTTCTCCTCTCTCCCATCCTCCTTCTCCTTCTCCTCGCAGCCCCATGATGAATGGAACGACTCATCCAAAGGTTGCGTTCATGTTTCTGACGAGGTGGAATTTGCCGTTGTCCCCTCTTTGGGAAATGTTCTTTAAAGGGCATGAAGGGTTTTATTCCATTTACGTTCATACCTCACCAGAGTTCACTGAGGAGCCGCATGAATCTTCAGTGTTTTACAAGAAACGCATACCAAGCAAGGTATGATTAATTAGGTTTTGTTGGCCTATTGTAGTATTTTATTGAGATACAGTTTGAAAATGTATAAATTTTATTACAAGGCAGTAGAATGGGGGAAATCGTCGATGATGGACGCAGAGAAGCGTCTTTTATCTCACGCGTTACTAGAACCTTCGAACGCACGCTTCGTCCTCCTCTCGGAGACTTGCATCCCTCTCTTCAACTTCACCACTGTCTACGATTACCTAACGCGCTCCACACGCTCTTTCCTCGGCTCGTTCGACGACCCAAGGCCCATGGGACGAGGCCGTTACACACCCAAGATGCTCCCACACGTGTCGCTCTCCGACTGGCGGAAAGGAAACCAATGGTTCGAGGTCTCGCGTAGAGTCGCCGCCGAGATCGTCTCCGACCGCCTGTACTACGACGTGTTTAAGGATCACTGCCGGCCGCCGTGTTACATGGATGAACATTATCTTCCGACGTTGGTTAACAAGATCTGTCCGGAGATGAACTCAAACCGGACCGTGACGTGGGTGGATTGGTCGAGAGGTGGATCACATCCAGCGAGGTTCGTGGGGAAGGATATTCGGGTCGTGTTTATGGATAGGATCCGGTTCGGGTCGAATTGTAGCTACGAGGGTGAGGTGACGAATGTGTGTTTTCTTTTCGGAAGGAAGTTTCATGTGAGCACCCTCGAGCCTCTCATGAAGATTGCTCCATATTTGTATGGGATTTAGAATTTATTCAATATTTATTTCTAAAATATAAAAACATTATTTGCTCGAGTGACCAAAAAATACTTTCAATTAGTGTAAGTTGAATTAAGAAAATAAAATAAAAGATGGCAACAAGGTCAACTTTCTTGGAGTGCAAACCAAGTTCCAAATAACAGAATTTTAAAATTGTACAGAGAGACAACAAGTTTATGTTAAAAGTCTCAACGCTGATGTGCATTTTAAACTCAAGTAAGCAAGTGTCTTCAATTTGTAAACAGTTATCTAAAAACAAATCTTCCATTTTTCTGCAACCTAAAAATTCCCTGAGGCAATGGAGGTTGGAAGGAAAAAAGTTAGTCGAAATGTAGAGCATCAAGATCTTGTTGGGCTTAAGAAGAATCAATATCACTATGCCAAGTCAATAGAAGAGAATGAGAAGATGGTGGAGGAGATGCGACAACAAATACTTCAACTCGAAAAGCAACTCAAAGAGAAAAAGGTATGTTAGTCTGTTGTGTAGTCTTTTATCTCTCTATACATACATAATATTGTGAATCGAATTAACTAAAGCTGGCGAATGTTTTACTCTATCAAGCACAGGTTGCTCATGATCAGTACATCTCAGGACTAGAAATCAACTTGCGTCATAGATGGAGACCGATCGAGGATGACCAGCTCATGGTGAACTTTCCGAACTGCACTAAGAAGATGGAGCTAGACAAACTCACTTTTGCTAATAACGCCTATCGTGACAAGAAGTCTATTATATCATTTTCGTCCGGGGAACGAGAAATTAATTTCCACGTTAGAAACCCTAATTGCTAATTACGCTGATCACATATATATTCTCTCAGTTTGATCTGTGATTACTCATCTCAAAATGTTATATAGAAACATATGTTTTTTTTTTATACTATATTACAGAATCTAAACAATCAGATGTTACACAAGGCGCATTGCATGAGTGGTGAGAGACGCCTTCTTAAGATGCTGAATCCAAATAAGGATGATACAGAGTCTGTTATTTCCCTTGAACAAATTAAAGGACAAGTTAAGTACTGTAATATTATACCCATTCTTAATCTTTTAAATTTTTGATATTCTATATACATATATCAGAACTGTGATTCAAAATTGAAGGTCTTGTTGTGATTGATATGTTTTTTTCTTTTTCTAAGCTGATTTAATTATTTCTGTAGAGCAGATGAGGAAGTTATATTGTTCGAAGAAATGGCCATATTTTGATAGCACAAGCACAATCAATGAAGAAACATACGAGAGAAAGCTAAGGGAACTTGAATGCGAGAGAGATCAAGTGTTTGTTAATGCTCCTTCTCAAGCCTCTCTATGGAAATCATTACCTTCTACCAAGGACTTACGCAACCAGATCAAGGTCAAACCGTGTTTCTTAATTCCATTTGTGTGTGTTTTGTCAACCGAATTATAACAAACGTTAATCCGGTTTAGAGTAATAGTAGTTCTTCTGATCTAAGCCATTTGGTGTAATCTATAAGGCTATGGATGCAAAAGATGAAGAAAAGAGGAAAAAAGTATTGAAAAGAAGAAAGAAGATAGAGTCAAGGGAAAGAAAGATAAAGAAGACAGAGAATGAGATCAAGTCTATGAGAAAGATGATGGATAGGATTCAAACAAGAGAGCAGAAAGCTTTGGAAACCATTTCACATGATAGGACTTGTTTAGAGAAAATCACATGTTGTTAGAACTAATACTGAGATGTTTATAATGTTTCAAACCCCTTTTCAAAATTAAAATTTGTGAAAACTCGATATTGTTTAAAGGAGATTATATAATGACGCATAAAAATAAAAAGGATCCGAAGAAGGGTATATTCGAAAATATGAAATAGTTGTGGAATGGAGCTATTTCTAAAGCAATCACTATCATCACTCATCACCAACTGAAAACGCCTCTGGATCTCGCCAGATCCCATCTTTGCACCGAATCACACAACCCAAAACTCGAATCACTTGTCGGTCGGGTCGAATCTTCACTCTTTCCTCTGAAAGTTTCTTCCTTTTTGTTTCATCAATGGCGACCTTTATCAATCTCGAGGATTCCCCAATGTTTCAGAAACAGGTACATTGGAAAGCTTTGGTCTATTATTACCTTCTGGGTATTGAGAATTCAGGAAATTTTGTATGAATTATGTGACTTTATCACCAAAAGTGTTGTCTTGCGTCTGTTCTGATTGATTAAATCAGGTTTGTTCATTGGAGGGGACAGCTGATGAGCTTAAAGATCGTTGTCAGAAGCTACACAAAGGTGTTAAGAAGTTTATGTACGTTAAATCTAACTTTTTCTTTCTCTTTTCGTCACATCTTTCCGTGGGGATAAGATTTCAAGCATATCATTTGTGGCATATTTTCTGAAAGTGGGAGTTGGATTTTTTGGTACCATTTTGTCTCTACTCTTACCTAATTAGCAGATGTGAAGAGCTGTTTGATCACTAAAATTCTCATGTAAATCTTCAATTATGTATGTTGTTGGGTTTATGGCTTGCTTTCGTTTGCTACTCAAATAATGTTAAACCGTAACATTACTTTGTTGCTACTCCACTTTTGTCATTGTATCTATGTGGGCCAGGAATTTTATCAGCGCCTGACAGGAATTGTATTACTTTTCTTTTGTAGGGGAAGTTTGGGAGAGGCAACCAAAGGAGAAAATGCTTTTGCAGATTGTCTGGAAGAATTTGGGGCTGGACATGATGATCCTATCAGTCTTTCAATTGGAGGTCATTAATTTTGCATCCAACTCTGTGGTCTTGCTAATCTGTTGAATTATGAGTCTCTCTACTATCATTTGCCACTTTATTCCTTTCACTAGTGATAAGAGACTTGGGTGATGCAGATATTCTCCGGTTGCTATGGATTACATTCAATACAGTGCCAAATTTTTAGTAGTGAAGTTGAGCCTGTTCTTAGCTAAGTGTACCTTTTTAGATATCTAAATTAGTCATGGAATAAGCAGTGGTAGTTGGAAACAAATACGAAATTAATCACCTAGGTATGTTAGTTCAAGATCTCTGGAAGCTTTTAGAATCCATAGGAGGCACTTCTAGCATTTGGTTACCTTAGAGTGATTTCGTAAAAATTGGGATTTTTAGCTTTCAGAGACTATCAGGTTGCTTACTATTGATTGTTAACAAGTTTGTAGATTGATTTTGTTTATTAAGACGGGTCTACTGAAGCTTCTCTTATTTGGCTTATAATGTATTTCTTCTTAGCTTAAGTCATCATCTTAGTTTGTGTTTGTTCTCGTCATTACCTACATTTCATGATTCCTAAGATTATATCACAAACAGAGGTACTTTTAAAGTCTTTTTTTCTAACCTATTTGATTGTCATTCTTCTGAGTGACACCAGGCCCAGTTATATCCAAATTCATAAATACACTTCGAGAGCTTGCTTCTTACAAGGAGTTTCTCTGCTCCCAGGTATTCTCATTGTATCTAGTGAACAATAATAAATGCCAGTAAAGACTAACAGATGCCTATTTGATTAGTGTGGTGGTATTTGTTGATTCAGGGTTTGGCATCTTGTTTCTTTTTCTTCTGCATATGTCTGTTTGAGTTACAAATCAACTTTGTGATAAGAGGAGGAATGTAAAACTAAGATAATTTGAGTTTAAAATGCCAAAATATGCAGTCGATTTTAGTGCAAATGCCTTAATAGTGTCTCTTTATATATAACAGTTGTGATATTTTATGGGGAAAATTTTCTAGGTGGAGCATGTGTTGCTTGAGAGGTTGATGAACTTTATTAATGTTGATCTGCAAGAAGCTAAGGTATTCGTTTCTCTTCTAAATTTGATTAATTTTTTTTTTTCCTCAGTGTACTGAGTATCTCAAATTTTATAGTTTGATCAATTATGTATCTTATGTCTTGCACCAAAGTTATATATCGAGAACTAATCCTGTCACATTCCAATCAACCCTATGCTGTTTTTTACCATTGCAGGAGTCTCGGAATCGATTTGATAAAGCTGCTCATTCTTACGATCAGGTACTTGGTTATAGAGTCTATAGCTCCCTTAATTTTTTGTGCATGCAGTTGGATGCACATTTTCTTCGCCTAATTAAATAATGTTTTGGAAGTTGGTGTTGCACACCACAAGAATGCACATAACTTAACCTTTGCATGATATTCTTCATCCGAACTGGTGTAATGAGTTTTGTTATCTGCTTGTAGTCACGTGAAAAGTTCGTGTCTTTAAAGAAGAACACAAGAGGAGAAATTGTTGCAGAGTTGGAAGAGGTAGAACAATTTTCTTTTATGTATACCTTTTTGTTTGTTTCTCTTCGTGGCTACTAAGAAAAAGTGAAGCCAAAATCTCTCCTAAGTACATATATAATAAGTTGATGTCATCGTTTTTTAATATTATTTGCCATGCGGTGTGCTTTCTTTCCCAGCATGGTAACTTAAATGTGCTGCCATATTTGAATGATAGGATTTGGAGAACTCAAAGTCAACATTTGAGAAGAGCCGTTTCAATCTAGTATGCCGACTCTAGTAACAGAAGCCATTGTTATTTACTTTCGATATCTCTACTTTTACTTTTAAGTAAATTTTTGCATTGGTTGAAGAATGCAGGTAAATTCATTGATGACTATTGAAGCTAAAAAGAAGTATGAGTTTTTAGAATCAATAAGTGCAATTATGGATGCCCATCTGAGATATTTTAAACTTGTAAGGTCTTTAATTTTCCATTTTAAATCCTTACCTTGTAAACAAACTAAGTTTGACATTTGTGATGGTGACCCTTAATATGATCTCTTTGTGTTTCAGGGATATGACTTGTTGAGTCAACTGGAACCATATATTCATCAGGTACAAACTAGTAGTCGACCTGATGTCTTGATATTTTGGATGGGCAGGACAAATTGTGAGCTTCTTTAGTTCCCAGAGGCGATTTAAATTTGCAAATGGGGATGTATAATATTAGGTTAGATGAACTGAGGTCTTGAAGAGACTTTTTAGGCTTTTGGAAGCCCAGGGTCATATAATTTATCAATTCAAGTTTTTAAAGTATACTTTTCCTTACCACCGTGAACGACAAAACATTTTGTTTAAAATGTAAACAACGAAAGTGATCCCAAACTTTAAATACGAAAGACTTGGTTTACCTGGGTTTAAAAACAAAATCCATAGGTAAAAGCTTGGTTTATCCAAGATTTGATTTTGCTCTTTCCACATGCGATGTGAGATCACCAAAGTTTCCTGATTTCTGATGAAGTCCACTCATGCTGACTTGTGATTATTCTTCTTACAGATATTAACATATGCTCAACAATCAAAGGAACAGTCTAAGATTGAACAAGATCGGCTAGCAAGACGCATTCAAGAATTCAGGACACAGTCTGAATTAGACAGCCAACAGCTAGCCGCTAATGCAGAGCCCTCTGGTGTTAACAGAAACCGTGTTGGTGGAGCCATTGCTTATAAAAATACCGAAACAAGTTTAACGGCAGACAAGGAAGTAAGCATTTCTGATTTCATTCTTGCAAGAATCGAGAGCAGTTCATGTTTACCTTAAGTTTCCCGTAGCTCTTTTGTTCTCTTTGTGCTTATGAAAGTGGTGTTTAGTGGTGATCGATTAATTAAGAAAATTTTAAGTGTTTCTTCTCTTTAGAGGGAGATGGGTAAAGGTAGGAAATGACAGTTAAGAAGATGGGAACAGTCCTTTTTTACTCTTGCGTGTTACTGTTTTTAACTGTCTGTTTAAATTTCCTGATATCCCTTACAAAATTATTCCTAGCATCTTGTGCTTGCAATTATGCAACATATAGAGTCTCTTTTGTGATCATTTGACACTAAATTTTCCAGCAAAGCTGTATTTCTTATTGTCTTACAGAGTTCCTTTTTGTACCAATGCAGGTAATTAAACAGGGATATTTATTAAAGCGTTCATCAAGTTTGAGAACTGATTGGAAAAGAAAGTTTTTTGTCCTTGATAGTCATGGTTCTATGTACTATTATAGAAGTAATGGTAATAAATCAATGGTACGTATGCACTCTTTTTTCCTGCCTCATTTCCATGAGAGTCGTCCATAAGTCCTTTCCAATTTGGTTATTCGTTTTACATGCCAATTTTTACAATTTCTGAAATCTCGTTGATTCTTTCATAAATTCTTCTTTTCCCTGAAATGAAGGATTGATTTATTATGAAATAGTGGGACAAAAAATGAGTAAAGCAAATGATAAGATTGCTGTATCAGCTTTAAGTTTTAACTCTATCAGGTCATATCACCAGCGGAATATTTTCCTAAATTGACACGAGATATTAATATTAAGCCTTTAATGAGTAGTTGCGTGTAGATGACCTGGCACTTCCTCATGCTATTGTTTATATGTATAGAAGTATAGATAGTAGAACTCACCATCTGTTTAACAGTTGAAGCAAGTCCTATATCTTTCTTTATATTCATAGTTTCTGTTTGTTTATAACAGTTGAATTTTTGGTTATTCGTATTCTCAGGGATCTCAGCATCACTATAGTGGTTCATCTGACCATAATACTGGTGTGTTTGGTCGATTTCGTGCAAGACATAATCGATCAGGTTCGCTCACTGAGGGCAGCTTAGGCTATAATACTATTGATCTTCGCACTTCTTTGATAAAACTAGATGCAGAAGACATGGATCTTCGGCTCTGTTTCAGAATTATTTCTCCTCAAAAAACTTACACACTCCAGGTACCCATTTTACTCATTATAGGATTAGGTTGCAAGATACAAGGCGACATAGTACTGAATTTTTTTTGGTGGGTTACTCCAAATTCATTCTTTGGACAACAGAGCTGTGCTCTTTAGACTTTTTTTCAAGGTGTACACTAGGTTCCAGTCCTTGCCTTGCAAACAACCTACATGGACCCTCATACCAAGTGTACCGTTGTTTCATGTCATTCATGCTTTGCTTTTGCTTTTGATTTCTCCTTATAATTGGGTTGGTTTTACTGGTGATAATGATAGGATCTAGTTGGTGATGCAGTCATAGATTTAGTATCTTTATACTGGTTCATTCTTCTTCTCCTAATCTAAGTACTTCAGAATGCTAACAGCACTTCTCTTACCTTACAGGCTGAAAATGGAGCAGATAGGATGGACTGGGTAAATAAGATCACTACAGCTATAGGGACGCTTCTCAATTCTCATTTTCTACAACAGGTTGACACAATGAGCCTTTGGCTTCTCTTTCACATAAACTGAATTGATATCAAAGCCTTGTTGCTAATACAGACCATATTTGCAGTCACCAGTGCGATACGTGGATAGAGACAACACTTCTTCTGTTCCTGCTGATGTTGTTGTCTCTGGGGATCAAATTCGACATAATGATGCAAGAGGAAATATCGGGGATGATGTCTCTACAATACTCAGAGGAATTCCTGGCAATAATGCATGTGCAGAGTGCAATGCTACCGAGCCTGATTGGGCTTCATTAAACCTTGGAATTTTGTTGTGTATTCAATGCTCTGGTGTACACAGGAATCTCGGTGTTCATATATCCAAGGTATGAACTATTCTTAGAAAAATTTCTTAAACGACTTTCCTTGAGATTTCTCCATGTGTGAGCTAGTTTTGTACCACCAAGTCGGTAAATTCGATCTCTTCGTCATCCAGAATTTGTAGAACTCGATGTGGTATTTTGAAGTTACTTAGTAAAATTAACTCTACAAGGGTTTAAATTTCTTGCAAAAGTCAACATCACTGTAGTTATAACCTTTGGAGGGGTCAAGTATCCAGATAAAGTTGGTGCATGGATGTTTTCGTTGGTGGGTCCCTCAGTGCTATATCTGGAAGCTAATGTCACAAATGTTTTACCCCACAAACTGCAGGTGAGGTCCCTCTCACTAGATGTAAAAGTATGGGAGCCAACGATCTTGGACTTATTTCGAAAATTGGGTAATGTATACTGTAACTCACTGTGGGAGGGACTACTTCACAATGACAATGACTGGTATGATTTCTACTGATAAATTTTTTGGTTTGTATTTTAAGTATGAACCAATTACCAAACACTCTATCTTCCAACAGTCTCCTGATCCATAAATCATGCGTGTAACTGTTGAGATACATCATGATAAACAGTGATGGCTTTTTGCAGTGAGGAAGGATCAACTTTGTCGCGTGCTGCAATGTCAAAACCATGTCCAGAAGATTCCTTTAGTGTGAAGGAGAAATACATCCTAGGAAAGGTATGGCATTGGTTCTTACTTTCGATGTCCAAGTCGTGAAATCTATCTCCATGGTCACAGGATGATTGATCAATGTCATTTAGAGGCTTAGATTATGCAATGTGAAAAGGCAAAGATGCAAAAAACAACAACTAAACCTGATTGAATGTTTTGTGTTTGGGTCAGTACATGGAGAAAGCATTAGTCATCAAAGATGAAAACGAAGCAAACTCTTCTGCTGCGAGTAAGATATGGGAAGCTGTTCAAAGCAGAAATATACGTGAAATCTATCGACTGATAGTAACATCTGGGGATGTGAATATCATTAATACGAAGTTCGATGATATAACTGATATCAATGCATATCACCATGTTGATGCAGCAGATAAATCAGTAAAAAAAAGACATGACCCAACTGTTTGTCTGAGAATCAAAGAATCCAACGAACCAGGAAACTGTCTTCAAGGCTGTTCCTTGCTCCATGTGGCTTGTCACATTGGTGACCCTGTCTTGCTTGAACTGTTGTTGCAGTTTGGTGCTGACCTAAACATTAGAGATTATCATGGAAGGACTCCGTTACACCATTGTATATCATCAGGGAACCACAAATTTGCAAAGATTCTACTGCGAAGGTACATTTTAACATTTCAGGAACGCATTTAATGTTTATGCTATATTTCTGGATCAAACGAATGTTAGGGCTCATCTAAAACCTCCTAGTTCTGCATCCCATTGATTCCATTGCACTGTTTCTTTGGTAGCTTGGCTCCTCCATTACATTTTCTTGATTAGTCTTTGGATAAGGAAATAAAACGGTTGTTTATATATTGTTATTTTGTTTGGGTAAACGCAGAGGAGCACGCCCATCGATAGAGGATGATGGAGGACTAAGCGTGCTGGAAAGAGCGATGGAAATGGGAGCCATAACTGATGAAGAGCTCTTTCTTCTCTTAGCTGAGTGTGCATAAACCTACACTACACAGCTTCATGAGAATCAAGACCTTAAAATGTAAAACCATGTAAGACAGGGTGGTGGTGGTACAAGGTACTAGATTCCGCTTAAGTCATATACACAGCGTTTTGGCTTTTGAGTTACTAGATTCTGCCAAGTAATGGTCACAGAGCGTTTTGACTTTTGAGTATAAGGATTATGATTTAAGGACCACCTACAGTATATATATCTCACTTTCAAATTACTACAGCTTTTATTTTTCCAATTGTCACTTTTGCGTTTGCATTTAAGTTTACTTGTGAAAAATAATTTCATTACAATTTCATTTTATATGCTTTAGCCGATTCAATGTACGTCTTAACAAAATTTGTTTAGGAATATCAAAAATTGTGGATATAATGGAAAACGTATGTAATAAATATCTAAAAATATTATGTTACAGTAGTTTTGTTTTATTTGAGAGTGAATGAGATTAGATTACATGCAATCATATACAGGAACTTGGGAGCAGATATATAATTGATGTTTTGGTTTAATTAGATGATAATATATAAAATAATATGTTATGTGTGAGGTCAATGGATTTTAAAAGATTTAACAAAGCTTATATAATGATAACATAGTAAAAGTATAAATAAATTTAATTATGTAATTGAGAAGGAGATAACTACATATGTGCACTAAACCGGAAGAGAGCTGAAAGATAATTTTGTTGTTAACCCGAATTTGAATTGAGAATCCGATCAAAGTCAAACCTAAATATTTCGGTTTTTTCTCGGTTATTCCATATTTGCTAAACCGAACTAAAATTGAGTTGACCGATGTGCAGAGAGCCACGCTGATCCGCAATCGCAAGGCCGAATTGTAGAAAACCAAACCCTTTCGAAAAACCTCTTTCTTTCTTTGGGTCTTCTTCGTCGACATATTGATCCGTTTCTTACTCTCTGTCGCCGGTAAGTCAGAAACCCAAATTCTTCTGTCTCCTGTGTTGTATTTCTCTGTTATTGATTTTTTCTTTGTGCTCTTTTTTTTTTCTTTTAGTTTTCTGAAATGAGTCCCAAAAAATGAGAACAAAGGAATCATATGGGTTTTCTGTTTGTTTTGAATCTCTGATTAAAAGAGAGATTTTTGTATTCATCAAAAGTTTGAGTTATTTTGATTCTTCGTTATCATCAAAAGGAAGAAGGAAGGATTTTATTCGAGTTTAGATCGAAATGGGACTTTCTTAGACTGTTCCCAATATACGACAGTAGCTAAGCTTTCTTCTTTGGTGAAGTTCAACTGCAATTTGTTAGCTTTGAGTTCGATGCTTGATGATGGCGATTTCTGGTAAGTGGAACCATTCATAGTTACACACATGTACAGTTGTTTGTGTGTTTGGAGGGATTTTTCAGATATGTGTAGTTGTTGAGTGTTACATAACAGCTCCCTTGAGGCTCTATGTGATTAAGTATTGCATTACCTTGAAAACGCTTTTGTCAACAAACATGCTCTGATGGATTTGTCTGCCTTCTGGGTGGTATTTGCGGACTATGTTTTGTTTGCATTTGTTGAGTGTTTGCAGTAGATCCTTGAGGCTCTGCTGTTAAGCATTACAATAATTCTGAAAACTCATTTGTTGGAAACATGATCTGATGTATTGGTTACCTTTTTGCATATGAACAGTTCAGATGGCGAAGTCTTGTAAGGGTCTTGCTGAAGAGCTTGTGAAGTGTCTTAGTGACTCAATCTGTGTCAAGGTAATATAAAATATGTTTGAACTAGTTAGTGTATTCGTTACCTGTTAACTGTATACCAATTTGCTTTATCTTTATATCGGATTTTGGTAGGACGAGAAACGGTCAATTCGGGACTGCGCTGGTGAAAAAAGCCCATGTATACCAAGTGAGTGTGTTGGCTTAAGGGAAACCTACTTTAACTGTAAAAGAGGACAGGTATGTTTTGCTTTCTTTACTTGAATAGCTTCATTTTTTCGTGATAATTTGATTTTGGAATCATGCATGATGTTCACAGATAAGTATGCTTGCCAACCATGAGAGAAAAAATCAAAAAATTGTGAAGCATAGAATATTGATTCTTTAGTTGATGATGTTCGAAAGATTATATAGTCTCTTGGACTAAGTTGAATTGTGTTTTCTCTAGGTAGACATGAGAGCCAGGATTCGAGGAAACAAAGGGTACTAACAAAAGAGATAAATATCGGGGACCGAGCACGAGCACCTGTTTGCTTGAGACCACATTTTCGCTTTGTTTTGTGTTCTTTTTTGTTATCAATTGCTTTGATTTTTAATAGTTGCAGCACTATATGAAGGGGCGAGGCAGAGTCTTACCAACTTAGTTACTTGCCATGTCAATATCAAGTTAGGCTTGTTCCTATACTCAACTTGATTTCTTTTGCTCTTTAAAATTGTATTACATGGGACCAGATGCTACTGAACATCATCTTGTAGTTTAAAGAAAGTATGAATGAAAAAAGATTCTTCTGTTCTTTCAATTACTCAATGGCCACATTTCAAAGTGACCAACTCAACATATCTTATGCAAGTCCTACAAGGTCGATGAATCAAAATGGCGTTACAAAAGAAAAAGAAGCTTTACACTATGAACCCTACTTCAAGAATCACACGAGTCATTCTACGAAAGCAATGAAGAAGGCCCAGCCATTTTCTCTAAATGCTCACTTGATCATCCCTTGGCAAGCTCTGAACTGTATCCGACCATCTCCCAGGTGAATGTTCGCTACTGTTAGATGAGAATGGTGCTTCGGCCCTTGCATCCCTCACCATTTTCAACACCTCTCTCATCACAGGCCGGTTTTCGGGCTGAATGGTAACGCAAACCGTTGCAATACTTAAAAGTGCCTGAAGTTTCTCCTCTGATGCTTCGTTGCCTGAAGAAGTCGGTTCCTCGCCTGATTCAGTCTCTTCCTCTCTCACAGCACGCACCCATCTAGAGATATCTGACCCGTATTCTTGAACAAGGTCCTGGAATGGTGTTCTACCTGTTAGAAGCTCAAGAAGAAGAACCCCGAAGCTATAGACATCAGAGGGCTGTGTAGAGGCTTTTCTTGGGTCTCTGCACTCTGGTGCTTTGTAAAAGAGAGAGACTGCGCTTGTTTCTTCAACCGAGTCAGGGTCATGGAGAGTGCTGAGGCCGTAATCCGTGAGGCAAGACTCGAAATCAGGACCTAACAAGACATTGGACGATTTCAAGTTACCATGAGTCAGGCCAGGATTCTGATGAATGTAGAGCAGAGCGGAGGCCAAGTCCTCGGCTATTTTCAGGCATGAAGTCCAGTGAAGAGGTTTCCCACTTCCAGAAGCCCTAGTTCCTACAAACAGACACACACACAAAACACAATCAAGCTGGCGAATGCATCCAAGTTTCCACCCAGACAATCACATGCATTGCTATAAATAAGAACGTTGAGAGAAGCTATCAATGGTGGATATTCAGCCCATTAGATACATACCGTGGATGAGAGTGAAGAGACTGCCATTGGGGAAGTAATCGTACACGAGCAAGCGTTCTTCTTTGGCTTGGAAATAGGCTCTGAGAGGCACCAGATTTGGGTGTTTGAGCTGTCCCAGGATCTCAACATGTCTCTTGAATTCCTCCATGCGAGGATACCTCGCGTTCTTGAGCCTCTTCACAGTAACGATGAACCCAGACTCCATCACAGCCTTGTAAGTGCTCCCTAATGTTCCTCTTCCCAGCGTCTCTGCCGAAGCTTTTAGCAGATCTTCCATGGTGTATCTCACCACCGTCTCGCCTGAATCACTTGTTCCGAGGAAAACAAGAGTTCCCACTGCTCCTTCTTCGCCTCTTTCCCATGAGAATCCTCTGTCTTTTCTCTCAATGTCTCTCTCTGTCTCTGCAGATGTAGCTCCTTCTGGTTCAGCTATTCCTTTACCTTTTCTATCTTCCCTCGGCGCTTGGCTCTGTGGCTTCCGTCGCCAGCAAACAATAAGCAACGTCAACAGGAAGATGAGGATTAGTACTCCGCCGACTACACTTCCGGCTATAATTCCGATAAGCTTTGCATTCTTCTTCTTGGACTTAGATGTAGGCGTTGGTTTCGCAGAAGGCGCAGGCGGTATTTCGCATGGAGTTTGAATCTGATCGCCGCAAAGAGCGACATTTCCGGCAAACGAAGACTCATCGAACTGCTTCAGAGCTCGTGTCGGTGGGATTTTACCAGAGAGCTGATTGTTAGATACATTGAAGAATCTTAGACTCGTCTGGTTAAGAGGAGGGATTGGACCATGAAAGAGATTGTCCTGAACATTGAGCGTGTAGAGTCGAGAGAGACGAAGCAGCGAGCTAGGGATTCGACCGGATAATCTGTTTCCGGAGAGGAAAATGGTTTTCAATCGGTGAAGAGACGTGAGAGACTCCGGGAACCCGCCGGAGAAGTTGTTATCGTTGAGAAAAACCGATTTGAGATTGACTAAGCCAGAGAGATTAGGGATTGAGCCGGAGAGAGAGTTAGCCTTGAAACTAAGAACCCTGAGTTGATCCAATTGGTTCAAACTCTTGTCGTCGAGTGAGCCAGTGAGATTCAAAAACTCAAGAACGAGCTTGGAGACTCTCCCATCCATACATTCTCTAACACCTTGCCAGTTGCAGAGATCTGTTCCTCGCCATGGAATCGAATTAGACGGATCGATTGAAGATTTCAAGGTGAGTAAAGCTTGGACGTCGCTAGATCTCGCCGGAGCAACGAAACAGGAGAGTACCGTAAATGCAAAGACTACTAGGAACAACAACGTAATCGAAGAAGAGGAAGAGTAAGCCATTATAATCAAATCGAATAGTGAGTGACTGTTCTCCTCAAGCTCTCAGAAGAGAATCAGAAATGATTGATACAGTTCGAAATCGAAGTTTCCATATTTAAAAGCTTCCCATGAATCTCTTCAAAGCCATCACTTTCCATTATGAGTCACTATCCAGATCTGCCCCATTATGCTAAAGCATCTCGATCGAAGCAAAAAAGGAAAAGTTCAAAAGAAGAAAGAAGAAGAAAGTGAGAGAGAGAGCTCTGCTCATTAATGGCGGAAAGAACTGGTCTGGTTGTGAGCATGAGGTAGGAGAAATATTAAAAATCTCTCTCTCACTTCAGTTTGGAAGTATCTTTTCTCGAAGTTCTTGGTCGAGGAAGATGTCATCACGTGAAGCCATGCTTGAAAAACTTGATTTTTATTGTTTCCTCAACTTCTCTTTTTTTCTTTCTTCTCTCTCTCTCTCTCTCTCTCACTGGTCACTGCGCCTTCTTCAATGCATTCATGAGTATTATTTAGTATAAAACTGCACAGCACACATTAAACCATTAATAATGGTGTTATGAAGGAGAGACGAAGGAGAAGAAAATAAAAGAGAGAAAAAATAATAATAATAATTTAGGTAATTTTTGTCTTTATATTTGGCATCGTTGTTATTACATTGCCAAGATCCAGAGACAGATAGGCTTTGGGGCCAAGGGTAGTTACTGCTGCTCGGAAAATTTATAGAGAGAAGTGTTTAGTGGTATGGAGCAGAAGAAATGTGGTAGGCTGAATTAATTTAAAGTAAAGAGAGACACTGTATTTCAATTTTATTCAATTCATGTCTGGTTCCTCTTGCCTCTCCTCTACCAATTATTGACCCTTGCTTTATTATTGTTTTTTTTTTTCTACCTCTTTTTTCTTGTTGAATCTTCACATGACTTTTTTTATTATTATTTCTAGATAAATTTAAAGATGTGTTTGTTAATTTAGCATTGGATTCATGGTTGGTATTCAATCTTTGTTAAAAGCTAGAAACGAGGATGTTGAAGCTTTATTTAATTTAGGAATTTATTAGTTGCTTAGCTTAAGCGTGATGAAAATGGAAAAAAATGTAATAAAGAAGGGGGGTGTGAATTGAGTTCACGTAAAGGTTGGGTTTGAATACTTATTATTAACTAGCAGCAGCGGTCCACCAGTCCAAACACCTAAAGAGACTGCAGTCATTTAATTCGCTTTGGCTATCAAAATATATTTGTTGACTTCATTGACCTTCAGTTCAGTTCCATCATCATCAAGTTCTCGCCTTTCGAGTCATAATAATAATATACTATACGACATTCAGATGTAGTATGATTTTTTTAGTATTTTCATACGGTCGTTGTTCTCTACAATTTGCCGTATATTTAGGACATTGTTGATTTTCTTGCGGACGGGCTTACGAAACGAACATGTATTCTTGTCTTGTCTTATAGACTTCTTCTCTTAGTTGGTTCTAATTAGATACGACTTTGAATTAGTCCTTATTTTCGACTTCACCCCTAATTAAACAGATGGAATTTGGAGGGAAAAAATTCTAGAAGTTTTGGATTCTTGCATGACTGTTTTGTTTTTCTCTGTTTTAGATGTACTGTATATGGCCCATGATGTTTAAATGTACAATATTCTCTTGGCCTTTTTACGATAGAATAGCATTATAGGTCAGGTCCATGGGCTGGGTGGTCCATCATCCTTATTGTACTCTGAAAACAATTAGGGTCATTCAGCAAGTATCTCATTTTTGAGGGCTCCTTTTGCAATTTCTGTTGAGAAACCTTTTTTTTTTTTTTTTGGTCTCTCAATTTTCTTGTTTGTGAATCCGCGAGAAGAAGCCCTATCAAAATCACATAAAGCCTTTTTTTTTTCTCTAGCTCATCTCCGCCGCCGGCTGAAAAATATCACATCGTTAGGGTTTCACGGCGGAGAATCGAAGTCCTTGACCTAGGAAGCTTCACTTTCACCAGAGACTATTTCAATGGCAACCAGTGAGTACACTTTTGCCTAACCGTTCTTCACTTACACGCTAGCTCCGAATTTAGCGTTCTGTGTTTCTCGATTTCTGTTTTATGACGTGCTGAGTTGCTTCCGTGGTTTGTTTCTGTAGCGGCTAGGTCGTTCTTGCAGGCCATATCCAAGGATGAGGTTGTAGCTCCTCCGCTTAGAGTTGTTCAGATCGAAGGATTGGTAACGTCTTCATACTCTCTGATTTTATGATTTAAGGTTCATTTCGGAGTTTCCTACGGTGTGATTGGTCTCGTAATGTCACCATTCCTTTTACATGTTTGGAATTCCGATTATTATTTGATGGAAGCTGTGATAATGAGGATTTTGTATGTTTATGTGATAGGCTGTGTTGAAGATAATCAAACACTGCAAGGAGTTTGCACCAACGCTTGTCACTGGACAGCTTCTTGGACTTGATGTTGGTAGCGTCCTTGAAGTTACCAATTGTTTTCCTTTCCCGGTATGTTGAAGAATTTCACGCATTGTAATGATTTAAGAGTTATTCCATGATTGATGTCCATCTGAATTTACTCCGATTTGTATCTTAAACGAGGACAGGTCAGGGATGATGATGAGGAAATTGAAGCTGATGGTGCGAATTATCAGCTTGAGATGATGAGGTGCCTGAGGGAGGTTAATGTTGACAACAACACTGTTGGGTGGTAGGTTTTTTAATGTCATCAGTCTGAGTTCACTTGTTATATATTTTTTTGGTGGATGTGTATAAGATCTGCCTAAATTTCTTCAGGTATCAATCTACAGTTCTTGGTTCCTATCAGACTTTGGAACTTATTGAGACCTTCATGAATTACCAGGTACTTATTCCGAGATCATCTCTATCATGTAATTATAACATTCTATATTCTGAATTTGATCTATTCATATGTTATGCTGGGAATTTAAATGTATAGCATGGCTAGTCTAGTATACAATAGGTATATTGGCATCGATTCTAGTGTAATAGTTGATTGTAATGTGTAATCGGACCACGAAAATATATGCAGGGACTTTTTTTTCGCAAATCTGTTACAAATCCTATGCAAAATCAAGAGATGAACTTTAAGAAATTATTACTTCTTGTTAACAGGAAAACATCAAGAGGTGTGTGTGCATCATATATGATCCCTCTAAAGCTGACCTAGGCGTTTTAGCTTTGAAGGCATTGAAGCTTTCAGATTCCTTTATGGAGTTGTACCGAGGCGGAAACTTTACTGGCGAGAAGTATGTATCTTGATCCATTAAAAATCTAGGTTTGATGAGCCACATTGGATAGTTGTAATATTTTATTTACTATCTATATTAGGTTGAGAGAGAAAAATTTCTCCTGGATGGATATTTTCGAGGAAATACCTGTAAGCCCCTTGCTCTCTTCTATGTTATAGTCTTACCAACTAATCTTTTTAAGTAAATAGGTTGGACCTGTTTCCTGATATATGTTCCTCTGACAGAAAAATTGGTTTCAATGTCGATAACTTTCTTTTGGCAGATCAAGGTTTCAAACTCTGCACTTGTCAGTGCCTTTATGACCGAGCTGGAGACTGATACACCTGTCTCACAGGTACAATACTAGAATCTGGATAGTGATCCTCGTATGCTGTCAGTATTCCAGTTTTTGACTTGTAATACTTCTGTCTTTTTTCTTTTCTAGGGCGATTATGATCGTCTACACTCATCAACTATTCCTTTCCTTGAGAACAATATGGAGTTTTTGATTAAATGCATGGATGACTTATCTATGGAACAGCAAAAGGTGTGGCTTATTCTTTACTCTTGTTCAATTGTTATCCTCAGAAGTCAGAACAGTCTTAACGCAATATCTTAATTTGTTCTTTCAGTTCCAATATTACTACCGGAACCTGTCTCGTCAGCAGGCGCAACAGCAAGCCTGGCTTCAGAAGAGAAGGTAGGTCGATTTATCAGCAGAAATCTTTTTGTTCTCTTGATTCTAGTTCTACTCCCTCCTAAAATTTTAGTTACAAGTGTAGAGAATGTCTTATAACTATTTTGTTAAGATTTTGCTCGTATTGTTGTTCTTCAAGATAACTAAGAGGTTTGGTTTATAGGACGGAGAACATGGCTCGTAAATCAGCTGGAGAAGAGCCTTTACCCGAAGAGGATCCTTCAAACCCAATCTTTAAGCCAATCCCTGAACCATCAAGGCTAGAGAGTTTCCTCATCACAAACCAAGTCTCAAACTTCTGTGGCCAAATCAATGGGTATGTTCTCGGCCTTACTCTTTATAACTCTTTCTAGCTTGGAAAGAGACTAAAAATGTGTCTACCCGTTGCTATGCAGAGTGGCTGGGCAGAACTTCAGCAGGCTTTACCTGACCAAAGCATTGCACGAAAACTGATTGTAAGACTACCCAAGTTTTTGTGTTCGAGCCAAGAAAGTGAGAGAGTCGGTTGGTAGAACAGATCCTACATTTGTTTTTTTCCCTGAAAGTTTAAAATTTTTGTTGTCAAGTCTTATGCATAATGAAAATGATTGAAATCTTGAAAGATTTATCTGATATCGGTCCTTTGATTTTATTACAGCGAATGATACTATCTTAAGTCCTTAAACGAAAGCGTAAAATGCCAAAGATTATGCCAACGAGACATTTTAAGGAATTAAGGATAATAAACCGTCGACACTGCACAATTAAGAAAAGAAAACCTAAAGAAGAAGCTTTAGGATTTAGAAAACCACTGCTACATAAGAACACCATGCAGTATTTGAATTATAGTATAACTTGTGAATTGATATGATCACAGATAGATGAAGAAGTTCGCATGATATGCAGCAGCAGCAAATAACTATGAGCACTTCAACAATTTTTTGTTTTGTTTTTTTTTGTTTTTTTTATGCAATTAGAAGCTTTATATTGGACTTTTTTTTAAGAAATCCCACTTAGCACATTACAAAATCTCAGTGGAATGGTGTTTTTATATCTATCTATGCAAGAAAAAAGGTAATTTAGGAGGAGAGATTCATAAAATGATCACTAACCTTCCATCACTAAATTGGACTTAAAAAAGAGAAAACAACAAACAAGAAGCGCATTAAAACGCTATCGTTTCGTTGCTTCTTCTTCGTCCTGACAAGAACAATGGCGGTTTATCATCTTCTTCTCTCTAGTCCTCCTTCGCTTCCCCTTCTTCCTCCTTCTCCTCGCCGCCCTAACCTCGCCTTAACCCGCCGTATCTCAGCTCATCCTCGTCTCGGAAACTCTGCCAGCTTGCTTTCTCATTCGTCACCGGTAATTCGGAAAATTCTCGTCCGTAGCACTCTCCGGGAAGACCAACCCGTCGCTTCAGACGCCGAGAGTCCCACTCTACTGATCGGTGAAGATTCTGCGGCTTTTGAATTAGGGAAACAGAAGATTGTTTCGTGGGTTTATTTCGGTGTTGTCCTTGGAGTTGTTCTCTTCATCCTCAACGTTGTATGGATTGATAATTCCACCGGTTTCGGAAAATCATACATCGACGCCGTCTCTAGCTTCTCCGGTTCACCGGAGGTATCCAGAAACTATACAGTAACTGAAACAATTTCAATTTCGTTGAAAGGCATAGTCTTTAGTTATTTGATTGTTCAAACCACTCTTGTTTTTTTTGTGCAGGTTGCTATGTTAATGCTTATCCTCATATTTGCAACTGTACATAGTGGATTGGCTAGTCTCAGGGATATAGGAGAGAAACTTATAGGTGAACGAGCATTTCGTGTTTTGTTTGCTGGAGTCTCTCTTCCTTTAGCTATGAGCACCATTGTGAGTATTATCTCGTACTTTGCAAACTTTCTCTTGATCAATGGAAAAAAGAAACCTGTTCGAGTTCTCTTATGGTTTATGCAATGCCCTTGTTCTTCTTCTTTCAGGTTTACTTTATAAACCATAGATATGATGGGTCACAGTTATGGCAGCTTCAGGGTGTTCCTGGAATCCATGAGGCTATTTGGTTTGCTAATTTTGTGTCCTTTTTCTTTCTCTATCCTTCAACCTTCAATCTTCTGGAGGTAGCAGCTGTTGACAAACCAAAGATGCATCTTTGGGAGACCGGCATCATGAGAATTACTAGACATCCTCAGGTATGGAACATTTACTTACTAGCACAATTTCTTCATTGTTTTGGTTTCAAAATGGTTAATCCTGAATATAGCAGAAAATATATAGACCGATTGGATCTTTACTGAGATGTATTAGTAGCTGTGTTAATGAGACCCCAATCATGAGAAACACTCATGTGCTGGTTTATTGGCTATTCCCTAGTAATACCCATCACATCAGCACAATCAAGATATTATCATTCTGCTGTCTCCGTTTTATCAATAATTGATTACTTGATATTGCTTTTTGATCCTTAACTCTTCAACATGTGTTTGAAAACTTTATGATATATTGAAATATAAGGCTTTTTAGTTTGAGTTTCGGTTTGTTCTCTTCTCTCTTCATCTTCAAGAACCAAGACATGGCTGTGTTAATGAGACTTGATTGTTGCATATCCCTTTTTTTCTATTCTCAGATGGTTGGACAAATCGTTTGGTGTTTGGCACACACTCTCTGGATAGGAAACACAGTAGCTGCATCAGCTTCTCTGGGTTTGATTGCACACCATTTGTTTGGGGCATGGAATGGAGACAGGAGATTAGCTAAAAGGTATGGAGAAGCTTTTGAAAGCATCAAGAAGAGAACAAGCGTGATTCCTTTTGCTGCCATCTTCGAAGGACGCCAAGTTTTACCTGAGGATTACTACAAAGAGTTTGTTCGGTTGCCGTATCTTGCAATCACTGCGTTAACGGTTGGGGCATATTTTGCTCACCCCCTGATGCAAGGTGCAAGCTTTAGGCTTCATTGGTAGTTTCTTTAATTCTTTAGTTGCACTGGTCAGAGGAAGATCATAAAAACTTCTCAGGGAACAACAATGTATATCTTATTTTATGAAAAAGAACAATGTATACAAGAAGCTATCAAAACTAAAGCTGTAGCAATTTGTAGCCAAAACAGTTGAGTTAATGAAAAGTTGAAGTATGCAGCAACACTGTTTGGGACAACAGTAACCACTCTGTTAGGTTCGAACCAGCAAGTGGGTTTTGATTATTGGCTAATGGTTAAAGAATATTTATCACCCGTAAAACTTGACTGTATATGATGAATGCCACTCAGATGTCATGGGGGACTCTGACGCCCACCACTATACTATATATACTAATAGAAGACCAATTTAACTTTTGATGTTTGTTTAGTTACAATTGGAAATGAATCTAATTTTAACTGATATGCCAACATCTCCCATCCAAATCTAGATTGATATTTTGATGCCTTAGATACTAAAGTTAACAAGGCTCATTGGTATAAACTCAATTTTTTATATATATATTAAGATTTTATTTGATAAAACTCTAAATTTTATTACTAAAGAGAACCAATTATAAATATAAAAAAAAGAAAAGCTCCAAAGAGAGGGCCAAAATCATAAAGGCAAAGGCATATTGAATACAACAAAGCAAAGTGGCTCTCTGCAAAAACAGAGGACCGATACAAAACAAACAACAACCAATTACTACTAAACAAACACTCTCTCTTCTCTCTCTCTTCCTCTCCCCCTTTGGAGTTTGCAATTTGCAATTTGCTGCCACTACTCTCTCTGATCTTTTTCTTCTTAAATCGTATCTCTTGATCTCCAGCTCTTGCTGCTCTCCGGGAGCATCTCGGAGCTGTCTCCGACGTGTTCTCTCTCTCTTGGGTCGGTTACATCTCTAATTACGGCGCTGATTAGAGCTTTCTGTACCTTCCGGAGTGCTCTTTCTCCTTTGTTGATGCCAAATCTGAGGCGAGTTGCTCATCTTATTATATATATTTCTCTTTTTAATCGCTTTTTGTTTTTAATTTTTTTTATAATTTGCTTCCATGCTGCTGAATACTGAATTGCTAAAACCCTAAATTTGATATCTTTGTGGGCATCCTCGCAGCTCAAATCAGCTTCAATAACATCAGCTCTGTTAAGGAATGATTCCAATGGATAATAATCACTGCGTTCCTAGTTCCAGCACCACCGGTCTTGTCTTTCCGACGAATTACAGTATAAATGCGATTAACGGTGCCTCCGGGTTTCTTCACCCGGCTGTTGATTCGTCGGCTCCGGTGGCTGGAGTCAAACAAGAATCTGCTTTGGTTATGGATTGGTCCGTTGAGGAGCAGTATGTATTGGAGAACGGCCTTGCAAAGTAGGTATTTTCGTATTTGTTTGGTATTTTGGATATTTCCATTTCTTTTCTTCCTTTTTTTAAATCTGCAAAGTGTCTTGTTCATTCGTAGCTTTTCGAACTATGATTATATTTTTTACAAAAACCCAAAAACCATAAAGTTGTAATCGGGAATTGTTTTATAAGAAATACTAGTGGGCACATTATATTCTCAATGGTGGACTATTAAAGTATGTTCCTTTGTTCCTTCCAATATAAAGTATCGCCTTTGTGTTTCCATGAAACGTAATATTACGTTTATTTCTTAGCGGTTGGGACCATTAGTCAGTTCAGGTTGCTCTAAGTATATCCTTTCTCATACTGATTTTGTACTATACTTAGCTGAGATTGTTTTCAGGTTACTTTGGGGTTCTTAAAAGTCTGTAGCTTGTTGTTCTGTATTTGTTTGACATCTTTATTTTTACCGTTTGTAGATTGAAAGATGAACCGAAAATTTCAAAGTACGTAAAGATCGCTGCAACTCTACCAGATAAGACTGTAAGGGATGTAGCATTGAGGTGTAGATGGATGACGGTAAGTTTGTGATGTTGTCTTGGTTTTGGTTAAGTTTCCTTGAGCTGTGTTCATACTTCTTGTCTGTTCCTGAGCTATTTGTCATGTTCGTTTTGCTTGCTAGAGAATACTTTTCTTCTAGAGAATTGCTTAGCGATTTCTAGCATTCTATTTCAAATCGCATGTGGCTGATATTGGAGTAGGGATATCTCTATCACTGTTATAAGGATATGCTATATATGAGGATATCAGCATGATGATGCAACTTTTTGTGTGTGCTTTGTCATAAAGATAAAGTCCTACACTAAAAGAAGCTTAGAGGTTCTATTGATGAAAAGTCTCTCTGCCATATCGTAAAGATTGTCTAAAGACTGGTAAAGGATGACCAAAAAGAGAAAATGAAAAGTATTGCTGACGCTAGATCAGTCTTTTTATTAGCTTTTGAATCCATGATTGTGGAGGGAATTGTTGGAAAAGGAAATAAGCCTAAAGCTTTTTCTTAATTATTTCTGTAGTTATCCTGACATAGATATTGCTTTTATGGGTGATGGCCGAGACTGATCGTAGACCTTTTGGAGTTTAAGAAACTTATGTTGGCATGTTATCTTTGATCAGAAGTTATAAAAATTTTGTGGAGTTTTTCTTAATGATTATTTTGCCCACAGCATGGGTACATACATCAATAATGTTAATTCTTTTTTTGTTTGCATAATAAATTGGAACAAAATGAATTAATGAAGTAAATGCTTTATTATCATCATATTACCATTTCCTTCATGTCTCTGTCCTGTCATAATTGACTTGAGTTTTCAATCAGATATATGATGTAATCAAACATAAGAGTCCCAAAAAGACTGCCTTTTTCTTTTCATCTAGTGCTTGTTCTTTATTTCATCTTTCACTTGATATATATTATGATTTTTAAGTTTCTCTTGGCTAATTTGGGCATCTATTTTTACAGCGGAAACGGAGGAAAAAGGAAGACATTAATGCCGCTAAGAACCTTATCAATAGGAAGGTATGCTTGGCCACCTGAACCTTTCTTGTATCATATGTACCAGTTAATAAATCAGTGGAGCTAGGTGGGCTCATTTACTTTTTGGGTTAAAAGAGATTCTCCCACAGATGTGATATTCACTTATGCAAATCTGTTCTAGCGGTAGTATTTTTCAACGAAGAACCTAAACTATAACTTCCTAAATAATTTGTATGGTGGGTTTGCCATGAGCACGTTTGGTGTTTGTTGTAAATTACTGGACAATCAATGAAGTTTCTTATTGATTTTTCAATGACTCATGGGTAGCAAATGATATGGATCCAACTATGCAGAAGTACTAGCATATGCTACTTAACATCAGTATCTGAGCTTGTGGTCATATTAGTATTGATATTTATAGGGTATTATGATAAATGTTATGACATTTATTGATAAAGGATTAAAGGGTTAGTGTATGTTTCATATCATGCACATTCTCTTTGCTGGGTCTTATGAACTTCTTTGCTTTTGAATTTGGTTCTAAAGACCATGCTTCTTCATGGTAAGGTGGTGGATACATCCCCAGAACTGAACATGCTATCCAATGTGCCACGACAAAATGCTTTGTATGTGATGAACAATATGTGCCACAGTTCACGCATGCCTTTTGAAGGTCTAGTGCTCTTTTTTAATTATTTGCTCTTCTTCTAGGTTTTGTGGTCTAAAAAGGAAATAAAATAGAATTGTCAGCTAGGTTCCTTTATTGAACTCTTTTTCTCAGGTTTAAGTGATGCAGTAATGGATCTTCTGCAGCAAAATGCTCAAGCTTTAAGTCAAATTTCTAACAACCTCTCTGCATGGAAGGTAATTTATTCGTGCAATCTTGTGGGGCTAGTTTGGGAGAAGATTGACGGACCGAAATTGTCAGAAAAGTTAAATAGGACATTGTATACCAAATTTCCCACATGCTTAGTTATTCTTTCGAAAAGAATTCGATGCTGTTGGGTTGGGTTTCCTCGTTATCCGTTGCTATGTAATTTGCACACAGATATCCTAACTTAGTGCATACAGCTGCAGGATAACATCAGTCTCTTTTATCAGGCAAGAAATAATATCAGCGCCATTCTGACTGAGTATGTGGATCTATAGCATTTTTTTGGTTCTCCCAATTGAGATATTACATCTGTTTTCTTTTCCTTTCAATTACTAAACTCTTACTTTCTTCTGCAGTATGAAGGAGATGCCTGGTATCATGAGTCGGATGCCGGCTCTGCCCGTTTCAATTAATGAAGAACTTGCAAGCAGTTTATTATCGAGTACAACACAGGTAACAGAATTTGCTGTGATATGTCAAAATAGTTATTCCTGAAAAGTTCTCCGTGTGACCTCAAATAATCAGAGCTTCTTGACTCTAAAAGAGTAAAAGTGTTAAGAGACTGAGTTGTTAAGAAACTGAGTTGACAAATTAATCTAATCTTGGAAAAATACTTTCCTTGCATCATGCTAAGAAAGTGAGTTGATACTCTAGCAGAGCAGAGCTAGGAATGAAACACATTAAGATAAAAAAGATATGAAAATATAAACCATTAATGTTGTTCTTCATTTTATGGATCTCTGAGCATTTCCCTTGGAAGCTGGTCATGTCTGATGTTAAGTTGATTGTTTCCCTTGTCTCACAGCCGTTATCTTACACCATTCCACCAAGCGTCCACCTGAAGCAAGAGCCGAGAAGTTGATGGGGAAAGCCGGATTTTGACCGATGCTAAAGTTAATAGCACAAGTACCTAGTACGTGGAAATGTTTCCGTGAACGACATGGGAATGTTATCAACTGCAGACACCGCTTCAGGACACGAGATACAACAATCGGTATTGGTAAAATCCTTGTGCTCTCGGGTAATTTGACAGAGAAGAATGAACTACACTCCCTCTAAGGCCAAGGTAAAATCTTTGGCCACCACAAAATGCTTTGGCCCTGGATCAAACATAGAATTCCTTGAAATTCAATTAGAAGATGGCATAGGTTGATGGAACTCAAAAGTCTTTTGCTGTAATCTTGTTGATGCTTAAATTAGTATAATAACAGTTCTTCTGAGTAGGTCTTCAAAGGCCGATTATGTGTAATACAAATTCTAGTTAAGGTAATAATTTGTTATCCACTAGGTACATATTCTTCATTTTCATGGTTTATAACGTGCTGTGATACAAATCATTGTATATACGTGTCGTCACCTTTCTCAATTCATTGTTATAATGTTTGCAGAATCTTCAGTCGTAACTTGTGACTTTACATTATTTTACAGTATTTTGATATCTCTCTGCACTATTCGCGTCAAATTAGGAATCTTCTTATAAGTGAACAATAAATAAACTAAACTAGCTTGCAACACACCTCAAGCTCACTTGCCTTTCAAGTCATCTTTCCTAAATTTCCTAAACCCATTTTTTTGTGCTTGTCTTGCTTTAAAGCTCATATCATCAATTTACCAACAACTTCCTAAATTTTTATATCTCTCGATGAATTCTATTAGTACCGGAACAGCTGAACATGTCGAATTCTCCATCCAAAACCTAATAAGGAGTTGGTGCAGACGGCAAAAGTGGCGACAACTCTGCATCTTCTCCCCAAAACAACAACAACAACAACAAGTACTCATCTCCATCAAACAACAATGGAGAATCACTTTATCAGAGTTCCTAGAGTCATATCAAGTTCATCTTTTCACCATCTTCTTGCTCTCTCTTGACATCATCTTAACGTCCCTTGAATTATCTTCTTCTCTGCTCTCCTGCACATCAGACAAGAAAGCTGAAACAGAGAATGAATGGTTCCGTTGGGGAGGAACCACGATTCTGATCATTCTCGCCGTTAAATCCATGGCTCTGGCTATTGCAATGGGGAAATCATTCTTCATGCAACCAGGTTGTGTAATGGATGGTGCACTTGCGATTGTAGCTCTGATTCTCCAGGTGCTACTTGAGAAGAAAGGGACCGGGTTCATCGTGGTGGTGAGTTTGTGGCGGGTTCTGAGGGTTGTGGAGACTGCTTTTGAGCTTAGTGATGAAGCCATTGAAGTGCAGATAGATAGAATCATCAGCCAATTTCAAGCTCTTAGTAGAGAGAATAGAACATTGCTAGAGTCTCTTGCAGAGAAAGATGAAGTAATTAAGAGGCTAGAGGAAGAGCTAAATCAGTTCAAAGTAAATGGCGATATTCTGTTTGTGACAAACCATATGGAGGCTTTATAAACTCAATATATATGCAAAATCTGAAATCCCCTGTTGTATTAATAGATTGATTGTTTTAAGCAATTAAATCGAAGTAAGTAAACTCAAGTTGAATCTCATTAGAATAAAGAACTTTGTTTCATACAACAAGGATGAGACCATTAGTTCTAAAGCTAACTAGATTCAGCCAGAAACATACTAAGAAGAAAAAGATGGGCAGCAGAGAAGGGAAGCAACATTGTAAAACTAATGATTAGGTCCCATAAAGATGAAAAGAGAAACTGCTTTGCCAATTCAGTAAGAAGCTTCATATAACGACTTCATAGAGAGAAGGGAATCAAGAACTTGGCGTTGGTGCCATCACCACAGAAAGATGAGGAGTTTTGTGCTCCAGGTATGTTGAGAAAGTCATACTCTTGACTTCACCAAAAACCGAGTTGTTTAGACCGAGATTTTTAGCGCTAGATGCTTGAAACATGTCTGCAAAATGGTCCAATCTCTGCTGATTCATGGTTGTGACAACAGAAAACTGAACAATTACCGGTGGAGATACTGTCGATCCTTGTTCATTTGTGAACTGGGAATAACATCTGTCAGGTGAATCCAAACTGAACTGACGACGAAGTATACCATTTAGTTGTTGACCCTTGCCATCTCGTATCTCGGATATTGAACTATTGAGTGTAAAGTTAAGCTTTATCACTACAAGCTCAGAGACAGGCGTAGATCCACTGGGATATGCAGTGATTCCGCCAGGAAATTTCAAAACCTCAAAAGAAGTTGGCTCCCCAAAAATTCCCGTGGCCAGATTCAGCGTCGACATTTCAGCATACAGCTTAATAAAAGATGATCGCACTGAACTTAACAAGTTTCTGATTGTTGAAGAGTCGTTAGAGACAGGTACGATTGAAAACTCCACATCAGTATAGTGAGATGCCCCTGACTGTTGCAGAGACAGAACAGTCACCTGTTCAACAGTAACTGGATTATTATACCTATCATAAGAGTAGAGAAATCGAAACACTACATTGCATAAGTTTTTGAGAAAATGTTTTATATACCTTTGTGTTCCCAACACCGATGCTCCAATAGATTTGATCCTCAAGTTCTCCTTTATGAGGAATAACCTCAGAAACTGGTTTGCTAAGTTTAAAGTAAGCTTGTACTGTAGCTGCAGGTTTAAGACAATTCTGAAACCAATCAATAAGGATTCTTCTAAAATCTGGTAAAAGTATCAAACTTTTTTTTGTTGAAAGACGCTTACCATTGAGTTGAACTGTATTATCAGGCTGGGAATGAGGCACCGATCGACGCCACGGGAAAAGGCAGAAGATCGCAGAGAAAAGGATAGCACAGCTTAGGACCACAACGATGAGACATCGGACACTAAAGAAACCCGGCAGAGCAAAGCAACAGCTGCTCCGACCGGAAGATGGAGAAGCTTGATGAGGGTTCTCAGGGTCGAGATTCTGCTGCTGGTGGTCGAGCACGTTCCCCTTTGGCTGCTTTGCCATTGCAAGAGTGAGTTGTCTTGAGGAAGAAGAAAACAAAAGAGGAGGGTTGGCTCAACCAACTTTGAACAGAAGAAGCTACAAGCGAAAGGTTATGGTGTGTGAGATACGTAAAAACATGATCACACAACATATTTATATTAGATCTATTCTATCTGTCCTGTTGTTTCCTTACAAGAAGATATGATTTGATAGATTTTCATTTAATGATAGCTAATGTATAGTAGTTTCTTCTTTTGAAAATATTTTACTCACTAGATGTGGTGATGTTTATCTATTTATCAAATCTTTGATACAAAGACAATTATTATGTATTTTTCCATGTTAAAATTTATCTATCTTTTTGATTAAAAAAATTATCTATCTTTTTTTTTGGGTGGGAAAAAAATTATCTATCTTAAAATATAAGTTAATTGTTTTCAAACATAACGCGGGTAATCAGTTATTCAAAAAAATCACCCCTAGTTAGTTTTGATACAACGCGGGTAATCAGTTTTGAAAAAGCGTGGGTAATGAATTTGTTTTTTTTTTTTTGCAGGTAATCAAAAATATATTCTTTATAAATAATAAAATATTGAACTTGTGAAATCACTCAAAGAAGCAATGAACAAATGATAATTTTTAATCACTCATTTAAATAAATTAGTTGCATATATTATATTTTTATGTGATTTAAAAAATCAACTATGTAAAAGTTATTTTTTAAAATAAATAAAAATAAGTAACTAAGTTGATGCAGTTAAGAAAATAAGCAATTAAAAGAGCAGTATGGTATAATTGAATTCCAATATATTAGGTGTCCCTCTTTTTAGTTTTTACATACCAATAACAGCATATCTTAATAAATGTATATCTTTTCTTTTTGGATAAAGGAATTAAAATTGTTTACTCACTTTCATACTTGCACAATATCTCAAATATCAAATTTAATAGTAAATTATATATTTTTGTTAGATAAGTATTACTTTGTTTTCAAGTTCATAACTGGATTTGTGCCAGCTTCTTCAGAAACTTTACAAGGTATATAATTACCTAAGATTCTCAAATTGTTCTAATTTTGTAATATAATATACAATATACAGGATTAAATCAGATGATAAAGGTATGACAATATCTTATATTCACAATTTTTTTTTCTAATTTTGTAAATACTATGCAATATGCAATATATGAGTCAGATGATGAAGGGGCGTTATTTATCGCGCAAAGTGTTACCAGTGATTGCAGGCTTCAATCTTATGTGGCTAGGGGCCATCCTTCTTGGTTGCGAGGTTTATTTGCCGAGGAAATGGTTTCTTCCTCTGTTTGAATTTTAGTTTTTATCTAACTATGCTCTTTGTTTGGAGCTGCATTTTTTGGATACCTCTCTCGTTGTGTTGAGATGGTTAGTTAGTAGTTGCAGGTTTTTTGGTTTAGGCTCAGCACTTGTTTTGTGGTGTCTGACTTTCTGGGTTGTAATCGTTGGTTTAATTCCATCAATATAATACCAGTCGAAAAAAAAAAAAAAAAAAAAAGTCAGATGATGAAGTAATGACAATACTAACACAAAGTATGAAAGTATTAACACAAATTATTAAATAGGATGTATTGCTTAATTCTCTCAGTCCACATTGTTTGTTTTCATTTCATAAGATTAAAATATTTGAAATTTCCAGTTTTGAAATTAAAATAAAATAAAATTAGAAAGCTGCGAAATGTATTTGAAAAGAGAAAGAGATCTCTTTTTTCAAAATTTGAAACTCCGCCCTTCCGTCTCTCTTCACGCGCCACCCACCTCTCTCTCTCTCTTTTCCCCCTTTCTTCATATAACCCCAATTTCCCCTTCCTTCTCCTCTCCCACTCTTTGAGATTTTTTTCACCCTGACTTTGAGATTTCGATTCTCTCTCTCTCTCGTTCTCTCACAAAATTCGAGGTCGACCCACAGATTTAGAGATTCATTCAGTAAGAAACTCTCTCATTCTTAAACCTCATTTGCTTTCTTCGAATCTGCTCTTTTGTTTTTTTTTTTTTTTTGTTGCTTTTTCTTCATTTTTACATTCATTCAGTGCCCCTAAGTAGCTCAATTTTAGGGTTATCTCACACTAATCTATGCGAATTGAAGATGAATCTTTTGCTTTACTGTTCTTTGTCACTTTGTTTTATGTATCTCTCTTCCAGTGCCCTTTTTCTCGGGATCTAATCTGTGACTCCATTTTTTGTTCTCTGGATTTGTTTGTCTTGGAAAAAAATTTGCAATGTGGGTTTCGTCTCTTCTTCTTTGTCGATCGATTCTAACATTTGTAGCTATTTTCCTGGGAAAATGTCATTCTAGGATTGCTTGATTCTGTCTGGTATTTAGGTATTTGATATGTTATATGAGCTGCAACTTTTCAGATCTACACTGTTATTATTTTGGGGATTTATAGCTCTATCAATGTTCTCAACTTAAGATCTAGACATTCAAATCTGTAATACATCGTATTCATGTTGCATTTACTATTGAGAAATTCTGGGTTGTTTGCTAGTAGACAAGCTTTGTTAATTTTTTTATATTCATGGATTTATGATGCCAAGCTCTGAGATGGATACTTATTGCATTGTGGATTTGTGTATTTAGTTTTGTTCATTTGCTGACCACCAACTGTTCGATGAATTGTCTCAGCCAAATGGACTCTCTTCCTGATGCGCTCCTTCAATACATTCTTTCCAACCTGACTGCTGCAAAGGATGTGGCTGCTTGCAACTGTGTGTCCAACCGATGGAAAGAGTCAACAGACTCTGTTACCAGAGTTGTATTCCCCAGGAATTCATTCGAAAGCATCTTGGAGACTGATGATTCTGACACCATCGTTCAGAAGATGATACTGTCTTTTCGTCGTCTTGAGGAGCTTGTGGTGTATAGCCCATTCTCTAGCAATGGTCTAGCATCTTGGATGGCGCATGTGGGTTCGTCTCTTAGGCTATTGGAGCTAAGGATGGATAATCTCGCTAGCGAAGAGGCTATCCTAGAGAGTCCTTTGAAGCTTGACTGCCTTGGCGTGGCTAAGAATTTGGAGACTTTGAGGCTTTGGGGTGTTTTAATGATGAGCCCTCCCAAGTGGGATATCTTCCCAAACCTTCGCTGCCTCGAAATAGTGGGAGCAAGAACAGATGATTCCACATTGTCTCATGCTTTACGTGCATGCCCGAATCTGACTAACTTGCTGCTACTAGCCTTTGAGGGAGTTAAATCCATAACGATCGATCTGCAATACTTGGAGCACTGTAAGCTGGATTTCTATGGACCAGGTAACAGCTTGCTAGTCCTCACGAGTCCGAGACTAGTGTCCCTTGATGTTCAAGGCTGTAGCTGGATCCGTGTCCCTGAAACCAAATTCTTAAAGAACCTATCCATCTCCAATATTGCTGGTAAACAGAATATTTGTTTACTTGTTTGGTTCTCCCATTACCATGTGCAAATGTCATTTGTCTTACTTTGTCTCTGATTGGTTAACAGGTAGAGTTTACATGGTAGATTTCCCTAACCTTCCGTCGCTTGAGGCCTTGTCAATTCGAGGTATACAATGGTGTTGGGATGCGTTATGCATCATACTGCAGCAAGCAAGAGACGTGAAGCATCTCTTCATGAAGGTTGAATTCACTGGCAATGAGTCCCTTCAACCTTTCCCTGAGATTGATTTTGTAGAGTTCTTCAACAACCATCCCAAGCTTCAAACATTTGACATCCATGGAGCAATGTTCGCTGCACTTTGCCAGAGAAACAGCCTAAAGAAGGTAAATATAGTCATCCTTTCTTCATCAGAAAAGTTCCCTATGAAGTCAAAGTCTTACTAACAATGAAACCTCCATTCTCTTTGCAGCTTGAGACAGGATTTGCAATACCTTGTTTGGAGGAGGTTACTATCACAGTGAGATCTCCACTGAACGCAGAACAGAAGATGAACACGCTGGAATCGCTTGTGAGATATGCGAGGGGTCTGAAACGAATGGTGATAAGGATTCTTCGGATGAAGAGCAACCACAGCAGTGCAGATGATTTCTGCGATGATATCTGCAAGTTCCGGTACATGCATCAGCATCTTATTCAAATAGAATGAGATATTCATTTTAGCAGCTAATCTTAAATTTCGGCCATTGATTTCTGTTTCTCATTGTGTTAGCTGCCATTTCTTGTCTGAACTCCTGAGTAATATTTTTGTTTCCTGATTCATGGTTATGAACTTATGACTTTGATTCTGATAACAGTTCAGAACTTTCCCTGCTGCTGTTGTCTTTAAAAGGATTGAATAATTATGAACACATTTCTGAATTTGGTTTTATTTCTTGTTCTTTATATATATTTTTACATTTGTTCGTAGGCCAAATCTATGCATGTGTTTTTTGTTTACTTATGTAGTCTACTTATGTGTCAAACAACTAAATATTGTCATATGCTTAAAAAAGAGTAAGAAGGTAATCTCCTTAAAACAAGACAAACCTCAGATTGCATTACATTATTATACCACAACCAAAATAAACCGAGGTAACGCAAAACGCGCAGCACCAACAATTTCAAAACCCAAAAAAAAAAACTTCTCTATATATAAACAGCATCAGTTCCTGCATTGAAAAATTACCTGGTGCTAATATCTTCTCTAACTCAAATATTTTTACAAAAAAGACAAAAAAAATAAAATAAAAATGGCGGGCCGCGACACATTCCAGCTGCGTTTCGCGGCTGTCGCGGCATCCGCCGCCGTATTGATCCTTCTCATGGCTGGTCAAGTCGCGGAATCGCGCATGATCAACCTCTGCTCTCACACAGCGTATCCATCTTTGTGCCGACCTCTAGTGAAACGCGTCACCAACCCAAGACGAGCCACGCACCGAACCATCCAGGCTTTAGAGGCAAAGACAAAAGTGGCTCTAGCGGAAGCAGCTAGGTTCAAAAACGGTAACCAAGCGATCACCACATGTTACGGAACGTTGAGCGACGCGATATACAATTTGGCGAGTGCGAGGAAGAGCATAAGGAAACGTGATGTGTCGGCGATGAACATGTACCTAACAGCGGCCGTGTCAGACTACGGCGCATGTGTGGACGGGTTTATTGAGACGGGTCAGGTGAATGCGGTCCAGAATGTAGCGGTTGACCTGAGGAAGATTAGCAGCAACTGCTTGTCGTTGTCTGCATTGATTAGCTGATTGATTAAGAGAACAACATTTGATTTAATTTTTCTCTCAAAACAAAACAAAAAATAAAGACTAATTAAGAAGTCTTAAACTAATTAAAAAAAGTTGGGTTTCTTTTTGTTGTTTTTGTTTTGGGGGATATATTATTGTTTGTTGAGATGATCCATCATTCGTATGTAACGCCACTGGGTGTAATTAATTATATCTGATTTCGTGTAATTAATTATCGTTAGTAGATTTTTTTCTTACGATGATTCCAATAAATTTGCGGAATACTTTTTCCAATTTTTTGTTTTCCTTAAAACTATTTTGTATTTAACAACATTCTTCTTGATCATGCTTTCTATTTCGGAATACGAGGTTAAAGATAGATTTGCAGACATTAAACGAGACAAACACAACAAACCAGTAAAGAGAATAGAATTTTCATTTTTATCATTACTGATCATGCTTTTAGAAAGTAAATAATATGCTAAGGATATTATGTTTTATTGACCACACTTAAGAAGAAGATCCATCAAAATTTCAGCTTTGGATCCAATTATAATAATAGATTGAATATATATATATATATATATATATATATATATATATAGGACCTACTGGTTTCTATTTATAACATATATGACTGATTCTTTATACAAAACTATATAACATATATTATGTAAGTATGCAATAACGTTATTATACAAAATTATTCTAGTGCTTTGTATTGATAACATATATGTATGCTTTTTCTCACAATCTGTTAAAAGAGCACGTTGTAGAAACATACCCATACAAAAGAACACAAAATAAGCTTAGCTAGCAAATAATTGACGTGATGGAACAAGTGGGCTTTTGCTTTGGATCTCACTACAAGAATAGTAAAGTTAAACAAAAATATCTTCTGCACAATTCGTGGTTTGTGGATACAAAGAAAAAAAAACCATGTCGACCAAAAAAAAAAAAAAAAAGGATACAAGAGAAGAGAAGAACGAACGAATCATAAAAATATCAAAAGAAAAAGACAAAAAGATAACAATAAAATTTATATATATAAAAAAAATCAACGGTGAGAAGATTCCGTATAAAATAAGAAGAAAAATATCAAACACAGAAAGGTGGAGTCCACAAGTGTACCGTCCATCATCTCTCTTTCCCCGTGCCGTTCCTCCTAGGTGCTCGTATCACGATGCGCCACGTAGCGTAATCGCTGGATAAAGTGCCCGTTTTAACTTCGATTACACGTGAGTGTGAAGTGAGTGAAGTAGCCAAGGAGAGAAGACGAGACCCCCCCCCAATACACCACACTAGTCGCTTCCTCATTAGACCATCCTCTGATTCTGGGATCTTCCTCTCTCTCTCTCTTTGATTCTCTTCTTCAGATTCTTTGTTTCAGTTCACTAAACAGGTAATTTTGATTTCTGAATTTCACCTTCAATTTCGTGTGTTTCTGTTATTCGATTTTGCAAAGTTTCCGCCACTAAGGTGAAAAGAGGGTTCTGAGTGTTTGTGATTCTTGTTCAGAAAATCTCGGCTTTGTTAGACTACGAGAGACGATTCTTTTCTTCTCTGTGTAAACAACACATGTTCCATTGCCTCAACTAACTAATTTTAAGCTTTGTCTTCTAACTGAAAGGAAAAGATGATTTAAGAAACTGCTTTTTTTGGGTTGTCTACTCTGTTAGATTCTTCTTTTTCTTTGGGACAAATAGTATTATTACTTGCTTCTTTTACATGGCAAAAGCTTGATTGTATTTTTTTTTCTTCTTATTATATAATATAATCACTACTTTACTTAACAGATCAGGCAAGTTTGATTCACTACAAAGTGAAAGCATGAGTAACTCCGTAGTCCATAACTTACTCAATCGGGGTTTGATTCGTCCTGTTTCTTTTGACCATCAACACAAGCTCTACTCTTCCTCCCTTCCTGCTCTTTCCCCTCCTCTCAGGTCCAAATTATACGGCAAAGCTCTTAAAAAGACCGGTCAGAGTCTGACCACTGAAACTGGAAGATCGCTCTCCTTTGTCCCACGAGCTGTTCTTGCCATGGATCCTCAGGTAATTAACAAAAACAGTGTTTGTAACTACTCAATGTATATGTACTTTGACATTGTTTTGGATTGCGATATTTTGGTTGCAACTACTCAATGTATGTACTTTTTCATGGACCTGAATGATATACACTTCTGTGTAGAAATCAAAGTTTTGCTTTGCTTTGTTGTATATTGCTTTCAGATGCTTATCATACCGATATGTGCTGAATAGTTTCATCGTTTTAACAGGCAGCCGAGAAATTTACTCTTGACGGAAATATTGACTTACTGGTAAGTGTAGCTTTACAGATAATGGATATTATATCTTGTTGGGATTTGTAGCCATAAGATTTATGCAATGGTAGGTTTTATGGATGTAATTGAATAGGTCGAAGTCACTTCTGCTTCGGTAAGAGAAGTAAATATCCAGATAGCTCATACAAGTGACTCATTGCTTCTACACTGGGGTGCAATTCGTGACAACAAAGAGTAATACCCTTGTCAAATCATGTTCAAGTTGCCTAGTTAATATGTTTCTTCAAGCTTATTACGGCACATTCTTTTATTAACTTTCTTTTTCTTTTTTCCGTGTCAGAAAATGGGTTCTACCTTCTCGCTCTCCGGATAGAACTATAAACCACAAGAATAGAGCGCTTAGAACTCCATTTGTGAAAGTAAGTTTTTGTTTACATTCCTCGACATACATTACACTGTACAGCGCTACTTGTGATGGTATAGCTGATACCAGTGTAACTTAAGATTTCCAAGTAATGCTTTGGATTTTCATTCTCAGTCCGGTGCCAACTCTTGCCTTAAACTAGAGATAGATGATCGTGCCATACACGCTATTGAGTTTCTTATATTTGACGAAAGTCGGAACAAGTGGTGAGCTTGTTTTCTTCTCTTCTTGCTATTAAGCCAGAACATTGAGCTACCTAGTTCTGTTTAAGTATTTTCCTTTCTCATGATCTTGACATATGCAGGTATAAAAATAATGGGCAGAATTTTCGTATAAACTTACCCACGGAAAGGAAGTTGGAACACAATGTTTCTGTTCCTGAAGACCTTGTCCAGATCCAAGCATATCTTAGATGGGAACGTAATGGTAAACAAATGTACAACCCTGAGAAAGAGAAGGTAAGTCAGACGTTGTCCCTGTACAAGCATATCTTCAAGGATATTTTTCTTTGATATCTTTTTCAATGCTCACCTTTTATGTTGTTATGTAATCACCTTTCATCACCGGTACGGTTTTCATTCAGATGTTAATTTTGATTAGCTAAGTTGGAAATTGCTCTTGGTTGAGTAATGTCAATGGAATTAAAATACTTTTTCCGATTATATTACAAAAATAATACTTGAATAAAGTTGACTGGTGTCATGAAATATGTATATTGTTTCTCTACCTGGTAAACAAGTTTTTGAATTGGTTGCATTTATATCAAGTACTCTTCATTTGGGTATATTCACTATTTTATTGTTAAGGAGAATAATTAGTCTCTGATCATTAGGAGGAATATGAAGCCGCCCGTACGGAGCTACAAGAGGAAATGATGCGTGGTGCTTCAGTGGAAGATCTTCGAGCAAAGTTGTCGCAGAAAGATAACACTAATGAATCTCCAAAATCTAATGATACTTCATCCAGTGGACGGGAGACACAGAAAAAAGCTTCCAAGCAACCAGAGCGTAAAAAGTATTATAGCACCGAGAAGATCCAGCGGAAGGGAAGGGACCTGAATAAGCTTATCTGTAAGCATGTTGCTGATTCTGTTGAACCAAATTCCAAATCCTCAACGGAACCACGGTCCTTAACAACTCTAGAGATATACGCCAAAGCAAAAGAGGAACAAGAAACCACTCCAGTCTTTAGCAAGAAAACGTTCAAGCTTGAAGGCAGTGCGATTTTGGTCAGTTGAGATATCTTCTTTCTCTCTTCTCTATCTCTATTCGGGTTAGATATACATCCACAAGTATCTTCTAATGGCAAGTCATTGCTCCCTCTCTATAGGTTCTTGTTACTAAAATTTCCGGAAAGACGAAAATTCATCTGGCAACCGATTTCAAAGAGCCGGTTACCCTTCATTGGGCTTTGTCACAAAAGGGTGGAGAGTGGTTGGTAAGATATTTCTTCTTTATTTCTCAAACAAGAACATACTTTGAAATTAAGATCGTTCCTTCTCAATTACATGTCTTTTGTTTGGTCTCTTTTGCTCTGAGTTTATGAAACATTGACACTGCAGGACCCACCTTCAGATAAATTGCCACCAAACTCGTTGCCAGTACGTGGTGCTGTTGATACCAAACTGACCATTACTTCAACAGATCTTCCTAGTCCGGTATGACTAGCCGAACCTATTTATACACTATAAGTTTACTAGCATTTGGATCCAGAGATAGCATGTAAAAGACCTCATGTCAACCAAAAATGTAGGTTCAAACTTTTGAGCTAGAAATCGAAGGCGACAGCTACAAGGGCATGCCGTTTGTACTAAATGCTGGTGAAAGGTGGATTAAAAATAATGACAGTGACTTTTATGTGGACTTTGCTAAAGAAGAAAAACATGTTCAGAAGGTTCCTCTTCCTTCTTGGTCTCTTTAAACCACATTCAATTGCATCCTATTGTCCCATAAATGCTGATTGTGCCATTTTCTAGGATTATGGTGATGGAAAAGGTACAGCCAAGCATTTACTGGATAGAATTGCAGATTTGGAGAGTGAGGCCCAGAAGTCTTTCATGCATAGGTCAGTATTATGCTCAAGCATCCTGGTTCTTATTTCATGTTTCAGAATTTGAGAAGTTTCATTGGTATTCCCTTTTCAAACCATTTGCTACTTGAAATCCCTATCAAGCTGATGACCCAACTTGACGTGTTTCGTTAGTCTTCTTTGGTTATCCATCACATCACAATTTTTGCACTTATGAGTTCGAAAGATTAATCTAACATTCTACAACTTATAGTCATTCATCCACCATCTATGATGGTCACTAATAAATTGATTGATCCATGTTCAATGATCACCAAATTTATATTCTCAGTAATATATCTCTTTTGTGCATGAAGTGATTTGCAACTTCTGGAAAACACCCTGATATTTCGGAAGAGTTAAATCTTGCTCTCTCTTTTTCCTTCTAGATTCAACATTGCAGCAGATCTTGTAGATGAGGCAAAAAATGCTGGTCAACTGGGCTTCGCAGGGATCCTAGTCTGGATGAGGTTTATGGCTACAAGAC